GATGCTACAAATTGTTGATACTAAATAAAAATCTAAGTGTTTTTATTTAGTATATTAAATAAGGTAACATTTTGTTAAAACTGAAGTTTATTTTTTTTATCATTAGACTATTAAAACTTCTGATGAAAATCGTTGAAGCTTTTTCTGAATGGTAGACCAAAACCATGAGAAAAAGCAAAACGAAATCTAACATCATTTTTAAAATTAAATATGCTTTGAGCAGATCAAATGACTGTTCAAGTATGTGCTATAACTAATAGCCTAAAGTGAAAAAAATTAAAATTGGGAACAAGTGCAACAGATCGTCCAAAGTTTAAGTTTATTTGACTCTCTGTCCCAAGCCCGCGAATCAATAATGCCCACGAATTATAGTCCGCCACCCTAAATGTATAAAAACAAAATAGAGAATAAAATAAATAAACACATGAAAATGTAGATCACATGTGAGAAGTTGGACGAAACTTTTTCGNAATTCAAGTCGTTTACTTCTCTCTCGCTATTCACTTCTTAATTCCAGTTTCGACATGAGTTGCATAATAAATGTATAAAAACAAAATAGAGAATAAAATAAATAAACACATGAAAATGTAGATCACATGTGAGAAGTTGGACGAAACTTTTTCGTCAAAACAATTCCAAAGAATTGAACATGAACAGCGTTAAATTCTGATTTAGTTGTAATCAAAATGATAATTTCTACCATGAAACGATTAGCAGACGTGACAATCTGTCTCGACGATTGAATTCATGGCGAGATGAATGAGACTGCCAAACACTCAAAGCCTTGATTTACAATATTCAGACTTTGAAAGTAAATGCAAATTTAAGCGAATAATGTTTCGCAATATGGCTTTGATGTGAACAAATATTGGCCAATTAATTCAACATTTCGCTTATCTGATCTTCAACCCTAACTCTGAATAGTCTTACGTGCGTCTTTATGCTTATTTCCCATCCATGCTTCGCCATAAATTGCACAACTAATGTTATCTTAATTAGATCCGGAGGATTAAAAGAAGTCGTTGAACTTTCTTCTCGAAACTCATTCGTTCGATAATAAAAACGCTTTTATTGACTGACGTGAGGGTACAAAAAAGTAAACGGAAGCTGAATATTAAGAAACGTTTAATATTAATTATCACTTCAAGCTCCTAAGCAATTATTAGACATTTCTGCAAAATGTTTCCATGGATTAAAGTCACGATATGTTCAATTCGAAATTAATAGTTTATTTTCCCTGAAATATCATCAAACTCACATTTACAGCAACGGAGAAAAGAGAGAAAAAAGTGAATTTTCGTTAAACAGAAAATCAAAGAAATTTCTTTTCGTTTTCTCAGCAATGTAAAGAAAGTGAAATCATATAAAGAAAAACGTTGTCGAGTGACCGTAAACGAGTGTCAATGTGAATGCATAATATGTGTTGACAAAACCATTTTAAAAAGTAATGATTGACAACAGCAATCGAGTAAAATTATTGTTCGGATATTTGAGAGTAGACAGACGTCGACTTGCATTGTCGAATGCAGTAAAGAGCTTGTCTGGTGACAGCCCATTTATCTGGAGAATAAAAACTACACATTTTAAATAGGAATAAATTAAATACATACACCAACGTAGCATAATTAATTTTATGTCTCTTTGCAGACATTTTTTTTTCCTTTCTGCACTTCATGATTAAGGTCGAAAAAGGGAAACTTTGAAATTGTAGTTAACTAATAAATTTTATTTTAATTGATAAAAGTGAAATTGAACAGTTCGTTTCATTAGCTTTTGTCTTGTTGTAAGGTAAACTTAACAATCGAATCACATATCAATAATTGGCTTATAAATTGACAAATTCATTCACTTAAAAAAGATTTTATGTGAAAGTCGGATTATTAGCGATAAAAAATGCCATTTTTGTGAACAATTGAGCACAATTTAAACCTGCAGAGACTTAATGATATTAATTTCACGGTCTTTCTAAGTGGAACGAAATATAAATGATTGCAAAAATATTGCAAAAAGACTTCAATGCGACCACAAGAAGAAACAAAAGCAAATCGCTGTGCGCATTCAAATGAAGTCACCCAATAGGAAGTAAATTCGATACCAATTCTGGAAATGTTTTGTGTCTTTGACTTTCTCTCACTTTTCCATAAAACACCAAATTGACAGAATATCAATCGCACCTTTGAATAATTGTTTTTAAAGTTTAATTTTATTCTGTTGACTTGCTCGTGATATTGTTCGAGACTTTAACAACTTCATTCGAAGGCCAACGAGAATTATTTCAACTTCTTATTTTTATAAAGTTATAGCACTTTGAAAAAACTTCCATTCCTCTGATTTAATAAAATTCTTTTTTAAAAACCTCAATAAACAATCGCAAAATCAAACTTAATTAAAAGAAGGCAATTCTTAAGAGAATTCTTCATTCAGCATTGTTTTATTTTATTTTTTTATTTCATCACAAAACAAATGCGCCTAATGAAATCAAAAGTTGAAAAAACGTGCATTGTTTAATGAAGATTCTTGAAATTTTGATTTTTGATTTGATTGCAAGATGAAATTGTTTTGAAATTGAATGAAATTTGACCCAAAAATCTCAAATCAAAGCATTTATGCAAGAAACAAGAATTATTAACTTTGGGGCTAACAAATCGTGGCTTCTGAATGAAGAAAAAAATGTTAAGTAAGAATTAATATTCTTGAATTACGCAAGTAAAGTCAACTTTCACGCTTCAACATTTTAATGTCAGCAATTAAGGAGTTTCTCTCCCAAATTATAATTTTCAAAATGCTTCTTCTCACTTTACCTTCATTTTTTTGTTCATTTAACTTCTTTGAATAATTTCTTTTTGAAATAAATAAAAATTCAACTTTTGCGGCATAAATTTTCTCTTTCAACCGACGTCACAAACAAATCATGTTTCAATGTTGCGGTGAGTGCTTGAAGGGAAGATGTCAATCTTTGTTATGTGTTTTATGGTACACGATTTCGTTTTGCACGTTTTGAGTTCATATGAATTAAGCAAGCATATGCGAGTTGAAATTTAAATTGTCAAGCACATAACATACAAAAGCAGCATTTTGAATGATAATAAATGTAAAGAAATCGATTATGTTTGTCGAATTTGCAATGATGTGTGATGGTTATTTATGTGGAGTCTTTCGATCAAAATTCATTCTGTTGTATGTAAATTTCCGAAAGAATAAGAACGCAACTTAAAACTTTTTCATTGAATCGAAATTTAACGTCGATTGTCTTGCATAACACTTTGGCAACTTGAAGGCTGCGCCTCTTGATTGCATTGAAACTTCGATAGCCCTCAACTTATTTAGAAGGTAGAGTAAGAGAAATAAACTAAAAGTTAAATTGTAATGACACAACTCTCTAATTTATTGTTTCCACTGATGCTGGCTGGCTCATTTACTTATTTCTTTCACTATTGCATTTAATCTTTTTTTCATGAGTCTTTGTGCTCATCCATTAAATTTTCTCATTTCACTTCGGATTTGGATTATTTCAAAATTGTTTTAATTTTCTTTCTCTTATATTGAATTATTATTAGAATGGCACACGAAGAAACTTTCTATCTACAATTTTAGTTTAAGTCGCTTTTAAGTAGTTTGTTGCAGCATTACCTCCATATTCAGTCTTGCGTGCTTAAACATATTTTCATTTTTTATAATATTGCGGAAAATATTTCCAAGCTTAAGATTGACGTTTACAAACTACTTGGTGATTCAAGACATTATTAACATTATCTCAGTACTCACCATTATTGATTATTTTTTTATCCTTTTAAATCGAAATTTTATAAAAGCCTTTTATAGCAATTTTAAACTTCCACAACTTTTATTGTCCAATAATTTCTTTCCTTGATTTTTTTCAATCCAATATTTCTTTAAACAATTTTTTTTTAATAAAAATTTAACTCTCAAGAAATTACTTGTGAAGACAAAACAAGTTAAATTTTCAAACACTTTTTATGAGTGAAAATATCTTTGCGCAATCGTTTTTTTAATAAAAAACTGAGTTTTAAGAGACACTTGTATTCCGTTACTGGTCTCGACGTTGGTGAAATAGAGACTGAATGTTGTGTCTTGAGACACCAAGTTTCAACAAAAGAAAAAAAACAGCATGGAATGAATAAAAGTGAAAAAAAAAGCTCGTCGATATATGCTCGATTGTGTCTCTCTTGTTTACTATCAATGCCTAAAACTTTCTGATGTTTGTGTCGTGAATTGTTTTGACTGGTGTTGTGTATCCTATGTATGTATAGCTTAATGGTGAGTTTCATTTTTGCAGTGTTGAATGCACTTGTTGAGATGGTGTTCGTCTAATTGCGAAACTAGATCTCGATCTTACATGAATTATTTATGCTTCGAAAGCTCACAAATATTTGTTTTAAATGTATTCGATATGAACATTATTCTCTGTAAAACTAAACTTTTATTACAAAACAATTCATTGAGCTTTTTGAGCTTTGAAAGCTCAAGTTTTGTGACATTATCTCAAGCTGAAAGATTTTAACCTTTAATACAAATCTGAGTGTTCAACTCGACTTTTATCTTATCAATTAATTGATTCATTGTTTACATTTAAGTTTAATATGATAAAACAAAATTATTGTAAGTAACTTAAGGAGATATTGAACTCAACTGCTAATTGGGTTAATGATTTCTGCGATAAAATCTAAATAGCTTGCTATTCTCATGTACACCGATGGATTAACTTTACCCTCTTCGCACATTCCCAATCCAAAAGATGCGATACCAACAGCAAGGTAATCATTATCATCTGTTCTCTCAACTAACGTCGATCCAGAATCACCAGAACAATGTGAAGTTTTCGAACATAAAACTTTTGACGTCACTAAATTTGCAGGAATTATTTCAGAACATTCCGAATTTGAGATCACTTCCATCGAAGCACTTCGAAGTGAAATAGAAAACGTATTTGCATTCGAGTACACACCCCAAGATGCTAATTGAAGTGCTTTAGTAGTGTAATCTATATCGACTTCATATTGATTTGGTAACCGTAAAGGTTGAACAGTTTCTAAAGAAATGACATTATTTCTATTAATTGAACGCACAAAGGTATTTGAAATCACTTACCGTCAAAATGAATTCCCTTGTTCAAAGATATCAAAGCGATGTCATTGACAAATGGGGAATATCCTGGATGAATGACATAATTTTCACTCAAAACAATTTGATTTCTTGTGTAATCTAAGTCTGATAAATTATCACTTCCATAGAAAATGCTGACATTCTTTGAATTTATAATGCAATGAGCACAAGTTATGATGAACTTCTCTGATAGAATCGACCCAGAGGAAAGTGATGAACCATAATCAAATCTCGCAAAAATCACAGACTGATATGGAAATGCGTTAGCTGATAAAACTTCCACTCCACCGATAACACGGAACTGTGGCTTAGTTGGTGATGAATGAGCGAAATGAGGGAAGTACACAAAAAAGATGATAAAAATTGTTTTCATTTTGAAGTTCAAGTTTCAATAAAGGCACAAAGTAAACTGATTGTCAATAAAGAAAAACAAGAACTTTATATAGGCAGAAATCAATATTAATAGACATGGACGCAAGTTTTTTTTAATACGAAATGATAAAAAGCTTAAAAATATACTTTTCTAGTAAAAAATTGATTTTATTCCAAAAATATGATGAAAGTTTTATTGATAGTTGAAATTATAATGAATAACTTTTCATTTATGTGTCTCTTCCACAAACAATTCCACTGTGGCGTTTCATTCCCGATGTCTTGACAACTTTAGGCTTCTTTGAGCTCGGCTCGTCGTCATCCTCATCAACTGTTTGCATTTTATCGAAAAGGTTGTCGTACTCTTCATCACTTTCTTCAGTTTTTTGATCTTTTTGCTCCTTTTGGGTGTTTAACAAACGCTGATCAGCCTGCTTCATGACAATTTGGCTTGCCTTTGACTTCACATAACATTGGTAAAGTAAATTAGTTTTCTCTATATTGTGAGCACGAACATAACGATCGAGTGATGCTGTGAACAAGAATTTTCCTGTTTCATCGACAGCAATACTTGAGATGCTTCCTGTTGCACCTTTATAAGTGTGCAAAGGAACGCGCATATTTTTAAGGTCAAATGCAAAAAGGCCGCCAGTTGTTGTGCTTACAAAAACTATTCCATTATGTTCAGCAAGTGAATTGAATGCTTGATCCCGGTTATCTGTGTAGTTGTTAACTGGACGTCTTTGTTGACGATAATCATAAAATCGAATGTAACCATAACGAGAGCATGTAGCTAGACATGCATCACTATTATTAACGAAGCTCAAATCAGAATCCCATACAGGAACCTCAAGTTGAAGATTATCATGTGGAATATTTTTGGATTTGAAAATTTCTTTTTGAGTTTCAAGATCGAATACTTTAAGATTATTTTGACGTTCTTTTCCTCCAACAGCAATGAGCTTTTTGTTTTGAGGACATTGCTGCATGTGAGAAATGTTATCACCAGCTTCCAATACTGCTGATGTGTCGTTAAGAATATGAATTTTTCCATTGTCACTCGCTGCCACAATTGTTCTAACAGTTGCAATGAAATAAACTCAGTTCTTTTGTAAATTCCATGAAATAGTTACTCACTCATTATTCCAAGCCAGACCAACTACCTTTCCATCTGGTATTTCAAGGTCAGTTCCACAGAATTGATTCATATTGCAGTCAAATGTTCGAATGATGGAATCGCCACGACCAATTAAAAGTTCATTGGCGCCCTCATCTGCCCAGCTAAGGCATGTTATTTTGGAATCTCGATTTAAAGACTCCAAAGATTGCAAATTTGATTGTTTGTAAGGATTATCTTCATTAAATATGTCAACTCCTAAATAAGAAAATGTAAACAAAAATTAGAAAGACGAAAAAAACGTGCGAATGTGTTAAGACTTACGCTTTACACTTCCGGTTTGAGTTCCAACGTAAAGCACGTGTTGTTCATTGTAATCTCCATTTTTGATATTAGCTGTTGAGAATTTCATCTTAAATAATTAAACAGATCAAATTGACATTATTTTTGTCAAATTAATTTTGTTGCGATGTTTGCTTTCATAAATTCCGTCAAATTTGACTTTCGAAAATGGATTTGAATTTTGGAAATACGTTAAATTTTGATTTATCAAAGTCAGAATAAAGGGATAAAAAATTATTTTTTTAAGAAATGAATTTTATTTAACAAATTATGCAAATAACTAATAAGTGATTGCTTTAAAAAAAATTGAGGAAACCGCAAACGAAACGTTAGCGATAACGAAATAAAATAAGTTGAGAGAGAAACCTGACTGAACACCATTTTAATTACAATAATTATCCTGTTAATCTTTGAATTAAATATGGCCAGCTTTTTCATCGATCTGTCACATGTCGGGGTCTTAAGGGTTTGCCTGTTATTGTAGCTTAAATGCACAAATAAATAAATAATATAAAAGAAAGTTGTTTCTTCTGTAATAAGGTTGGACATTTATGAGATTTGAACGGACTACAAAATATATCCTAATCGCAATAGGACTGAGAGTTGTCTTTTCCCCCCAAGCTTATGATGATGATGATCTATGAGAAATTCAAGATGACTCTAACCCTCGAAAACGATCTGAAACGAGATGTTGAACAATAATTTGAAACATAGGTAAATAAATATATAGGTATATCGTTTTACTTTTATGCTTACTTTCTACAAAACGATGAAGAAACCGAACCGTTCATAATTCTCAAACAGAATAATGCCAAGAATGCCTAACATACATTAAGTGAATTAGAATTTGTCATCACCTCTTTTTAAATTATTTTCTTGAATCCCTTACCTTCATCAATTCATTATAATTAAGAATAATCCAATCGTACAGTTTAATTAAACATTTATAGGACACCCTGAAGATGAATTTGAAATAAATCCGAAACTAGTCGGCCGACAGAAGAAAACGACGAACCATTTTTCTTCTCAAAGTCTGGAAACGCCATTTCAAATTTTACTAATCTTTTATTGATAAAATCAAAAATCATTACTTACCTTTAACAAATATGTGTATAAGAAATTCAAGAAATAACTCAAATCCTCGAGAACGGTCTGAAACGAGATGAAAAAATAAAATGATTCATTATAAGCTTTAAACATAACAGCACAAAGAATGAAAAAATTACTTTTTTTAATTTTGTTTAATTTCACGAATGCCTCGTGTTCTTCCAAATGAACTTTCTTGTTCCTTCAGTTATCTTCATATTTCCTGAATATTTTAAAGGAAACTTTGATTTCTGAAGTACTGATGATGGTTGATAATTGAATGACTAATTAAAACTTTAGCCTCATGAAAGTTACAACTTTCGAGTGCATTGTGAATGTTTAAACAGAAAACAAAAACGATGCGATATGGAAGATGACCAAAACGCAAATGAAGTAAGAATTGAGAGTACCGATGATGCTTATCAGAAAAAAATTCTTATCAAGATTAAACTTTTTAAAATGTGTTCAAAGAGAGTTGAGAATTTTTTGATAAGAGAATGCTATCAATTCACTTGGATTTTATTTGTGAGATGAGAAAAATAACCAAAATCCTCTTTCCTTCATTTAAAAATAATAAGTATAATTAATTTTTTTTCCCCTTAAAATTTACAATGAAAAGTAAAATAAAAAAAGAAATAAAAAAATATTTATCGCTGAGAACAGGATTCGAACCTGTGCGTGAAAATCACAATCGATTTCGAGTCGATCTCCTTAACCACTCGGACATCTCAGCATTGAGTTCAGTTAGAGCTCGATGACAAATGATGCTTATGAAGCAAGAGCCATTCTCATTGTTTTAATGTTTCAATGTTGCATGTTTTGCCTTCTTCAAAAATTATTTTATTTTAAACATAAAATGAAATTACGATTTATTAATTGATTTTATTTAAGATCATACTGAGAAAAATGTAAATGAAACATTTCTAAAAAGATTCAAGCAGCTCAAGTGGTTGCCATTTACTCGATTCTAAGCTGTCATAAAAGTTCCGATCCATGTCGACAGTTTCTCGATTCAATTTTTCAACGTCGATGTGAATTTTGTGATCAACTAAAGCGTAATCATCATCTTGATCAAATTTGTTACTGAAGGAATGTGGCGCAGAATATGAAGGCGTTTGAACAGGAACTGGTGGAGCAGTTGTGGCCATAGCAGCGGCTTGTTGAGAGTAATAAACCGAAGGATCCATTTGCTGATTATTTTCATATCCATATCCTTGCTGTTGCCAATATTGTGAATATTGATCGTAATAATATTGTGAATATGCTTGATCATAGACTTGCTGAACTATTGTTGTAGCAGAAGGTGCAGCAGGAGCTGGTGCTGAACCATCCTTTGGTTTTGGAACTGCTGAGCATATTTTCAAAGCTTTTGAGCCTAAGCCGATGAATCCATTCATTTCATAAAGTGCGCTTTTCTGTTCCTCTTCCAAGCCGAATTTGACAAATCCGTAGCCTCTTGAGAAACCTGAATCATCCATAATTACCTTTGCTGTTTTAATTGACTGATATTTTGCACTGAATACTCGATACAAATTGTAGTCATCGACATCCGAAGACAGATCACCAACCCATACGGAGAATTCTCGATCAGCAAGAAGTGCTTTATTTTGCGATGTCGTGGCACAGTTAAGTTTGAATCGAACGATTGGATTTGTACCTGGTATTGGCTTCCCATTTAATTTATGCATTGCCAATTGTGCGGCTTCATCGGTAACGAAACTTACGAAGCAATAACCTGCCGGTTCTCCGGAGAATTTATTTTTCATCAATTTAACTGTCAAAGGATCTTCTCCCATCTTTCTAAATGCAGCTAATATAAAGTTCTCAGTCATATAAGGCTGAAATTAAAGAAAAATATTTTCTCGTTATTTATAGTCGTAATTTACAATTTCTTAATTTCATTCAATTACCTGCAATGATCCCATCCAAAGTTGACATTGTTGAGCCATTTTGAATTAGTTTTACTGTGAAAAATTATTTAATTTAGGTTTGAGAGAAACTTTTTGAAATTTTTTGTTTACTTCTGTTTAGTAGAACCTTAGATATTGTAATGTTTTAATAGTCGACATCGTGTTTTGACACATGAAAACTGGAGCCATTGAATGGTTCTCAAACACTGTTTCTAGAAAAAAATCATAAACAAATTTCTGAAATTACTTTAAATTATTTTACCTTAAACCTGATTGACAAAAATAATTCTAAAGATTATAAAGGCAAAATGATCATACCAGTTCGTTGTTTCACATGTGGAAAAGTGATTGGAAATAAATGGGAAGCTTATCTAGGATTACTTCAAGCCGAATATACTGAAGGGTTAGTTTTGAAGTTTTCTTTATTTCAATTTAGAATAAAGATGTAAAAGCCCATTAATAAGATTAGTTGCTTGAATCCTCATGATTCTTTATGAATTAGAATGACTTTTTTAACAATGCAAAACATTCCAAATGAATTTTCGCAAAACAATGAAATTTAACATAAAATTTTTCTTCAACAGAGATGCTCTCGATGCTCTTGGCTTAAAGCGATATTGCTGTCGCCGAATGCTTCTTGGACATGTGGATCTTATCGAAAAACTTCTCAACTACGCTCCTCTCGAACGATAAGAGAATTCCTTAATTCTGTAACATAAATTTCTATTAATTAATCATAAATAAAAAACCTTGAGAATTATTTTTAAGAAATTAATTTCATTTTAAATCATTTATTCTCATTTTAAATTACAGTATTTTTCTCAAATCATAAATTCAATGACGATTGATGATTTTCACACACACGCACGCTTGTTTCTTTTAATTGAGAGGCTATTTAACAAATGCTTCTGGCGGAATTTTGTTTTGCTTGAAAAGTTCTGAGAACACAAAAATCGCGCGTTGAAAATCCCAACTCGTTTCCTCTAAGCATTTTCTACTCCATTCAATATTCATGTTACTTTGCTGCGACATCGCTTGAATCATTTGCATTTTAGTGGCGTCATCAGGAGCTGAAACAGCTTGTTGAGGCGTAGTTGGAAGGCTTGATGGTGAAGTCATTTGTGGTGATGTCGCCACTGGCCCTTTGAATGCATTTCTAGCTTGACTTTGACTTGCATTGTTGACATGAAGCAGCTCATTTTTAATGCAGAATCCACCATTGTTAGGAACTATCACCATCGTTCTTTGAAACGCTCGAGTGTACTCTTGCCTTGGATTTGAGTTACGTTCCTTAAACAATCCAGTTACAGTAAGAACAACTAATTGTGGCTAAATAAATTAAAATAAATCAATTATTGTCATCAAGCTTTCTCACTTAAAACTTACTGTAAAAACTGTTAAATCAACAGCAAACGATTGAGGGTCGTGACGAGAAGGAGGAAGCTCTGTTAGCAATGCAACAACATTCAATTTTCCACGTTTTATGCTATGTAATCGATAATCGAACCCCCTAGGATGATGTAAATTTCTTCCGACTTTCCAGTAAGCGTGTAATCTGAAAATATTGAGAAGTTAATAAAGAATTATTGTTTAAATTAATTTAAATGCTCACTTTTCTTCTGGAGTGTAGTGTTGATTGTTAGTTGCTGTTAATGAGAAGATTGCTTGTTCATGATAAGCTTCAAGCAACTGTTGACGATTGTCTGAATCGTATAAAATGAAATATTGTTCCAGGAATTTCTGAACCAGCTCAGACCCTGATGGGTCACATAAATATGCTGCCTTCCATGGTGGCAATTGCTTCGAAGGTTCATCAGCAACATCGAATCCTATTGTTGGTCCAAGTTCAGCTCCATCAAGCTTCAAAAGCTTTGGAAACTTTTTTCTTAATTCGCTGAGGAGAAAAGGAATGAAAAATGTTTGTTGTTCTTTTTCCACGAAATTAAACTACACAAAATTGAAATGAAAGATTCCTAAATAGAAGTTGAACGATTAGAGATTGACGAGAAGATTTCCTTTATTGGAATTTTTGATTTTAAATTTCTTAATTCAAGTAATGTCAAGTTTGCAGACGTTTTTTTCATTTTTAGGTTTTTTTTTTAAACATTCAATGCAATCAACGTTGATTTTAATAAAAAGTCATAGCCAAGATGGATTCCATTAATGTTTCTGGAAGAGTTGTGAAGACACTGAACTCATCAATGACATCGCGAGATCTTTGTGAATGGTTGTGGCAGGTCCATTATCATGTTATCATTTATTATGATATTTTCACACTTGTGAAACTCCACGTAAGAGTCACTTCAGTGCTTGTTTCAACTGACAGCTTGTTCAGCTGACAATTTTTCGACTTCAATGAAGTCTTGTCGTGTTTTTGTTTTCATTGCATTTCGAGTTTTTCTCTTACTTTTCATTCTTATGCAGATTTTTCTTCTTTCTTATCTGCCTTTTTTATGTTTTATTATTTAACTCATTTGTTAATTTCTCTTCTCCTCTTTTTTTGTCTCTTGTAATGAAATTTAATGTTTCAGAGAATTCTGTAACTCTGACAAGAAAACATTAATTGGATCATTTTTAATGTCTTGGAGTTTTCTTTTCCATTTAATAGACGCTAATTGCATGTAATTAAATACTTTTAATACACAATCAACGTCAAGTTGAAACTTGTCATTACATGTTTTATCAAATATTGAAGCTTTTCATTAAATATTTAAAAGAGCTCGTCAATCATTAAACGCAACTTCATCAAATGATGATGCAAGGAAGATTTTTTTCACTGAACTCGGAAGAAAATCTTTCACTTGAGACTCAGAAAAACTTTCTCCATTGAAACATTGTTCAACACATTTTTATCATAATTAAGGAACGAAGAATTTCAGCTTGCATTGTTGCTTAGATGAATTCAACTATTAGTGAGTAAAAGAATCGCTTTCATATGAAACCAAACAGTTCAAGTGATTCCATCAGAAGAGACGATGTACCTGACATAATTTGCTTGATCGCGAACTCGTTTTCTGAAAGGATTTCCATCCAAGAAGAGCTCAACAAGTGGCAATCCTCGTAGTGAGTCCAATGAGTTTAACATAAATATCTGTGAAAAGTTTTTTGTATTAATTAAAATTGAAATGAAGAAAGATTTCGATGACTTACTTTGTTATTTCCGAGATAAAGAATTTTAAGATGCGACAATTTACTCGCAATGCCTTTTAAATGATCCAGCATGTTGAGTTTGTTATCATTTAAGTTAAGTGCTTCAAGATCGGGGATGTTTTCAGCAATGATGTCGATAGCAGCTGACATAATTGGAGGACGTGATAAAGCACAGAAAGTTTCTGTCAAATCCGGATCCGCATGAAATTTCGTAAGGTCCAAAGCTTTTGTAGCTTGATTGTAACGCTTAACCATGGCATTTTTCATTCGTTCTTTGACTGTCGCGTCAAGTTTTGTTTGCGGTACACATCCTCGAACACGAATCATTATTTGAAATCCATCAGGCAGTTCAATTTTTCGATCAAGTCGCATGATTTTCTGTGCAACTTCATAATCATCAACGAAGAAGTTGACAAGCTTTGTGTCCATGTCAGCTTTGAAATAATTTGGTATGAAGATTGATGGCGAAACTCCGTCTAAAAGTAACTTCAACACAATGTTCTTTTCGTATTTCGCACCATGCTGGATTGTGACTTGATACCAGCCCATTGGATGTTGAATTAACTTTCCACTTCCTCCTACATGTCGTCCAGGAATAGGCGAGCCTTTCCTATTGCGTCGATTACGAAAATTTGTTCCGCCTCTTTTAAATTCGCCTGATAACCTTTGACTTCCTTCACCCTGAGTCAACTCCCCAACCATGTCCTCGTCATCCAGAAAGGCTTTAAGCTTGTTATCATTAATATTTCGATTGTTTATGTGACGACCTGTTTTGAAAGTTACACGTTTGATCTCAGTTTTATTTCCACCACTTCGATCATCGTGTTCTAAAGAAGAGAAGTGTAAATGTATTAAAGTATTTTTATTTTTTAACAAACTGGATCTGCTCGTTTTATTAGCAGCTAATCAAGTAAATTTTCTTTTGTTATGAAATAATTCCTTACCCGACTGAAATCTATCACTGTAGTAATTGTATCGATTTCCTCCACGAAATTTACCACCGCCACGTCGCTGCATCATTATAAGCTCACTGGTTGTATTATAATTAAACACAAATTTATTTTTATTTAATATAAAAACGCGTTGCAAATTTTTTAAGTTGGACTATTTACGTTGCTGCTTTCTTGATTTCTTTAAAATATAGTTTGCATACAGTAGCACGGAACAAGTTTTAAAAGTTAATATTCCTTTTTATTATTATCAAAAAATAACTTAATAAATTTTATATTTTCGAGGAATTTTTAGAAGAAATTGCAGGGAACGTCGATGTTCAGTCAACAATGTTTCAACAACGTCTGAGTTTGTCCGGGATACTAATTTGTAGGGTTTTTTGAATTGGTTGAATTTTTAAACAGCAGAGGGCGCAATATAAAAACATTGTCAACTGAAATTTTTGCCGCTAAATCAATTATAGCAAATTTCTTGAATTTATCAATTAATTTAACATCAAAAAATACAAAAATCAACCAAAATGGAGCAAAATTTATCGACTGTTCAACTGAATCTGAATAGAGTCAACGAGAATGGTAAGAAATACGAAAAAAAATGAGTTTGTAATAAAATCTATTGTCTCTTTTGTTTTGAATTTCTATTGTAGCATTAGTTTCAACTAAAATCGCAATGGAAGCAACTCCACGAAAAATACCTTTTAGAGATAATACAAATAAAACATCTGAGTTACAAAAATCAGCCGTGAAGTCTAAAAGTACATCAGATTTTGCGTCACCTCAGAAAAAACAGTTGGCGCTAGATGACTTAGATGACTTTGGTGTTGACTTTGAGTTTCCAAGTGATAAAGATTGCTTCTGCTGCGGTAAAGATCATCGTTGTAAGTATATATAAATTTCCGTTTTTAAAAATTATTAAAAAGATAAATTTTTTTAGCTCTTGGTGAAATATGGGGCGAAGGGTTGGCACTAAGCGAGGAATTTTTGGATCGAATGGCGTCAATGGACGATAAAATTCCTTATGACGATGAAGACAGATCAGTGAGCCCAGAACCTGAGATTAAGTTTCTAGACATTATTGAGTCAGATGTTGAATCAGTACATGAAATGAAAATTCCTTTTGATGAATCTCTTTACACAACTGCTGTTGATTTTGATGATGGTTGTTTAGATGTATCTAAACATCAAGCATCTGATGTCAATTCAAGTTTGGTTATTCCTGAAATGGATTTGGAATCTAATAATGGCGATAGTTTAGATTCATCTTTAGATTCCAGTTTGGTTATTCCTGAAATGGATTTGGAATCTGATAATGGTGATAGTTTAGATTCATCTTTAGATTCCAGTTTTGAAATTCCTGAAATCAATTTCGAATCGGATTATGAAGATAACTCGATTATCTCTCATTGGTAAATTCAACGGCAGCAACGCACATCTAAAAAGTAATTTTATCTCATAAATCAGAAATAAGCGGTGATAAAACTATTCTTGATTCATGATTTCATATTTCATATACGTTTCTTTCATAATATTTAATATCCATGTGTATAGTTTGTCTTTCTATTTTCTTCTTGCTACAAAGAGCAGATTTATTCATAATCCTATCATTAATTATAATTCTTTTTATTATTTATGAACGTGTCATGCACTTAAGGCCTGAAAATGCTTTGAAAAAATATTAATAAACGACACAGATAAAGTCAAGTAAAATGTTGTTGATGTAGATAAGAAAAGTTAAATTTAATTATTATTCAGAGTCAAGTCAACTTTGTAATAAATTTAATGAAACAATAAAAGAAGTCAAGGAATATTCGTTTTCAAAGAAAGTTTTCCTTAAATTATGTAAAAAAGAATTATTACAAAACATTTAAATGTTCAACAGAAAGATGAACGAAGCACTTGAAACTTTGACAATGCCAGAAAATTGCGAAAAATAAAATTGCGTCAGCTAAATTCTACTTCAAATATTTCTTTGTAAGAGCGATGAAACTGCATTGGAAGCCTTTGTACTTACGTGTACCATCGACACCTTTAAATGCAAAAGCCTTCACTGCAGTTCCGTCGCTCTTACAAAGAAATAATTAAAGTAGAACTTATCTGGCGCAATTTTATTTTTCGCAATTTTCTGGCATTCTCGAAACTTTTATAAATCTTCATTGAATTTTTAAACCCCACCAAGTGTACTTAAAAGCTTACGATGAAATTACAGGGAATTGAACAACGATATTAAATAAGCATCGTGTACCGTTTCATTCAATTATCAAGATAAAGAATTTAAATAAGATAATATTTTCCCTCGTCTATTAATTTTTCAGGATGGAAAATTTAAAGTGAACATAATTTTCATCATTTCAAAAGAATTTAAATTTTTCACAAAACTCGTTATTGAATTTATTGCTTCTCTTGTTACATATTTCCATTTAAAATTTCTCTTTGTAAAGTGTTCATAGCTTCATCGCGTTTTCACGAAGAATTTTTTGTTAATTCTTTCGATGTTTCCATCAGAAAATCAAATTCTTCGATTTTTTAAAATTTTTATGGTTGGAAATTTTTGTTCTCATCATAAAATGAAATGAGAAGCATTAAAATGTTTTTTGTTGATAAATATTGGCTTTAATTTGATCAGTTTATTCAGCCATCCCAAGCTCAATTTAATGAGGGTTTGAGGTAATCTCCAAACTTTTATGTTAGAAATTATTCCAATTAATTTGAGCTTTGGGCGAATTTGGAGAAGATTCTTGTGGTTAAAGCGGTGTTGTGTGAGTGATTTATTTGATTAATTAAGTCTTTACACATGATGAACTAAACTTTTTTCATCTCTTCCGTACCAAATAAAGAAATGAGAAAATTTTGAGATATTTTTCGAATCTTCTTTAACTTCACAAGCAATTTATATCTCAGCTAAGGTATTTTCAGAATCATAAGCCACAACAATTTAGAGTCAAGTTTTCACATAAAAGCACTGTGTACAGTAATTTGAGCTTCTGAATTATCACGATAAAAGCTTTGAGGACGTACATTCGTTTAAGAACCTACATCCATTAAATGAGACATAAATTTTGAATTCTGAAACATTCAGATGATGGCCAGAAAACGTGTTCTCAGTATTTTTCCATTTTTTTTTTACCTTCGACCCGTTTCTTTCTTTTTTTTTGTATTCGTTTACTCGTTCACCTTTTTTTTTGTTGTTTGTATGATTTTGCAAAACTATAAACGATTGTTACCGTGTGTCTTTATGTTCACTTCTAAATCGGGGGAATGTTTGGAAAGGTTTGCGTTATAAATTTCAACGATCGTTGTTGGTAGGGCGGGGGCAGTGAGGGTTTCAAGAGATTCTTTAAGAGACAGGAAATGAAGGTGATAAGCAAAGCGGAAACAACAAATCTCTTCTCATAAGCTCAGGTGTTAGATCAACTGACATTTGCAGGATTACAGTCGAAAATTTGGAAGAAGATTCCGCCGCTTATCAAAAAGCTCATTTCACGAGAAACAAATTTTATTATACCGTCGAGTGTCGTCGTCATTGCTTTCATCGTGTTTGTTATTTTATGCACATCAGGATTTGATGGTTGGACAGTAAAATGGGTCGCAACCTAAAAGAATTTCTGAAATTTCGAAACTCAAAGCTTGACGATGAAAATTTGAAATGAAAAACTTTTCTTCTTCTTATTTCGTTTCGCCAGAAGGCACAAATGTGAAGAATCTCATCAGCTGCTTTTAAGCTAATAGGCTTGCAAAGTTTTTCTTTACTACTAGACAGCTAAAGAAAAAAGAATGTTCAACATCAATCATGTTGAGCGACATAGAGTCGACATAACGGATTTATGTTTTCACACTTCGTTGGATAAATTTTCTGGTGAATAAAATCAAGCAAAAAAATTCTTAACAACTTGAGTGGGCAATTTAATCTCAACTATCAATTCTACTTAATCGACACAGTTTTTCTTTTTCATTCACACCGAAACATTTGCGTTATGAGTTAATGTCGGAAATCTTTTGTTTTCGATTAATGGAAATTGAATCTGCATTCAAAGCCATGATGTAGGCTTGCAAATTCATTCATTCATACAACATTTATTTCATCATTCGTCATTCTAACATCTTCAAAATTGTAATTGAGTGATTGCACAACAGGAAGCTAATCTCTTTTCCACTCGACTAAGCGTCCCATAAAACTTCTTTGGCATGAATTATTCAAAAGTATTTTACACTCATCGCTTGAAGAGACGAAACAATTCTCAGATAAATCATATATTTGACAAATTTGAAGAAAAAATGAAAAATTCATGAGCGGAAAAAAGATGTTCAGACTTGCAACAGTAAAGTTCGAACACACGGGAGCCTTAATCAACCCAAAACGAACAAAAAATGATGGAAGAAAAAGAAAATTTATTTATTTCAAGCCCTACCAACACAAACAATCACACACACACACACAATTGTTGCTCAACCTCAACCACTTCCCACATCGTTTTTTCATTTCCTTTTTCGAGTACGTGTACTTTTTACTTCATCCGTTTTACATTAAGGATTCAATTTTTTTTTCGTCTTACGCAAACGAGAAACTTTTATTCCTTCACTCATATGATAAAGGATAGAAAAACTTTTTTTTGAAACGATTTTTACAAGATTCATCGAGATATTTACATGGAAATGGCAAATAAATTCGAGCATTTTATATGATTGCATCAAGTGGCAAGTTAAAGTTTACGTAACATGTTTAATAATCCAATTCTCAAATATTAACTTTTCTTAAAGTTTAAATATACCTAACGAGTTGTTGTAGCTTGATGTTGAAACTTTCAACCCTAAGGCTATGTGAACTGGAATAGGAGGAAGAAGCTTTTCCTGTCATTCCTTTGAAGATGAGGTTAGTGTTTAAATCTCGGTTTAAACTTTAAAACCTTTTTCTGTTTTTGTTAATTGAAAGTTTGTTCGTGAATTGAGCCTGCGGTTTATTAAAAGAATATCCTTTTTCAAAGTTTTCTTCATTCGATTCTAAGAATGATTGTTATTGTTATTATTAGACAACCTTTTATTTTATATCCTTTGCCATTAGCAACAGTTTTTGTTTTCATTAAATAGATATTTAACATTTGCCATTAGCAATAACTTTTGTTTTCATTACACTTCTTCTAACATTTGATAAAATCAAAAATTCCTTCATTTTAATAATAGTTTAAATTTTCCCGCGTGAATATTTGAATCAAGAAATCCAGCAGATGGCGTAAAATATGAAACGCAAGCGCCCCTCGTGTTCATAAGATTTCAGAAAACATAACACAATCTCTTAGACGTTCCTCAAAAATAATTGTAATTCTGATGGAAGCGGTGCTTTGTTAGTGTTTAGAAGCAAATACCGGGTTGAATAAAAGACTTTTTATATCAAGGAAAGTGTTTAAATACTCGAAAAAATACAGTGAATGTAATATTTCAACAAAAAAGGAAATTGCATTTATCATTAACTGAGTATAACAACAAATCCATTAAAGGACATAATTTACTTGAAAAGGATTACATTCGAGCAGTGAAATATTACTTGACATCATCAGAAGACGATTTGATTTGAAATATGTGAGTAGATCGTGATACTGTGAACCGTGGAATTTTTCTTTCTCATGTTATCAAATTTCGCAATAAACATTATCAAATTCCTTCAATGAAAACTTGTAAACGAGTCTTATCATAGTAAAAACTCCTGTAGAACTTCCATGTGCATAGTAAAAAATAAAGTCGACCAGGTGAACACGTCTTGTTATTATTTAAATTGTGTACGATCCATTAGAAAATATTTCGCGTGGGCACAAGATGTGAAATCAGTTTTAATTTTATGTTTTTATGTCTTATGATCGAAGCGAAGACTTTCTTGTATTTATAACGACTTCAACATGTAACGAAGGCCAAACGTGGAGAAGATATCTCCGCATTTCATATAGGATAAGTGCTTAAAGCGAAAAGAACGAGAATGAAGGAAATGCGTAAGAAATAAGTCGAAGAAGACGATGGTAATGCTTAAGAAAAAGGTCTCTGAAAATGAGAAAGAATAAATCGTAAAATCCCTCGATCTTTTCATTGTTGTTGAGTCTTTATGTCCGTCGATTTATAACACTTTATTGCTTTGCCTTCTTTTTTCATCCTCTTAAAAAACTATCGCACAACAACTTCATATTAAGAAGCCACACGCCTTTTTTGATATTAAAAATCGAAAAACTTTTGCTTTCAATAAAAAGAAGATAAAAAAAAATAAAACTTCGGAGTCGAGCATTATTAGAACTGATACTACTATCAATTTCAACCATGGAATTTTATTGATGAAGAAAATTATGCAAATAAATCAATCAATTTCAATTGAATGCCTGCGAGAGTTTCATACAGTTTTATTGTCGACTTAAAAGCGAAGCCGTCTATGAAAAAGCGTAGAATTTTAGAGAAGAATATAAATAAATGAATTTCAGCATAAAAGTCAAAATAACTTTCGAGCTAGCGTGGGTTACCCACTGATAAGAGATAGCAATTTGTTGGAATCAATATGGAGTCTTTAGGTGACGTTGATTGAGTGTCGCGTTATTATATTATATAGTATTGACAGTGAAAGAAAATGAGCTTTGTCAGCAGCACATATGTTTGGGGGCGAGGGTGGGCGTCAGCAGATCATTAGTCAAATTTATGTGGAATGCTCTCATATTTCCTTTTGCACAATTTTCCTTTTTAGAAAGTTAACAGTGGAAAAAAAAGAAAAATAAAAATCCATACAAACAAAATGATTAAAAATTCATTCACGCCAAAAACATCTGCACATGAAATCGAAAAGAGAAGAAAGTTTATTTTTAAAGAACGGCGCACTTTTAACTCATACTTGAAAGAGAATATTTTGCACAAATAAAGTCATTAATTATGATATTGCTCTAAACAGAACAGAGTTGCGGATTTGTTTGCCACTTTAACCGGAAGAAACAACTCATAGACGAGTTATTACTTGCACAATTTTGCAAATGGGGAAATAATTTTCGAATATTTAACTAAGTAGATTCCTAAAACGGTAATCTATAAGCGGAAAAGGCGAAAATTTCAAAACAAAATAATGAAAAGCCCCAGAGACCGCTGAAGCACATTAATTTACGACCAAAGTTCCAATAAATACTTCACACAAATTCTGGCTATTCTCTCGCCGCGTTGTGTTAGAGATTGTAAATAATTCTGATCTTAACATCTCGAGTGTGACCAGTCCAGTGTGACTGAGTTCCGAAATCTGCCATAATTTATGTTATCTGAATTCATATTTTCACAATAATTTTCTGTTTCTTTCATCTTTCGCCGTACGTACGATGATGCCGTTTGTTTAGTTTAAAGCAGTTGGTTTCCTGACATCATCTTCACGCTGACCAAAACTTAATAGCTAGTCAGTCAGTGGACTAACAAAACAACACATAAAAAGATTTCATTCACGGAATAAGTTTTCTATTTGCTTCTCGAGTCCATCACTCTTGTATCGGTAGAACAATATTGACATTTGTTTTCGAGTAAAAGCATTCGGTTTGAGATCTGCGAACACAACCACAAAAACTTCTTCTTTGTTAATTTGTCCAGCAAATAATTTTCGTGTTTTTATGCTCGAACATTTATTTAACTTCAATAAATTTAAGTCCAACACTTGAAGTCGTTAGAGACAGAGATTGAAAAAGATCCCAAATGCTCCACACTAATGTTTCTCGACATGATTGATGGCAATGGAAATTGTGAATCTCCACCATTTGCTTCGTTTATCAGTAAAATGTGGAGTTGAGTAAAGAAAAATTTTGTTTGCTGAAAGGCAATTTAATTGCAGTTGGAAATAAAAACAAACAAAATTTTCTTCACTTTTGTGCCTTCTGGCGAAACGAAATAAGAAGAAGAAAAGTTTTTCATTTCAAGTTTTCATCGTCAAGCTTTGAGTTTCGAAATTTCAGAAATTCTTTTAAGTTGCGACCCATTTTACTGTCCAACCATCAAATCCTGATGTGCATAAAATAACAAACACGATGAAAGCAATGACGACGACACTCGACGGTATAATAAAATTTGTTTCTCGTGAAATGAGCTTTTTGATAAGCGGCGGAATCTTCTTCCAAATTTTCGACTGTAATCCTGCAAATGTCAGTTGATCTAACACCTGAGCTTATGAGAAGAGATTTGTTGTTTCCGCTTTGCTTATCACCTTCATTTCCTGTCTCTTAAAGAATCTCTTGAAACCCTCACTGCCCCCGCCCTACCAACAACGATCGTTGAAATTTATAACGCAAAACTTTCCAAACATTCCCCCGATTTAGAAGTGAACATAAAGACACACGGTAACAATCGTTTAAAGTTCTGCAAAATCATACAAACAACAAAAAAAAAAGGTGAACGAGTAAACGAATACAAAAAAAAAGAAAGAAACGGGTCGAAGGTAAAAAAAAAATGGAAAAATACTGAGAACACGTTTTCTGGCCATCATCTGAATGTTTCAGAATTCAAAATTTATGTCTCATTTAATGGATGTAGATCTATGAACGCAAATGTTCTTGATAGACTCTGATGACAGTGATGATGATAATAACATTTCATTTCTTTGTCCTTTTTCTCATTATTTAGGCTCATTTTATGTTGTTTACATGAAGAATATTAAATTTAGCCGATAAAAATGCTTTCAAAAATTATCAANTTCAAATTTGTCAAATATATGATTTATCTGAGAATTGTTTCGTCTCTTCAAGCGATGAGTGTAAAATACTTTTGAATAATTCATGCCAAAGAAGTTTTATGGGACGCTTAGTCGAGTGGAAAAGAGATTAGCTTCCTGTTGTGCAATCACTCAATTACAATTTTGAAGATGTTAGAATGACGAATGATGAAATAAATGTTGTATGAATGAATGAATTTGCAAGCCTACATCATGGCTTTGAATGCAGATTCAATTTCCATTAATCGAAAACAAAAGATTTCCGACATTAACTCATAACGCAAATGTTTCGGTGTGAATGAAAAAGAAAAACTGTGTCGATTAAGTAGAATTGATAGTTGAGATTAAATTGCCCACTCAAGTTGTTAAGAATTTTTTTGCTTGATTTTATTCACCAGAAAATTTATCCAACGAAGTGTGAAAACATAAATCCGTTATGTCGACTCTATGTCGCTCAACATGATTGATGTTGAACATTCTTTTTTCTTTAGCTGTCTAGTAGTAAAGAAAAACTTTGCAAGCCTATTAGCTTAAAAGCAGCTGATGAGATTCTTCACATTTGTGCCTTCTGGCGAAACGAAATAAGAAGAAAAGTTTTCATTTCAAATTTTCTTCGTCAAGCTTTGAGTTTCGAAACTTCAGAAATTCTTTTAAGTTGCGACCCATTTTACTGTCCAACCATCAAATCCTGATGTGCATAAAATAACAAACACGATGAAAGCAATGACGACGACACTCGACGGTATAATAAAATTTGTTTCTCGTGAAATGAGCTTTTTGATAAGCGGCGGAATCTTCTTCCAAATTTTCGACTGTAATCCTGCAAATGTCAGTTGATCTAACACCTGAGCTTATGAGAAGAGATTTGTTGTTTCCGCTTTGCTTATCACCTTCATTCCCTGTCTCTTAAAGAATCTCTTGAAACCCTCACTGCCCCCGCCCTACCAACAACGATCGTTGAAATTTATAACGCAAACCTTTCCAAACATTCCCCCGATTTAGAAGTGAACATAAAGACACACGGTAACAATCGTTTATAGTTTTGCAAAATCATACAAACAACAAAAAAAAAGGTGAACGAGTAAACGAATACAAAAGAAAGAAACGGGTCGAAGGTAAAAAAAAATGGAAAAATACTGAGAACACGTTTTCTGGCCATCATCTGAATGTTTCAGAATTCAAAATTTATGTCTCATTTAATGGATGTAGGTTCTTAAACGAATGTACGTCCTCAAAGCTTTTATCGTGATAATTCAGAAGCTCAAATTACTGTACACAGTGCTTTTATGTGAAAACTTGACTCTAAATTGTTGTGGCTTATGATTCTGAAAATACCTTAGCTGAGATATAAATTGCTTGTGAAGTTAAAGAAGATTCGAAAAATATCTCAAAATTTTCTCATTTTTTTATTTGGTACGGAAGAGATGAAAAAAGTTTAGTTCATCATGTGTAAAGACTTAATTAATCAAATAAATCACTCACACAACACCGCTTTAACCACAAGAATCTTCTCCAAATTCGCCCAAAGCTCAAATTAATTGGAATAATTTCTAACATAAAAGTTTGGAGATTACCTCAAACCCTCATTAAATTGAGCTTGGGATGGCTGAATAAACTGATCAAATTAAAGCCAATATTTATCAACAAAAAACATTTTAATGCTTCTCATTTCATTTTATGATGAGAACAAAAATTTCCAACCATAAAAATTTTAAAAAATCGAAGAATTTGATTTTCTGATGGAAACATCGAAAGAATTAACAAAAAATTCTTCGTGAAAACGCGATGAAGCTATGAACACTTTACAAAGAGAAATTTTAAATGGAAATATGTAACAAGAGAAGCAATAAATTCAATAACGAGTTTTGTGAAAAATTTAAATTCTTTTGAAATGATGAAAATTATGTTCACTTTAAATTTTCCATCCTGAAAAATTAATAGACGAGGGAAAATATTATCTTATTTAAATTCTTTATCTTGATAATTGAATGAAACGGTACCCCGAGCGGCACAAAAGGGCGATATCTCACACAAATCTGTCATACGAGTATCGTCTCCATTTAATGGGAAGGCTTTCCTTTAGAATCCGCCATCTGAAAGACATTTGGCTAAAAACTACTGGCTATCGCCTAATTCTATCACCTTAAGTTAGTTATGTGTTGGACTAGTGAAGAATTTCTTAAGCTGCCTTATGGTAGCCTTATTTAGAGTTAATGGCATGTGGGGAAGCACCATAGCGTCAACTGTTAGTGCTAAATTGATACCTCGGTTATTTTCGCTGATTTCTGAAGGAAAAGCCAAAGGAAGTGCCAACTAAAAATCGTCGTAGTGCAAACGTATGCCTCCAGCACGGCGAGTGTGTGCCGCTCGGGTACACGATGCTTATTTAATATCGTTGTTCAATTCCCTGTAATTTCATCGTAAGCTTTTAAGTACACTTGGTGGGGTTTAAAAATTCAATGAAGATTTATAAAAGTTTCGAGAATGCCAGAAAATTGCGAAAAATAAAATTGCGCCAGATAAGTTCTACTTTAATTATTTCTTTGTAAGAGCGACGGAACTGCAGTGAAGGCTTTTGCATTTAAAGGTGTCGATGGTACACGTAAGTACAAAGGCTTCCAATGCAGTTTCATCGCTCTTACAAAGAAATATTTGAAGTAGAATTTAGCTGACGCAATTTTATTTTTCGCAATTTTCTGGCATTGTCAAAGTTTCAAGTGCTTCGTTCATCTTTCTGTTGAACATTTAAATGTTTTGTAATAATTCTTTTTTACATAATTTAAGGAAAACTTTCTTTGAAAACGAATATTCCTTGACTTCTTTTATTGTTTCATTAAATTTATTACAAAGTTGACTTGACTCTGAATAATAATTAAATTTAACTTTTCTTATCTACATCAACAACATTTTACTTGACTTTATCTGTGTCGTTTATTAATATTTTTTCAAAGCATTTTCAGGCCTTAAGTGCATGACACGTTCATAAATAATAAAAAGAATTATAATTAATGATAGGATTATGAATAAATCTGCTCTTTGTAGCAAGAAGAAAATAGAAAGACAAACTATACACATGGATATTAAATATTATGAAAGAAACGTATATGAAATATGAAATCATGAATCAAGAATAGTTTTATCACCGCTTATTTCTGATTTATGAGATAAAATTACTTTTTAGATGTGCGTTGCTGCCGTTGAATTTACCAATGAGAGATAATCGAGTTATCTTCATAATCCGATTCGAAATTGATTTCAGGAATTTCAAAACTGGAATCTAAAGATGAATCTAAACTATCACCATTATCAGATTCCAAATCCATTTCAGGAATAACCAAACTGGAATCTAAAGATGAATCTAAACTATCGCCATTATTAGATTCCAAATCCATTTCAGGAATAACCAAACTTGAATTGACATCAGATGCTTGATGTTTAGATACATCTAAACAACCATCATCAAAATCAACAGCAGTTGTGTAAAGAGATTCATCAAAAGGAATTTTCATTTCNTTTCCGACATTAACTCATAACGCAAATGTTTCGGTGTGAATGAAAAAGAAAAACTGTGTCGATTAAGTAGAATTGATAGTTGAGATTAAATTGCCCACTCAAGTTGTTAAGAATTTTTTTGCTTGATTTTATTCACCAGAAAATTTATCCAACGAAGTGTGAAAACATAAATCCGTTATGTCGACTCTATGTCGCTCAACATGATTGATGTTGAACATTCTTTTTTCTTTAGCTGTCTAGTAGTAAAGAAAAACTTTGCAAGCCTATTAGCTTAAAAGCAGCTGATGAGATTCTTCACATTTGTGCCTTCTGGCGAAACGAAATAAGAAGAAGAAAAGTTTTTCATTTCAAATTTTCATCGTCAAGCTTTGAGTTTCGAAATTTCAGAAATTCTTTTAAGTTGCGACCCATTTTACTGTCCAACCATCAAATCCTGATGTGCATAAAATAACAAACACGATGAAAGCAATGACGACGACACTCGACGGTATAATAAAATTTGTTTCTCGTGAAATGAGCTTTTTGATAAGCGGCGGAATCTTCTTCCAAATTTTCGACTGTAATCCTGCAAATGTCAGTTGATCTAACACCTGAGCTTATGAGAAGAGATTTGTTGTTTCCGCTTTGCTTATCACCTTCATTTCCTGTCTCTTAAAGAATCTCTTGAAACCCTCACTGCCCCCGCCCTACCAACAACGATCGTTGAAATTTATAACGCAAAACTTTCCAAACATTCCCCCGATTTAGAAGTGAACATAAAGACACACGGTAACAATCGTTTAAAGTTCTGCAAAATCATACAAACAACAAAAAAAAAAGGTGAACGAGTAAACGAATACAAAAAAAAAGAAAGAAACGGGTCGAAGGTAAAAAAAAATGGAAAAATACTGAGAACACGTTTTCTGGCCATCATCTGAATGTTTCAGAATTCAAAATTTATGTCTCATTTAATGGATGTAGATCTATGAACGCAAATGTTCTTGATAGACTCTGATGACAGTGATGATGATAATAACATTTCATTTCTTTGTCCTTTTTCTCATTATTTAGGCTCATTTTATGTTGTTTACATGAAGAATATTAAATTTAGCCGATAAAAATGCTTTCAAAAATTATCAAAGATGAGACAATTTAAAGATGTTTGTGTGGATTCATGTAGATAACAAGAATTATTCTTTGCTTTTGAAAGATTAGAGAAAGGAACGGAAGAGAAAAGATTAAATTAATTCCTTTTTTATTAAGGAAAAGAAATTCTTGTCTTGTATGTCAAAAGAAAGAATTCCAAAACGAACACTCGGTTCATGTTTAAGAACGTATCAACAAAAGAATTTCATTTTTATTATTATGGAAAGCTAGAAGAAAAATATTCAGTGACATGAAACAACTTTCATCCTCCATGTTGTTTATTCGCAATGACATCTGAAGCTTAGCGCTGCTTAAATAGAATGCGAGTTGCTACTGTTTAAAATCAAATTTCTTCTTTTTTTTATTGCACGACTAACTCCAAGAATTTCATAGAGAAAACTTAAAGGGAAATAAATTTTCTACGTTTCATGCTATGACTGAAAGTGAAGGGAAAGAAAACTTAAATACTTATATGTGTTGTGAGTGAGTAGCAAGAAAACGATTTTAAACATTAATGAACATAAGCACAACTGTTCAGATGTTTACCTTAACTAAAGCATGAAAGTATTGAAAGCAGCCACAATTTTTACCGTCAAATTTCCTCTTGAAAAGCGTAACGCCACACGATTGTGAAACACGATATCAGGCAACGAGAATGCATGAAAATTGGCTGCTGATTTCCTCACAACTCTTCACTGATAGCATCAAATATCCGAGCATAACCTGTTTGTGATATTCGATTCCATACAACAACTGTTGGTTGGCGACTGCTGACTACCGTAATAAACAACAAAACTATTAAATTATATATTTCAAGGGAAAAATTATGAAGTGTGTTGAGCCTAATTATCTTAAGCTTTACATAAATTAAATGGAGAAGCGTTCACGAATGAAAACGAAAATAAGATTAAGAGGCGCAAGACAATATTGAAAGAATTTATATTTTATGACTTTCAACTTCCTCTTGTGATGTTTCATTTTGGAACTTTACGGTTCCGTTTTCCATACATGAATGCTGTTAAACGTTTTAATGTATTCGACGTGATGAAGTTAAAGTCAAGCCAACCAGGTAAAGGCAAACATTATGTTCGAAACCATAAAGATTCGTGAAAAGGTATAAAAAGTGAGAACAAGGAAAAGGTTAACAAAAAACGTAAAGGCATGATTTAGCTTTTTAGATGAGGTAACTTGGGACGGATGGTTAAAGGAATTGACAGTCCCTTGGCGACTTTTATCATTCTTTTCAAAAGCCTTCAAGCGAAATGAGTTTGTTGGTCAAATGTTCAGTGTCGAGGGAGAAAATGACCGAGTTAATCTTTACAAAAAGAGAAAGAACGACAAGCATGAACCTTTAACAGATCCCAAATGAAAAAAATAAAAACATTTCTTATGTTCAATTCTCGAGAGTCTTAAACGAAGTCAAGTGAAGACAAGACAAGTTCGTGAATGATTTATTACATAAAATTGTTGTTAGCAATTATCTGCTTACTGTTTAATGAATAATTAAAAATTTATCCCATGACTCTCAACGGTATCGTAAAAGTTTTATTTCCTTTTTCTTCACATGTTAAGAAAGACAAACTTTGTGACATTGTAAGATTGTAGGAAAAGGATTTTTAATCGACAAACATTATTCAAGTTGTTGACGATAATTTTGAGTCATTTCTTTTATCAATTGAATGAAATCCGCGCAATGGAATTTAAACAAACTTCAACTATGCGTCTGGCTTTTCATTCTATTTATCAGACACAACAATCATCGTTGCGTCTTAATTTACTTTTGCTATGTATGTCGAGTGAACATTACAAACAAACTTCTCACCAGATCCGTTTTCATTCATTCTTTCATTTGTATGTACATGTTTATGTTACAATGTTTCATGTTTTGTACTACGGTTATCCCCAAAGGGAGAAAATTAATGAAAAAAGAAGGAAAACTGTTAATCAAAAGTGTAGAAAAAAAAATTAAAATAAACACAACATGATTTATAGCGAAAAATGAGAATCATCGAGTTCGTTTAATGTATTATGAGAACGACGGGGGAGGAAAGAAAAATTCTGTTAGAGAATTTATTTATTCTGACAGTAACATTATGAGGAGTGCATGAAAGGAACTGCGTAACCCATTTTGATAGCTTTAAAATTAATAGCTTGTGACTTGAGAACTGTTGACATTTTGTTCTGTTGTTGTACAATAATTATAAAAACATATGGCGACAAATAATTGGATATGGTGATGGAATATGGGGAAATCAAGTCACACGTCGCTGTATGTACAAACATAAATACTTTCATACGGCGAAGAGCCGAAGGAAAGAACAAAAGCTATAAACGTTTGAGCGAGACATAAAAGTCGCACATAAATTTGGCTTTCGGTTCCCCTGTGTCATCTTAATTCTGAATATTTTCTCAAATATTTACTTTGTCGCTTGTTATTCTTCTTCGTCTTGCTTTCCTGGAGATGTTGAACAAAAATAAAATTAAAATTATCCACCAACGCGCTTAAAAAATCATCGGGAGGTAAATATAATGAAATTCAAAAAAGAGGTAATCGTCATCAAATCATTAAGCGAATATTTGGGACCAGATGAAATTTAGATATTTACTTATACACACACAATTAAAACGGAAAAGTTCCCTTAAAGATATTTTTCATTTCAAGAAATTTGAGTAAAATCAAAAGCAATCAAAATAAAAATGAAAATGCGGCATTGCCTGATTTCCATGATTTCCATCTCAATGTTATTGATTTTTTTCCCTTTTATTGTGCTGTGCTCACAACCATCATTGAATTTTTTTCGATTAAACATTCAAAAGCGCGGATTTTTGGCTGTTGATGATAAGCGAAAGAAGTTTTACGAAATAAATTTATTTATTATAATGACAGGTTTGGAAATCTTTTAAATAAACAGAATTGAAAATGGTAGATATTAGAGGGAAGTATATTTGTCATTGTCAACAAACGATTTAAAGCATTACTACCAATCCTGGCTATAATAAATTTTAATTTCAATTAAGTAAATGGTTGAGTGTCAATCTCACTTTGTAGATAACTTCAAGTGATTTTGTTTGAGAAATGCTTTTTAATCTGGAATGTTTACTTCTTCTTTAAATATTTAAGTGATTGCTTTGCTTTATTTCTGGCTTTGTTAAAATTAATGAACAGAAATAAAAGTCAACTTTAATGTCAATGGCCTGAAATAGAACAAACACAATACAAGCAAGCGAATGAAAAGTTTTCTGTTTTAAATATCAGAATTGCAAATGAGATGAACGATATCAAAATTTAGCTTCATTGGTTTTAAGCAGTCGATAACAGGGATCGGAGTTTCTACTTGGTTGGTCATTTCAATGCTAATTGAAGCATTTAATGAGATTTCCTGAAAAATAATTCCCACTCCTGATGAAGCTACTTAAATCTATATTCATGACCATAAACATTTCTGACATTGTTTCGCAATTGATAGTTTCCGTAGATTGGAAATCGCTTTCAAAGGTATCCAAAAAAAACCATGAAAAAGTGAATGTAAATTGAAACTAATTGAATTAGTTTGTTAGTAGTTCGGTAAATTAATGAAATTTATTGACAAAAGGATTTTCCCGTAACGAAGTAGAACAAGAGAGCGTTGTCAAAGTCAAATGTTAATGAAGCTTCGACAGGGAAATGTAATTATAGCAAAAATTTATGAATTTTCAACAAATTCGAGAAGCTTTTTTCAACGAGTTTTCATGTTATTAAATTTAATTCCGTTTTTATCTACCATCCACCTACTATCGCCACTAAATAAAACATAATTAATCTCATTAAATTATTTACTGTTTGGTAAATCGATAATCCAACTTAACAAACGATACGTCATGCAACATAACGATTATGATTGTCGATTTCCTTTTCCCTTCTTTTCATTTAGTTATCTAACCAAATGCATTTCCAATAGAGCGTGGGAGTATCAAATGTTAATTTCATTTCTAAAACTTTTATATTATCTCAATTTCGTCTTTTTCTCGCTTGCTTTCAGATAACAACAGACAGCAAACCGATAAAAGGAGAAATCAGAATGAAGTCCATTTATCAATTATCGATGAATCTTCGACGTTGTCTTTAGCAATTGAATGAAGTTAGCGACTCATGTAAGAAGGCAAGAGAATATGGTTTGTGAATCGTCAAAATGTTTGTTCGAGGAGAAATTTCCGGTTCAAAGTGTGTTCACCATCGACAGCTCATTGATCATCCGGCTAATGAAACATGACTTTTGCACCACAGCACTTAATATTGATGAAGAATTTCATCGGAATGGCTTCACTTCACCGGAAAATTTGGAAGCACAGTAAATGGAGAAAAGTGGAAAATGGGAAACCATTGTGATAGTTAGTGGATGAAAAATAAAAGAAAATCAGTGAAAGATAAAAAGTTTAAATTAAAGATAACAGACAGAAGACGAAATAGAGACACAAAGTGAGAGGAAAGACGAAAAAGTAAGAAAATTATCTGTGGTTGAACGGAACGAATAAGAAATTAAAACTTCATTCAGATCACGTTTCACTTTTTGTTGAATTTAAATAAAAAGCTTTTCGTTCTTTATGTTGAATTAAGTTTCATTGCATTCCTTGCTATCCCATCAAGGAATTGTTATTACCAACAGTGTTTTGTGCATAAAACGATTCTTCATAAATACTGGAAGTGAAATTCAAGCTAAATCAAATCAGAAATCAAGCAGTTTTTGTTTCTCTTTCAAAAATCAACTAAAGTTTGTTTATTTACCAACTAAAGACAATTCTCGCTTCATTTTGTTTATTCATGCTAAGTGTAGCTCTTGGCTTGCTAACAAAGCACATCAGAAACTGTTTTAGTTTGTAAAAACATCATAAAAAGAAAATTTTGACAGCGGAAAGTTTCTTGAAAATTTATTAAGTGTGAAAAAAAAGAAGAGATTAAGGAAGTGAATATTGTGAAAGAGACTTCAAGGAAACGGAACTTGTTGTTCTAATCTGACGAGCTTTGATTGAAAGGCGGAAAAGAAGAAAAGAAAATAACAGAAAAAAAAGTTTTTCATGTTAAATTGAGCTGTCAGAGAGTGAAAAGAAAAAAAAGAATCGTGTGAGAGAAATTTGACCTCCTACACGTCATGGCTACTCACAATCATCACACAGAACGCATACCTATGTTGATGAAAAGTTCAACATCAAATGAAAGCTTGTTATCGCAGCTTCCATCACAGCAGCATAAAAATTATGTGATGTCAAATGGTAATAACATAAATGGAATCATCAGCAACAATTATGCGATCAACAACAGTCATTTCATCACGAGATGCTTTTGTCATGTGATGAAAAGCGTTCAAAGAAATATTCAAAAATGCGTTGCTGCACTCGTTCTAATTTCCTTCTTCAGCATAATTTTCTTTACACAATACATGGATAGTCCAGCACTTGTTGGGTAAGTAACAATAATCATAAATCATTCATTTTACTTGCTTAAATACCAAACCCAAATTACATTTGTCATAAATTCAATTTCAATTCAGTTTTAACCGTCACGACCATAATTCTGTGGAATGTGATTTAAATCAAATATTTATAAAGTAAATCACGTTTCAATATGAAGTCTCTACTTATTGATGTCATGTTGTTTTGTTTTATTTTGCTTCAATGATAAGATGTGTGGCTTTACATGCTGTTACATGAATGCCTAAACAATGAAAATCACTTCGAAGTTCGAAGTGAAGTTGATGAAAAGCTTTTAATATCATTGAACTAATCGATGGATTTTCATTCTTTTATTGTCTTCTTTTCCTCGATGTAGATTAATTCGTCGTGATACAAAGCCAATGCCATTAATTCATTGTCAAACATTGAATAAATCACCGTCGGATTCATCAAACACACATGACCATAGGTCAGAGGCGAGATTGAGAATTGATCCGAAGGTTCTTGTTTTCGTTGAGACGACATACAGCAAATTGGGACGGGAGATAGCTGAAGAGCTCGTTTATAATAGAATCAAGTAAGTTATCATGTTATGAGTGTTTGGAACATCCTTTTTATGATAAGAAAACTTTTGCTTTTGAATACAAAAGAAAATTTCACATCAATGGTTGACGAACAAAGAATAAAAAAAATCAATTTCAATGACTTTACATTGTGTCGATGACAACAATTTTCCTTCGAACGAATAACGAATATTCAGAATATTTAATGTGCATGTGTGGGCGGTGATATTGATGTTGTTGAGAACGCTTATGATGTGGCTTATGAGGTCAAAGCGATGCATTCCCAGTTATAGATTGGGAAAGGAAAAAGTTTCTTCAACCAGCACCACATTTGTACTTTGCAGAAATAAATTGGAATTGAAAATGCAATTTCATGGCATCGTGAACACTCAAAAAAGAAAACTACGATATGATGATGATAACAACAAGAACGGAAAATGGTTTTCGTTTTATTGTTGTATTTCAAATGGGTGAAAAATGTCTTTCATAGCGGAAAATTTTTCATTTCCCTTCTCGCCTTTTTTCCCTCTTCAAAATGATTTTTGAACCCTCGCTGTGAACTTTTTACTTCGAGGAGAAGCACTTGAAAGACTTTTCCTTTATATGATTTGCATTTTTGAGTGGGAAATGTTAGATATGATAAAATATTTTTAGCCACTTGAAGAATAAATTGAATTTATCGAAGTAATTTTTCATGGATGAAATGAAGAGTTTTCCAATCAATTTTCCCTCTTACATGGATGGAAAATGTCTGAATTTTCAAGTCATTAGTACAAAGTAATAAAATTAAATGTTTATAGTCAAGACTGACAGATACTTAAAAGCAATTCATCGTCATCATCATCCTTAACAACAAAGAAAAGATTTCCGTCTTATAGTCACTTCGTCGCAACTCATTCATTTTATATTTCACAAAATAATCTTTAAAAGAAAATTAATAAGAAAGCGGCGAGGAAAAGTCGAAATGAAAAGCGGAAGAAGACCAACAACTTGGTAATTTATTTTCTGATGCTTTTCGTCTTTCTCTCTCCCCCCAATTAAGACTCCTTAATTACATTTCCAGTGTTTCTCGTAAAGTGTTTTTCATTCTGTGCTGAATGGGAATCTCGACGGGAAAATGCTCATGAAAAATATAAATTTATTAATTGAGAAAAACGAAAATGGAAGCAACGACGACTAGAATTCAACCTTACTTCATGAGGACGCATAATGAAGAGCTGCTTAAGTGCAACTTTTCACCTTGTTATCATCTGTTGTGGTGATGGCTGTTGATGCTTTTCTTACCGCAGTTTGTATAAAAAAAGAATTTTAACGACTTTTTCTTCTAACATTCCTTTTCCTTTCCATTTTCGCGATTGTTAGAAAAAAAACCAGATGAGGGAAAATTTACACGACAAAAGTTTCGTTGTTGCTTTTATTTTTTTCTTGCTTGCTTGCGTTCATTTATTTGTTCGTTCTGCGAAATCATTAATAATTCAAAACTCATTTTAATGGCAAGCGAAGACAAACTTTTTTTTTCTTTCTTGAAATTTAAGCCTCGATTTCGTCTTTGAAGTTTTCCTTCTTTCATTCTTTTTTTTCTACCGAAACAAATATCGACAACAAGGAAGATGAAACGATTGCTAACAGTTGGTATAACCGACATGCTCAACTGACAAGCTGATGCCACCAAAATGAAGCTAAATTTGATAAAAAGAAAATGAAATTTCCTTCAACTCCAAGCACATCCACTTCAATATTTTGTTATTAATTTTACAATAAGAATAAATTTCGATTCTCAAGTGGTGTCAGAAATTTCTTCGTAATCTTAAATTGCCTCGTATGAATTGAAGCAGCTTGTAGCATTCAAGAACTTGAACTTGTTGCTTCTTGTTATTACTAATGGAGAGAAGAATGTTTCCATTCTCGAGTGTCAAGGTTATTGAAAAACGAAAGAAAGATTAAAGTAAAGCTGAACAAAAAAAGATTTAAATCAGCGTTTTAATGATTTGAAACCATCTGTCAGTGATTGACATCAGGTACATGCTTTGCATTACGAGAACAGAATAACAATAATAATAACAAATGAAATGATTCTTTATTGCTCGTTCTTTCTTCTAAGTCGCTTTTGTTACGATTTCATTAGCCACGGCATGTAGAGAATCTAATTAAGATGAGAATCTTTTAGCATCGGAATGTTAATTTTCATAATCGCATTTGCCGACATTCATTGGTGTGAATTTTAACTCAATTCTATCTTGATAATTAAATAACTTGTTTTATTTCGTTTATTTTGCAGATATAAGGTTGAGGTTGCCGGTAAAAGTTTGCCGGTACTGACAAATCTTGATAAAGGTCGCTATGGTGTGATTGTGTTCGAGAATCTCGACAAATATTTAACGATGGATAAATGGAATCGAGAGCTGTTGGATAAATATTGTCGAGAATATTCAGTTGGCATTGTTGGATTTATGAGTCCCAGTGAAGAGACTTTAGTTGGAGCTCAATTGAAGGGCTTTCCACTTTTCATTCATACTAATTTACGTCTACGTGATGCCAGTTTGAATCCTTCATCGCCTGTATTAAGACTGACGAGAGCGGGTGACACAGCGTGGGGTGCTTTACCTGGAAGTGATTGGGCGGTTTTTCAACACAACGATTCCACTTATGAACCTCTCGAGTTTGCACAAAAAAATACTCTTGACTATCCCACTGATGGTATTCAACCGCCATTAACAACCGTTCTTCAAGATCATGGAAAGTTGGACGGAATTCAAAGAATTTTCTTCGGTGCTGGTCTGAAATTTTGGCTTCATCGACTCCTCTTTCTCGATGCACTTTCCTATCTTAGTCATGGTCAATTAAGTGTAAGCCTCAATCGAATGATTCTCGTTGATATTGATGACATTTTTGTTGGCGAACGTGGAACGAGACTTAAGCCAGACGATGTTCATGCACTTATAGCGACACAAAAGCGTATCGGTGATTTAGTGCCCGGATTTCGTTTTAATCTCGGCTTTTCCGGGAAATATTTTCACCATGGAACTAAAGAGGAGAATCTAGGTGATGATATGTTACTTCGTAACACCGACAAGTTCACTTGGTTTAGTCACATGTGGAATCATCAACAACCGCATTTATATGACAACTTAACACTTCTCATGAATGATATGATTCTCAATAAGGATTTTGCAATTGCAAGAGGCATTCCATTAGACTCAGGATATTCTGTATCACCTCATCATAGCGGCGTTTATCCCGCCCACGAGTTACTTTATCAAGCATGGAAGAAAGTTTGGAACATAAAAGTTACATCGACTGAAGAATATCCACATTTACGACCAGCCCGTCTTCGTCGCGGCTTTATACACCGCAACATCATGGTGCTGCCTCGACAAACTTGTGGTTTATTTACACACACAATGTACATTGGTGAGTTAATTTTATTTTCTTGATTTTGTTGTGAAAGGTAAAAATTAATGTTGAAGGGTGAGATGAAAAATATCGGAAAAGAAATCTACGAAAGTGATAGAAAAATTTCGAAGATTTTCTCTTCGTCATTTCATTCCTCACATTTCTTAACATTTTATTTACGATGACGATTGCGTTTTATGATATTTTCATTCTTACACCTTCAATATTTTTCCACATCATTCTCTCTTTATACATTATGTATTTATAATTTAATTTCAATCATTACATTAGATCGTTATCCTGGTGGACGAGATAAATTAGATGAATCGATTCAAGGTGGTGAACTGTTCCAAACAATCGTCTACAATCCTATTAACATTTTCATGACTCATATGTCGAACTATGGCAGTGATCGATTAGCTCTTTACACGTTCGAATCTGTAATAAAGTTCTTAAGATGTTGGACAAATATAAAACTTACGTCGGCACCGCCACTTCAGCTTGGCGAACAGTATTTCAAGTTGCACCCGGAAGAAAGTGATCCAATATGGGGAAATCCATGCGAAGACGAACGGCACAAAAAGATCTGGTCACGTAACAAAAGCTGCAATGTACTTCCTTCTCTTCCAAAGTTTCTGGTCATCGGACCACAAAAAACCGGCACGACAGCACTTTACACTTTCTTAAGCATGCATCCAAGTGTTGCAAGTAATCTTCCCAGTCCCGACACATTTGAAGAGATTCAATTCTTTAATGGAAATAATTATTATCGTGGCCTTGATTGGTACATGAGTTTCTTTCCTTCAAATAATGCCACATTGACTAACAATGTCATTCAATCGTCATCTAATCCGCGATATTTCTTTGAGAAATCAGCGACGTATTTCGATGGTGAATTGGTGCCAAAGAGAGCCCATCAATTGTTGCCTAGTGCTAAGCTTGTAGTAATTTTAATTTCGCCAGCAAAACGTGCTTATAGTTGGTATCAGCACGTGCGAGCACATGGCGACATCATAGCGAATAATTATAGTTTTTATCAGGTGAGTTTAAAAAAGAAACGATGTGCTTGTGAGAAATTTTCAAGCAACAACTTTTAATTTCAATTATGAAAGGTGATTACTGCCAGTGATTCAGCGCCAAAGCCATTACGTGACTTGAGGAATCGTTGCTTGAATCCTGGGAAATATGCGCAACATCTCGAAAAGTGGCTTGCATTCTATGCAAATCAGCAGCTTCATATCATTGACGGTGAACAGTTGAAGTTAAATCCGGCTGAAGTCATGAACGATCTTCAACGCTTTCTTAAAATCACTCCCATCATGGATTATTCAAGTCATCTACGGTACGATCCAAAGAAAGGATTTTTCTGTCAAGTTATTAACGAAACGAGAAGCAAATGTCTGGGAAAGTCGAAAGGTCGGAATTATCCTCCGATGGATGAGAAAAGCATGAAAATTCTGCAGAGGTAAGTTGAATGAAGAAGCTTTTTAATCGATAGAATTTATTCACGAACCGTAATGCCGGTGGATTTGTCTTGTGTCGAGAAAAACTGCACTATGGCAATGATAATTAAAGTTTAACGATCTGCCATGTCACTGAAAAGAACATTTATTCGGTTTTTGTCTGAACAAGATGAAATCATTTCAATGGATAAGTTCAAGTCCAAAAAATAGAAAAAGTTTTTAGATATCATTTATTTTTCAAAGGATAACTTTGTTGGGTTGCTTCTTAAGTTACGTCACAATAATTCAAAGCTTTCAAAACGATTAAAATCTTGTAGATGATGAAAGAAGGAAAAAGGAATTTGTAAGCTTGAAGATCTTTCTCATGATTCGTTAATCCACTTCACCATCGCTCTTACATTATTAAAAGAAATCTCTTGAAAGCTTTCATGTAAAAAAGACTGAAAAAGCTCGCTTTTCATTAAAAAATAATTTATGAACTTTTGATTAATTACACTCATTAATAATCCTCAACATTATGAGATTTCTTTTTTATCAAAATATAAATTGAGTATTAAAATTCATTGATTGTGTCGTCACAGAAGAATGATTCATGTTTTCGCTCCCTTGACGACTCTGTCGTGCGGCGGCGGCAGAGAACATTTTTCATTGATTTTCTTCTTAACAAAGTTCTGCTTTGTTATATATTTTCCGTATTTTCTATTCCTCAAATGATTCGTGAGTTCAAGCATCAAGCAGTAAGAGCAAAAGCGGCAAATGAACGCCATAATATGCAATTAAATTTGCATAACTTTACCTCCCGTCTCCCTCACTTCCTTGAGTACTCGATTATGTTTTTTCCCCTGTTCCAATATTTCTAGTCTCATCTAGCGATAAGTTTTTCTTTTTTTCTCTTCCACCTGGTGAACGAGCGAATTTTCCGCCTCATGGCATCATAGAAGAAAAAGAAAGAACAAAAAAAAATTGAATGAAGTTTTTATTGCTCAATTTTTCCAGCTTTTTCCTTGTTATTCTTTTCATCGTACAAACTATTTATGCGAAAAAAATGATTTCAAATTCCTCAACTGAATAAGAGCATACAGAAAGTTGCATAAGAAAGGAAAAACTTTTCATCTTTCCGCTAAATAGATGAAAAAATAAAAGAAAAAGTTCAAAACAAACTGCTGCTTGCTGCTCACTTCGGTTTTTTTCCAATTTTCTTGGCACAGCGAAAAAAAAGTTTCATCTTGACTTGAAATTAATTCTCGGATTATATTAATTCTTGTTTGCTTTTCTCTTCCCAATCCATTATAATCTCTCATTCAGATATTATTTGAGTCACAACACGGCATTGGTTAAGCTTCTGAAGAAGCTTGGTTCACGTCCCATTCCACTTTGGCTGAAAAATGAACTTTCGACAACGACATAAGATGATGGGACGAGATGACAAAACGACGAAGGAAGTTACTCGAGAGACTTTAAACGAAAAATGCGAAGAATGAATAGAATGTCGCTAATGGACATCAACAGAGAGAAAGAAGAAAAAAAACAAACAACATAATGTCACATTGAAGTTCAAAAGCGAAGGAATTGAGATCGTTATCACATCGCTTGTTAGTCAGTAAGCAAATTCTCTTCTTCTCGTTTCATTAATTCTTTGTATCAATGACAAAAAACAAAAACAACGTCGTTTAACGTTAAATTAAGTTTCAATCGATTTGTTTATCAGTTGAAAATCAAAACAAACTGAAACCAATCAAGGATTTATAATGTAAATTAATGTGAATCTAATGAATACTTTCTTAGTTAATTATCTATGTAAATAATCCCTCCCTAAAAAAAAAGAAACTTTTAAGCTTTAATTTAAAAAGAAATGTAATTTTATTTAATTCTTTTTTCTCTCTCTTTGAACGAACCTTGGGATTGAAACAAAACAAAAAAAAAGAAAAAAAGATAAGAAAAAAAAGGCAGCGAAGAAAAGGAAATTAATTTGAAGCTTAGCAATATTAAACGTCCCTGCTTAAAGCTTTATGCTTTAGGAACATCATAATAGTTGAGCGTATGAATGTGTGTGTGTTTGAATATGTCGCTAATGTTGCGTCATCAATTAATCCAATTAAGTCGACATCATCAGATTGCGGAACCTTAACCGGGTCCCAAAATGAATCGTAAATCACGTAAGCAATTTCACAATCAAAAGAAGAGTTTTTAAATGTATTGTGCATAGAAAGAGAGAAGAAGGCAATTAAGACGTTTGACGTTTCTGCTCTCTCATCAAATGAAATCAAAAGAAATTTAATTTATTAACGCTTCTAACAAAAAATATGTTTTTATTCCACATACATGTATAAAATATATTTTGCAATATGACATTCGAAAAGCATGATTGACAAGGGAAGTCGATCAATTACAAGACGACTTGATTCGTGTACTTAAGTTACTCAATGATTCATTTATAATTAAGACTTTTTTATCAATTTACGTTCTATGCCATTTATTTAAATTTCTCATTCTATGTAAATCAAATTGATTTTGATTTAACATCCGCAATATATTCAAATAAAAATCAAGACAGAAAGAGAGCCTTAATTTATTTAAAAGTTACGCAAATTGAAACGACAAGCCCCACGCTAAGGCTTCAATAATAGAATTTCAAAGCTTGACAGCGTTGGCAGAATTTCAATATAAATAATAATAAAACATATCGTGTTATGAAAGAATGAATGAACTTCTCACCGCACCCGAAGACAACTCAACGCAGCTACCTGGATTGTTGATAGGGTGTGACTTCTGTTGACAGAAAGATGTCATAATAGAAGAGATAAAAGCAAAAAAGGAAATCAAATTTTCCATGTAATGAAAATTCAATTAAGTGTAGAAGAAAATTCTGTTTTCTTTCGTTTTTACTCTAAGTACATTAAAATAAATTTTCATCGTTCATATCGAACAAAATCTAATTGTCATGTGAAAAAAAAAGTAAATTAAAATATTGTTATTGATATCGAACCAGATTGTCAAACGTGAATCTGATGGTTCGAAAATGAGAAGAGCTTGAAGAGATGTGGGGGTGAAGGGAACAGGCGAGTGCTAGATTGATCAAAAAGAGATTCAAAATCTAATTAAATTTAAGCAGTAGCAGAATGAAGATGGAAGCAAGTGAATGAATCTTCTTTAGTGTCATTTACACAAGCTTCGGGTAGATGTGAATGATGAAATTAATTAAAGTAAATATTTTTGTGCCATTAGTAAAGCATCTGGAGGGTGGAACAGACAGAGTGTAACATTACGTATTATTGCTGGTAATTTTTCTTACTAAGCATTCAAAATGCTTCTCTTTTTTTTGTTGTTTTGTTTTCTATGACAACAACAACAAACAGGATTTTCATTTTATCTCTCCCTTTCCCCTCCCTCGCCCCATCTCAAAAGTCTTTTTTCTCATAAAAGTGAATGTTTCATATTCCAATTAACAACATTTTTGTCGTTGCGTTAGGTTTAAGAAAAAGGAGAAAATAAAATATTGAAATGAACATTACGTAGGACAATGAAGGAAGGAAAAAATAATTATGTTCGTTCGTTCGTATGTAAGAAAGAGAAAATTTACATCCTGTAAGACAATAAAGAGAAGAAATTCAAAACTTATCAAAGGAAATTTGTGTCTTTGTTTTATTTATTTAATGAAATTTTGGTTTCATATTTAGTTCCAATATGTCTTATGTTTGAATAGAAGTTACTTTCAATTAAACGAAGCTTTAGCATAAGACGATTACATTCACATTTGAGAAACGAAAGCAAGACTTAAATGTATAATACAAGAAAGTTATTGAACCCACATATGTGGTTTCAAATGCAATTTATCTACAGGCACATGAAGAACAATAATGAATAGTAATCAATTTAATTTTGAAGTTCTAATCAATTTGAATGACATTTCCAGGTTTCGACATAAATGATACATTTGTCTCAGTTTAATTAATCCTTGCAAAACAAATATTGATTCCATGTGAAGAATTTGCTTTGCAAAACTAGCACAAATGAAATCAATCAAATTACCTATTGGTAATAAAATCGAATAATGACGGTACAGTTTCTATAAAAGTATGAACTCCGTGGGATACTTATTACAAAAACATTCATTTTTAATCTTTGAAACGGAAAAGCGGTGGTTTTTCCCACGCTTGCAAATTAAATTTCCTTTAGTACAGAGTGGAACATTTTTTTGTTTTATATTTAATTCTGTTGTTGCAAAAACATGCTTCACAATTCGTTCTTTTATTTCAGTATTAAGGTGCATTGTTATTTAATACGTGTGATGAACAAATAAAATTTAATGAACATGTTGTTTTACCATCATATAATAAAATTTGTATGAGCGTTAAAACAAATGTGAACAATTTCACCTGTAACAAATTTTCATCTCAAACTTCGTGTACGAAAATTATAATTTCTTGTTCTTAATTCAAGCTGTTTCTGAGTGAAACCAAACCAAAACACAAACAACTTTCCACATATTATTTACGTGAAAGCTCGTTTAAGTTCTCTTTCATACCGTTTCATTGCAAATCATTTGTATATTTCCAGATTCACCACAATAGAAAATGTTTTAAACTTTTTTCAGACATGACAAAGCTTCAAAAGCGCCATCTCTTGTATTTTTGGACAACTTTTATTTTCAGGATTATACTGATTACCTCTTAAGATTATGCTGATTAAGCTTACTCAATGCTTTGTCGAGCTTTCTGACCAACGATCAGTAAACTCATAAAAATAATAATAATGAAATGAAAACATTGACTCAGATAAGCTTTGAATAAACTTTAACATCAACTTGTCAAGCAGCTGCTAGAGCTGTAGCTTATTCAAATCAAATAATTATATATTTAACTTCCTTTATACGTTCAAATCTCATGAGAAAACAAGCCAAAGTTAAGTATTTTGTTATCTTTTCGGCGTTTATTTACATTTAATGTTTAAACTCTATTTAAAAATGGCAACTGACAATTCGAAACATCATAATAAATTAAAATTAAAATCGAGGCACGCCTCCTGAATAGGTATTCGGTCGTTTCGGACTTCCAAGTGGCGGAAGGTAAGTACGTGAAGCTGGCGTCGTTGTTGAATACTGATATCCTTTTTCAGCTGGTTTATATGGTGGTTGAGGTCCTAAAGAAATAATATAAAAATTGTTTTCATATATAAAGTAAAGATCAAAAAAAATTATTTTAAGAATGTTGTTAAACATCAGTACAGCCATAAGACGATTTGTTATTGACAACGCAGTTAGTTATACCTGGTGGTCCTGGTCTATCTGGTCCTGGTGGTCCTAAACACAAAAAAATTCATTTGTTGAAAATCAAAGAAATTTATTTTAAGAATGTTGTTAAACACCAATACAGCCATAAGACGATTTGTTATTAACAACGCAGTTAGTTATACCTGGTGGTCCTGGTCTATCTGGTCCTGGTGGTCCTAAGTACAAAAAAATCATTTGTTGAATACTTCACAAAAACATGAAACATAAAACATGCAAACAACCAACTGCCTTTAATTATAGTAATTAAAATAAGAAGTGAATCGTGCAGAATTTTGACCTTGATATCTAAAGTGAACTTTTTTAATACATTTTTTGAAGTAAAAGAAATGTTAATAAATCAAGTTGAGACGTTGATTGCAAAACTTGATGTGAAAGTGATTGGAGAGAAGATGACAGGAAGTAGGGCAAGGACATGCTACCAAACACAGTTTCATTGACACAATTAAATATCTACAGAAACCAACCAAACAGTAGACAAAGAAAAACCCAAACATATGAAACTCTGAACAATAATCACCTGGTGGTCCGGGTCGTGTGGGTCCTGGCGGTCCTAAATGGCCAATAAAAAATTTATTAAAAATCGATTCAAAACAACAATCATCGACTTATGTCAACAAATACTCGCATGCGTGAACTTTTCTTTTTCTTTTTAGCTAAATCCTCTAAGTTATGATTATCATGCAAATGATTAGTTCGATTGGCAAGAGGCGGAAAGTTAGTCACAAGTTCATTTGAATTCATTCCGTGACTTGAGCAGCGAAATGTAGGAAGTTGAAAACTCAATTTCATGACATTTTGACAGAAGAAGGATGATCGAGACTTCATAAAGAAGATAGAAATGACTAAAATAAGATGTAATCACCTGGAGGGCCTGGCGGTCCGGGTCTCCTTGGGCCTGTAAAAATTTCATTCAATGTCATCAGATTGTTTCGATTGCTTTTTAAAAAATTTCAATAACACGCATGATAACCACCAACTGAAACTCGAACTTATTACAACATTCAACAACAAAGAAGACACGAAAATCATTCAAAACCGGCGAGGCGCTTTGACGTCGAGGCGCATAAAATTGAGTGATTGATGTAATTGACACATCAACACTTTTTATGGTAGAAATTATTTTCTTTTTTTAGCAATGTTTGATGAGATATTTAACTGTGCTGTGCGTGATCAATAAATTGAGAGATTTTCATAATTTATAATTCGCAAATTTGTTTTACATATGCTTACAATAACTCAAACCTCACGGACATCAATATTAAATGGATGGTGGGATGGATTAGAGAATTGAACTGAAACTTCGTCGATAAATGATTAATTTTAAAAGATTGTGAAATCAGAAAATCCAATCCATGCCAACATTCATAAATATTGAGTTCGCTACAACATCTTTACTAACCTGGTGGACCTGATGAAAAAAGTGAAAGAAATAAAATTTATTAATCATCGATTATCGGAATCATCTTTAAATCATTTTACCTGGTGGACCTGGCGGTCTGCAAGCGTAACATTAAAGTGAGAAAATGTTAATAATCATAAAATAATGTAACAAAATATGAGAGATTTTACCCTGGGCGAGTTGGGCCTGAAAGGAAAGAAGATACACAAAAGGAATCGATTAACATTTGAGAATGAAAAGCTTTTACGAGACATTCAACTTTCATAAGCTACAAATGTCACGTGAAATGATGCAATTAAATAGTTTTGCTTACCTGGCGGTCCTGATTGATGTAAAACGTTTCAATGAAACGAGGAAGACGATTAATAGTAAAATGCTTTTAAGGATTAAACAATTCGCAACTAACCTGGTGGGCCTTGAAACAAAGATATGAGAAAAAAATTAGATTTTTAGCATTGAGATTTCGAACAGAAAAAGCTTTGCTTTTGGCTACATAAACAAGGATTAATTTGGATTAACGAATAATCTTTAAATGATTTAATTAGTTTCCTCGTTTTTTTCACGCCTCTAATATTCAACATTAATAATCAAAGCGTAACTTTGAACTTAACAAGTGCTTTTGTTTTTGATATCCAAAAGATTTGCTTTTTTCCATTTCATGGTTGAAAAATCATCATAACTCACCTGGCGGTCCTGGCGGTCCTATTATGTTTATAATTCGCGAAAAAATAAGAAAAAGTTGACAATTAAAAGTGAGACAAATAATACAAAACATAAAATAAAAATTCCAAATAAAAAAGTAGAAAAAGTTTCTTCATGCAATAAAAGTTTTTCATGCTGTATTAGTCGATAAAATAAATAAAATACCTAAATCACGTTTTAAATGTTTTTTAAGTGGAAGATAAATAAAGTTAAGTTCAGAGATGAAGAAAAGTTGTTTCATAAATTAAGTTAATCTTTGTGGCGTGCTGATTTGAAATAAAAAAGTGCAAAAAAGAAAGATAAGAGTAGTCAAAGAACTCATAAATGTCAGACATGCAAGAGAGAATCCGGCTAAGGTTCGCCTGAATTACCTGGGGGTCCTGGTCGGTAACGGCCATCAGGGCCAGGTGGGCCAGGGGGTCCTTATAATTTTTGTTTTAATTATTTCATTTTAACTTATGTTTGCTTAAAACTTTCTTAGTTAAAATTTCATTAAACTTACCGGGTGGTCCTTTAATAATTAAATTAAATAAGAAAACAAAGGTTAAATTCACGTCCTAACTCTTAAAATTTTCAATTAAGAAGCTTAATTGATGACGGTTATTACCTGGCGGTCCTAATCAGGAAAAAAAAGAAGAAATAAAGTTAAATTTATTCAATTAAAATAATTTAAGATTGTTGTAAATCACCTGGGGGTCCTTTAGGTCCGGGCGGTCCTAAAAAGGCATCATAAATCAAATTTAGTATAACGAATCAAAGTCACTCCAAAAAAGCTTTGTTCTTCCTTACCTGTCGGTCCTAAACGAAACATTTGTTGTTATTTGCGTAGTATAAAACAAAACAAAAAGAAACATAAAAGCTCAATAAAATATCACAAAAGCTATAAATTTGGATGATTTGTTTTTACCTCCGGGGCCTAATTTGTAACAAGATTGAAAGAAGAAGAAAAAAGATTATTTGTGTGGCTTGATAATAAAATAAATGATTTTATAATGTCGATAATCACCTCCTGGTCCTCTGCCACCTTTTTTATTTATTGTAACACGCAAAGCACAAGGGAGAGAATAGAAGAAAAAAAAAAGTTATTAATCGATGTCGTTTGTTTGCGTAGAAGGAGCCAAGTCTAAGCTTAATAAATATAAATAAGCTACTACTAACCGAACCCTCCTGTAAATGGACAAAATTCGACATGAGTATGAGAAATGATGTAGAAATAATCGTGATTAATTTACCGCTGGGACCATCGGGACCGTTTGGTCCGACGACGTGAATATATGGCAGTGCTGGTGGCCCGTCAGGTCCGGGAATGTGAACATACAATCCTCGATTGTCATGAATGTATTGACCACGGTTATCATGGATGTAACGTCCACTAAAGTCAGGATAGTAAAATCCATCGTTCTTGTTTCCTGACCGTCTATTGTCAGCGAATGATCTTGGGGGAAGTGCAAACTGTTCGTTGACATTTTGTGCTGCTGGAATGAAATAATCTTCACTTTCTGCATCTGATGAGCTGAGTTTACTTCGGAAGCTTCGTGCAGATGGCGAAATGTCTTTTGAAATCAAATCTTTATGTGATAAATCAAAATCTAAACTTCCGCAGCCTTCGGGAAAATATAAATCCTTGAAGTGTGTGAATTTTCCTCTCGACTGCTTGCCATTCTTCGGGTTGAATGGTCTACCGGAAAACGTGAAACAAAACAAAAGAGAAAAATGTGAAATTTATTTAAAAATTTATGAAGCTAAGTGAAGCGATAAAATGCAACAAGGTCGTCAATTAGGCAAAACAGCTGTTTGCGGCTTCGACGACCCACACACAAACGTGATTAGCGAAAATAAATAATAGAAAAAACTGCGATAAAATTTGATTTGCAAATATTGACATCGTCAAAAAAACATATTTTCGATGAAATGAATGAAAACAGAAGATCGATGTCTTCCTTTTAAAGAAGGAAAAGCATCGTCTGTTATAATCTTGTCGATATATTAATAAATAATCATTTACTTAGATTTGGTAGCGATTGGAAAGACTTCGACTAAGTCGGTTGATGTGACTAATCGAAAACCGCGCGCGTCTGCTATGTAATGTTCCATTTGTGGTTTGCCATCATCGCCAACATATCCAAAGCATCCGTAAGTGATGCCATCGGGTCCGCGTGTTTGATGATTAAATTGCGCGTTCTTTCCAATCTCAGCTCCATAATTGTAAGCTCCTTGACTTGAGTGTAAGCCTCGTTCGTCGTATTGGGTTCTGTCGGCAGCATCAATCGAAACGATTTTCACTCCTTTCCCTTTATAGCGATTCTCACTGATTTCAGCGGAGCAGCAATGAATGATGAGCTGCGTCTGTGGAATGATCAGAAAAAAGAGATGAAGAAGCTTATCTTGACCTTGCCTTAAATAACTCTTATCAATAACTCGACAGTGATCCAATGTTTGTCTTTCAATATTTAGCGATTTGCTCGCTAATTAAACAACTTTTTTTTATTCTCCTTCGGTCCGGTAGTTTACAATAATGAACACGAGAAGTCTATTGACTTAAACCGATTACTAACGACGAAAAATAACGATGTAAGCAGTTAAGGAATTTATCTTCAAGATTCTTCTTTTTTTTAAACGACTTTCGCTTTCATTTTGGACTCGTATATTATAAAAACAAAAAGTCTGAATATAAATGAATTAATATCTTTGGTTATTAATCGATACAAAACTATGTCACCAGGACCATTCATTCATTCATTCATTCAGGAACCAGTCGAATCAACGAACGAATCCATGTCCGAATCTATATTTAATGTGCAATAATTTTGCTGTCGACATTTTTTTTCTCATCTCCGATATCTTCTGAATAACATTAACTTACGATGACAAAGAAGAAGTTTTTTTTGATTTTGTTAAGCAAACGAAATATTTTCAACCGAAAAAAAAGAGAGAAAAAAGATCGCAAACTGCTGACGGGAATGAAACAAGTTTGTGAGACGCATGAATCGTTTGCATATATGATTGTTGGAATTGTCTGTGTGGCAAGGTCGTTTACCAGTGTCTTTAAGAAATCTTTTAATCTTTTATAAATGTTTATATTGCTGACGAGATGGAATCGTTGTAATGTCATTTTTATGCTGCTCGCGAGTCGCGACTCAGATTTGAAGTTGAGTTACAAGAAAAACAAAAATACAAAACAAAACGATGTTGAACTGTGGAACTCTTAAATTTCCATAAAAATGTTTAGTAAATGATGTGTCACATTAAGATCTGTGTTTGGATTTATTTTACATCATAGTCATTCATTATAACGAAATCAAAAACGTTAATGATGATACACATTCCGATAATAAAATGTGAAAACAAAAGAGTTCATCTTGATCATCAGATATGACCGCCAACATTCATTCGCTGTGAATATTTATTGAACGATACAAACTTTCAAACTATCAATTAACCTTATTAGTTGCAAGGAGACAAATAAACTAACATCACATATCGACGACAAGAAAAAAATAAATAATCTGCAAGGAAATGTCTCTAAATGTCATTCGTAATAATTTAAGTCATCACATTGCTGTGAAATCAACACAGAAATTCCATCAATTTCAAAGTTCAACTGCAGTTGTGGGCTGACACGATGTGAAAATAAAAGTTTTCATAAGGATAAAATAAATAAAATTAAAAAAGCTTTCATGCATTGATTGAAGCTTAAATCTTCTTTCGTAACAAAAGATTTTGCATTTACTTAAAGGTAGATGAAGTAAGCGAACTCATTCAACCTCCACCCCCATTATCATCATCAACATCAACTTTCCACTCGTCATCTGGGTCAATCAAGATTTGCCTTAGAAATATCAATTTTTGTCTCATCATTTAGCTTTAACTAAATCACTCTTTTTATATTTTGATCATAGACCGCAACCTTCTTCTTTGCCTTCTCCTTTCATTAACATATATGATTTTGCGTAACTGCTTAAATAATCTTTTTACCCATTTCTTCTCTTGTCTTACGACTCACTCGTGTCTTACTTCTTTTAATTTTTTTTTATCCTCTTTTTGTGTAACTTTGTCTCGAAAAGGCACACGAGATATGTATGCATGTATGTCGTAACAGTTTCGTTTAATATTTTTTGCATTTATGTTTTTTAAACTATCATCTTAAGATCGCAAAAGAAAAAATTGATTATAATTAAGAGGGAAAAATTAACGACAAACATTTGCATGTCATCAAATACGATCTCAAAACGTTATGTGTTGTTGTTGTGGTTTTCATTTCTTTCACTTCGTTTATTTATCATAAATAATTTGAATTATTCAATTGAACAAAGGAAGAGAAATTTGAATATTTTTTACTTGAAGATATTTCTTGTTGATCATGTCGAGACAAATATTTAGGTATTTGAATGGTAATGTCAAGTGAAGTAAGCTCCCGGAACCAGTCTCAATCTCGATAGCGAAGAAGATCGAAAAAGCGAAAAAGAAGTCCACTTGAAATTGGGGAACGAAAATTTATTTATGTTGTTATGCTAATTAGAGAAGCTTGAGACGATTCTGGATTCTTGGCCAATAGGAAAGAATTTAATTCTTGAAGTTTATCGCTTGGAAACGTGCGATGGAAAATTCTCAAGCTTCACAGAAGTTCTTAAAATAAAATAATGTAATCATTGATAATTTATTTCAGGCTTCTAAGTGTAGGAACAAACTAACTACTTACATTGTCAAGATTCCATCAATTTCCACTCTTATCCACATAAACGTTCTTAAACGCTAAATCAAACGGCCTTCCAACTCCGCGATGTTTTTTTTTCTCTTTTTTTCACTTCATATCGAAGGTTAACGTTTTCTTTCCTCGAATCCATTATCGTTGTTCTGTCGAACCCGCTATGGTTGATCTGATCTTCAACTTTTATGGCTCTCAACTTGAACATTTTACATTTTAGACGGATACTGTTAAAATTTGGTTTAGTTGACCAAAGGAAGTTGCTTGCTAATTTGAATATTTTTTTTTAATTTATTTCTGTTGTTTTTTTTTATTTGTTTGTTGTTTTTAGGCGTCAGTCAGACTCTTTTCTTCAACGACAATCATCATCATTATTTAATGATTTAACATCGGAACGAATTATTTATTTTTTTCTTTTTAGGATGATCGCCAATTAAACATTGAAAAGAATCACAAAATTTGATTTTTGACATTTTTAAGCAGCGCGCTTGCTCACCGGGTTTCGTGAATATTGTGAAAGTGAATGCGAACTTTTTAATAAATTTGTAAAACATTGAATTTTGACAATACATTTTGATAAATTGTTGTGGCTTCGCGTCGTATTATAAGTTGAAACAATTGAGTGTGTGTATACATAATTTACAAGCCTAAACAGTGTGACATGCGATCGATGGAATTTTTCAATTATTGAATCAGTTGATGATGATGACGATGACAAAGCAGTACCTACACCAGCACTTCAATTGTGTTGCGTTTCATAATCTTCGTTTATCTTTTTATAAGAAATTTTTTTACATCTTAAAAGTGCTAATTGAGATTTTTATCTTATTTTTTATTTTTGCGCCTTGTAAGTCAAATCCGCAATGCGTAAGTATTAGAAAGATCAACGAACATTCGAAAATCTTTCATGAAATGCAATTTAAAATATTTAAAGTTGAATAAATGAAGATGCTGATCGTCGTCGAGATTAATCATCAACTCATCAATTATTGATTTCCAGCTGAAAGATGATCTTTTTGCGTGAGTGTTGTTAAGTCAATAAAAAGTTGTCTAAACTCGATAAATTGGATTCTTCATTGAGTTCACATTCATTATCATAAAAATCGCATAATTCAAATTGATTGATTATTGACCTCGGCGCAATTATTGTAAACACCAAAAAAAAAGGCGATTCGTGACTTCGCGATGATCTAAGATTGTCTTCAAGTACGAGAAATAAATAAAAAAGGCTTTCTGAATTGACTCACCAGCAATATCACTTTCAGTTTCATTTTAAAGTTTTCTTTTTATTATTTCTTCTTTTTTATTGAACACTTCAAGGTGTTTTAGTTTCTTGAAAACTTCTCCTTTAATACAATTCTTCTACACACTAAGATTGTAATGTTTCAGATATTCCTAGAGTCGCTAGCTTGCTTCTTTTCACATATCCCTCAAGATACTTCACAGACAACACAAGTTATTTAACTCGTTTAAGTGCAAAAGCCAACAAAGTGGTCGAACAAACCAAGAATTCACAACAAAAACCAACTCAAGCGATGAATCTTCGCGACTTCACCGCGCGAGCAATCTCAAGAAACTGACAAAGCTTGAAAATTTTACTTTTATTCACAGAAAAAATCGAAACTTAAAAATCTTTCAAGCCAAAAAGGCAGAAAATATGTGAAGTTGATAGTGGATGGCGAAAAAAAATTTATACAAGTCGGCTGCTGCGATATTCAAGATGAAGATGTGAGAAGATCGAAGAAGAAGACACGAAACTATCATAAACGCAACTCAAGACATGCTTACAAGCATTGTCATTGAGGTGGAGACAGGCTGGAATGAGAGAGTGATCCTTACGCTTTTATCAGATTCATTTGTGGCTTGAACAACATCAACTCATCGACTGCTGTTGTTTGTGTGACATATGAAGCAGTAGAAAAATCGCGGTTATCAACAATGTTGATGTGAAAAGATATTTTCGTTAAAAACTTCGCTCGATGTCTTGTTTGAACTGGAATAAGAAATTAAAAAAAAATATTTTTTACTTAATCAAAAAATTAATTGTCACGATCGTTATGAAATTTCCCGTTGTCATCGCCTTCATAATGATTTCTTCGGATCTTGAAAAAGTTTGAGAGTTTCATGAATACACTACGAAGCGCTACTAATGGCTTTTATAGTTTTTTTTTATTATATCGGAAGATAATGACGCCGTATATCACTACCAAGTTTATTCTCAAAACTTCACCCAGGGATCTATCAAACAGCAGGTTGTCTGAACAAGTCAACAAGGTGAATTTGAAAATGAACATAAATGACACTCGCGCGCGCCTTTTAATTACTAGGAAACGTGTTCATGTGCCACCTTGCGACTTAACTATTTACGACGATTGCATATCAAATTAAATTATCTCTGAGTGATTCGCAATTAAAGTTTTTTTAACAATCATCTCATCTCCTGGGATTTCAACATTCTTCTTCATTGGATTGATAGTTTAACAAATATCTTTGTTATGCATTATGATGTCAGTCATTTCCTTTAAAACTTTTGGTTGATGTTTTTGAGAAAAAAAAAAGCTTCGCGACAAGCAGTCAAATGGATCGTTATCAAATTAAGCGAAAAAAAAAGCAGGCTAAAAATATTCAAATTCAAGCAGAAATTCATAACAAGTCTTTTAATGGTCACAGAATTCGATCGATGATCGCGTCGTTTAGGGTTCGCAGATTATTGACTCATTTTCATCGTTATTTGACAGTTAATTTGTGGATAATTAATTAACTGGATTAAGCAGAATTTTGTTCTCAAGTTAGTAGATTTCGATGTTGTCAATTCCTTTCCCTTTATTCAAATTCATTCGTCAAAGCTGTGATATAAAATTCATTGAGCGACTTCAGTGAAAGTATTTTGAAAGACGAAAAGAACATAAACGTTCAAGGATGTTACTTAAAAGCTTTTTTTATTGAGTTTTTATTGAGAATGTTTTTTAAAGTTGATTCTAAAGTCATCGAGATGTTTAAACTTCTCTTTTCTTCGATGACATTCTAAAAGGAGTGGCTTTAAAAATAGCCAGGGAATGAATAAAATGAAACTAGGAATAAGTCGTCTTCGATGAAAAAAAAGAAACTTCAAGTTTGTGTATTTAAGTGGCATTCTGACTTTCAAGACCGTACATAAAAGCAACTCGATTTAAATTATTACAAAATTACTTTTTAATATTCCTTAGCCTGATTTTAAATTTATATCATCAACAATATTCAGAAAGGCGTTCGTTCGATAAATGTTTGTTGTTGTTGGTGATACAAAATCTTAAACGAAAAATCTCATTGAATACGATCGAGTGTCGTATGCATGTTGACATAGTAAGAAAAAATTTACATTTTGTAAATCATCATAAACATTTTTATTTCCATCTCGATCTCACTCCCCTTAATCACTTACCCTCAGCGAAAGGTATTGTGCAAAAACCAAAATGAATAAATATTCAAAATAGAAATTGATATGCAATCTGTCTTGAATGTATTTTATTAAACGATTAAGACAGCCATCATATGAATAAACATAAATGTTGCGTTTTAAATTTCATTTTTCCTGATAAAGCCAAAAGCATCAAAATGCCAACAAAAAATACAAAAAGAAGAAAAATGATCAGCGAAGCGCGTTGGTTTGACTTTGTTTGCTTCACTGATCTCTCTCTCTCTCTCTCTCAAGCTTTGTGTAAGAACGAGTGCGATAATTTTTCCTTTTCTTAAGTCACACGAGTCAGGAAAAACAGGAAAAACAACTTTTCGATTATAGCGAATGCATAAGAACCAGATTAAAGATTTGGAATGTACAAGATGTCTCTTCTCTTTATTTTTTCGTCTCCCAATTTTTAAATAATATTTTTTCACCATGTCGAGATTCCGCAGCTGATCTTTCAAGTGGGTATGCGATCAGCGAATGCCGAATCATGATTTTTCAGGTAATAACAGACACCTTGGTAACATCAAGCTCACAACGGGCTATTGTTTACGATTAATCAGATGAGTTCTGAAATGAAATCAGAAATCCTTAAAAGTTCATTGGCCAATCACTGCGTGAGTAGCGCTTTTAAATAAATGGAAAATCTGAAACAAAATCACATTCCGATTAGTCACCACACCACGTTTTACAGCTTTGTACATGATTATCATCATCATCATCATCGATGGATTAAGACTTTGTGCAACAAAGGTTGATTAACATAAAATTCCGATGCTTCATTCAAATTTCTTCAGCTTCACTCTGATGTGTCGTTACCACAATCAAATATCCACAAATCACGTCACAATCAATGGCATATTATGCAGTCAAAGTTGAGGAAGCAAAGAAGTTGAAATTTTGAAGGCGTTTGTGAAATCTTTTTCCGCGATAAAGAAGAGAGAAGAAAAAAATGGCAAAAGATTAAAAGTGACGCAATTTTTACTTCACACGTCCTTGAACAAGTTTAATTTTATTCATCTCGAGTTTAACCAGTTTTATTGAGAACTTAAAATGATTATAGAAAGAAGAAGAAAAAAAAATGCAACAACGTTTCAAAAGAAAGAGAAAAATCTCATGGAATTCCTTCAGATGACAGCATTTAAAAATAAAAAAACAATATTGCAATCAATGGTGGATTATTTTAAATAAAAATATATTTTAACTTTTGTTTTTGGCATTCATTTCATGTTCAGTATTTAATTTAGTCTACTTTTGTTTGTTTTGTCATCAATCGCTTTGTGATTGCCTCATGAAAGATTTAAATTGCGCAGTCACAGTAATTTACATTATTTATGGAATTTTTACGTAGGTCGTTTCATAGTTTTGCGCTATCTGTTGTTGTCGATTCGTTTCACGGAGAAAGGCTGGATAGTTGCGTTCCCGAAGCTTCAATAAACCATAAAGTCGATAAACGACGATCAAGCAGTAAATGTTAATGCATATGACCAAAATTGTTATGACTCCATTGCGTGTTTGATGTTCTTTTGCTCTCATGAAGAACCAAACCCCCAATGCTACGTAAATTAAGATATACAGTGAAGTCAACACTAAATATGGAAGCAAACAATTCTTTTTCTTCTTCAAAGCTCCGACGATGAGGGTGATGCATGAAACCAAGTTCAAAAAGTTGATCATGGCGAATGCCGTCAGGAATATTAACGCGGCTGAAAGGTTAAATCAAAAATATCATAAAAATTCTTTAATTAGTTTCATTACCATGATCATCGCGGCATAACACGTCGTTGTTTGCATAAAAGAAAATAAAATGTAAAATCATTACGAACCTGTCTTAAGATAAAGAAAAGTTTCATCGGACTTGACATCGTATGTTTTATATATGTATTCGTCGAGGTTGTAGATTGATACGATCGATGTTAGGACTGCAATCTAAATCATCGAGTTTATGTGTGAAGAGTTGAAGGTGATTATCGGGAAGTATAACTTTAAGGGGCAATACTTACAGTTGAGAGACTGAGGCCCAAGTAAGAGATGATAATGACGCAACGAGAGAGCATTTTGATAGGAAAATTAGTGAGAGAATTATTTGGAATTGTTGCTCATTTCATCAGAAAAATATCTAATTAAGTTTTGTCTATTTGCGTTGCTTTTTGATTTGTTTTTTTCTTTTAAACTTTATCACTTTATTACACATGTATCAAGTACACAAGATAGTGAAGATTTTCAGCCGCAAACTATCACAATTGACTAATTTAAGCTCACTCGACTTTGATTAAAAACACAATTTAATTTTGAAACATCACAGAAGGTTTTTTTTTGCAAACCGCTACGATTCAGCAAGCAAATATGAGTGAATGTTCGCTGCAGCACTTTGCTTGCGGGGTATGTGTTGTGAAAGAGAGTGATCAGAACAAACTGAATATACGGCAGATGTTCAGTAAGAAAAGAATCATGAGAAGACTTTTTTGGATTCTCTTTGTTAATGATGTGACTTGGAATCTTATTAGAAGGCGTCTTATAAGATTGTAAACGTAAATATTTATTCCACTTGTGACCTGTTTTGAAATAAGATTTTAAAGTGGGCACAAGTGAGAGCGCAGCATTTTCGAAGCTCTCGAATTAATAAAAAGTTGAAAAAAGTAATTCAGCGGTTTGTGAGAAGAAAATGTTGATATTGACGCGTGCTTTCATGAATCACAATCTTGCATTGTCTTGCTAATCTTTGACTTGATTTTATGGTTACAAAATTAAAAATTTTAGTAATCTTGTTTATTTAATAATTCTCCATTGAAGAAAATTTCATGTCTTATCTTTTATTTGAAAGAAAAGGGTCAAAAGACGAAGAATTCGACTTATATGTAGAGGAAGAATCTCAAACACTAACAGTTATGTTTACTCATTAATAATTGATAACGTGGAGATATTTTAATCTTTTATATTTTATTTGGTTTTGTTCGTTTTGGAATTCGAAATGACTTTGAATATTATTATCGCATATTTATGTTGATCGTGACTTTTGGTGCAGATTGATTGAAGCTTCCTTATCAATAAAATTTTACAAATTATTTGTTGCTCTGACGCTCTTGTCTGCATATTTAAGTGATTTTTTTTTCTTAAATAGAATTGAAGGCTGACTAGAAAGTGAATGCAGAGGTTTGTTGCTTGCATTGGTGATGTATTGAAGCTTTTAACAAAAGATTTTTATTTTCTAAGAAAACGTGTTGAAGAAAAACTTCCATTCATGTGTGAAATATTTCACGGATAACAGAAAGCGATCAAAGTTAATTAGGAATGAAATTTGTAATGTATCGACGTTTTTGTAAAGAAAGAAAAAATATTCTTTGAGTTAATGGACGAGAAATTCTTTTCACATTGAAAAAGTCAATAGAAAAACAATTTTTTAAGGACTCGAAGGTAATTTTCGCTCTAAACATTTTACAAAAGAGTTTTCTTGTCCTTTGTAATTGACACAAATGAATGGCAAATTTATCGAGTATCACATTGAGTTTTTATTAGAAATCCGATCTTCAACAATGACTCCAAATTGGCTTTTTCTGATATTTTATTTTTCTTCCTTCAAGAAGTTTCTTGCATGCTTTTTTTATGTTTATCCATTCATCCGAAAAGGCAAAAAATAATGATTGTGACGAGACAAATAACAAAGTTTTTAAGTTCTCATAACAATATTTTTATTTTCATTTAATTTTCTGAGATTTGATTTTTTTGCCAGACTTTCTGGCATCTCATTGTGTGTTTAGATTTCTTGTTTATTGTTTCGTAAATTGAATTGAAGTTCGTCACTTGAATGACTTTTACCTTCTTTTTTATTGTCGTCATTGTCGCTGAATGTTACATTTGAAAACCTTTTTAAGTTGTATCTAATTGTTGCAAATTATATTTCTTCAAATGCTCATTTGTCACTTAACTTTATGAAAAGATTCAAGTTAAGATAATTTCCAAGAATTTTATTCAAAACTATGTTAAGTGTTTTCAATCATATCAACCACGTGTGCTTAGCTTTTGTTTGATTTGTTTCTTAGTTTTGTTTTGTATACATTTAGAATGAAATATGATGAAAATCATTTTAAATTTAGTTTGACGATGTAACACTTTCAATATCTTTTTGATTAATTACAGCATTCATCAACTATAACCGTCATTTCAATGTAATCAAACAATTGAAGCATGAAATGCTCCAGCCAGTCTTTTAACAAATAAAAAGTTTTTTAAGCTTCATCAAATCTTGTCAGATCTTCAATCCCTCCTAAGGTATAATGTGCTGAATCAAAACACGTGTGATGCCCAACATAAAAATATATCAACCAATATCAGGTAAAGAATCATAAATAAAACCTTAATATCTTTGGAAGAAGAAAAGTAAAATGAATTTAAAATCACTCAATAGCCTCTGATAGTCGTTAAAAGTTATCATGATCATCGATCTGATTGAAAGTTTAAAGCAGTCGAGTGAAAAATCTCATGGGGTTTCTTCAAATATTAATCAATCTCCATGGTTGCACAAATAATAATTATAAGTTGTTAGTTTTATTTATTAAAAAAAGGTCCGAGAATGAAATCTTTTCTTTACTGCTTTTGGGTTTTGCACAACGAAGCTAAATCTTGTTGAAAGTTGACCAAGATTGAAAAAGGTTTTTTGTCCTTTGTCATGTTTCATGTTTCAAGATTGAGGCAGAAGTAGATGAGAATAATCTTGCACAAACATGTTATGATATGAGCCAACATAAATTGTTGTTTTGTCTTGCGTAATTTCCGCTTTTCAATGCTAATGAAAGTGATATCAAAACGATTATAAATCCCGTTGAATTGTCACGTTCTCACCAATATTAATTAAATAATTAAACGAACAAGATGTTAAGCAAACAATAGAAAGAAAAGGCAAATCGTTGTCATATCTCCCGCACTCAATATGCTTTCGTTGTTGTTAAACATTTACCAGAAATTCATTCGAAAAACTTTCCCACAGTTTAAAAAGGAAGAAAAGAAAGAAAATAAAAACCTTTTCACAAATTCATAAAATATAAAACTCATCTCAAGCATCACACAAAAAAGTATTCAGTTTCTTTTTTTTATATTTCTTTTTGAAACAGTTGCACCTGCTGCCAAAAAACTGTTTCTGATTCGTCCAATTTCTCCTTTGCTTGTATTCTCCCACTCGTTCGTGTTTGTAAAGTGTCCTGATTCACTCTGTGCATTCGATTCTGGAACGAAGGAAAAAAGTATAAAAGCAACAGTTCGTTAAGGGAAAAGCATTAGAAACGTTTGAAAATCTAAAGAACGAACAACGTGCATCTCTTGTGCCATAAGAAAAATTAAAAAGTGAAGTTTGAAAACGAAGAAAAAAGTTTAAGAAAAATGGAAACTTTCAACAACTCAAACAACATCAACATCGAGCGTGCTAATCAACATCAAAAGAAGAAGCAACAATTCCATAAACTCAAGAAACTTCTCAAAAGTGCCTTAGCTTGCATCAACAACAAAAATCACTCAAAGAAATCAAACGAAGTTGAAAATCGCACGGAAATCGACGACAACAATTTCAATGAAATGCTTGAACGTCGCAATGAAGATCGACAAAATTTAATTAATGAGCAAATCAATGGACAGCAAAGCTACTGTTTCGTGGAAAACGAGCATGGAAAATTTTATTGGTCATCCGATATCAATCGATTTGTGGCAGTTGATCGTGACTTGATCACATCGGAATTTTGCGCAACAAATCACCAACAACCGCAAATTCAATGCTGTTAAAATAATGTTGAAACATCAATCAACCCAATTAAATATCTGTGATATGTTGCAATGTGATATCGACTGACTTTCGTGATAATAATAAGCTTTGAATAATAATTTAGGATTAAAATTAGCTTAACATGTCTTCCATTTTATTTTTAAGAGCTTCCGAAAAATAAATCTAAGAAAAAGAAACAAAAAAATTATTTTTTTTAAATCTTGCAAAATCTCTTTTTGAATATTTTCAGCTTAAATTGTCGAAATTTTCCTGGTGATTGAAACTGGTAGCTGAAATGAGACTTTTAGCGCGCGTTTTATTTCATTCATCGACTTTGATTGTTATTAGCTTCTGCGCATGCCAGCACACGATTAAAGTTTCTTTTCTCTGCACGTCTGTTTTATGCTTTTCATTCGTTTTGTTAAAAATTTCCACTCTAACATGTACGAACATGAATCTCTTAACATTCGATCGTCGATAAAATCTTTCAAATTATATTTAAATGCCAAGATTTGTGTTTTTTTGATTGAGAAATAAATTATTGCGTCAAAATAATCATCATCTGCTCAGAATTCACATTCCCCTTCTCTCTTAAAGTCACTTCCGACATTCACATGAATCAACAAGTTTCATTTCGTTCAAGTGAAGCATTGTGCAGTTATTTTGTTGGGTAAGTGAACTTGCCATATTACAAAGGGTCGATGTCGGCTGAAGGTTGAAAGTCGAGACTTGAGAATGAATTACAAACAAGGGGGAAGCTGGAAATAATCGAAACACTTGTTGATTGAGTCATGTACACTTTGACACTTGCTTTTTTGATTTCAATCATTTTTTTTCTTTATTCAAAACCACACAAAAAAATCAAACATAAAAAACATGCAAATTAAAAATTACAAAAAAGAGAAAAAAAAATCTTAAATGTTTAAGTACACAAAATGTATGAAGAGATCATCATGAAAAAAGTTATGAAAGTGTTTAAAGCTACAAAAAGATGTCAAAATTATGTGCAAAAATTAATCCTTAAGCTAACAAACAAATGAATGAAAACTTATGTTCTATCATCAATTTTATGGAAGCCAAACGGATGTTGTGTGAGTTGTAAAGTTAAAGACATAAATCGATTGGTTGTTACTGGTTCAATCACAAAACGCAAACTTCATTTGTTTATCTCTTAGAATTGCATAAAATCTTATTTTAAAATTATCACAGTTTTCAAATCGGATTAAAGCTTAAACCAAATCTTGAGTATTATCACAGTTGAAATTGTTTTAACATTTACACAAAGCTTAAATTGAGATCCTTAGATTCTATATCCATTGACACTAATCGGCCTATTCATTGACTTTCCTTCATCCATTCTTTCATCTACAATCACGGTCACTTGAAAGCAGACGAATAATGAAAATGAAGCAAAGTCAAAATTATTTACTTAAACTTAAATCTAATTGTGAAGAATTTCTTGTTCTGAATCATCACAGAAACTTTTGTGAGCTGTTTGTTGTCTTAAAGTCTTTCGAATTAACTTTCGAATGATTAAAGAAAAAGTTTCAAACAGATATAAAGCTCTTTTGATAATTTCTTTCTATATTGTAAGTCTAATTAACTAAATTAATTATCACAAAATATTTTTCATTAAAGAAAAACCAATTAAAGCTTTTGTCATTTGAATTATCACAAAATTATTATTGCACGTTAATCATAAATAAACATCGTTGAGTTGCAAAGATCAGAAATAAATGACTTTATAATGGAAGACAGAAAAATTTATTACAGCTCAATGCAACTCAACAAGGCCGGTCTTATGATCACACCTATAATCTAAAATTATTGCACCCAAATCAGTAAAATGTCGAAAAACTCTGATCTCATTACATAAAATATATGTTGCACAACATAAACACTGATGTTACATGAAATTTCAAAATTCTTTCAAACATTTATGCATTCATCACATAATGGAAAGATTTCGAGCTCATCGTACACATCATAAAAATATTTCCAGAATTAATTCCAGTCTATTAAATTGCAATTCATGTTTGAGATATTCGAAGGAAGTTTGCATTTTGTGATCTTCTTTTTACTGCTTTTTGCTAATCAGTAATGTTATGGTTGAGAGATTCTTGGTTATTAACTTAATCTATATTAAAGCTCAATTGATTGCTTAAACTCTAATTAAATGATAAAATGAATGAAAAGAAACTTACACTAAATATCCTTCATCTTCCAAGTACTGGCCATTGTAATACATACTTTCAAGTTCATTGCTGCATCTTTCAACATCAGCCAAGGTGAATTTGTAGCCTTTTCGTCGAAGACTTTCATTAAGTTGTTCCATGTAAAGCGTGTTATCATTATTGTTGTATAAATTCACATTTTGTCGACGACATTCGTTTAAGTAAAAGTTGTAATTATCGTATGCCTTGTCGATAACGCATGGTGTGTCGAATGGCATTTTGGCTTCTGAAGTCATCAATGTCGGGATGATGTCGCCGTAAAATGTTTCATCGAAAAACGTCTTGTAAGTTGCTTTCTGATTTGATGTTGTAACTGGAAACTTTGCGGGAACGAAACCGTAAATTTCATCGTTTTTAATGTTCTTCATATCCTGTTGATTTCCTGGAGAAACTCGATTGTTGAGTAACTGTTGGTTGACAATCTTCAACTTGCGCAATTTCTTCTTGTTGTTTCTCACGATCGATGAAATCGAAACAATGTTTTCCAGCTTGCTCCAATATTTATTCAGATTTATTTTTGCTGACTTTACAAACTTTCGTGTTGATAATTTCGGTTTTGTTGGCTGATTAAAAATAAATGTCAATTAATAAAAATTGAACAAATGTTGAGAGAAATTCTCTTCCTTACCTCATCGAAAATGAATGAATAATTATTCAAAAGTTGTGCTGATTTATTTTCGTTTTGAAGGCACATGATGGCGAATACCAAATCACTTTACAAAAAATATTTTACGTCAAAATTTTGTCTAAAAATCTAACAAACTTTTCGCTTCGAGAAGACTTTTTAAAATGATATCAAGGAGCAATGTTGCTAGCCTTTATATACGATCCTCCTACATAAATGTTTTCGTTCTCTCTTTTTCGTCGTTTTTCCTTTTTCTACTTGCACTCATATTCGTAGCGCGCTCGATGCACGAGCAAGTTGATCGCATAACACGTGTTTGTCGAACGAAATAAACGAAGAATCGAGAGAAGGTTTGAAAAGGGAATAAGGAAAGAAAACATAGCCAGAAATATTGAGAAACATGAAATATCTATACGAGCGCTGAGCGCATGCAGAAAGCGAGCGAAGAACGTGGACTGAGACTTTTTTCTTCTCTGCTTTTCTTTTTTATTTTTCTTATGTTTTGTTTTGACTTCTTGCTGCGATAATTGTGAATATGTTTTCAGAAGCCTTTCTTGAACTCTTCAAGAAGATAATTCATGTTAATGAAGCTTGTGGTCATCAACAAGCTTCTTGTCTTTTCTAGAAATATTTATCACTTCAGTTTCTAATTGGAATCTTCAACGCTAAAATTATTTTAGCACTTTTTGCACATCAATTTCTCATTAGAAATTGTTGACTTTTCATTTTTCCCAACCCCTCTAACTTCTGAACCCTCGACTTGTAGAAACGTCTGTTGTAATTCATTTACAACATGCGATGGAATTTCCTGAAATCGTTAAGAGTAATGTGAAGGAAATTAAAGAAATTTAAGCATCAAAATTGATGTTAATTGCAGTTGCTGTGCTTATGGTTTGTGCCAAGCGCGAGTTGAGCGTTAATGATCAACAACAATTTAAAATCACAGAAATTAAGTTTAATTAATCTGCATGAGTCATTTCACGCAGCATTCGAATAACAGTTGAGAAAATCACCGTCAACACGACACCGGAGATCAGCCAATGCTTTAAATTATGCACGGTCATGATTGTTGTTATTTTACGGAAAACGAAACAAAATTTTCCCACACATCTCGTCAGCATTTATTGGGTTCGCATTTGGAAATTAATGTGTGAACTGGACGCCAGGTGCAGATAAATAAAAAAAGATTCTTATATCTACTGTTCAATAAATGCTCAACGAAATTTCATATAATGTGGGTTGAAGACGAAATAGCAAAATTGACATAGAAAAAAAGGAAACAAACAAAATCCTCTCTGAAGAAGCTTGCATTCTCATACACACAAATGTGTAAGGATATTTTTTCATCCAACCATCCGTATGTTGTTCTTGTTATTTTATTTTTCTTCCTTCGCTTCGAAAGAAACTGGAACTGTGGGAAAAGTTGAAAACTTTGGTTCTCATACCCTTATTTTGTTGGATTAATATCCACACCTGCCATCGTTTGAAATCTCTTGATGGAAGTTGTTAAATGATATCACATGTCTTCAACAACATGAAAAGGGAGAATATTAAATTATTTTGAGCATGACAACAAGAAAGAATCAACCCTGAACGTGATAGTATTTTTTTGTTAATAAAAATTTTAAATTCATACACATAACGATGTGTTGTTTTGTGAGGGGTTGATTTTCTTATTGAATGAGGGCATTTGAGAGATTTTTAAATGCCTTTACATTTAGCATTTATTTGTGCACAACATAATTGTTGGATTCGCTTTGTGACGAAGGAGATTTGTTGTTGTTGCAACATTGTATTGTGGGTTCGTTGATAGACAATGAGAGATTTGATGATGATTATGAAACTTTATGTGGTTTCACGACTTGTTTTTCTCTTTTAATAAGATTCTGATTAATAATCCATTATCATATACGCATCCTGATATGTCATTAAACTTTCTTGAAAAATCATTAATTTTCAAGTCATTACATCAATTATCGAATAACGAAGGAAGGAGAGTAAAAAAAATCTTCCAAGACTTCATTATCTCATTTGTTCTTATGAGAAAGGGATGAGAATCGTTTATAATGACTTTAAAAACCATCACAAACATTCAAACAGACACAAAATATTTTTTATCTTGATATTATTTATAGCTTTTGAAAGGATGAACTTGTTAGAGATAATTAGTTGAGAAAACTGCTGACGATCGGTTGGCTTTTTTAATCTAATGCGAGAATGTAAATTCTTCTCAGTTTTCACTTGAAATTTCTTTTCAAATCCGTTCATATTTAAATCATCAACAAATTTTCTAGTCGACCTTATAACTGACGGTTAAAATGTTTCTATGGAATTTAAATGATCTTGAAAAGGGTTCGAAAAATGCTGTGGCATTAACGAATGATGGTAACAAGAAGAAGGAAGAAAGGATGAAAGCAAAAAAAAAGTCTTCCTGCATACATCAACTTTACCGATATTATTAACGTTACAAACGTTTTCAGCGGTTTCAAAGGATTACTGATCACGTCAATATTTCTGTTCCTTTCATCGATTGCAAAAATCAACCATTCAAATATCCATCTTTAAGTATTTCAACCCAAAAAAATATTGTTTACAACATCAACAAGAGAAATCTTTTATAATCGAGAAGGAGAAAAAAGCGTGAGAATCACGAGCAGGTGTAAGAATTGCTTTTTGTGTCGAAAAAATAAAATCATTCGCTCTTTTGTTGGAGAAAAATCAATCCAGGAATACTTGTTTCGCCAAAATATGGACAGGTATCTTTATGTTGTTGTCTTCTGTTGCCTCGAGGATTTTCTGGGACTCAACTTTTACTGGTTTATTGAAAAAAGAAAAGAGAAACATGACGATCCCTTAAATCTTAACAGTTCACCAGTTTCTGATGTTCTTTTATAAAAGATTTATGATGCAATATTATTCAATGCTGGAGGGAGATTGAAAGTTGTCAAGTTTTAATAAAACATTTCTCGTAGAAATCGTTAAACAAATAGATAGCTTTAATAATCATTTTAAATTGATCACGAAAATCAAATTTAAACAATTTTATATTGCTATTCACTTACGTGACAAGCTGAAACACTTCAATTGACATCACAGAAAAATTCCATCGCGTTCTTACTTCACACACAAACTTTTTTCTTCTTCTTTTTCTTTCAATCCTTTCATTCCCCCGTCATAATGATTTATTATGACGCATTTAGCCGTTAAAAATTATAAAAGAATTCCAACATGATCAACATGAGCGGTTGTTAGATTATTTTTTTTAACACCCACGCATTTAAATCTTTTGTCGTTGTGACATCCTTTTTATTCATTTCATTTCGTTGTTCGTCTTCAATTGATGCTTTCTGCTGACCATAAAGTGAAATAATCTTTCAAAAATATTTTTCATGACTTCCAAAAATTGATTTCCATTCATCATCGATTTTATTTCTTCTTCTTTTAGTTTTTGTATCTTTGAATCTTTCTTCTATAAGTAAAAATAAATTAAGAAAGGATGAAATTTAAAACGGATTTCGAGCCTTTTTTTTGTGTAATATTTTTAGAGACGTTATGGGTACACGTGTTAAATTGCCTCTCGGTTTTATTGTTATTTAAAAAGATTGAAAAGGACGATTTGGAGAAAAAGGATCGTTAAATTATAGAGCTGAGAAGCCTTCTATTTGTAAGTTGTGAGAAAGGGAGCATTGAAAAGAATTAAAATTAGTTCTCATTGTGAAAGTAGTCAAAAGAGTTTTTTTTTGGAAATTTATTTCCATGATTATTAAAACTTTTATTGCGTTTCTGCGTGTATATGAAAAAATTATTTAAATTATTGATTTATTTATGATATTGTTGAAATCGCATTCGAAAAGGATTTGTTGGTGACAACTTGATTAATTGTTGAAAGTAAAGATAAACGTGTCCCCTATGAATGTCTCAGGAAATTGAAAGACATCATCGCAGGTATTTATTTTATTAGACGTCCCTTAAATAACTTCACAAAAAAAGGAAATCATCATCAGATAAGAAATTTGTTGAAATTACGACACTAAAGTGCACTTTAAAGAACTTAAAATCACGATAAAGGGAAACAAAATTTGTTCACTTTCAATGTTGACGATAATCGTTTTAAAATGTCTCCAAGCTGTTAAGTGGCGCACACCTTAATGAGTTTTTTTTAATCATGCGGCGTTATAAAAATAAAATCATATTTCCTTCACCTTATCTCGTTGCTTCTCGTTCAAATTGAATTATTTAAATCTTTATGATTATTGAAAATCACGGTAAATACGCGGTTGCAACTTACGCGTAACCAGAAAGAAAAAAAAAATCAAGCCGCGGGAAAACAACAAAATCATATTCATTTATTTGTTTCCTGTCCAGTTTTTACTGTGAGAAATAAACGCAGGTGCAAAAATATTATTCAGTTCTCTTTGCCGGTGCTTTTATCATCATCATCATCATCATCATCATCATCATCATCAGCAACATCTTCTTCTTGATTGCATTTATTCGATGAAGAAACAAAAACAAAAGGGGGAGAGAAAGAAGAAAGAACATAAAAATGTAATTTTTGTTTTAAAAGAAATTTTCGTGAGTTTTTTTTTCAATTACAAATTTTACGGAAAGCCTCCATCGTCTAATTGCGAAGAGGAAAGAGAATTTTATTCCTTTTGAAAGACTGAGAGATGAAATAATTTTATGCGAATGCTCTGATTGGTTGTCGACAATAATTCCAATTTGATTCTGTGGCTGTAATTAAGGAAGCTGTAAATTGCCGGTAATAATCATTACCTCGAAACTCGCCATTGATTCATTCCAACTGAAACATCAACTTCAACTTCATTCATAATAAAAGAAAGAGTTGCGCAAATGTATTCAGATGCGATAGGAAGTGGGAACAGATGAGAAAGGGCGAGTCATTAAAAATCCTTGAATTGGAGGAAAAGATCAACGAATTTCAGGTTCTTGACTTTTTTTGTGAAAAAGAATTCAAGAAGAAAAAAAAGCTAATTATGCCGCCAACCTGACAATCACTGTTGTCATATTATTTACAAAACATCCGAAAACTTGTTCTTTACTCATGTGAGTAAATATTTATGTAAATTACTACCGCATGCATTGAATAAAGAGAAGAACATAATTGCGAAGTGCAATTGAATTTTTATGAAGATTAAAACGACTGAAATTTGAGAATCAATTTTCGTTTCATGTTGAAATGACATGCGATTGAGAGTTTCTCTTGCATCACGTTTCATCTGATGAAGATCGATATTCAGATTTTGCGATATTATATGTTATTTCTTCGATAAATAATTTATGTATTTCTTCACTACTGAACTGAATGAATACATTGTAAGAATATGAAGAAATGTAACACGCACAAGATATCACTTTGAGACAAACAAGTTTCATTTAATTATTATGAAAGATTTAAAAGAAATGAAATGGAGAGAGAAAAAGCAGTTCGTGGGAAACTTATTTGGGAGTTGTTCATTAATGATGTTAATCATAGTTTAAAATCACTAATGATCGCAACAATAAAAGGCCATAAAGAAAAGAAAGAAAAAAAACAGCACGTGGACCTTCCCAGTCGCTCTGCTTTCGTCTCAAGCGAGTCTCGCGACTTGAGATTTATCTTAATCATGAACCTTTTGTGCAAGCTTTTATGTATAATTAAAAGTACATAAGCATAAGAAATATCAATCAAATTGTGCTGCAGTTGACTTCAAGCTGTTTGTTGCCTTATTTTCCAACAAGTCTAATCAATGTCGACGAAGTTAACCATAAACGGCGATTTATTGAATGTCTCCATGCACCATAAATGTTGTTGAAAAAGACTTTTAAATGACAGCACGTTCCCACGAAAATGAGACTCGATTACTTATTAAGAATTCCGTCAAGTTAAACACGAAAGACAAAAAAAGAGGCTTTTGAGATATCATAAATCTGATACATACATACCAGCATAGTATCTTATGAATAATGGAAGTGGAGTGTAAGTAGAAACAGGAGAATATAAAAGTAAACAAAAGATAAAGCAAGAACGAAAGACGTTAATATCGTGTGCATAGCACGAACTATTTCTTACACGTTCTTCATTGTTGTATACGCAAATGAATTTAAACTTTCGATCTCATCTAAAATGAAGTGAAGTAAGTAGAAGGGAATTGGGCAATTGAAATGATATTTTCTTAATGTGATGTAGAATAATTTTTAAGGATTCTTTCGAGAAGGGTTCCAGAAGATTATTTTGTTGATTAAAGCGAATCTCTTCTTCTTTCTTTCCTCTCTCGTCCATCATTATTCAAGTGACACGTTTTCTGACCGACTTCATTCCAATCATGAGTCAACAAATAAACAAACAATAACAAGAGGAAAAAAAGGGATTAAATAAAAATGAGATGAGATGCCAATTCAGGAAAGAAAAAGGGAAGAGAAAAGTTTAAAAGTTTCAAAATGTTTTGTTGTGCAGCTTGTTAAAATTCCCATGGATTCACTCAAGAGATTCAAGTACAGAAAAAAGAAACCAAAAAAGTTTTACACAAATAATGTTAGGTATACGGAAGAATGTAAACTGATGCCTTAATTGTGCAAAACATAAATTTATGATCATCAACAAGATGTGACCAACAAGACGACAACAATTCATTCATTAAAGCAAAAAAAATAAATTTTGCAATTTCAGAAATTTTTCTCTTCATTTTCTTAATGAATCGTGAATAAATATTTAAAATTAATAAAAAAGAATATTTCCATTGATCAGATTCTTCACCCAATGCAAGACACATGTCTTAATTTCTCATCGTGAGAAAATGAACAGATGTGTTCGAAAAAAAAATTAAAAGTTTTGCTTTATTTAATGCTTCTCCAATATATGTGTGTAGATATTTATTAAGAACAGACGATGAAATAGAAAGGAAAGAGAATAAGAAGTTTACTATTGAATAGTTGAATCCACATGTGTTTGAAATGACGACTAGGATGCGATTTTGACTGTGGGAACCGATTTTTCACTCTTCTTGTTGTTCAGTGTGCATAAGAATCCAATAAGCAGCTCGTTTCTGCAATTTAAATCAACAACAACACGCGCAATGGCACAAGCAAATACTCTTAACATTTATTGTTTGCGATCACACGCTTGGCGTCGATGAATAATTTGACTTAATAAACATTCCCGTCACTGCACAACAGACCAGCGGATACATCAAGAAGAAAAAGAGTAAAAATAAATAATGATGATGATGATCTCCATGATCAATTATGAAATGTATTTTAATGAAAGGCCGGACGGAATATCTCACCGACTTTGCCGTTCATTTGATTACCGAAAATCACGCGCTTTAGTGGTACTTAAATTATTTTCTTTTTAGTGGGCCGAACAGTAGCTGAAAGGAAGTTTAAGTAATGAGAAATGTATCGTGTAATTAATTATGTCGGATCTCAATCATAATTACGTTAAGCTCAAACACAATTTACATGTAAATCGCATCAAGAAAATCGTTAAATCGTTAAATGAATCGATTTCTTGAGCTAAGTCGCTTAAGTTAAATCAGAAAGAAGCATTCGCGTCGCTTGCTGTTAACCAAAATGAATTCTTAATGCTCAACTGCGACTCTCGCATTTATGTAAATTTATTGTATAAAAGAATCCGTGATTCGACGCTGTGCTGCGAATGGATTGAAATTGAAGTAGCGAAGAAGAAGATTTAATCGCTTCCTTATGATGATGATCGAGATTCAAAGCATAAGTTGAAGAAGTAAAAAAGCTTCCACACAATTTTTTTTATTTCGTTTTTGGCACCACCCCTCGATTTCCCCTCTCATCATCTCGGCGCGAGTTCAGTAAAAGCTACAACACGTGATTCATACGCTTTCGTAGATTTTGTTTTTTCCCTTTTCAACTTCTTTTCGTTCCCATGAATGATGAAAAGTTATTTCTTCTTCTTTGATTGGTTAATGTTTGTATTCCTTAGTTTCTTATGAGAGAAGTTTCAATCAGACGTCTTTGAATCATGACAAACATTTTACAAGGAATTGCCGATATATTTCCGTCACGCGTTTCTTATATTTGACTTAAATGAGAAGAAGCAACGAACCGATGAATTCAGAAATAAAAAAATATTCAATTTCTTTATGGGAAAAGCTTGAAGGGGAATTTCGGTTCTTGAACGATGTTTAAGTTTCTCTCATTTTTTTTTCTTGTATTGTGTGTTTAAATTATTGTGAAGAAGCACGAGTAAAACTTATGGGAAAAAGTGAGCTCAGGAACGTGGAACCGACACAGGCCCAAAAACGACAAACAAGGAATTCGAGATGATGTCGTTTGTTGCTTCTTGGAAGAATTTTCTTCTTTACTTCGTCAAGCACAACACGAATCATGAGAAAAGTTTCTTTTAAAGTTTTTTTATTCCACTTTCCTTCTTCATTTCAATTTAAACGATTCAGAAATTAATTTAATTACACTTCACATCGTGGTCGCTTAAAGAGATGAAGGAAGGAACGAACGAATGAACGGATGTAGGTCATCACCAAACGTCAGAAGATTCTTAGCATGATAATTGTGTTATATTGGTAATCACTGATGTATCCACATGTAACATCCCATAAAGCATAAGAGAGAAACAATAAAAAATCAATAAGCAATTATGCTTTGCTTTGATGCTGCTTCTCTTTGTGTATGCATGAACTCTTCTTTTCTTTATTCTACATGCTTTAATTTGTAATTTTATTGGTCTGGGAGCGACTTGAATGTTGTGTAACCCGATCGATCACAATCTTCTGTTGAAAAATATTTCATAAATGCCACTACAAGATCATTTAACACATTCCATTGATTTACTCTTCTTCATCGCCCCCTTCACCTTTTATTTTCCTGTCAAACGACGAATGACGAATCGAAATCGAACCCCAAGTGTGTGTGACATCATGTTTAGCATGTTCCATACTCAGTTCGTGGGAAATAATTTTCATTTCTTTACATTCCCCTATTGTAGAGTTTTTTTTTTTTGTATTCTTTTTAGCAGCTCTTCTTCGCCAAACAGCTGAAGACAACAACAACGTCACGATGCAGGGAGTTGAGAGAAAATTTCCCACACTTCTTTTGTGAAGTTCTTTAAATTGTACTGCTTCTTATTGAAAGACGTTTTTCTCTTCGTTTTCTTCTTTCTCGTCTTGTTGGATTCAATTGTAAAATGATTATATTTTTTTATGTTTAATATTTGAAACAGTTCAATGCGTTTTATTATGTTCTGATCTGATACATTATTTCTTTTGGTTCTTTTCATTTCATTCATTTGAATTGATGCATGAATGGCATGGTAACAATGCTCATTATGCTATTTTATTAATCATTACTAAATGTAGATATTTTATGTTAAAAATATCGCGAGAAGTAAACTAGAAAACTTGAAAATCAAGAAATTTTTTTAACGATCGCAGTATGACGAGAATTTCTTGATCTCTTCCGTGAATAATTTCTTTTCATTTTTATTAAACGAACCCTAAAGAAAAGAAGAATTCCTTAAACCCTAAGGAAATGAAATGAAATCTCAAGAAAGGGGTCGAAGAACGTTGTCTCGCTTCTTGGCACTCTTTCACATCGAATTTCCCAATTAAATTTTATTGTATTCGCTCTCCGCTTCTTAGGGTTCTCAGCATAAATATTCAAGTAAGTTAGAAGCATAAACAAAACAATTTCTTTGCTGCCTGCCTCTCTTGCCGAAACGACTTCTTTTCATTCTTTTATCCTGACCTATACCCGAGTTGAAGAAAAGCATGGCACACAACCATGAAGCGTGTGTAAGGCAAAAGAGAAGCAAGCGAGCGAGCGAATGAGCTTTTTCCCCTTCCCTTTTTTTACTTCTCTTATTCACTTCTCATCCACTTCTTCTCGTCAATGAATGAATGAATGAAAAAGTTTTTTTTTCAGTTTAAATCGACATCAGAAAGCAATTGGACGTGACGTATGTTTATCGCGCGTCATAAAAAGAAAAGGATTTGTGAAATTCTAATAAGTGTAGTTTAATCAAATCAACAATTGTGAAAGTGACAATAAATAATTTAAAGAATCAAGAAGAATCTCAAGTGAAATGGCACCAACAATGGGTCTGAATAATAATAATAATAATGGAAATGGACAAAGTGGTGGTGATTCACCCTTATCAAAGACTTATCAATATCGGAAGATCATGAAGCCAATGCTTGAACGTAAAAGACGTGCAAGAATAAATCGTTGTTTGGATGAATTAAAAGAACTCATTACTGGAGCTTTACAGAATGTAAGTTAAAATTAATTTTAAATTCCACAAAAAATATAAAAGAAAGAAAAATTTGCCGTCGCAATCTCACAACATGAAGCGGAACTTCCTAATTGCTAATTCTCTCAGATAGTCTTTAACCGACAGGTTAATTAGTTCTTTGAAATCATAAATTCCATCAGACACAATTGCATTCTTGTTGATTGTCGACAGATCACTTTTCTCTTGTGCCGTGTCGTCTTTCTTTTCCCACAATTTATCATCTCGTTTTTCTGCTTACATTTTTTTCTTTCATTACATTTCTTCGTTTTCAACATTTATTCATGATCTTTATGTCTTTTAATTATCACAGAGTGATGGTGAAGAGAACATTACTAAACTGGAAAAGGCTGATATCTTAGAACTTACCGTTCGTCATTTTCACAACCTTAAACGGCAAAATAAATTCTACGTGAAATCGGACCAAAGTTATGCTGATCGCTTTCGTGATGGCTTCTCGCAATGTGCCAAAGAAGTTACGAAATTCCTTTACAGTCAGCAGAATCGTGCTGGTGAGCACATCATTGTTCATCTCAACGATTGCATGCGACGACTTGATGGATTAACCAACACTCCAAATAATATGCAAATAAACAACAACAACAACAATAATTACATTTCAAATGACAATTTACATTTGGAATTAAATCATCAACAGTCAGCGTCGTTTGTTTCACTTCATCAGGCACCATCGCATCATCATCAACATCCTCATAATCCAAATAATACAATTCGACAACCAATTCCATTATTAAGGAAAAGTCCAATCCCACCGCAACACTATTTACTGCCACTTCCGTCAACTTCACCGCAAGCTCCAAACGGTGGCAGTCCAATCATGTTGAGAACTATAAGCCGCGAATCAATGTCATCGACATCGTCAAACGATCAGAATAAAGATGACTCGAAATGTTGTTGGCGTCCTTGGTGAATATTCTCAAAAAAACTTATTCACTTTTTGTACTAAATACATAAATTTAATTATAATTAATCCACGTTATGCAATCGTAAGAAATTAATTTCCTCAAAGTGATTTTCATGCCCAAATATTTTAGAACAAAAAAAGATGAAGGAAATGAAAAAAAAAAGCTAAGTAAGCTCAATTTATGATTAAGTTATTGTCTTCCAATCTCATTTCATAATTTCCTTTTTAAGTTGATTCAAAAACTTGTAAATTTTTTTTGTGTTTTATGTGACAAAAAAGCCTTTCTCTCAATTCGTACACAACAATGATGATTAATTAAACTTTATGATTTTTTTTCATCTTTTTAATTTTAAATTAAAACTTCAAAAGTGTGTCTCGTTTTATGTCATTAATTTTTTTTCTTGCATTTGAATTTATTATTTTTTTTTCTTCAATTGTTTGTCGAGTGTTGAGTTTTTCTTACTTTACTTAAAAACATTTTTGAAAGTTTCTTTTTGTCTTGTCTTTTGTTTATTAAAATCAAAAGAATGTAAAAATGAATTTTATAATTGATCTGCTTTAAAAGAAGTTTAAGAAAACGAAGAATTATGAGAACTATAATTAAGGTAGAATTTGACTCGATTAAATTTTTAACAATAAAATGATGATAGACTGTGATAGTCATTTAATGAATGATAAAAGAGAGAAAAGATTTGAGAAGAATATTTGTGAATAAAATAAACTTTTTTGACATTACTACAAAAAATAAATCATTTTGAGTTTTCAAGGATATTTGAAACTTGCAGAGATCTCCTGTCACTAAGTATGACCTAGAAATTCAAAGATCTTTTTTTACAACTTAAGTGAATTTTGATTCCTTTTCTTCATACTTAAAAGTTTTTTATTTCATGTCTCGAGACTTGAGATTGACTCAATCGACATTAAAACTTAAAAGTTCTTTCAGGTGTTTAACATATCAATCTAGTGAAACGATTATCATATCATGATTAAAATTCATGACCACAACTTTATTATCGAGCGATTTTTTATAGTCTTCACAACGCCATCAGTGCGTTGTTTTAAAGCCACAACATAATATTGCTTAATTTATTCTCAAAGCAAAGTTGCAGTTTATTATTATACTACAGCAGCCAAAATGCCAGTAGCAATTCAGTTGTTTTATTTTTTATTATCACACTTTCCGATTACATTTTTTTCTCTTCTTAAAAAGCTACTGCGGCTTCTTATCACGTGTTGTACTTTATACAAAACTGGTTCTCCTTCCTTAGAAGATTGACTGACTGTGTGGTGGGACGGAAAATATTGAAATAAAAAAAATATAAATAAATAAATTCCACAAACAACACGATCATCATAAAATACATTGTCACAGACTCTTAATGGCAAACGACGAAACAACAATGATAAGACAAGACGGGAATGTTATTATAGCTTATAACAGTGTGTTGCTTGGATATCATTTATCTTCTTGATGAAAGAAGAGAAATAATCAGATCAGTTTCAATGTTCACTTGTCGGTAATCATCATAAAGCTAAACCAAACAGGTTCATTGAAGGCATATTTTGCAGCATAATCATTAGTCTCAATTACTATAACCAAGTGAGAAGTCGCTTTAAGAATCATTTTCACGTAAACAGTAAAGTTTCAGCCACAACAACAGGTAGGAAAATCTAGTAGCACTGCAAATGATCATTATCGTTATTTATTTGCTTTTTGCTTGCCATCAAAACTTAAGAGGCGGAGTGCGGTGTGTGTTGAGAGAATCGAAACAAGGAAAGAAATAAAAAATTGCACCATTATACAAACTTGTGCTTAAAGTCATTCCGCACATTATAAAGAATCAATTAACACTTTACACCGAAAGACCAACGAAGATGATGATGACGATTAAGAAGAAGATGAAAAGCGCAAAAAGACTCGCTTCGCTCTCATCTTCAACTTCATCTTCATCTTATTCATCGCGTACCCGTGTGAAAGAAATGTTGAATGACGCGGCAAATAAAGAAGGCACACTAAGTGCTCAGCTCTAATCATCGTTTGCAATGTACTGTGGCGAGCGAGAGTTGAGTAGTTGAAACAGACATATTGGTAATTACTCATTTCCAGTATTCTCATGCATACCGCAAATAAATATCTACAATAATAACAACAGCAACAACATCATCGTCATCATCGAAAAAAAAAAACAAAATAACTACGGTAAGAAGCAGCACAAAAAGCCATGCTCCAAACAACAATTTTAAAAAGAAACATAAAAATGAAATAATGATTGCAAAAGACTTGATAAATAAAAATGTGTGATCCCAGCGCGAGACACTTTCCCAAGACTAACGCTAGCGTTTCAAGTCATGTAGTTAGGAGTCGGCACGAGTTAACGTTTTCTTTTCTATTTTTTTACATCATCCATTCACTCAATACGTTTCTGTCATTCGTTCCATTCAGTGCTCTCGAACTTATAATATTTTCCCACGTTTTCGTAGCCGAGCGCTTCATTTCATTTGTTGCTTTTTGTTGTAATTCAACATAAACAGCGAAATGTTTTCATCGCCGTATAATGACTAATATTTCAGCGATGTATATGTGATGTTATTTATAACTTAATACATACCATCGCATTGCTTTTGTGGTGTCTCTTCTCTCTCTCTCGCGTGCACATTGATTGTGATTCTGATTCCCCTTATTTAATTCTTCAACAACCATACTTTTCAATCAACCCAGTCAGCTCCCTCTTTTTATTTCCCAAATCTCTCTTAATTTAATATTCTTTTTTTTTTTTTTCATTTCATGCTTCTCTAATACAATCAAAAGGTCGTTTAACCATTTAGTCGAATCTACAATAATAATATGAGAGAAAGACAACAAAATGCGATATGTAATAAATTAACGATGAATGGAAAGCAAGCAGAAAAGAACCAAAAGCTAAAAGTATGAATGGACACGAGACAACAACGACGATGGATGGAATGGAAAGGAAAAAAAAGAAATAAAAGCACAAGAGAAATATTCTTCGTAATATGTTTATGAAGCTCATGTGATTACATGTATCTTAATTATTTATCCACTTGCGGTGTTTGTCTATCAATGTCATGAATGATTTCTTTTTTTCTTATTAACATCGCATAACTCTGCTTTGAAGCAAGCATCATAAAGATTTGTTTGTTATTGTTTCTTTTGTTTATGATTTGATGATCAAATTACTCTGAAGATTTGCCGTCCGCTTTGTTACAGATTACTCAAGACTTTGTATTGAAACAACGCACGTTTATAGTTTAATATTCTATCGTCTTCACATTACAAGAAAAACGTTTTTAAATATTTTATTATAATTTCTGTAGAATGCAATTTACAATAATTTTTTAAGCTAAATTTTTGATGATTGTTTGCGTAATGTCGTAGTTAATTTCCGACAATTTCTCGACAATGTTGAAATGATCCAAGCCATCCATTAAATGGAAATTGGCATGAAGTTTCGCAAGTTTGAGATGCGCAACAAATTCTCTTGTTTGCTTCTGAAGTGTCGGCGATTCTACGCTTCCAACAAATGCATCAAAGACAATGTTGTGTCCTTTCAAATGATCGAAATTATGTTTCATTGGCGACAATTCTCCAACATTTGCATCAGTAATCGACAATAAATTATCACGGTTGACAACTTTCGTATTTTTCAACTCACTCAGATCGTAAACCCCAGAAATCAAATAAATATTTTTAATCAACTTGAACTTATCGCCAAGTCTCTTAATCATTTCATCAGTGAAAAGATACGTGATAAGATGTGCACCGGATAAATGACCGATAAACGAGACACTTTTGGAATTATGTTCGACTGCATAGTTGAAAATCCTTTCGGCTGCTTTCTGGAATTGCTTAATGACTTCTGTAAGTGGAACGTCTGGGCACAAGTCATGATCAATAACAAAAACTTTCGCCTGATGCTCAACGTACGGTTTGACAGCATAAGATGAAGTATGTTTATTCATTCCTTGCCAATATCCACCATGAACGTAAACAATTATTGGAGCATCAGTCGGTAAGTTGACACCATAAATATCAAGTCTCTGACGAAAACTATCACCATAAGGGAAGTTCAACAAGCAATTGATTGCGTAACGATTTCCATCAGACACTGAAAAATATGTTTTAATCAATTTAATTAATTCATTTTAGTTATCAAGTCACATTACCTTTGTTCCCAAATTCAACGTGATTATCCAAAAGTTCTTTAGCACTACCGAATCTCGTCGTCCATTCTCTTGGATCGTATTCCTTTTCCAGGTCTCGTGATGCCATTTTTTCCTATTTTTTAACTGATACACTCACTCTTCGTGCTGGTCAAATTAAAACTGAAGATTTTTTGTCGTCTGGTATGATATTTTATACGCAGCTTGATGCTTTTGTCATTTTATCACTTGCTTAATGACGATGACTGTAATGACTTTGAAAACAAACACCAAATCTTTCTATTTGCACGCTTCTGATATCTGCTGATATGGAAAAATATCCAAAAATATTTCAAAGATGTGTTAATGAGAATCGAAGTTGACAACTTCATACTTCAATAAGCAGATGAGAAATGACTAAATAATGGCAAAGCTTCAAGCAAATGAGCATCTAATGAGATGACTTGTAAGTTACAAGTTGTAACTTTCAGACTTCCGTTGCATTCATGAATGTCTGTACTTGGAAAGTCAAGAAACTTTCATCACAATACTCGTAATAGAATGCATGGAATATTTTTTATTCATTTATTTGTTTGTTATGTGTTTGGCGACGTGATAAGATAACAAGAAATTTGATTTAAAGTTTTCATTTCTTTGTCATTGTATGTTGTCTCCATGCATGAAGGTAAGAATATCATTTGTCGACAGTCATGTGGAAATTTAAATCTTTGTAAAATGTTCAATAAGTCACGTAGCTTTCCTAATCATGGTCGACTGGATTAGAAGTTGGTAAACAAAACTTTATTTTTTTATTTGAAATATTAAAAGTCCTTACGATGATCATTTAAATTATCTGTGACAAAAACTTCTGATAAAATAATTATCCAAACCATTACCTGTTAATTAATCCCAAGAAAAAAATAAAAACTTCAAAATTCTACACGAAAATCAGAAAATCAGAATCTTTTATTGCTTTTCTCAGACTCTTTTTCATTTCGATTTACTTTGAAAAGTATCATCAGTTGTTCGATTATTTAAAGCAAATCAATATGGATTCTTATATTTTAACGTAAGTATTCCCAGGTTGGTTTCCATAATTTGGTGGACGTGATTGTTGGCCACCAACCAATCGTTGATATTCTTCGGCTTCCCTCATTAACACAAACAGCGAATAGACACACAAAAAGCAATAGAAATTGAAGACTAGAATAGAATAATGAAAGAAAAATAAATAATCGATTCATGACTCATCAATCGTCATCTGTGCAACTTACACAATGAAATTCCACCAAATACGAATGCAAACAATGAGTAGCCGATAGTTTGCGGGGATGTGAAAAAGTAAAGCCCTATAAACAACCACAAAATCGTATAGAAAATTAACTGCGTCGCTCTTTCGATCATCCATGGAACAAGGAAAAGTCTTTTGTTGTTTGATGCTCCATGTATCAAAAATAATGAAGCTAATGCTTCAATTACATAAAATCCTATAAGCATTGATATTATTGAGATTGCCATATTTCGCATGAAGTCGATATCAGCGTCGCTAAAGTCTTCAGGATTCCTTCCATTTGTGATGTTCAAGTTCTGAAGAAAATTTCGTCGTAAAATCTTTGGAAAATTCACAGTCATTATTTGTTTACCTTAATCATCCCATCAATATCATTGAATGACATCGACCATCCAATAATTGAAAAGAAAGCTGATACAAATCCAAGCCATCCCAACAACACTGAGCCGGTGTGAAGACTGAAGCAGAAAAATCCGTCAAGAGTCATCGCGTGAGGCATCTATTTTTTAATGTTCTTATCTAACACGCTTTTTTCAATCTACAAAAAGGAAAATAATTGTGACATTCAGATCAACAATAACTAACGTTGAAAAGATAAGAATGACTTATAATAAGAATTCAAAGAAAAAGTGAATCAAATCGAATTTTATAGTACTATAAGATTCCTAATATGTACTTAATACTCACCAATTTGTTTTATTGCTCCTTATACTTTGATAAACTTAAGTCTTTGATATATTATACAAGCTTTAATTATTTTTAAAGCGAAGAAACATCTGAACGTTCTTTGTCTTTTTTTCTCTCTGAAGTTTTATATTCCAATTGTTCTTTTTTCATAACAATACAGGGTGCCTTAAAATTTGTGAAACAAAAATTTGTTTCAATTTCAAATTGTTCTTTCTTAACATGAAACGACATGAATATGAAATATTTGATTTAAGAAATTTCTTCATTAATTCATTTTAAGGAAACTTTTTTTAGATGAAACACCTTCTATAAATTTATCAATGTCTACCACATCTATCGTTCGTCTCAAAACATTCTAATAAAAAAGTGCTTCCTTCACGAATTGTTCATGAAAAATACCAGTTTTGACCTGTTATCACGTTTGACATCTAAGCCTATGTAGAAAGTTGTTAAAAAATTTCAATTTGTGAGGAAAAGAAATACATTTTAATATTTTATTAAGAAATAAACTCACTGGCTGCTGAAATTATCTCCAAGAAAAGAATGGCAAAAAAGTTCATTTTAAATGAAAAGAAGTCTTCATTGAAACTTTAAAGTTTGGCATTACCATTAAGACAAAACATTTGTTCTCTATAATAAAGAAAGTGAAAGCAACAACAAATATGTTCATCATATTTTCTTAGACTCCTCAAAATTCTTCCTGAATTTTTTTTAAAAATAGGTAGAATAAAATAAAAAAAATATTAAATTAATAGCAAAACGTTTCACTTAGAATGTTCAAACTAAAATTTGGTTTACTTTATTTATAATAACTTTTATGAATTTTTCATTATTTCAACTAAAAAATCTACTCATGCGTCTAATTTTCTCCCAAGCGAGACTAAGGCGTCATGACACTTTAGAATGTCAGGATGATCAGCTGCCATTGAACTCAATTTACATCGGAAGCTTTTAACCTTTTCTAAACTTAATTTCATTCCTCCATTTCTGATTGCTGATCGAGCATTTAAAGTGAGAACTTTGAAACAATCTTTCCGCAGAATATTATGACTGACATCATCCCAAAGAGGAAGAGCACGAACATAAGGCCACACCATAAGAATATAATCAATCAATGCCTCATAATGCTGTGAATCGTTAAGAATCTTGCAATGATTATAAATTGCTCTAAAAAAAGAGAAGAAATTATCAAGGAAATTAAAAATTTCAAAACATTTTTGTTACTTTTTAAATGCAATCAAATGAGGTGAAGCTCTTGAAAAGGCAGCCCCATCTGTTTTACTTAATAATCTTGAACGTGGTGAACTTCTTGTGATACTTTTACGAAGCTCGCAAATCTTCTCTTCATACGAACGAATGTCGGGTAATGGGAGATTCTTCCGCACACTTTCTTCAACTGCTGAATTTTGTGAACTTATATCACAAATAATGTTTATCAACTGATCTTGATCGAGTCCTTTAAGCAATGTTCGTATTGGAACATTATCATTTGCTCTGTTTGTTGTATTATCGTTAAAGAATTTAAAGCGTTTTGGTGGAGTCATAGTTGGCGTAGATGTTGTTGGATTCTGTGTCGTTGGTTTCGATGGTGCATCGACGAAAATTCTCTTTCGTGGTGAGCTTCTTAAAGTCATTGATGTTGAGTTGTTAAATAAATTTTTAGCAGGTGATGGCGACAATAAAGACATGTGAAGACTGCTACTTTTCTTTGTTGGGGTTTTGAAAGGAGATTTTACCGGTGACCAGCTAATTTTAGCTGGTTGCTTCTTCCGTCCTCTTTGGCGAATTACCATTTCATCAAGTGATGGGATGGAATTGTGAATATGACCAACTAAACTATTTTCCAATGAACTGATACGTGGTACAAGTGCTCGTTCATCAACCGATCGTCTTAAAGAATTTCTTCCATCATATTCCTCTTCTTCATCTTCAAAAGAATCATTTGCGATAACACCATCGTTACTGTTGTTATTGTGCGAATCCATAATATTCAATTGTTCCAAAATAAATGGAATATCTGAAAGGTCGGCAGGCGAGGGACGTAGATCTAAGATACTCATTTTGAAATTTTTGCTTTGAAAGATTCTTGATTTGTTTTAACAATTTTGATAGTTTTAATAATAATTTCCAACCGTTATTGATACAATTTACTTCATTTGACAATTAGAAGTACATTTAACTCACAATTAAGGATGAATTTAAATTTTTTACACTCACATTAAATATTTTAAAGGTACAAAACCTTCTTTACGTTTATTATTATGGATTGAGAGGGGTTTCGACTGTTTTCGCGCCAAGGGTAATGTAACTTTTGATTTATTTGAATTTGTGAAAACTGTTAAAAATTTAAATTTTATTATAATCTCTCTTCATATTTCTCTCTTGTTGTTTCCCTGTGTAGTATTGTTCAGTTGCTTTTTGTATCTCAGTCGGTCAACATACTTAAAACTTACTGTTACGCGGCTTTTACAACTAAGTCAATATTCTCACTCAGCCAAGTTATTAAAATGTAAGAAAGTTAAAAAAAAGAGTTTTCAAATATTTGTTTAATCATGCAATGTGTAATTTTAAACCATATTTGTGCATTAAGTTACAATCAAGAAACCTGAGTATTGCAAAGCAGCAAAAGAAAGAAAAAAAATCGCATTGTTTGCTGCTGTTAGTGTTTTAAAGAGGTCTTTGAAGAAGAAAATAATAACTACGCATTACCAAATTTCTCTTGCACTATTCAGGAATCCAGGCCGGAGTCAATGTTTCATTTTTATTTCTTTCAAATTTAATAAAGTTTAAAAATGATGTGCATAAAAAAAAGAAAACGCTGATCGTCACGTCGTGGGTTGCAAGATCGATTTCGAATCAGCTGAGATAACACTTTCTGAACTTTTGTTGTTCATTCGACAGTTTTCGATCATCACAAAAGAAATTGACGATTGAAGTTGTCAAGATTTCTTAATTTCATTTAAAGTCTTTAAATAGACAACCGAAAATTCGTAGATATTTTGCGCACAAAAAAATTAAACTCTCTTCGCGAAGAGACTGCGTGATCGGTCCATTGTATAGACAAATGTATATTCACACAAGTGTTTATAACAAGAAAGTGTGTAAACTTTAACTTAAACGAAATATTAATGATTCATTCAAAGGAAAACGAAAATTTCATGAAAACTTATTCCAAAAACGCTACAGTGAAAGTTCGCACGTACATGAATAGTAGAGAAATCAAAGTAGACTTTTTAGGTTCACCACATGATCAATCGATGAAAAATTATACTTCATTAAATATGCTTGATTACTGTGTGAGCTTCAATTTAAAGTGTAGTGAGTAGCGAACGACTCAAAACACAATTGCGATGAATTTTTGACGTCTGGAATTATTTTTATAAAAATTTTATTCATCGAGTTGAATGAATTTTCTCAGTTTTCTATGATCTTCTCTTCAGCACGCTTGTTTTCAATCATAGACTTGAAGATCTTACGTAATATTTCCCTTCAATGAATGTTTCGGTTTTTAAATTCACGATTTACGAAATTTTTGTTGAGATAGAAAATTCCGATTGTGCGATGGGAAATATCTCAGACTTTATCTGTATAATTAGAAAAGACTTTCAAGAACGTTTTCTTTGCATGTTTCATAAAGGAAAACGTTTTAATTATACATTGGACTGAAAATGTATGCAATTTTGCTTTCGTTCGTTTGTATAAATGAATAAGAAAATAAGAAAATTATCAAAACGTTTAAAAAGTTTTCCAATCGATTGAAATTACTCTTCAATGTGTTGTGTAGAAAAATCTTCAATAATATTTGTACAATCAGGCATTTTCAATTATTTTATTCATGCGACCTTCATGTAACCGTTGCCATCAGATTCGGTCGCTTAATCGTTCGATGTTCCACATTCTTTGCGGTCTTGACAAATTAAATAAACCAAAAGTTAAGCACACTATTCAAAAATAAATAAAACAAAACAAGACGACTTAAGATAATTATCAGGGCAATGCTTTATTCAAGGCTGCATTGCGCATCATGTTAAGTGGCGTGACAAACTATTTTGACATTCACAGCTGTCATGAAAGTTCTAAATGGAGGCTATATTTAAAGCAAGTAAAAAAAGTGCTTTGATGTAATATTTTCATGATTCTAATAGAAAAAAAATTAATTTTGCATGTAATTTTTTTCGGACGACCTTTTTGCTTGCAACAATAGCAAATAGCGATGACTCACTTAGCACATTATACAAAGATCACGTTTTGTTTATTCATTCAATATGAGATTTCTTCGTTATGTAAAAATGTATTGTTTGGCATTTAAGAAGAAAAATCGTCTGCAATAATTGATAAGTAAGAAGAAGATGTGTGGGTTCAATAATACTTGCAAGAAAATATCTGGTTTTATGTCAAGAATCTCGTAAGATCAATGTGGAAAGAAACAGCAAAATAACAGAAAAAGCTAACTGGACATTTAACTCAAACTGTTATAACTTCTTACGAAAACAATTTTTCTTATCTTTCACAAGCATTCTGTCGATGTCAAATTGTCTCGTTTCATGTATCACCACGCTTTGTTACGCTTTCCATCAATTTGAAGCAATCGCTTAGTTTTATAACTAAAACAAAAGGAAATTGTCACACGAAAAATATTTTTCCATTTAGATAGTTGTTGTTTTTGCTGTTAGATATTTTGTCAGTTTTTATGCGTCGTCGAACTTGACGTAATTTCAGTTTAACAAAAATTATTTTTCATTGTAACAAAATGATAATTACATATTTTTGAAGTAATGGATAACAAGAAGTATTTGATTTTTGATTATGTATTTTGGTAGTTACTCAAACTAATAATGAATATTATTCATTAGAGTTTCTCTCTCACGCTAAACATCCGAAATTTAATTTTAAGATGAGAAGAAAAAAATTTCACCGCACATACAACACGTGATTGAAATCAATTTGAAAATTTGTTGTACAAAATAATTTCATGACATTGCGATTAATATCGTAAGCAAAAGCAACTTAAAATTTAATCAAAACACGAGAGAAAGAGAGACTTACACGATTATAGACAATCGAGAAAGAAATGTGAAAATGTTTGTAGTAACAAACCGGCAAAATGTAATTAGTCTCTCAATGTGTATGGGAAAAGTGAAGCTAATAACTTCCGTCTAATGTTTTTGTATCGTCTTTGGAAATTTCTTTCATCATTTTTTCCTCTCATTAATTAATCTGATTATCACTTGTAGGGTGAACTCAAAACAACATTGAAAGTAACAAGTGTTTCAAATTGCCTCAACACAAAAATATTTCAAAATTCATAAGCTAATAACAAGTCACTGCGAGAAACTGAAACTTGCTTTAAACTCTTTGTGTGCATAGAAGAAACAAAATCTTTATTAATTATCTTCATCTCGTTCTCATTTCAGTTTGAAAAAATATTTGAAGAGTGTGACATAAAAGGCCTTTATTTAATAAACAGAAGTAAACAGAGATCAAAATGGTTTTGTTTGACAAATGCTGTTGCTTCTTTCGCTTAACAACTGGTGGAATGATTCTAGGATGGTTGGGAGTTGCAGATTCTTTATTAGTCATTGTGCTTTCAATATTTGGCCTTGCAAATGTTGACACCATCATGAATCATATCAAAAATGAAACAGAATCCTTTACAGCTCAAAGTATTAATGATACGCATTTATCGATATTCAGAAGGAATAATGGAGAAATGTCAATAGAAGATGAAATGACCATTAAACGAGGTAGATATTGTGAAACTTTAAACATAGTGAAATGAAATCTTTTTTTTTTTCTTTAATGACTTTCTCCATTTATGCACGTTCACTTAGGCATGTACGTAGTACTTACACTCAACCTAATCGTCAATTGTGTGACATTGATTTCATCTCTCCTGCTGATAACCGGTGCAATTAGAGTAAGTCACGACGCATGAACAATCGCTCGACTGACCTTGACGGTGAAGCTCAACTCGATTAATTTAACTCTTTCTATTTTTATTTTTAGCGCAACTCTAAGTTCGTTTTACCGTGGTTATTATGTGAAGCTGCATGTCTTGTTTTTTCGTCACTGGCTGCTGTTTCGAAGAGCTTTGAAATGTTGTTGTATCGTGAGAGTTTCTCTGAAGGCTTTATAACTATTTTAGGAATCAGCATTTTAGTTGGAATTGAAGTTTACCTTTACCTGTGCGTTTATTCACTTTATCAAATCCTGAAATCAGAAGAGAAGCAACGTCAACTGCAAATGAATGAAATGCAGCAAAATAATCAAGCAGCTGAAAAAGATCCACACGATGGCTTACCACCATATTCGGCATTGGCTTAGAACTGGTGGTGAAAAATCTTATTATTCCACTTGAAACCAAAATCTTGTTTTAACATTTTAATTTTCATACATTTAAATATTGTTTCATTTTTGCTGATGTTTCTTAATTTTATGAGTGAACACGCAAATTGGCGGAAGTTCATCTGATTAATAAAATATACAAGTTTTTTAAACAAAGAATCGTTATTATGTTTGATTCGTAAACAATATGCCACAATGTGCCTACATAATTAAAACAAACCGTCCTTGACAAATGCTTCGGTTTAGTTTACAATGTTGATGAGAATTTTCATGTTTATATTTTTTAACGGTTATTTAAAATTCAAGTTGATTTCTGATTTCGATTCTTCTTCAAGTGCTGAAGTTTAAATCGTCAAGTTACTTGTGGCCAGCTTTTTGTTTACATTCAGATTTTTTAAAGAAAATTTAGTAAAAACAACTGTTTTAAACATTTGTAATCATAGAGAATAAAAAATAAAAGAAGAAAAAATATACAATTAAAAGGATCTCAAGATGTTTTCACAGCAAAACGTCATGTCTCAGCCAAATCCAATGAAAGATATTGAAGTTGCTTCACCGCCAGATGATTCAATTTCGGCTTTGAAATTCTCACCAGCAACATCTCTACCAAAGAATTTTTTGCTTGCTGGTAGTTGGGATTGTTCAGTGAGATGTTGGGAAGTTGAGGATACTGGGAAAACAATTCCAAAAGCAATGAAAACAATGACTGGACCAGTACTTGATGTTGGATGGCATGATGATGGCACAAAAGCGTTTATAGCAGGAGCTGATAAGACAGCTAAAGTGTGGGACTTAGCAGCTGATCAAGTAGTTCAAGTAGCTGCTCATGATCAAACTGTGAAAACTTGTCATTGGGTTAAGGCACCTAACTATACATGTTTAATGACTGGTAAAATGAAATTTCATAATTTATGGCTTAAACTCAGTTTTTTTTCGCGTTTTCAGGAAGCTGGGATAAAACATTAAAATTCTGGGATCTAAGACAATCAAATCCAATTCTACAATTTCAACTTCCTGAAAGATGTTACACGGCTGACGTTGAATATCCGATGGCTGTTGTTGGAACTGCAAATCGCCATGTGATTATTTACTCTCTCGAAGGTCAACCACAAGAATTTAAGCGTCATGAGAGTCCATTAAAGTATCAACATCGTTGTGTAGCAATATTCAATGATATGAAGAAGAAAACTCCAGCTGGTTATGCTCTAGGTTCAATTGAAGGACGTGTCGCCATTCAATATCTTAATCCTGTTAATCCAAAAGACAATTTCACATTCAAGTGCCATCGTGTTAATGGAGCAGCCAATTTTCAAGATATTTATGCTGTTAATGACATCGCTTTCCATCCTGTTCATGGAACTCTTGTAACTGTTGGATCTGATGGGACATTTAGCTTCTGGGATAAAGATGCTCGAACTAAGTTAAAGAGTTCAGAGTTGTTGGATCAATCAATTACAAAATGTGCTTTCAGTGCAGGTGGTCACATTTTTGCTTACGCTGTAGGATATGATTGGTCTAAGGTGAAATTCTTTTTTTATTCAAAATCAATCCACAAGTGGTTGAACTTTTTTTTTCTTTTTCCTTTATTCTTCAGGGTCACGAGTATTATAATCCTCAAAAGAAAAGTTATATTTTACTCCGCTCCTGTTTCGACGAGCTCGCTCCACGAAAAAGCAACTAGACATCATCATCTCTTATTATTACATAAATTTTTTTTGTTAGCAACGAAATAAAAAACCACAAAAATATGAGATGAAAATAAAAATATTTTTCTTTCATTTTTGAGAATGAAACTTGACTTGAATTAAGCAATTTTTCATCTCCGATTTTATGCATGAAAACAAGAAACAAAATAAAACTCTTGTCTTTCCAGATTATTGACAATCTATAATAACTATTGTAATGAAGTCATTATGAAAATTTAAAGACTTTTGAAAGTCATTTAATTAATTATTGCATTATTTTCAAAACAATTTTTAACTTTCACGATGATTAAAAAATTTCAAATACAAAATTTTAAATAGTCGGCAGTCTGAAACAAAGACAAGAGTTCATTCCAACTGCCGAACGTTTTTTTATTTTTAGAATGCTCCTGAAAGCAGATTTTCGCATCTCTGAAGAAAACGAATTGAGAAAATTTTCATTTACTTTTTACTCGGTCATTCGTTATCTTAGAGTTTAGTACTTCTAGTTGAGTAACTGCCATACTAAACAGAAATAAAAAAGATGTTAACAGTTAAAAAGTTTGCTGCTTTGTTTAATCTTTCGGTTGGTGGATATGTTGCTGGACTTGCCGGTATCATCTTCTCAGTGCTGACAATCGTTGTCTTTCCACCCGACATTGATTTGCAAGGAATGTCACATTTAAAAAAATTATTTAATTCATTCAAGATAAAAATATTTAATTTTCAATTTTAGACGATGAAAGTAAATCGAGTTTGATATCAAATATTCTCGCTTCGACAACTCCATCATCGGATTTTGAAACTACAACCGATGACGATGAAAATGATGACGATGAGCCGATTCCGGGGAGTGAGAGAAGGGACGAAATTAATGACAGTAAGTTAAAGACTAAAAATTTGTCGTCTAAATACTATGAAAGAAAAAGAAGTAGGAAAAGAAAACAGACGATCGCAAGTGAAAATGTTTATTTTTAAATTTCTCCCAACTTTGCGACTGAAGCAATTTTTGGTGTCAACATTTGTCTCACATTCTTTGGATGGCTTTTGGCGATTGCTTCCTTGTTGTTAATTTATGGAACTTTCAAACGTCAATCAAGATGCGTCTTGCCTTACATATTTGCACTCTTTGAGGCTGTACTACTCGTCATCTTGCTGGAAGTCTTGCCAGAATTCATCGACGACCTTGATGTCGGTTGGTTCCTATTATTGAATTTCTTGATTGGTGAGAAAAGCATTTAAATAATTTAATTAGTAATAATTCCATCAATTAACACTTTGAATTTTTCAATAGCCTTGACTTCATATTTTTTGGTCGTTGTCTACTCGCTGTACTGTGAATTCAAAGAAGAAGAATTGAATCGACTTAACTATTGATTAGACACATTCGCATTTCTCTTGTCAACATTTTTTTTTCCTTTATGTGTAAACTGTAACCTTCAAAAGAAAGTTGGAATAAAATCGAAATTGATTTTTCCTTGTGACGACAGTGTTCCGGCTTTTCTTTTATTCTCATTATTTTCCTATTTTATTTATTATGTATTTGATAATATTATGAGAAAGAGAAAATAAAGAAAAATTCTCCAGTCACTTAACTTAGCCCAAAAGAATTTTTGTTGTTTTTTTTCTACGACAGATTGGAGTGGGGTTGACGATTGACGAGACTTTTGGCGCCAGAAAAGGAAAACTTTTTTTCATTACGAAGTTTCCCATTCTTGCAATTGTGGGAAGGGAGCAAGAAACTTTTGAATCTCTTGCTATTTGCAGATTATTTTTATTAACGTAAATACGCCACTTGTTGCACGAATTATTTCATTCTTATGGAATTTCTTTAAAAATGTCACAATCCTTTACGAAATTAATATTCATGAGGAACACCCTTAAACACCCAAACTTTCCCTTCATTTCCCCTTATCAAAGAACAAGATATGTTCGCATATTTTCCAACTAATAAAAATGTCACTATAGAGAAAAAAAATCTTCCGTACGCATGATCTTGCTCTCCCCGTTTTGTGTTCTGACTAATTCCTCTCAGTTTTGAGGTTTTGGTGAGTTCGAAGTAGTCGAGTAAAATATTTTTAATCAAAAACAACCAGGAAAACCGGTTCTTGTCAGTGCAAAAATTGTATTAAAGTGAGAATTAGATTGATAAGATTGTCAATTGTAATTTTGTCATGAGATAACAAAATACATGTTTAATGATTTATGCGAATTATTAATATGTATTGCGTATAAGTTTTACCGTGACGTGTTTTTACGGTTTCATAGCGACCAAAAGTTCCAAGTTTTTCGCTTATACATCTAAATATTAAACTACCTACAAATTCACACAATCTATCTATATGAAAAAGAATTGAATTCTTTTAAATGTATTGTAAATGTTTGCGAATGAGCTGTGCTGTTGAAGAGAGAGAACTTTTTTCTAAATTGAAAACAGATCTCAAATCTCTCGACTGAAAACCAAAACAAACGATGCGATGATGATCGCACGTGAAAAATGTAGAATGTCTTGATGAAAAGAAGCTGTAAACAAATGTGTGGGAGAATTCAAATAAACCTTTCGTTCTTGTTATGTAACTATTGCAGATGGCAAAGTTCGGATTACCTGACAATGTTTGTTGTTGTATGGACTTGAAGAAGGGTGGAAAAGTCATCGGCGTGATATGCATAATTACTTCATTGCTTACCATTTTCCTAATGGGATATTATTTAGTCTCTGACTCCGATGAAATCGTTAAAGAAATTGCTGATGGAAGTCCCGACACATTTGAAAACATTAAAGAACATAATGCGAGTAAGTCGAACAGCTTTTGAAATTAATTGAATGAATGAATTAAATTGAAGTTATGATCATCTCATATGCCATGCCAAATCTCATGCCAAGTTAACATAAAATATTGTTTTCTTTGCTTTTTCAGCTGTGGAAACCATAGTTGTAGTCGTGTTAGTATTATCGGCTGTTTACTTCGTTACTTCGATTGCATTGGTTAAAGGAGTTGACGACGTAAGTCCATTAAAAATATTAAAAATTAATTTAAAAAATCCTACCAATTAATGAGCTAAATTTATTAAATTTTAATTTCTTTCCCACAGCACAATCGAAAGCTTCTTGTGCCATTCTTGGTGGTTGATGCCATTTTATGCCTTACAATGTTGGGTTTCGCTTGCTTTCAATATGGAAGAAGTGAAGTTTTCACATGTTTAACTTTCATGATGATATTTTTTTACTTTTACATCTGCATTTACGCTCTCTACAGATATTTCGACGAGCAGATTATAGAACAAAACAACACAGAATTTAATTAATTGTTAAATTTATTAAGAATATTGGAAAGAATTTTGTACATGAGTAATGGGAACAGAATGCGAATTCTAATCACGCAAAAAAAAGAAATTACGCAAAAGTTTTCATTAAAAATTGCAACTTAAAAAATTATTATGAAAAATAATTCCACAGTCCGAACCACCATCCTTAGGTAGACTTTATCAAGTTATATTCATTTAAGATTATGTACTATTAATAAGTATTTGTGATTTACTCATGTACTCAATTTCTATCCTTTATTTTCACAGAAAATACAAAATGCAAAACAAAAACAAACTCCACTGCTATTCTAAATAATCTTTCCATTGCCACTGCTGCTGTCACAATTTCATGATGTCATGTCTATTGAATTCTCGCTTTCTTACATCATATTCAAATTATTTTTACTATAGACACTCATGTGATTGTAAAGTTCAACACAATTAAATGTTATCGCTCTTTAAAACGAATTTTAATTCATGAATTTATAATTAAAAAATGTGAAGAAGAAGAAAAGGCAGCAAATGAGTAAGAAGCGAGAAATTAGAATTTAAACAAAGACACTGATGATTAAATCAAATAGATGTCTACACTATTTTACCTCTCATTCATGTAAATGTTACTACTTGCATTTAAAAATATGATTAAATAAAGTTGAATAAATATTTGTCTAGAGAAATGAAGGAACAAGAAGAAAATCTTTTTATTAAAAGTTCCCGTCAATTCATCTTGATAAGCTTTTGTCTACAAATTTATCACGAAATGAGAAGCGTGAGGACGATTGTTGAAATCTAAAACGAAACCTACACTAGGTAGAGGTTGTCATTTATTAGATTGGCTGTTGCTGTGTGTATTTACTTACAATGTTCCGTTCCCGTCAAAATGTTACCCGATGCAAATAAAACTCCATGAATTCACAGTAAATTTGATCATCTCTATCAACACTCTTCTCCTTCTAATGCTATTTTTATTTTTTTTACTATAAAACTCTTTTACAACATTTTCTGTCCCACGGAAAATAAAAAGAATTCGAAAAAAATAAAAACGCGCTCATTTCAGTTCGAGCGCTCAGGCTTTCAAGTCGGTTGAAACAAGTTTTCCTCAATACTTTATTTACTTCTCAATCTCAGTAGTTTATTTTAGTAAATCATTAGTTTGATAGGTAAGTGACATACTGAAGACACGCATTTAACACCTTCCAATGACAAAGTGTACTTTAAATATTTGGAATAAAACGTGATCAGTTTAAGGAATGCAAATGATCAACATGTGTTCGGTCAATCATTAAAGTCATCATTATTCTTCTTCTTCATTGTTGTTTTCTTTAACTTCTACTGACTTATGTTTGTGTGGTAAAGTGCGGCCAAGCGTTGTGAAAAAAAACAGAAAAACTTCTGTGATCACCGCATCTAAAAAAAGACTGTGATGTATATGAATATGCTGAAACAACGCCCAAGCCTCGACTTAGTTTCCGATTAAAAAAACTTTTTTTTAAATTTTCCATAAACGTGCACGTTGCACTTATTTACAACTGCGTAACTAATTTACCTTTTTGAAACTGTTGACGATATTTCACAGTTCATTGTAAATGTCATACGAACGATCATTAATCATTGAAAAAAAATTACATTTCAACTTTTCGCTTCAGATAACTCATCATCATCAAAATGGCATTCGCGTTAGAGAGATTTTTGTTCTGCTTAGAACTCCAACTTGGTGGAATTATCATGGCATGGTGGGGCATGATCATTTCAGCCCTTGGAATTGTTGGTGTCATTAGTGGATTGCTTTTCGGAAAAGGTCACAGTACGCACTTTCCAGGAAACATTTCCACTGGCGGTGCCGTTACTGGAGGAATAATTTCGATCATTCTCTTGCTTTTATATTTCTACTTTTCTTATCAACTGTTGTTGGGCGCACAAAGTGTAAGTGACATCATCAAATGGAATTGATGCAATAAAATGACTCATGGTATTAATTACATCATATTTTCAGGGTAATTCTTCTCAAATGATCGGTTATCTCGTCATGCATGGAATCTTCGTTGTCCTCTTCATTCTTGGAGTATTCCAAAACGCTGCATCTTTAGTTGCTGCCATTATCTACGCTTATCTCTGGTTCTGCGTTTATTCGCTCTACGTTCGTAGTGGAGGCAGTGCAGTTGCATAAATCGGTGAATCTCTTTCAATAACCACATAAAAAGTAAAAATAATGTTTGTGGAGAGCTTTTCAGGTCTTTTTGCTGAAGAATTTTTATTCCAGTCTAAATAAAATTTAAAGCATAATTTTGAGGCTTTAATCAAACCTTGTTTCTACCACAACATTTCAAGAGTGTTCTCTACTAAATTCTTTTTAAAGTGCCTGAATATTAACATTTTTGTTTTCTCAACAAATTTTCAACAAGGAAAATTATTTTTATGCTTATAATCTTTTTCTACAAATTATTGAATCTCTTTTTGTATTTGCAAGAGAATCAAATTAAATTTTATGATAATTTTCCTACGAACACGATATAAATATTTTATGTTGACATTTTTTTAATTGAAATCAAATAAAAAGTTTGTTTAAAGCTGTAATTGTTGTTGTTGTAATTTAAATCTGCTGATAAGATTTGGATTGATTAACTTGAATTAAAAGAATCATATTTCAGTTTTGCTTCGTCTTCTCATCAGAAACATTCGTGAAAATGCGGAAGTTTTGTTTTTGTTTCAATGTCAAGACCGGTGGAAATTTTGTTGGATGGAGTGGGATTATTACAAGCTTGATTCTTGTAGTTTTGTTTATATTTATGCCAATGTACGCATCAAAAGATGTTATCAAATACATTAATCAAAGTTTTGGTGCCTATGGTGAGAAGCAACTTCCAACACCAAGTGAGTGTTCATCTATGAATCATCTCAGAAATTAAATTTAAGAATTATTTTAGTTATTTTAATCGTGATTGCAATTTTATTTGGCTGTGTTTTATTCATTCTTTATTCATCTCTTCTTTTGCTACGAGGAATTGTACACGTGAGAATATTTTTATCTTATCTCAATACATAACAAACTTTCCTAAACTTGTTTTCTTTTTATCGACAGGAGAAATATCAAAATCTAAAGGTGTGTAGGAATGATTTTGTTAATTGCAGTGATGCGTCAAGAATCAATTTTATTTATTTTTATTTTTCAGCCTTATCTGATTATTCGAGGATTTTTCATTTTCTTACTAATTCTAGAATCATTAATTAATGTAAATCTAATTGTCATATTGCTTACTATTGTGGAAATATATTTTTGGATGTGCATCTATTCACTTTATAAAACATTCAAAATCAAAACTAGAAATGAAGAGGCTCGCTTTGAAAAAGATATTGAAAAATGAAATTATTTGAAGAATTTTTATCTTTCGTGTGATATGATTTTTCGTTCATCTAATAAAAAAAATATTTATAAGTAAATATCTTGAATAAAGTGGTTTGAATGTGTAAGATTCTTCTCTTCAACATTATAACTTATGAGTATGTCAATGGCTAGACTTATGATACGCCATTAAATTTGCAACATTGTGGTTCACGAGATAGATAAAAAACCGAGTCTGGTTGCTTACTTTTATTTAATTATGTGTTTTACTTAGATAAAATTAAATTCAAACCCTAATTTTATATGTTGAATTATGAAAAGAAATTAAAGTATCAAAATATGGCTAAGTTTTGGAAGAGTTAAATTTACCAATGAAATTTTGATCTTTGAGTGAGATTTTGATTAAAACATTCTTTTCAAGTCTGTATTAAGAAAAGAGAGTAGAAATGACTCAAGCATCCTCTCTCTCTTCTCATGAAGTTTTTCCGTAAGGAAGTATGCGTAAAAGCAAAAGAAAAGCCAAAACCTAACAAGAAGTAAATAGGAAAATCTTCTGGTTTAGTTTCTGAGTTGTAGTTGACAGTTAAAGTTGGATCCTTGCCCTTCAAGACGTGCTTAATGTAAATAAATTAATTTCTCTACGTTAATTGATTTAAATTTGATTAAAAGATACTTTTTGTTATCTGATCTTCACGAAATAACAATAAAGAAGCAAATCAATTAATATAAAGCAAATCAATTGATTATAGACTTTTTGGAGACAAAAGGAGAATTTTTTTTGTTCCATTTTTTTCTGTGGCACGTCTCATAAATATTTTTTTTCCTTTTCAGTTGTCTCTGATTTCAAATAAAGTAAAGAAAAATCAAAAATGATAACCGTCGATAAATGCTGCTTTTGCTGTGAATTGGAAACTGGAGGTTTGCATACTACAAAATAATGAAAGAAAATTTTAATTAATTTTTTCTTATGTTTGCAAAATGAATCAATTAGGCCTGATAATTGCCTGGTTAAGTGCAATTTCTTCATGTTTGGGAATAATTGTATGTGTGATTTTATTATTTTGGATCATGTTCTTGCTTGAATGTAAAATGCAAGTGAACATGGAAAACATAAACGTTGATGAAATCTATAAATTACAAGAACAGAGTGAAAAAAAAGATTTAGTAAATTTTTGCGATGTGTCAGTTGGAAGTAAGATGAGTTTGTTATATAATTTACTTCATAATTGTATTAAATACAAATTTAATTTCAGTTAGCGTCGTAGTCATTCTGCTGGGGTTGGCACTATGTGTAGGATTAGCTTACATTAGTTATTTATGTATTACTGGCATAAAAATGGTAAACTTTCATTTTCATGAACATATCAAATATTTTAGTACTTTGCTATTTTTATTTTGCAGCGTGACCATTCTAAAGTCAAACCATATATGATCTATTCAGCTATTTGCGCAGTTATAAGTTTTCTCAATCTATTAAGTTCCATTGTGGGGCTCCATACATTAATACAAGGCCTATTTGGGACTCTTTTTAGTATCTATTTTTTCATTGTTATTTATTCAATTTATGAAAGGTTCAGATTTGAAAGAGAACAAGGATATGCTGTTCAGTATAATACTCCTGGTGCAACTCAAGTTCCTTTTCAGAACCCACCTCAGAACCCACCTCAATATCAGCCTCAAAATGCTGGTCAAAGTTATGGTTACATTCCAGGAGATCAAGTTTAAAAACCTCAAAACTTTAAAAGTTATTCAGTGTTCTAGTAGCTTGTGTGAATCTAATCCAATTAAGGAGTAATCACTGCCTAATTGTTCCAAAAAATTTATGATTCGATGTTAAGAAAATTCAATTCAGTTAAAACTAAAGTTAAATAATTTGAGAGTAAATTAAAAATTAATCGAGAAATAAACAAAACATTAAATGTTTGTGCTGAACATCTATTGGTATAAGTTTAATCTATTTGTTATTCGTTTGGATTGAAATGTTACATTCAAATACATATAAAACTAAAGATAGAAATTTAACTTTAAATCATATTGTCAAAACACTTCTACTGTTAATTATATTGGAAATAAAACTCATAAAATTATTTATTTTATTCCATGAAATTTTCTATCCTTACATTTCTCATATTCATATTTCAGTGACATCTTCACTCGTATTGTTCAAAGATAATTTAGAAGAAACATCAAAATGCTTCTAGGATATTTTGGTAGACTTCATGTTAATGAAACAAAATCAATGATCAATCTTGAAACCAAAAGCTCACACCATGAAAGTTTCAAGTTTCTTATTTGATATGTGCATGGAAGAGAATGGAAAAAGAATTTTTTCTCACACTGTTAACGAGAGAACGAAAAAAAAGGAAAAGAGATTGAAACTTTTAAGAATGATTTTTAATGTCTTTCTCCAAAGAACTTTTGGCTTGCTAACCGCGTTAAGAACGCCTACAATCCATAAAGCTTCTTATGAAAGATTTTCTTAATGAGAAAAGCACGATAAATTGACAAATATTATTCGAAACACTGTGGTCGCAAAGACTCATTTATCAACCAAGTTTTAGGTTCAAATATCGTCATTTACGTTTGCTTATTCACTATTCAATAGAAAATAATGTAAAAAATTACTTGTTGCTGATTTTTGTTGTTGTTTCAACTTTTTTCAGTCTCTGTTTTTCGCGGTTTTTCTATGCTGATGTGAATTTTTGTAAAGAAATAAAATCGGTAGTAAAAATTTGACGAGATTAACGCTTCGAAATTTGATGATCGTCCTTGAATTCACCTAAGCAAAAACAGAGAAGAGAATCAATTTTTCCCATCTTCCTTCACATGTGTGGATGAAATTTCAATAAGAATAAAATGAACAGAAATTCATTTGAACGCAAACGCTACAGAGGGTTTAGTTATTGAGCGGCATTTGTTGGAAATAGTCGAAAATATTCAGACGGTGAGGTTTTCTGTTCTTACTTTTATCTTGTAATTAGCTAATTAACAAGCTTGTCATCACAATTAAGTATTAAAAATTAATAAATTGATATTCGATAAGAAACATTTTCAAAACTTTATCTAAATAATAATTTCACTGTGGAATGCTAACAGCTACATATTGCGTAGTACTTTTTTACATTTTTTCGGCGTCTTGCTGTCCATGAAATCGTTCAATGTATTAGTTATTGTATATAATGTAATACGCAAGTTAAAAATATATTTTATCGCAGTTTGATATTCAGTGAGCAAACAAACAATACGGAAGAAGAGCAAAATGTTTACTGTCGATAGATGTTGTTGTTGCGCTCTAGAGACTGGAGGTGTGTTGGATAAAAAATTATTGTTAAATTAATTTGACCATTAATTTGTCTCTCATATTGTATAAATCGTTAAGGTCTTATATTGGGCTGGTTCTATGGAATTCTGTATTTGATTGGGACGGTTGTGTCTCCTCTTGGTTTTGTCGGGATTTTCCTCGTAAACTGCAAAGAGTTAAGAGAGGCAATTGAAAAGGATGTTGGATCATTCGACTATAGCTGTGGAGCAATTAAAGGAGGTAAAATTTTATTCTTCTCATTCTCATAATTATCTGCATAACTTTATCATTTCTTTGAATATTTCTTTTTAGTTGTTGCTGTATTTACTTTGATCACTCTTGCCATCTGCATCGGGTGTCTTTATTGCAGCTATTTACTTGTCACTGGAGTCAAAAAAGTAATATTAATCATGAAATTTACATGCAACAAAATTTAATTCTTCTTTTTACAGCGCGATGCTTCTCGTGTTAAGCCTATGATGGTCCTAATGGCAATTGCTTCAATATGCGCTTTCCTTGGCCTCTTAAATTTCCGAAAGGAAACAGCCTTGTCTTCCATCTTCGGTGGAGTCTTGTACGGATATTTCTTCGTAGTTCTTTTCTCATTGGCTGAAATGTTTAGAAGTGAAAGAGAACGTGGATTCAATTCACAATATCATGCCCCTGGGGCTAAAGTCTAAGTGTCTTGATGTGCTGAATTTAACATCGAAATATTTTTCATAGTTATGTAATAACTAATGTGTGAAATCCTAATAATTGTGTGTCTAAGAATATAAATATTATAACCAAAGCCAAATGTGCATTTAATGCAAACTTAAGAAGTTTAATCCTTTAACGTTACATTCAATCTGAAACCTCAAATTCAATTTTCCTAGTGAAATCTTGACCAACAGCATTTGATTGCAATTAGAAGTTTTTGAGAGCTTTTGCTCGTTTTTAATTTCCATCAAAAGCTCAAGTGAACAAAATAGGGAACTAAACAGGAATCTTTACAATAAATTATTAATTATAGCTTCTGAATCTTCAAATATTCCACAATAAGAAATGTGTCAACTTAAACAGATACTTTGATAAATATTTTCAATCTATATACCTACATTATCCAAATAATAAACTATAATTTGTTCCTTATTGCATCATCATAAGAATCCTAGAAATCATTTAGAAATCTCAAATAATTCTTTCAAAGAGATATTTTCAATAATATTAAATTCCCGAAAGCAAACTTACGCCAATAAGAATTACATTCATAATTCTTTTAAGTTAAAGATCATATTTAATATGCAGTGCTTATATTTGTATGTTTTGTAAGAAAACGCCTTTTACAGAACGTATCTAACGTTTTAATGTATTTAATAAATGGTATCTGATAAATTCTTTTATTTCTTTTCAATAAAAAATTATTTTAAAGGTTTAATGAAGAATGGTCGACTGCAGTAAGTGTTTAGGAGTTAGCACTCGAAAAAAAATCACAAAGTTCATCGGGGAGTTTCTTGATGTTTTTAAGAGATTGAATTCGAAGTTTTTCATACACCCAGAGTAGTAAAATTTCCAAAATGTTTGCTTAGAATCGCACGTGTCTCGTGTATAAATATCAATAAAGATATTGAATGACGTTCTTAATACTAAGGTAAATGAAACCTGAATGTATTGGTTGAAAATATATTTTGATGTATCGAATATCGCAACACGATCGTGATAATTTGGAAACATTTAATGTAAAAAGATTCTGTACTGAACACATACATATATGTGAATTTCGGTGGAACAAGAATTATTTTTTTACATATGGGAGATGAATAATATTTGAGCATAATCTCTATCAGTACATAGAAGCATCGCCTTTGACTTTCAAAATTACTTCGAATAGAAACAAATTCTCCAGAAATATTTTGTCAAACTCAAGGTCGAAGTTGTTGTTCGTCGAACTCTGTGTCCGCTGAAATAATATCTACAAACACTTAACACCTTAGGTGTTATCTAAATATGTTGTGTGAAAGAGAGTTTTCTTTATACTCTGAAAATGACTCAGTTACTACAATTAGGTATAAGAAAAAATTACGAAAGCATATCGAAATATGAACCGAGCTTTCCTGTCATATAGAATTCAATCATCACATGTGAGAAAAGAATGTTTAAAAAGCAATCGTTTGAATTTGATCTAATGTAATTTGTAAATATAATTTGACAAACTCAAGGTCTAAAATGTTTACTGTTTTAGCGCGTAGAACTCTGTCTTGGATGAAACAATTTATGCGAGCATATAAAATCGTCAGCAGATAAGTGCCAAATATGTTACTTAAAAGAGAGTTAAGAACAAGAAAGAGAACTTTTACACACTCTCATCAACAAGTTATCAACAAAACTTTGAAATCTTTTCCTATTTCTGTGAAATTAATTCAAAGCAACTTTTCAATAAAAATCATTTAAAATTTTAACAAATATAAAAAGTTTATTTTAATTAAATTAAGTTTGTTGACACAACAGATTCAGAAAGACTTGAAGCGACATTATGCATTTCATGCATTTCTATAGCATGTAATAAACCTTCAGTGTCGCTTCGGCCGGCATACACGAATCTTCCTTTTCTTTTGTAGTACCAAACAGTTCCAATAGTAACAGCAAATACAATAACAACTGATAAAAGTATGTACCATCCTTTTGATAAAGAATCGTATGGATTATATACTTCAAATGGAAAGAATTCGGTGAAAAGTCCTTTTCCAGCTAAAGACACAGCCATGATGCGAAACGTGTAAGTTCCGCTAATCAGACTGTGACCCAATGCATATCTGAAGATTAAAATATTTTTGTTATATTTGTGAAATATATTTCTAATTTAAACTCACCTATGATTATTTTCTTCATGTTTTTCTCGAGTGATGCATTCAGAAAATAAATAATTTGTTTTATTTCCATCCATTTCACGAAATTCAGAGATGTAAGTGATGATAGCTCCATTAACTTTAACTGGCTCGTTGAAATAAACTTCGAAGTCTTCACTATCAAAATATGGTTTAACAAATTTTATCTTGATTCGATCATATGTTTTGTTGTCGCCAGTAGCTGTAATTTCAGCAGCAAGCGCATATTCACTGCACACTCGTTCACTTGAACATGCGTGAAGAAACATCTGATAAATTGTGTAAGCTCTCAGCTTTTCAATTATAAAAGTTCTTTTATCAGATTCTATAAAGAATCGCCCAACATAGCCAGGCACACTCTGCACAGCGTTACGTGGCTCGTGACTTTCTCTCGATGTTGTCTCGCTGAACTTTATGAGCGCTTCCTCAAAGTCATTTTCTTTCTTCTGACGTTTTTTTTTATCTTCTTCTTCAATCACACAACACATTTTGCAAAATTCATTTTTCGTTCTCATTGTTTCGCCTTCCCATGAGTTTAAGACAGATTCTGAAGTGTTTTTTGGCACTTCACGCACCATGCAATAATCTTTCTTAACTACGAAGTCAAGATTGAATGGCTTCATTACAACATCTAAATATTGATATCGAATATCATCTGCTTCGTTAGCAAGAATGTCCCAACCTAAGCTGAGTGATGTGGGAGTTTTGGCCACAATTTTTAACGACTTTGGACGTGTTGGCACTCGCATAAGTGTTTCAAAATTGCCAACTTCTGAAATCGCGCCATCATCTTCAACAGTACTTTGAGACGCTGCGTGATGCTCAACTTCATTTGGACCATAAACATAAGTTTGTACCATGTAAGCATAACGTGTAGATTGATCTAAATCTGTCACAACAAATTCCAAGAACCCATCAGGAAGTTCTTCCCATTCATTATGATTTAAATAAATGCTATGCCATCCAAAAGATGAACACGTTTCACGCTCGAAGAACAAACGTCCATCAAACTTTTCATTTGGTTTTGTAGCAGCATACTGAATGATGTAAGCTTGAAAATTTCCTTTAACTTCCGTTGGTTTCGTATTTTTCCATTGAATTTTGCAGCTCTCATGTGATAAAACTACAGCTCTTGTCAAAATAGTTGGAGCTTTACAAATATTCCTTATCCCATTGTTTTGAATTAAATTATTTGTTTCAGGTGCACCATTTGGTCGCTCAATGTTTGCCACAAGTTTTCTTGTTTCGTTTGCACATAACATGAGATTTGAGTAAATATGAACTTCACCACGACGAATTCTTAGCTTCATGCCACCACGCTTTTCCCAATCAAAGAGCTTCTGAAGATTTGGATTCTCAAATATGAGCATCGCTGGTTTCTTTTTATAACCATAGATAACACGAAGATTGTTGAGAAAGGTCAGTTCGGTAATTGCTGATGATCTGAAGTAAAACAATTTTTAAAAATTAAATTATTGTGTGAAAGTAAGAATTACAAGACGAACCTGTGAATCTTTATGACACCGTGAATTTCCTCGATGTCACCTAAATATTTATTAAATTCTTCTGTTAGGTTGAACACATCATCAATAATGTATATTTCCAAAGTGCCATTTACAATTGTACATCCAACTCCCAATTCCTCCAATTGCGAAATTCTCCCTAAAATTTAAATTTTCTAGTTAAATATTTTAAACAAATTAATTTGTAATCTTACGAATCTCTGGTGGTGAACAAATTTTAGGACATTTGTCGATACATTTTATGCAGACATTTGTAGTGCTAAGTGTATCATTTTGATTAAGTGCTGCTGTGAAGCCCGGTGGACAACTTTCCAGACATTCATTGTTGAAGATATAACGATTTAAAGCAACACATTTTGATTTGTCGAGACATCGTCGCGTGTCGATATTCAAGACTCTAAAATTTAAATAAATTAATGAGGCATCCATTATAATTATGTTGAAAGCATTAACTTACTTATTTTCTGAACATTTATTAACACAAACTCCATCCTCCGATAAATCTTTACAAACATAACAACCGCTTGCTGTCCGATTAGTGCAATGTCCAAGACACAAATGATGACATGGCTTCATTTTTGGCGATTTAAAAGTTTTCTCAAAACGTTGGCACATTTTATTATTCCAACATAAATTATGATGTTCACAGCTATGACATCGATTAAACTCACACATGCTTCCGTATGAGCCCTGTGATGCAACCATTTTTCCACTTTCAATGATTTGACTCCAATCGATCTGTTGAATATGACATTTCAAGGTTAAAAGTCAATTGAATCAAACAAAAGAAAATTAATAAACACATGAATTGTGATTCAAGTGCTCAATTTTGAAGATATTTCTACCATTTCTTACGTTTGGAAAGCATAACCTCGGATTGGTTTTATCAATTCGTGCAGCACCACGTTTGATCTTTAATAAGTTTCTTAATGCAATCTAAAAACAGAAAGAAACACGTTATTGGAATTTTTTTTTTAAAAAAAATTCTCAATCGTCGATCACCTCTTTGATGTCACTTTCGTGAATGACAAATGCATAATTTGAGAATAAACGAGTTCCACGGATAACTGTGAGATTAGGGAACATGCCACCAAGGGAGTCAAGATGATTAACTGCATACACTAAGAAGAAGCCAGTGACTTCTCTGAAAAAGTTTTAAGTCGACGTCTTAAATAATTTTAGTCATTTATTAGTAAGTTACCTTATAGGAAACGATCGATTGTTTATTTCCTCCGGCGTATAATCGATGTTATCATAAAAGACTGGAAAAAGTAACGCCAAATTTCCAAGAATTGCCGTGCAGTTTGTAAGTGAATCCAACTGCCGGTAGGATCGAATCTCCCGTGTTGAGCATTCAAAAGGAGCTTGAGCAAAAATCAAAGTCACAGCCGTCAAAATAAATAAAAGAATTTGTTGAAAATTGAACTGCATTATTAAAGAATTTTTTTAAATTAAAAGTATAGAATAAAACAACAATATCAATGAACACGATGTGAAGCGATTGAGTATAGAACACAGACTGAGCGGCGAATACTCAGCAAAGCTTCTAAATTTGAAATCATTCGAATGCTGTGGAAGACTTAAGGGAGTAACGTTTGATAAGATTTTTTTTTCAAATAAAATAAAAAACTTTTTTGTCACTTTCAACCCCGCTGCATTCCCAAGAATGAATTGCCATTGTCTCGTCTTCTATTTTACTTAATAATGCACAATGCAGTTTGTTGCGACTAGAGAGTTGATCTCTTGATTTCGTCAAACATTCTCTCATTTGGCTGTTTTGATTGTTTGAAGCAATTGAAGAAAAAAATAAGATAAAATTTTAATTATAAATGAAAATTGGCTTTAAGTCTTGAATTTATCTACTTGTCTTTATTCTATTCAAAACGCTGCTTCGATGGTCGTTCCCATCATCTTCAGACTACAAGAACGACAATGTATCGTCAAAATAATCGAAATTTTCGATTTTATACAATTATTTTTAACCGGCGATTAACATCAATGTTATTAACAAGAAAGAAGAAAGCTGATTTTCATTCATTATTATTAAATATTCAACCAGTCGTTATCATTCAACATCAAAGTTTTATTTTGATACTTTATTTTTTCTCCATTTTTAATTGAAAACGATTACAATTCAAATCAAAATCTATAATCAATTCAACATCACGTTAGTTTGATTGGAAAGAATTGAAAATCACATTAATAATGAAAACATTAAAATTTAATCCAAAATAAATTTTATTACAAAATTTTACAAATTAAAACTTAATTTTATTCACTCGATTGGAATGTTTTCTTGAATCCAATTGTAAAAGTTGGCGATAGAAGTATAAACACTTGGAACTCTTATCCCTCCGCAATTTTCGGATCCAAATGACATGATTCCAATTTGACTGGTTATTCCACTTTCAGTTATTAAAAGTGGCGCACCACCAAATCCCTTCAAAATTCATTAAATTTTGTTTAAATAAGTCAAAACTTTCCACTAAATGAATATTACCTGACAAACATCTCGACCTTCTCCACCCGCACACATCCATTGTCCCTCTAAAATATTTTCAATTAAACTCACTATCAAGAAATGAAAAATTAAAGTCTCACCGATAGATTTCTGAGAGTCTAAAGCACCTGAAGCACTGTAAACTCTCAAACATTGATCCCACGATGCAAGCGGAACATCCATGTATTGCATTTCAGGTGATCTAACCGTTGACAATGAAATTTTTCCCCATCCAATAATAGTCGCACGCTTTCCGACCACTAAATTTGTGCGATCTCGTTGAAGGCAAATTGGTTGAGCAGCGACAGTATAATTAATCGGCGTTCGGAGAATAAGTAGAGCGATGTCATGGTGATATTGACCGTTTACATAATCGGGATGAACAACAACATGTGACACTGCATGGTTAATTGCTGATGGTGCACAAAAACCAGATTCAGCACAATCTGGATCTTTTGTTGAATCAAATTCACCGATTCGTACTGATGACAGACGATGGCCGTCAGCCTTTGCGAGTGCACAATGACCAGCAGTCTAAATAATTTAAAAATTAATAAAAAGGAAGTTCAATCGAAGAAAAATATTCACCAAAATAACTCTTTTTGAAATGATTGATCCCGTACAAGGATAAGCTAAATGACCAGTGTTAATGTCTGGAACAAAATAACAAAAAAAATTATTTAAATACAACGCAGTGAAGCTTCAAAATTACATCACAAAATCACATTTAAATTATTTCATCATAAAAAACCAATTCAAAGTCTTTAAAAATCAATTAAATTTCACCAAATAAATATTCGAAAGTGAAATAATTTTTGTTGTCCATTATGTTATTATAAATTTTCCTATTTAAGCATATTAATTGAAAATGCATAGTTTTTGTCAAATATTCGTTGAATGTAGAAAATAAATGAAGATAATTGATGTGACGTGACCGCAATTTGTTTGACTTACTTTTGAAACCAATTCTAGCAGCAAATGGATATGCACCGAGTTTTTTGTAAGAAGATCCCTGGACTAAACTCCTTCCACATGATCCACTTGATTTATCGAAGTTGCTTGTGGTGTCGTCGGTAGCATAAGTTGGAGATGAATAAGTTGGACAACACACATAAGGTTCATAATTTTGATTAACTCCACAAAATAAAGATCGATCGCTGTTGTAACATCTTTTTGTCGCTTCGGGCAGAATTTGGGGGCATTCTCGAAGCGATACGCATTCACTTAAACCTGGACATGCAAGTCGATATTGTACTCCAAGTTCTCGATTCTCACGACCGTCATTTTTCACATTTTCGGTTTCAACAATTATATGATCTTGAATTGTTTGAATTGAAGAGATTATTTATTTAAAAATATCACGAAAGCAAGAAAATTTATATGTTTACCACTTCCATTAACTTCATTTGTTATTCCAGATATCAAACCAACAATTAACACTGCGAAAACTTTCAACCATATCATTTTCACTTTCTATAACTCAACTTGTTATGTCACTGGACAAAATATTATTCAACAGCACAGAATGTTGTAGCGAATGATCAGAATCGAAACTAAAAATTAAATGAAATGCCTTCAACATGCAGATCAACATCGTGTATAAATGATTATGAACGCAAAAAAAAATCGTTTAGATTTCAGAAAAATGAAAATGGTAGAATCATCATAGGAAATATTCGTTTTCCGGTCTAAATTGAATAGATATAAAGTTGCAATCAACATTGGTCATTGTTGTTGGATGTTGAGATTTTTGGATGCGTTTTCAGATGATTTTTAATAATAAGTTAGCAAGAATTTCTTCAATGAGCTAAAATTAAAAATATTCTAAGAATAAGTCTGCAAAATTCATCATCCCTCTTGAATGCCCATGCGACGCTTCATTCGCATTCTTCACAATCATTTGTATTTTTCTCATTTAGTCGATAGACACCAACAGTGATTTAATGTTGTGTTTGCGACTCTCTTTATTGATGGTTTCTAATTATTCTTTTCAAGTTCATCGCTGATTTTTATAAGCTCTGCAATGCATCATCATCGTCATTGTAACAATTTTTCAAGTTCATGAATTTCAAAAGCTTTAAAGAACAAAAATAATCGTGGAACTAAATATTGACAAAATTATCTAATTTTCTAATTGTTGTAGAATGATTTCCAACAGCTAAGTACTCATAGATTTTTAGATATTTTGCTTTCCGATTATTTTGTCATAAAATTTTCTAATTTTTTAAACATGGATGAGTGGAAAACTTACAAACCACAAAAAACTGAACCTTGAATGAGTATTGAGATTTAGAAGATTTAAAAATAAACTTCAGAAAGATTGAATTTCTCTTTAGGTTGTAAAAAATCTGAGTAGAAGAGAAAACGATCAAATTGCTGATAATTTCAATGCTTGGTAAATATCGGAAAAAATTCCATCGCACACTCTCAGAAATATTCTCTCTCTCTCTCTTGTGGAGTTTATGAGCAGCTGCTTGTCGCTACTGGTAACTGCAGAAATGCATGCTTTACAGTGTTGTTTTGTTTCCATTGCGAAATACTTTGTAGATAACATTTTTCAACAAATCTTTTTGAAAAAATGACAATCAAGTGACCTTGGACATTTTAAATAATTTTTCCTTCTCAAATCTTACAATTTAAGTGTAAAAAATCATTAAAAACAAAATTTCTTTTGGTCTAAAAATATAAACCGTGAGAAAAGAGTGAAATTTTTGAGACAAACCTTCATATTTATGTTTACTTTACATGAATTATTAATCAACATAATTTGTATGAAATCAATATGTTGACTGTGAATAATTTTTTATGTTGCTGTAGACTTGAGACTGGCGGTAATTATTTTTCACTGAAAGTATTTTTAATTTAAAACGGTATGTTTAATGATTTTCTACATTTATGCAGGTTTATTCATTGGCTGGTTTTACTTGACATGTAACATTGTGAGCTTCACTCTATCAGTTGTTGCGTTCGTCAGAATATTTTTAATTGACTGCAATGAACTTCAAATTGAAACTCATTCTGGAACATTAACAAGAAGTCAATGTATCACATACAAATTAGGTACGATAAATTATTTATTAAATTAAAGATTTTACAATACAAATTATTTGTTTCATAGTTTTGCTGGGTTTAGCTTCGATTATAACAATTTTGTGCATCTTATTTGTTTACATTTCTTACTTGTGCATCAAAGGAATAAAAGCGGTATGTATAATCACATCTGAATCATTCAACAACAATGTAAATTACATTAATTTTTTTCATTGAAAGCGTAATCACAATCATGTCAAACCATTAATGATTTTAATGGCAGTCGGATCGTTTGTTTCTTTCGTGGGAGTATTAAGCTTTGAAATAGTTGTCATAACATCGTCTCTAGTCAGTGGATCATTTTATTTGTACCTTTTTATTGTTCTTTATTCACTTCAAGATGTATTCAGAATTGAGAAAGAGAGAGGATTTAGTACGGAGTATCAAGCACCTCATCCAAATATTTGAGTGAATCACTCCGCACATACAAGTGAAGATTTCATTTCCTGGAAACAATTTGCATGAATATTCGACTTTATTGAATTTTTCTGAAAATATTTTAAGATGAGTGGGAGTTGATAATCGAAGTTCGATGCATAATTGTAATAATTTAGTAATACATGCAATAAAAATGGAAAGAAAATTAGATGAGCGACTCAATAAGAATAAATGTAAAGATTGTTCTTAATGCTGATGAGTAAGAATTCTCAGTATTTCGATAATGTTCAACTTTGTTGATATTTGAGAGTCACTTTTTAATGAATAGAATCGAATTAAAGATCATGAAGATCACAAACTATGAAGATCGTACACAGAGAAAACTCAAGGAAGATTTCTTAGTTTTCCTCATTCGAAAATGTTTAGCATGAGGTATGAATAGAAACGAAAATTTTTTGTGGCAACATCAAATCTAACAATTATAAAAATATGTAAGAGAAAGATGGATACACTCAGTCTTTCGCCATAAGTAACATTTAAAAACGAACATTTATGAGTTTCAAAGTATTTTTCTCCGAGCATAACTTTTTCTTTCATTAATTTCAATTTCACAATATTTGGAATTGACGTTCGTATCACTCGATGGGATTTTCCCTTTTTAGTGTCATCATTTCCCTGTACTTTTACTTAGTTCTTTACTCTTTCTATGAGAGTTTTCGAATGAAACGTGAAAGTGGAATGAGCAAACAAACCCTGATATGACATTTATGCAGAAAGTTTAAGAAATATCTGAAACATAATTTTGTAATGCGTAATAAATTCTTTAACATTATAACTCTATCGACGAGATGCTCAAGAATATTCTCAATTCAAACACTTCGCACATTTGAAGGCAAAAGAGAAAAATTAAACTTATTGCGTTGCAAGCACTCAACAATACAAAAACAAAATTCATCAGAAACAAAAATTGATGAAATTCTCTTCGCTAACTCAGTTTTTCAGCACAAATCGCCGGAATAAGTCGTAAAAGTTTTAACCTCCTAAATAATTTCTCATCGAAATATTTTTAAACTTATACTAAGGAAGAATTGTAAGTTAAAAATTATCTTGCAGAAAAAAAAACTTTTTCAAGGAGATTATTTGAATAATTAATTGTTTTTTATGACGCTCAAATTCGCCATATTTGAAAATAATCTTTTTCGTTTATTTTTGAGAATCCAAAAGCATAGAATTGAAAGAATATTTAATTAACAATGTATTGGTTTGATATTCGATGTTTCGTCTTTTTTTTTTCGTGTACTTTCAGTGTGTGATCGAGTTTGAAGTAAACATCATCGGAAAATGATTACTGTTGAAAGATTTTTGTGTTGGGATTTAGAAGTTGGCGGTTTGTTGATATTAAAATTTGACTTAAGTCTTCGAAATTTAATAATGAATGAAAAATTTTTAAGGTCTCGCGATCGGCTGGTTCTACTTCATTTGTAGCATAATTAGTTGTGTCTTATTAGCGTTTGGTGCAGCTGGTGTTCTGTTCGCCGATTGCCAAACTCTTACGAACAATCAAGATGTCAGTTGTGGCGCAATAAGAGCTGGTGAGATCTGATTATCAATTCTAATTTACTCTGAAAGTTAAAAATCTTTTTTCAGGAATTTTTGTGGGAGTTTTAATCGCTTTTCTTATTTTACTCCTATTCGTATACTTGGCTCGTTTATTAATTAATGGAACAAAAGAGGTTTTCATAAATTTTGTTAAATTAGAATGACTTCTAATCAATTTAATTCTTTCCACAAACAGCGCAATGATTCTCGTGTCAAGCCGATGATGATCGTGTTTGGAATTTTTGCAGTACTTTCGATTTTCGGGATATTCAGTTTGCAATCAAAGAAGATAGCTTCATCCATACTCAGTGTTATCCTTTATTCGTACGGATTCGTCGTTCTTTTTTCTTTGTATGACAGATTCCGAATGGAACGTGAGCGTGGAATGACTCAACAATATCCTGGCATGGCACCTGGAGCAAAAGTTTAAAGCATTTCAAAGAAAATCTTCCTTGAGAAAATTTCAAAATAAATTTTGATAATTTCCATTTAAAGTTTAAGTAAAACATGAAAAAATTTCTTTAACATATATCTGAGGTCATTTAAACATTCTAAATATCTTTGAAAAAAGAACTTTTGGTTGTTGAACAAAATTTAATATTTTATGGTCTAATGTAGGAAGTCACCATACTGCGAATGCTTAATTTTTCAACTTAACTCTTCAAAAAATTTCATATTCAAAATAAAAAATGTGAAACAATGAATGAAATAAAGAAAGAAGAACATTTTATAAACAAAAAAAAATTGGCATTGTGTCTGTTTGATTTTCGAGTTTAGTTTGTGTGCAGCTCAAAATGTTTTCGTGTGGATACAAAAATGATCATCAAACGTTTTTTGTTACTCTCTAAATGGACGCTCGGTATAGCTTTACTTCTTCTTTTTCCTTAAATTGAAGTTCTGTTTATACTTCATTTTAATTAGAATTTTCTTAACCCTGAGCTTTGCATAATGATAGAAATGTTAGAATTGAAAGAAGAAAGGAGAATTTTACTTGAAATTTAATTATAGTCTTTCCATCATATTAGATTGGGATATATGTAAAAATATATGTTTGACAACATTCATACTTCAAATCATTACATATTTACCATTAGGAAAATACTCACTAAAATCAATCAGTCTCATCATAAATGAATTTTCGTGATATTGCGAGACCGGCATATAAACTTGTATGCTTGTATAAAACATTTACAAACGAGAGAGCGTAAAATAATTCCTAACATCAATGAAAACAATTTTCTCACTCGAAGTAATTTTCTCTTCACACAGCTCAGTTACTGAGCGGCGTTTGAAGATTGCAGTCGGTTTTTTGCAGGAAGAAAATAAATTTTCTTTTCAAGGTCACACTCAGCATATAAAAAGTGATTAACAAAGCATAAATGTAAGTTAATTTCATTACCTTTTTGGGAAAATGATAGCAGTGTGGTTGAAATATTTGTCTGTTGCTTGAATGTGTAGAACTTTTCATTCAACTTTGTACTGCGCATTTGACTTCAGAGGAAGAATATGTAGAAGAAAAAAAATAACAAAAAAACAATCTTTCAATGTTTATCAATTTTTGTAGATAATTTTGAATCGGATTTACTTGTACGATCTGAAATTCTCATCAGGATGATTACTGTGGATAAGTGCTTGTGTTGCGGGTTGGAGACTGGAGGTTCTTATCCTAATAATTTTAGAATTGATTGTCAAACTCTTATACTTAATATTATTAATTAAGCTCTTGTGATCGGATGGTTAAATCTCATCGGCAACATCCTCGGAGTAATAGTCATAGCAATTTCTTTATTTGGAATTTTCGTCTCTGGATGTGATGAAATCAAAAAAGCTGCCATGCAAGATGAAACTTTTAAAGACTTAGGCATTGATGGATGTACTCTTAGGATAGGTAAGTTTCACAATAATTTACTTTCTATCAATAATTAATTACATATTTTTCTTCCCTAAAGTTTTTGTTGTAGCTCTCATCGTTGGCTTGATTTTGTGCATTGCGTTGGCTTCCTTTTCTTATCTTTTAATTCAAGGAACGAAAAAAGTAAATATGATTGAAATTGATTGATTTTGGCAAATGTTTAACTGTACTTTCTTTCCTTCTCCTTTCAATGTCAGCGCAACCATGTTCGTGTCAAGCCTATGATGATTGTTATGGCAATTGGAGCAATTCTGTCATTCCTTGGATTGTTAACATTTAACCCTCAAGAGATGGTGTCGTCTGCCATCAGCGGTCTTATTTATGCGTATTTTTTCGTCGTTTTGTTTTCGTTATACGAAATATTCCGAATGGAAAAAGAACGTGGAATGACACTTCAACCTCAATATCAAGCATCTGCACAGGAGGGATATTTCCAACCACCTCCAAAAGTATAAGCAAATTAAATTCACATCCTAAAGAGCAAAGTGAAGAAATTTTGAAGATTTATTTGAATATTCTACAGCGGGATTTCTTAAAAGAAAAAATTCAGGAATTTGCCATTGTCCACTGTACGAGTATAAAAATTTTGGATGCTAATTAAAACATAATAAATGTTGCTTGTGGGTTTCAAACATATTTTTAGTCGTTTGACGACATACACGATCTCATGAAGATATAAGCCTTAAATATATATTTGGATAAAGTAGTCATTTCCTTATTCTAAGTGAGCATTGTCTATTTGATTGTATTTATTCAAGGATATCAATAAAGAATTTCTATGTGCTGTAAGAATTGATTATCAGATTTTGACTTACTCGTGATTTGCTAAATTTTCTCATAACATTTCGAAGATGAGCATAACTCAAATACATATAAGAGAAGTTTAAGAGCTTAATTATCATTTGAAACCTTCACATTAACGCCAAAAAATTATGAATTTTCATTTCATTTGAGTTTTAGTATTGAGTTGGAAGTGATTCATCGTTATCTCGAAGCAACATGTTCGTCATTTGCCTGTAATAATCATTTACTTTTACTCAATTCTCTTTATCTTTTCACTTTACGATAAATTCAAGAAGGAGAAAACTCAAAGTGAAGTTACACAATATCAACAACTGCAGACATGAAATCTTAGATGCTCTGAAGATAACAGAATGTAAAACTAATCTTTCAATAAAGCTACCTTAAACCCAATAATTATTCTTCCTTATATAAAAAAATAATTCAGCAACTGTTGTTCCACAACAACTGAAGCCAGCAGCATGTTAAACAAAATGAAAAAAAATTTCGTGACATATTCTTGATGATTGTTATGGCACTGGGGAAATTCTGTCATTCCTTCGATTATAAGCTTTTAAATCTCGAGAGATGCAGGAAAAGTAACAACGTGTCGAACAAATTTTCTTTCTTTGTGCTCTACATAAGCATCTAATCAGTGTGTTATCGCAAATTTAATGTTTACTCAAAATATGATTATTTCAATGATGAGCATAACTCAAAAACATAAAAGAGAAGTTTGAAAGATTATCAACTGCAACCTTGACATCACTCAAAACATTTTGAGATCATTTCATTTTAGTTTTCGTGTTGAGTTGGAAGTCATTTCTTTCAAACATTTTACCAATTGTAATTTAATATTGAATATCTAAGAACAATAATTTAAAATGTGGACAATTAATAGTTTTTTGTGCTGGGAATTGGAGACTGGAGGTTCTTAAATATTATTTCAAAATAGGTTTAATTTCTCTTAAAATAATAATTTACATTCAAGGTCTTGTAATCGGATGGCTTTGCTTAATTTCATATATTTTAACTTCATTAATTTTGGGATTTGTATCCCTTGCAATGGTCATTTTATCTTGTGAGGAGATTGACGAATATTTTGATCATTCTATGTCAATATGTGAAAACTATTCTTGTAAGTATTTTAAATTGAAAATAATTCTAAATAAATAGTTTCTGATTGATTTTTCTCCCACAAAGTGTATCTGTTCATCATTGTTTTTGGTACGATTTTGTGTATCTTGTCTGCTTATTTAGCTTACTTGTTGATAAAAGGAACAAAACAAGTAAGTTTTAATTTAGAACTAAATAAATTAAAGTAATCAAATTTTTCAACAGCGAAATCATTCTCTTATCATGCCGATGATGATATCAATGGTCTTTGGAACTGCATTAGAATTGCTGAATTTACTAAAACTTCGTACTCTCCAGCAATATGTTCAGGATTTGGTTACAATTATCATTTACTGCTACATGACTCTCGTTCTCTTTTCGCTTTATGACAAATTCAAGAAGGAGAAAACTCAGAAAGAAACTGAACAAAATCAAGGAACTGCAGACATGAAAGTTTAAATGCTTTGAAGATTACAAAATGTAAAACTAATCTTTCAATAAAGTCACCTTAATCCTTATAATTAATCCCAACTTACATTGCAGTTTTAATGCTTACTCAAAATGTGATTATTTCAACGCATAATGAGCATAACTCAAATAGAAGAGAAGTTTGAAAGATTATCAACTTCAACCTTGACATCAAGTCAAAACATTTTGAGATCATTTCATTTGAGTTTTCGTGTTGAGTTGGAAGTGATTTCTTCCAATCCTTTTACTAATTGTAATTCACTTTTTTATGTTCGAATATCTTAGAACGATAAGTTAAAATGTGGACAGTTAACAGTTTTATGTGCTGGGAATTGGAGACTGGAGGTTCTTAAATATTTATTCATTGTTCAAAATGGGATTTATTTCTTTTACGATAATAATTTACATTCAAGGTCTTGTGATCGGATGGTTTTGCTTAATTTTATATATTTTAACTTCAATAATTTTGGGATTTGTATCCGTTGGAATATTACCTTTATCTTGTAAACAACGTGAAGAGATTGACGAAAATTTCAATTATAATTTTTCTATGTCAATATGTGAAAATTATTCTTGTGAGTATTTTAAATTGAAAGTAAATTTAAATAAAAAGTTTTTGATTAATTTTTCTCCCACAAAGTGTATCTGTTCATCGTTGTTTTTGTCATGATTTTGTGTTTCGTGTTTGCTTATTTCGCGTACTTACTGATTAAAGGAACAAAACAAGTAAGTTCAAATTTAGAATAAATAATTAGAATTCAATTAATTGAATTTTTCAACAGCGAAAGCATTCTCTTGTCATGCCGATGATGATATTAACAATCCTGGCAATTGCATTAGAATTACTGGGTTTATTAAAAGTTTTCACTCTCCAGCAACTTGTTCATCGTTTGGTTAACATATTCGTTTACTGTTACATGACTCTCGTTATCTATTCACTTTATGACAAGTTCAAGAAGGAGAAAACTCAAAGCGAAGTTCCACAATATCAAGTAACTGCAGACATGAAAGTTTGAATGCTTTGAAGATTAAAAAATGTAAAACTTATCTTTCAATAAAGCTACCTTAAACCCAATGATTATTCTTCCTTATTTTAAATAAAAATATTTGAGCTGCTGCTGTGTCACAACAACTAAAGCCAGCAACATGTTAAACAAAATGAAAACATAATTTTCCTTCTCTCATCACAATTCACCCTGCGCATGATCAGAAATATTTTTCACTACTTTTACGTTTGATTCCTAGTTGAAGGAAAATGTTTGATAGAGAAACAGAGAGAGAAGCAAAATAAAAACTAAATTTTTTAAAATGTTGTTATTGGAAAACTTTCTAATAATTTTTAGTCTTGAAGTTGGTGGAAAGTTTATCGGTTGGTTTGGATTGATAACAAATGGAATTATTTTACCACTTTCGGTGTTGTTGCTCGTTACTGTAGCAGTCGATAGAGATTTGAGCTACATACGAGAACAACTTGATGAAATTGATGTTTCAGTAATGCAAAGCTATGATGATACATCAATAAAGCAATTCAGAGAGTATCTCATCTTTTCGCTGATACTTATCATCATCATTTCAACGATTTATTTGATCGCTTCATTTCTCCTTATTCGTGGAACACAAAATGTAAGGTCAAAGTTTATCTATGAAATGTATAAAAATATTAAAAATATTTTGTAATTTCAGCATAACCACCGACAAATCAAACCAGCCAAAAACATTCTCGCCTTCTTGGCGATTTTCTCAGTTTTTGGACTTTTATTGCGATTCACTGTCAAGTCTTTGGTGAATGCAGTTCTATATGCGTATGTGTTTGCAGTGGTTTATTCACTCTGGAAGAAGATAAAGGAGGAAGAAGAAGAGTCGAGAAGGAGAAATTCGGTTGACCAAAACTTCCACTCGGTTGTCGTTCAACCAAGAGTTCAACCCAAAACCCAATCATAATCATCTTAATCGTCTAATTATTAAATAAACTTCTTCACACATAATCAATCTTAAATATTTTTAATGTGCTCAATTAAGGATTTAATGTGTAATTGGGAATAAAAATTTGTGAGAATTTAAAATCTCTTCAACGTTTTCGTTTTTTTTGTTTTAAATTTTGAGTTCTCTGATTCTCTGAAGATGTAACAATGCATTGATTGTTATCAATTTTGTCATTGTTATCATTGTGAAATGCAGAATTCCAACCAAATTCTTCACATTTGTGTTTTAATCTTTGAGTTCGATAGTCGAATTGTCTGTTAAATTAAAATTTTATTAAAAATCATTATGGAATATTTAACAATTCAAAGCTTCTTCGGAAGATCATTGAGAAGTGGTGGAATGTTTTTGGGAAGAGTCGGCGTCGGTTTTACAATTATGTTCAACGCCTTTGTAACCACTCATATGTGTCAAAAATTGTTTGGAGATTGCGATTTCCTGAAGAATTGGTTTCATGAGAAGAATTTCGTTCTAGAAGATTGTTCGACAATGAAACTTTGTATGGAATTTCGATAAGTAATAATTGCAACGATTAGAAACTTCTTTCTTTTTTCAGACTACTTCATCTACACTTTGTTGGTGTTTTCTGTAATTTTTCTGCACACAATCATCTTTTGGTTATTACTTGAAGGCTCAAGAACTGTAAGTGCCGCCATTACTAACATTTAAGTTGTTGATAGTTAATTAAATGAAATTATAGCGGAACATCTCCAAATTGAGACCGGCGTATGTATTTTGTTTGTTTGCGATATTTCTCTACGCTTTCAACATGCTCAGTGCAGAAGGGCACTACATAAATATTTTGGGCATTGTGGTTTGCTTCTATGAGTTTCTACTTGTCAATTCACTCATCATAGAATTTAGAGCAGTTGCAGCTCAGTGATTTTATCTAATACATTAATTTGTCAATCGTTTTGTTCATTTAAATATAAAATAAAAAGAAATCTTTGTAAACACACAAAAAGAGCATTGACAATTTTTTTAAGACAACAAACACAAAGTTGGAGGTGCGCCTCCAGTGCTTCTGCCTTTCTCAGTCAAAATTATCAAAAGACTGTAGACACGAAAGAATGAAATCGAATGAAAAAAAGAAGGAAAAATCGATTAAAGTTTGCTTGTATTAAATTGTGGATAAACATAGCGAGAGTGAGAGCGACAAACGCGGTATGAGTCAGAAGAATTTTTCTTTTCTATTTATGCTTTCAGATATTTATGTAGGCAAAGGCAACAGTGAAAAAGGGAACGAACAAGTGAAAAAAGATCAATAAAATAGGTTTTATGATTGAATGCTTGGCAGTTTTATTTTAAACGTCAATTGTAGTAAACGTTACTTCATTCAACTGTAAGCAGTCAGAATGGTAACCGTCGGTAAATGTTGTGTTTGCTTACGACTTTCCACTGGCGGAATAATTCTCGGAAGCTTCGGAGCATTCTCAAGTCTTCTTTTAGTTATTATGATCGGAGCATTTCTACTTAATTACGATAATTATGTGTTGGAATCTTACGACAAAGGCGCTCATGGTGATCAAGATAGCAGCAAATTAGCAAAGTTCTTGGACACTTACAAGAATGGTAAGTTTTAATTTTACTATTTAACCAAAATAAAATTTATTTATTCCAAACAGTTGTCATGACAATTATGTCGATTTACGTTGTACTTCAATGCTTTTCTTTCATCAGTTCAGTGTCGCTTGTCTGCGGAACTATTCACGTAAGTTTATTGAACTGTTGTGTAATTTTTTTTTATTAATTTCTTTACTTTAGAAAAGACCGAAACTTGTGATTGCATGGCTGGTGTCACAAGCACTTTTAACAATCTTCTGGATCTTGGGATCAGTTCTCACAAACGACATTTACATGACGTTCTACTCTCTTATCTGTGGATACTTCTGGATTTGCATATATTCAATGTACAAATCTATGGTCATTAGACTAAGCGATTGTTCTTATTACGACACGGGAATTGTTTAAAATGAATCAACATATCCAATTATTTAATTCTATTTTGTTGGCTTTTAAAAAGCAGTTGAATTTTAATAAGAAATTTTTAAAATTTCAAGTCACGTGAATGAAAGAAATGAAGTTGATTGGAATAATAATAACTTTTATTTATTCAAATGTTCTTTGAATGAATTTTTGCAAAGCAAAGCAAGAATCTTAATCTGCTTCATCGTCACCAAAAGGATTCAATGATGTTTGAGGTTTATTTGATTCCCTTCCAAGCATTCTCACGACATCTTGACCGTCATCTGTTAAGGAAAAAAAATAATATTAAGGAAATTAAGAGAATTCTAAAGCAATAAACCAGTTTCATCATCAGCAAATGGATTTTTACTGTCATCATAATTGCTTTCTTGTCTTCCAAATGGATTCTTGCCATCGCCATCATCTTCTTCATCGTCAGATTCACCACCAAAAGGATTTGCTGACACTGGATAATTTACAGAAGTTTTTGTTGAATTAATTTCAATTTTCTTCGTTTGCGGTTGACTTGAAGACGTAATTTGAGGTTTTACTCGATAGCTGTGCTCTTGGAGTCTCAAACGTCCTTCAGATAATTGCGGTTTATGTTCAACATTAGTCGATAATGTTTCCTCGACTCTTACTTTGCCTTCAGTCATCATCATTGGATTTATTTGTGGTTTTTGCAGCTTCTTTGGAATGTTTGTGTTAATTTTAATACTTTCTTGCATCTCTTCATCCTCATCTGCTTCAAAATTCGTTTTATTAAATAAATTCTTTCCAAAATATTCAGCAATAATTGAAAACGGTTCATGACTCGAACTTAATTGTTCATTGAAAGAATTTTGCTGACGACGACTTTCAAATTGCTTATGAATTGAATCGTAAAGTTGAATGTTCTTCTTACGACAAACCATGCAATCTTTCTCGGTTTCTGAATACGATCGAATACATTCACGATGAAATGAATGTTTGCACATGAAGAAGAGAGCTGGAAGAACTAAAGGCTCATGACAAGCATCGCACAAACTCCCACGAAATTCTACTGGTTCATTGTTCAACATGTGAATGTTTGTCTTCAACTCCTCCGTTTCTCGTCGATATTTCTCACCCAAACTCTCATCATAACTCATCAAATCAGCTTCTTTTTGAAAGATTTGTGTAAAGTAATGACGAACTGATGACAAGTTCGGTCCATTCTCTATAGCTGACAATGCATTAAGAACTTGAATTGGCGATTGAAGTTTCTCATTCGCAATGACTTGAAGAAGTTCTTGAAGAAATGAAGTTGGAACTTGTTTATTATTTTTTAATCCATTTAATGTGTGAAGCCAAATTGATGAGTCACTCGATCCAAGTCTCTTACAAAGCGCATACAAACTCGGATAGTCTTTCGTGTCAAGGAAATGACGAACAATTAAATTGAATAATTTCTTTTCTTCGTAAATGAGAATCGTTCCAGGCCAAAACTCAAATGTGTGGCACAACATCAGCACTTGATTGTCATCATAAAATTGTGATTGATTTTTAATCAAATCAACAAGACGTTGTTCTAATTTCACTTTATCATCTTCATTTGCTTTCCACAATCTCAAATAATGCTCGATGAGTGAATTGTAAAGAGCTTTCGAGCATGTTGGAAGATTTTGTATCAGATATTCGATATATTCGATTGTTTGCTTTGAATCGTCAAATAAATGAATGAAATCTTCAGGAGTTGCTGGTTCACGATCCATAAATCCACCGTTACGATAAGCAAACAAATCATCATCAGGATCACGTTCTGGTTCATCGCATTTCTTCACAATGTAATCAGTGCAAAGTTTCTTGAGAAGTTCAAACATTTTCGTCGGACATTTCTCCATTAAAATATTTCCATACTTCATGAGACTCATCTCAGCATCATCGTATGTCAATCGACTGATGTAATCGATTGATTCACTGAATAACTTCATGTCTTCAATGAGAATCTCAACAGCATATTCATGTTTGTTATTAAACTTCGCTAATTCCAAAGCTTCGTCAATACAGGACTTTCGACAGACTCGAATAGCAACATCAATGTTGAAATTGTTTTGCTTGTAATTCTTGAGAAAAGCTTTCAATTCTTGAGTTCGATCAAGACGAGTGAAACAGTTAAGAAGTAAAGTTGTGTGGTCAGTTGACGCTTTTCCTTCTTTATGGACACTTTCAAGATAATCAGTTAAATATTGTGTGTGACGTGAATCAAGAAACCTTCGAATAACATAAGAAGGTTCAAGAAATCCAATTGTTTTAATGTATTGATCGACAGCACCAGAGAAGTGTCCTTTCGCATATAAATGATCACCATATTGCTTGAATATTCCCGACAATCCTTCTTTGTCGTATTTGTTGTTTCTTGCAATTTTCACTGCCGTGTCGTACATGTTTTTCTTATACAATGAGTTCAATTTACTCTGCAAATCTTTCTCATCGAGATGAAACAATATTTTATCTTTCGTAAGAACATAACAAGTTCCAAATTCGACAAACACTGAACAAACGGCTTCAACGGATGTTGTAAAAACAATAAAACGATTGACAACATCAATAACTGTGAGTGTGTGTGGTCTGAAAAGAAAGTTTAACAATTTTGATTTAATAAAAATTAATTTTTGTAATAACAAACTTTGACTGAAGTGAATTATCGCGAAGTGGCGCAGTCACCATTAGAAGATGTGATCGAAACCATCGAATTAAAACTTTTCGTCCTTCGAAAGCATAACAAGGAGCTCGCCCATCAACAGTATAACAATAAATTGCATCATCACGACCAACCATGAAATATCCTTCGTTATGTCCCGTTTGAAGCCATGAACAAGTTGTTGAGATGTTCATTGATGGCGTGTCAAGTGTCGATTTAAATTCTTTATCACGTCCTTGTATTGTATATAAGAAAACTCCCGAGTCAGAACAGATAAACATTTGAACAACTTTTCCCATTTGCTTAAAGGAAATTCCACGAATCGATGTCGTTCCAAGAATAATGTTTTTGACATTTTTCGTTTTCTCACGAGATATGTCGCCTTTATAAATGGAAATGTTTCCTCGTTCAAATCCAATAGCCATATACTGTCCATTCTCAGACACACCAAGTGCTGTTGGTTTTTGAATGTTTGTTTTAACTGTTCGAAGGCAAGCGGGAATAGATTTGTTGAGTTTGTTCAAGTTCCAAACTTTGAATTCTGGAGTCAATTCAATTGAGTCATCAATCTGAAAAGAGATTATGTTAGACATTGATAAGGAACTTCATTCTAAACAAATAATTACGCCCAAAGTTATCAGCAAATTGTTCTGAATTGAAAGTTCACAGAACGAAACTGAATTGTGAGTCTTGAATGAATAATATTCACGAAAGTTTTTCGGGAAGACATGAACAAAGCCATTTGAATCTCCTAAAATGATTTGATTATTTCCACATGTTGAGGAAATGACATCAGCATCCTGAAAATATTTAACTTTTATTGTTAAGATGAAAAGATAATGAAAAAGATAAAAAATTTACCGCGACAACATTTGAAACTATTTCATCCTCTCCAAAAGGCTTTAAATCGAAGAAATTAAACTTCCTCCACTAAAATAAACGTTTAAAAGTTTTATTTTCAATGTTTCACTAACTTTAACAAGTTTTTTACCTCCAACATTTCACTTTTTCCTAATTTTTATCTTTCTAATTTGATTTCGAATAAAAACTTTGTTATTGTTTTGTCTCTTTCACTCACATGTAAATTCTTGAATTTCTTCGATTGATAATCAAGAAGCTTAGAAGAAGTAAAATTGGTCTTGTCCAACAGAAGTGAGACTCTTTTCGCAATATATGTTAAGAATCCTCGGTACACAATAAACGTATAAATTGATAATATGTACAATTTTAAAAGACTGATAAGAAATTAATTTTTGTTTGTTTACATTCAAATTCGAATGTTCACGGGGTAGAGAAAATTCAATTTCACAATCAAATTCCACAACTAACCTTCCCCTTGCTTAATTCATAATTTGCTTTAAATACCTATGTTTAAGATGTTGAGTGAATTCCAGAAACATACTGTCATAAACTTGATCGAGAATGAGGCTAACTTAAAATAAACTTAACTTATTTTGAATTGTACAATCTCATTTGTTTTTTTGAATTTTAAATTTCAAATGTTCGTTAAAAAAATTAACCAAAACTTATTTGAAAGCTTTCAGGTGTTTTATTTTTCTTCGAGATTTTTATGATCTCACGATTAATGCTGTCGTTAAATTTTACAATTCTTCTCATGATGCTCAATTTTCACTTCTTTAATTTCAGAACATCAAAATACAGTTTTCATGATATCAGGAAATTCTCTGCTCACAAATTTTATGCTAATTTTGGCTTTGAAATTTCTTGTAAACCAAATTTAATGATTGATAAATTACCCAATAAATTGAAAGTAAAAGTTAAAAACATAAAGTTTTTTAGAATGAATAATTCTTTCATGTTTCCCTTTCCCAATAATTCCTATGGAAAAAAAGTACACAGTAACACTAACTTGTTACTTCAAAGTCACCTTAGACAACAACATCATCAAAGCCTCCTTAAAGTCTAACAAGCACTTATATGGAGAACAAGAAGACCTTAAAAAGTCATGTAAAGAAGGCAAAAGAACTGCATCCTTATCTTTTTGGCAATGTTGTTTCATTCTTCGAAGAACAACGAAATATAAAAAAAGCATTAACCATATGTTTAAACGACTAAATGTCTGAGACGTTTACGTCTCGCCTCCATTTATGCTTTTATTATTTTTTATCATGCACTTCGTCTGACACCATACAAAAAGAGTCACAACATAAAAAAGAAATATTCGAGGCATAAGCCTCAATTAAGTATCTTGTTAAGTAAGTTTGACGATATGTATTTCTATTGCCATCAAGTAAAAAAGTAAAAAAAATAAATAAATAAAAAGATGAAAAGAAAACTTCATTTTTCATTCACGAAACAGGTAAATAATATGTATTATTTAAAGGAGAGGTTGTATTCCTACCAAGCAATAAAAGGAGATTCATTTTGTGCACGTTTATTTATGAATGATGCAACGATGTGTTTTATCGCCTCCCTTCCTCAACGTGCATGCAGTCGAAATGAAGAGAACCAAAAAGTGTGCATCAATTCAATTATTCAAATAAATCATGAAGTGGACAAAAAAAGAAGCAAACAAAACGAAGTAATAACATTAAAACGGCGAGACGAGACAGACGAGAGAATGAAACAATGTAGAAAATATAAGACAAATGCATATAAGTTTGTATTCTTTTTTTTCCGTGATCTTGATAAATAAAAAATTGCATAATCCCTCATGTCTGGATAATCATATTCAAGCAATATGGTTTCGGTACATACAATGTTTATATACTCGTTTGTAAATTGTTATGGGATGATCTGGGCCAGGAAAACTAGAAGGTCATTTTTAATGGGCTTGCATGATGATTTAGAAAGAGGGTGGAGACGATGCACGTTATACAACGGAGAACAAGAAAATATGAGAAAAAAAGAAGCAAATAAATCTTAATGTGTCTCGAGGAATCACATTATATGCAAAACGGGAACATATGCAAAACATTTTTGAACGTCTAGCCTAATGCAAGATTGTTTTGTTTTGAGTTAGACAATTAGGTCAAATATTTCGAGACAAGCGTTTATCCAATTTGGTTGTGCATAAGAAGAATGCCAGCATATCTCTTTTTTCTTTTATACAGAGTTGTGATGAAATAATTTGGAATGAGAGATATTCGACGACGTTATTTATTAGTATTTGATTCTGGCATGAAAAATGTCACAAAAGTACAATGTATGTTAATATTTTATCGAAATTTATATTATTCCTATGAAGGCAAATGAAACATCAAAAGCATTGTTGAAGATTCAATTTCTGAGAGGCAATCTCAATATAAAAATAGAAAATAAGTAGACACAACAGTAAATAAATCTATACAAACGATTTCTTCATAAACGTCTTTTCGCTATATGAGCAACTTTCAAGTGGGGTGTAATTTGAAAGCATACAATGTATCTATACTTATCTAAAAGCATTTTCAGCTAACTCTTATCGTTTATTCTGATTTATGTTGATGGAAAGCAGGAGACTGCTAATAAATAGGAATTATTCATGTGTTATTTGACCTCAAATACGTGAACATCGAACATCGAAAAAAAAATGTCTAAAACTATTTAAAAAATGCGTTTTATCCATCAAAATCATGAATTACAAAGTCAAATGCTGTAGACAAACAAACAAGAGACTTAGAATAATTTTAAGATAGACTTTTGAAAGTTAAACACCCCATAACAAATCACTATTTATTATCATCGGAGTAAGAAAAAAGTAACAGTTAATCAGCTTTATATTCCCTTCACCCTCATAATATTAATAAATTGATTCCCAAGTATTCTGACTAGACAAAAATTAATAACTTTAAATAATTGGAAATTCATTTTTTTCATTTTTCTCATGAAATTGATATTTAAGGTATAAAAAAGATTGCAGCGAAAACAAGGTTGAAACATAAGCTTGTCCCCGGTAAGCAAAAAACTTGATCCTCAAACTGTTCGTCTTAGAAAATTAAGTAAAGATGAAAGTTGAAACGAAACCAAAGTTCCGATGAAAAATGTCTAAAAGATTTTAAATTGAATCATATACATAAGTATAGTTCAACGACTCTAGTAGACGTTCATAACTCTATAAGTTATCTAATCATGTCTCAATTGCTATCCACACAGGCCTGGAATTCTGTAGAAAAATATTTTTGAACTAGCTTTTCGAACCCGTGCTTTATCTTCTTGTTTGATATTAAATAATGTGACTTCACAATAAACTTTATGAAGTTGATTAAATCTTTCTACTTTGAGCCTATTTAAAATTAACTCCAGCATAAATAGATATATGGCAGTGTACTTTGAGTGGCTAGTTAAGCAACTTGATGCCACACAATCTCATGTTATCACACGTTTCCGTCAATGGATTGTTTGTTTGTCTAATATTCTTAATTTTCAGACTAGACAGCACATTATTATTCAATGAAGTAAATGAGAGAACTTTGAATAATCGTAGTAAATATTTTTTTGGTTTGCTTTTGCTTTATACATTCGATACAAAGTAAAGGATTTGCTGTTTAGTTCATTGCTTCAGATTTCATAGGCAGTCGCCGTTCACATTACTAACTACATATGATAGCTCGAGTTTTGGGATTCTGTCTGCAGATTTGAATTTTATTCTGCGCGTTTCGATTAGAATTTATTTATAACATAAATTTAGTTTGTTAGAATTCGGAAATCTGTGTGAAATCAAAAAGTAAAATTGTCGAAATAAAATTAATCGAAACAGTGAGACATTTGTAAACATCATTTAAATATCGATTTGTGAGGATTGCTACGAAAGTTAATTTAAATTTATAATTTATTTTTTCATCCTAGCTTTACCTATAAATAAAAAAGTCCCACCCCGACATCAACACAGTGTAGTGCGAACAAGTTGAAAAGAAGACGTTAGAGTGCTAAAGAGAATAAAAAAAGAAGCTTTTCTTCATTTTCCAAAAAGAAGATTTTTCTTTTTCTTTCAATTTTTTTCCACACTAAGGAAGGTCTCTGTCTCTTTATACAAATATGAAACCAGCGCTTCGTAATGTAGTGTACGTAGTATAAAAAAAACTCCTCTAATAATAATATACATGTACATATTCTTATGCTTGTTGATGATTGAAACAAATGTAGAACCTGGAAGGCCTCTTAAAACACACGATATTAGTTATAAAAAAGTCTTCGAGCAAGAGAGTTGGAAAACAGTGAAAAGTTCGTGCTAAAATAAAAAGAAAGACATTCTTAATAATCATTTATTAATTTCAAACGAATTTGCAAAAACATTTTATAAAGTTGCATAAGTTGTGCAATCAGAATTTTCCTATAAGAATTGGGTTGAACATTAAACGAAAAATGCATATTGCCGTGATTTTGGCTTTTCATTTTTTCTGTGCTTTTGAGTGTTTGGCAAAGCCAGTTGAGCAAGGGTCTGTTACCGATCCTTTGGGCGAAGTTACACCATATCCCGATACGCAGAAGCAATTTATCGATATCAATAATGTAAGTCCTGAAGTGTCAAACATTTTAATCGAGAACAATATGAACTTGGAAAAGATTAAGACGATGTTGGAGAAGCTGCAGAACAAGACAATGTCAAACAAGAATTTTTATGAAGTGATTCCATCATCAACCTCTTCACCATCAACTGAAGCTAAAGAGTAAGTGAATTAACTTTATTTATAGATGAGAAATGTCATAGCAAATGATTAAATTAAAAAAAAAAGAAAGCTAAGAAAATTTTTAATACTTTGACAAGTTAATTTACGCGTGCAGCCGAATTTGTTTTTATTTTATTTCTTCCTCGCATTCATTTAGCTCCTTCTTATTACTGCGTTGACAATTTTATCGAAAAATTTCCTGCGTGTAATTATTAAAAATAGCAATCTCATTCTTTTCATCTCTAGACCTAAGTACAATGTTGATGAGAAGATGGAGAATAAAAATGTATGAGAAGAAATAATAAAAAAAATTGTCACAAGTCTATCAAAGCTAATTAAGAATTTATGCAGTTTGCAAAAGCAGACATATAGAAATTGCATCTCGTCATGTCAATCTTCATCTTCTTCGCTTCGATGATGAAGAATGACACAGTCGTACATTTTTTTTTTCATCTCAGACGCTAATGTTCAACATAGAAAATTCAAAATTGTAGATAAACTGCATCTTTTGTAATAAATTCATTTCCCTTTCATAACTTACATTGTTGATCTGAATCATTTTTTAAATTATTATTTCCTACCAATAAAAGAAGAATAAAAATATGTAATAAGCTTAGTTCAACAACATATCAATTGCGTTTCTCCAAAGGTTATAATTATGTATGCCCTTGAAACACATTTGTGCGTGTCCACAAAAAAAAAACTGTTGCAGTCTGCATTCGCTTTATTTTCAACAGCAGAAGCGTGAACTTGAACTTGCAATTTTTCGTATTCTCCCTACACGATGATGATGAACATCGTATGTACATGCATATATGTAACTTTGAAAGAGAAAAAATAAGTTTTTCTTTATTAGGTAATTTTTATGCTGTGATTCCGAGGCAAGAGTCAAGTTTAAAAAGCAAGACAAAGCGTCTGGAACGAGTAGGAAGTGTTTATCGGTTACGACCAATAAACAATTCTTGTTCATCCTTTGGCTATTCTTGTCTGATTTATAACTGAATTTTTTTAATACTTTCAAAGATTGAAATGATTGTACTTCGTCAATGCAATGTTATAAAAGGTTTGCTTGCTTGTAAAATTGAAGAACATAACCAGATGATGAGATTATGATGAGAGACAGGGAGGGGAAGTCAAAAGGCATTAAACAAACATAAATTTTCAATAAAGCTTCTTCATAGTCAGCCTTTGAGGCTAAAGAGGGAACACTTTAAATGCATTGTTTAATTTCATGGTTTGTTTTTGTTATTACTTGCAAAATTTTCTCTCATTTTCGTATTCATCAATGCAATAAAAATTTTGTGTCTGGTCGCTTATTTTTTTTTATTCTTTTCCCTTCCACTCTCGCCCGTCGCGTTTTTTAAGGCAACTAAATTTCATTGTCTCATTATTTTTACGTACACTTCAGGAAAGTGGCAAATTGCAATTATTCTGTTATCTTCGACTTCATGTTCATGTTCTTTCATTCTTTAAATATATTTTGGTCAGTGTAATGAATTGCAATTGCAATGCGTCCTTTTTGGACATGGACATATCTAAAAGACAGAAAAGAAGAAAAAATTGAAATTACTTTGTACATGATGCATTTCAAACACTTTTTTTTCTTCACGAGTCTTTTTTATGAACTCATTTGTATATTATTCATGGGTCTTTATTCTGACAGCATAAGTAAAAGAAAAATTATGTACATGAGAAACCAGACATAAAAATAAATTCTACATGCTGTTTAATGCTCTTCAATACTTGTACTTTGTATGTTAAATTACGAGACTGAAAAAGCTGATTACTTACACGTGAATCCGATTCAATTATGTGCTTCTGCACTTTGTCGTTTTCTTAAATTTGGTCATGCTCGTCATTAACTACACTGCAAGAGAGGAATAAAAGGAAAATGTAGATGAAGAAATATTCAAATAGGAAGTTTTTTTTTTATATAAGTAGACAGAAGATCTCATCAGACAACAAAAGAGGGAGAATAAAATTGTTAAGTTGCAGACAGTGCACTTATTCACTAGTTAACCCGTTAAGTTGCTGAACCTTTATGTGTCTAGTCAGACTCTTTATGTACTTACATTTAAATGCATTTAAAAAGAATGAAGAAATAATAATTGAACTTTGTTAACGTCGACCCTTGAGACGATAAAATGATTTGTTCTCAATTTGTAGATGACAACCATTCATTTCCATCTTTCCTATTTATACAATCAGTCACTTGCAATCATTCTTATTCTATTATTACAGCATGTCAGAGTTCCGTTTGAACAGCATTAAAACTTCATTGGAGAAGACTTTAAGACAAAGTGACGATAATGCTCCGCAAACAAATGCTGAATTTGATTATGCATTGCCAGCAGTATGTGAAGTTCCGCGTCATTTCAATTTGTCTGATTGGTTTGGACATAAAACTTGGAATATTTTCTTCAAACCCAATTATCGTCAATATAATGTGAAATCGGTGTTCTTGAGGTAAGAAAAAGATTTTTCTTAAGAATTTCATTTTCGTAAAATAAAACGAAATAAATTTTCCGCAGACTCTACAAAGTTGCGCTTCAATCGACTAAAACATCGAAGGAATGTGACTCAGAACCTGGTGAATTTTATAAACTTCAAGTTTCTGTCTACACTCGTAAACGAAGTAAGTTCATGAAAATTAAATTTAAATCAAAATATTTACAAACTTTTTCATCTTTAAACAGAGGAAATTAAAAAGAAGACGATGTTCATTCAAAGAATCAAAAGCAACTTCAATGGTTGGGTCGAAATTGATGCATTGTTAACATTGAAATACTGGGACCATCCAAGAAATAATTATGGAATTGCTATCGATATCTTTGATGACGAAGAGAATCAACTTGACGCTAAGGAACATTTCCATCTCCAAAACTGCGAGGCAGGTAAGAGTGAAGTTTGAAGTTTTAACTAACACCAAAAAAAGATAAAATTCAATTCATAAAACATGACAAGAAGCAACATTATGTTGTAAATATTTCAACAGCAGAAATTGAAAAAATAAGCGTCAAAGAATCATATTATGTCGAGACATCACATTCTCAGGAATTTTTGTATTTTGAAACATTCCTTGGAAACTAGAAACGTTGTCAATTCCCGTCCGTTATTCCACTTAAAAACGTTTTTTCATTTGATATGTTTTTGCGATGTAGACTTAATCAAAATTCAAAATTCAATGGAATACCGGAAATGTAAAAAGGTTGCGTCAGAATGCAAGCTTTCTTCTCTAATATTAACGTACGATGAAGGCGTTGCTTCGTTCTGATACCGTCAGACAAGAAACCAAAAATAACTTCTCATGTTCGCGAGAAATTGAAGACATTTGTTTTGTCTCGCTATCCATCCTTACCTACAACCGACCGGCATTCAATGACGTATCAAATTGTTAAATTTCCCGAAATTGCAAAACGTGTGAATAGCAGAAATGAAGTAACAAAAAGAAGCAAACTTTATAAGTGGCGGGACCGCGAAAACACTTTTTAAGTTGACTCATGAAAAATGAAGGTTTGAACTGTCGACAATAACAATTTTGAATGGTTTTAAATAACTCTTTTTGATTTAACTTTTATTAATTTGATTTGTTTTTTTCTTTTAACGAAGACATGCATGATTGTATTAACCGTCGAGAATTTGTTTTGTGTTTTATTGTTGTTTGATATTTGATATTTGGAAATCATTCAGATTCAAAGGAAAATCAACAATTCTTCAATTTCCTTCTAAAATTTTCCATAAAACTTGAAAGCTCAGCGAAAAATCATGTTGCTGAATGATTCCCAAGCACATTATAACTTTAGAAAATGCGCATAGAAGCAATTTTCTTGACATTACTAAACTTTTCTTTTGCGAATATCTTATACAGGTGTACAAGTCCCATGGCGAGCTTTCAACCTCCTTGCTAAGTCTATCCGAACTCCGGTATCCGAAGATGATGTGGAAGTATATCGAAGCGTGCATACGTAAGCATTTAAATCGAATTTTATAATCAAAGCAGAAATATTTTAAAACTCTTTATCTTCCAGTGGTCCCCGTTTAGACATAATATCATCAAGCCCAGCAAAATATCTTCTTAACTCTTCTGAGACCCAGCAATCCCAGCAAAAACCAAAACGTTTGAGACACATCCATAACCCTCATCACCTGCAAAAATCAAGTGAAGAATATCCCGAATCATTTGAAAATTATTTCCATGATGATGCTATCAATGATCATTCACATAACAACAAAAAAGTTGAAGAAACATAAGAAGCGAGCATAATTTTAAAAACAAAATAATAAGAAATTAGGTCATAAGTGTGAAGTGGAAACTTTTTTATATGAAATCTTAGCAGAATCAAATAAAACGAGAAATGAAATCTAATAATTGTCAATATCTCTGTAATGGAAAGTAAATCGTAAAGAACAAGAGAAGAAAAGTTTTTCAGTCACACGTTTAAACTTTAACATCATTTAACTAACTTTTAAATTTTTTTCATGTCTTTTTAATTTTAATGTAAATATTTTGGAAAGAAAAAAGCTCGAATGTTATGTCTAAGCTTACTTTTAACTTATGTTAAGGGAATTTTTCAAATATATTGTCGACTTACGATGCAAAAACGAATTTTGGAAGAGAAAAAATTGCCTTCGATGACATAAATTCTAAAACGACATTGAGGAAAGTAAAAATAATTTTGAGGAAAATCATTATTTTAATTAATTAATTAATTTTTTTACAATTTCTTTCTTAATAACATTAACTAACGATTTTTAATCTTTTTTTCTTTGGATTAACTTAAGCTTATGAAAATGAATTTTGACAAATCTTAAAAAACAAAATTTTATCAAATAAGTTCTTTAGAATTGGAGTAGATGTACCATATTAGATTTCTTTTAACTCTTAAGTTGCATTTTGTATGTTCTTTTGATATCAAAAAGAAAACAGTAAAGTTAAATGAAATACGAATGAAAATGGAACAATAAAATGACCTTTGCAGGTTGCCGTAAAATATGATAATAAATTCCAACAGTCTATGTATTTGCTTAATAAACTTCAAAAGGAAAGTAATTGTTTGAATGAAAAGAGTTAGTTGATGTCTTGTCGTTAAACGCCGTAGACACTGTAAATTCTTCAAATATGGAATCCTTATTTGAAAACATTTCCTTAGAAGCAAATCAATTCGATTTGCATTGCTCACCGATTAAGGAATATTTGAAACACAAAACAGTTTTTATCACTGGTGGTTTTGGTTTTCTTGGAAAGCTTTTGATCGAAAAGCTTCTAAGATGTGATGTTAAAAAAGTTTACTTACTCGTGAGAGGAAAAAAAGGAAAATCATTTGAAGAACGATTTGAGAGTTTAAAAAATGAATCTGTAAGATTTGATTAATTTAATGACAGTCTTGCTTAATTAAAGACGGCAAGTGAAAGTTTTTAAATCAATTCTTTTCTCTCACAGATCTACACAGAAATATTGAAAGCAAATGAAAATATTTTCTCAAAGATTGTGTTAGTTAGTGGAGATCTTCAGAAGCTAGAGTTGGGAATAGCAAATGATGATCAAGAAAGTTTGATAAACGAAGTTGAAATTGTGTTCCATGTAGCTGCTGATGTGAACTTCACTCAAAGTTTGAGAGAAGCTATCGAAACAAATGTTCGAGGCACAAGGGAAATTATTCACTTATGTCGAAGAATCATAAAGCTAAATGTATTGATTTACGTTTCGACAGCATTCTGCACACCAAGTTTTGAAGTTCACGAAAGTTGTAAGTTGATAAATTTCAAAGTTTAACTTTGAATTTGAAAATTTATTGAAACTTTTTAGTCTACGAAACTGAATTTGATTGCGATTTTATGATTGATTTTGTTGAAAATTTAAAACCGAAAGATTACGATGACTTTGAAGCTATTTCCACAAGAATTATTCAACCATTTCCCAACACCTACGCTTACTCGAAAGCGTTGGCGGAAAAGATGATTCACAAACATGAAAACGAATTTAAAATTGCAATTATTCGTCCCGCTATTATCGCAACGGCATTTCATGAACCGCTTCCGGGGTACACTGACAATGTTTATGGCGTAAATGGAGTAGTTTGTGGAGCTGGCTTAGGTTTTCTTCGCATATTTCACATAAATAACAAACTAAAAGCGAACATTGTACCCGCTGATTATGTGATTAACATGATGCTTGCTGTTTCCTGGCTTACAGTCTGTGAAAAGTACTTTAAAAATAATTTCTCAGTACTTCCAATTACTTACAATTTATACTTTACAGTCAAGTGAACAAGGAAAAGCTGGAAGAAATTTCCGAAAGTAAAATCGATTCAACTCGAAAGGAGGAAATTAAAATTTTTAATTGTTCTGTGACAAACAATAATCCGGTTACGTAAGATATAAATAAATTTGTCGTTACATCTTTAGTTATATCTTTAACGAGCTATTTCGATGTTTAGATGGGGTGATGTCAAGAAGCATTCAACCTATTGGGGTGAAAGATTTCCAGTGATGTTTGCAAAAATTCATTTTGAATTCACCATTAAAATTTTAATTCCAGATTAAAAAATGTATTTGGATTGTTCGCTATAATACCACCAAACATTATTACTTGTGCCAATTTCTTAAAATATTCTATCACTTTTTGCCTGCATTAATGTTTGATGTCATTTTGAAAATCAACAAAAAAGAAGCAAAGGTGGTCAAAATTTATCGAAAAATCAACAAGTTCAGTGAAGTCATTAGCTTCTTTACCAATAACGAATGGAATTTTGACAACAATAACATGAAGCAGTTGAACGACTCGTAACACTTTACTAATGTGAATTTGAATTAGTCACTTTTATCAATGAATTTCTTTTTCCTTTCTACTTCTAGCATGACGTCGTTTGATAAAAAGTTCTTTCAATGTAATGTCGATGAGATTGTTTGGGAAGATTTTTTCAGTGAGTTTCAGACATTTTCACAGAACTAAATTTTCCAAGTCTTTCTTCTTCTTTAATTCTACAGAAGTTTTCTGTGCTGGCCTTAGGAGATTTATTTTCAAGGAAGATTTGGACACGTTGGAAGAAGCAAAAAAGCGTTACAGGTAAAGACAGAAAACTTTGTGAAATTTTACAACAGTAATCTTAATTTCAACCTTTTTTATGTTAAGGTGGATGACAATTTTACATTATTTGATGATGACGGTCATCTTTACAATCCTTGCTTTCATCATGTATAAGATTTTGAGCTTTTATGGGTTCATCGAATCTGGCACTGAAATTATTACCGATTTGAAATCTTTCGTCTTTTAATTATAAGTTTTCATTAAATGTAATTTAAAAATAAGCTTCAACAGTAAAAATATTTGAGGGAATTATAAGGAATAAAAACAAATATCGAAAGATATTCTTCAAGGGCATAAAACTTAAACATTGTCACAAACAGCTGGTTTCAATCCGTCGAAACACAAGCAACAATTTCACCAGGATGTTCAATGAAAAAGGTCATGAACGCAAGCAACAATGTTTTCCATTCATACAAAAAGAACACAATTCGTAATGTTTCAAGTTGAGAACATTGAAAATGAAACAATAAGCTTGCGCGAAAACATTGGAAAGCTCTCATCAAAAGCTTTCATATTGAAGCTTCAATGCTATTTCAGTTTCTCATCTCAACCAACAAGCACCGTTTTTCCAGAGAACAAAAATTTTTTGTTGGCACTTCACACACTTATTATGTCATCAAATTTGAAATATTTGATTGAGTGAAAGTTTTGAATGTAAAAATAAAAAAAATTATAATCAAGATTAAAAGTGATAAATAATCAAATAAAATGAAGCTTTAAGTTTATTAAATTTTGTGAACTCTCGAAATGTATTAATTTAAAACGTTTCACAACTTTAATTTTCATTTAAGATACTTGCAAAGATTAAAAGAAGAAAACTTTAAAAATATTTTTCTCTTGAGACTTAAAAGCTTTAATGTTCTGTTAGTGTTCTGTTCAGACAAGTGCAGTGAGAAGTTTTTGTATTACTACTTGAATAGTTCGAATCAGATTTTAACTTGAAAATGGATGACAAGAAAAACGGAAGCAACTCCATCAAGTATAATACGATGGAGCGACAGGTAGGATGTAACAATTTTCCACCCTTGTTGAATATCATTTCATTTGAACATCGAATCGATTTAATCTTATTTTTCTACAGAATAGCAACGATTCTGTTGAAATTAACGCATTTGATGATATTTCGACGAAATCTTTAGTGAAGGTGAGAGTTTTTTATTTAAACAGATCTAACGAAGATTCATCTGAGAAAACCCACAAATGTTTTTCCTTCTTTTGTGGCAAGAAAAAAATAATAAAAATGTTTTTGGCATCTTATTGAAACATGATTCATTGCGTAGGAGATAAAACATTTAGGCAGAGATGATATAAATCTCCCTTTTTATAAGATTATATTTATCATCTGAACAAAATAACTACTCATGAATCAAATCATTTAAAGATTAGTGAATGAACGACTAAATGATTTTGCGCAACAATAATTCTGTCATTAAAGAGACAGACATGAAGATGAACAACATAAAATCGTGAATTATTGCTTACTTGTGAAGTCTAACAATGACTTAATTTTTCAGAGGGTTGGAAAATTTTCATTTCGAATGAAGAAAAGCAAAAATTTAATTTTCTCTTAAACATCAAAAAAGAATTTTCATTGAATTCCTTTGCGAAGATATTCACCAATCATCATTTCATTTCTCTTTCAGAATAAAGAAATAAGTTCGGACGATTCCTTGTCGTCACTCTCACATACTTCGTTTAATTATATAAATTCCATTGTCGGAAGTGGAGTCATTGGGATTCCATATGCACTTGTCAGAGCTGGTTATGGTGTTGGATTACTTTTATTGATTTTCGTCGCAATCATTACTGATTACAGCCTTCGTCTTATGGTAAACAAATTGAGTTTCATTAAAACTTTTCAAACTTAGTCAACCATTAACTGATCCTTTCGTGCTGTCTAATTTTCTCGACTCTCCGAATATCTCACTCAATGTAGATCAAAACAGCTCATTTATCAGGACGTTTGAGCTATGCGAGTGTCATGGAAAGCGCTTTTGGAAGTGGAGGATATTATTTACTTTCATTCCTTCAGTTTCTTTATCCCTTCTTAGGTTTGTAATCGTGTTTAATTTATGTCTAATCAATAATATTATCAAGACACTTTTCTTTATTATTTTTTATCATAGCAATGATTTCTTATAACGTTGTTGTTGGCGACACGTTATCTAAAGTTCTCGTGAGATTCGCTCCCTCATTGGGAACATCAATGGGCGCCGTACGTTTCTTCATCGTTTTTCTCGTTACATTGGTAAGCATGACGATGTTATATAACATTAAATATTTAACGACGTCATAAGCAATAAAATATTTTCATTTAATAATTTTCAACAGTTTGTCACGACTCCATTGTGCTTGTATAAGAACGTCTCACGTCTGGCGAAAATCAGTTTCATTAGGTAGGAAAAGAATTCTATGGTCGATGGTCATGAGATTGATTTTAACCTTCAACTTTCATCATGAAATTGATTGAACATTTACTCATTCGTTTTCTTTCTTTATTTTCGTAAAATTCGTTCTGAAAAGCTTGGTGTCCGTGCTACTGATTCTGCTAGCCGTGATCTATAAATTATTCAACGGTGATTATGCAAATGTGTAAGTGAAAAATTTTTCACCTTAATCTAATTTCTTCTGACAATAAAATGAGAAATTTAAGATTCTATGAATGTTTAATATCGGGAAGCTTCAAAAAGCTTTTCATTTAATTTTCATATGTATGAAGTGCGCTTAACGTTTTAAAGATTTCACCACACTTTGAAGAAGTTCAACTTTAATGAACTTTTAAAAGTTTATTGTTTACTTTTCAAAGCAAGCAGAAAATATAAAGTTATAAAGTGTTCATATGTGCTTAAAATTTATGTTCGCTCTTCCCTTTAGCGGTGAAGGAAACATTAAATTTAATTTTATTTATCTTTTCTTCTTCGTCAAGACCGCGTCCCGATGATGCCTACACTTTTGTTCAACCCGACATTCTCTCAGCAACAGGCATTATGGCATTTGCTTTTATGTGCCATCACAACACATTTCTAATCTACCATTCAATGAAAGACTCGACGCTTGAGAAGTGGGAAAAAGTTACTCACATATCAGTGGGGTAAGTTTATTTCTATCTTTCTCTTTCTATCTTGTACATCTCTCCATTATGAATGTTCGTTCATGTTTTTTTATGAAAAGCTTCGCATGGATCGTCGCTGTGCTTTTTGGTATCGCGGGTTATGCAACATTCACAACACTCTCGCAAGGTAATTTATTCCATCCATTTAGTTATAATTTCATTCAAAAACGAAATTAACATCAAAGTCTTGTTTCTCATCTTCTTATTTTAAGGAGACTTATTGGAGAACTACTGTTATGACGACATGAATCTTGCAAGGGTGCTTTTTTGTGTCAGCATTTTACTGACATTTCCACTTGAATGTTTTGTATCGCGAGAGGTAATTAACGTTTTTTTATTCATGAGAAAAAAGAGAACCGAAATCCGCAATTTAATTTCATGCATAAATGACTTTCTTCATATTTATTTACATCCAACGTAGATAATTAAAACACAAATCAAACGCTTTTATTCCCACGAGTTGGTGGAGTATGATAAGAATGCGGATCCACGTAGCAGAGAAGATTCAGAGGATAAAGTAATTATTGTATAGTTAAGTTACACCTTTGTAATTAATGTTTGCGATTAATCATTCCACCCACATAGGATTTAATTGTTACACTTTTTGTCGTCTTCTCGGCTTTCTTCATTTCACCGACGAGTGAATGTCTTGGCCCAATCTTGGAGTTGAATGTATGTACAAACAACTTGTTACTTATCTCACATCACCGACTCATTAGTCTCGCTTTGTTTCATTTCATCAAACTCTTCTGAGAGACTTTGCGGCGAACTTTTTCATTCATTTACCTTGTGAAGGGAATTCAATTCATGAACGTATCGTTATTTTAATTTTTTTTCGGATACTGCTTTAGGGTTTACTCGCGGCAATTCCTTTATCCTATATCCTGCCCGGATTAATCTTTCTTAAGCTCGACCCTCATTCTTTGTTCAGCCGTGAGAAGCTTCCAGCGATTGTGCTCGTTATTTTCGGCTTAATAGTCTCGATATCAGGTAAGACAATAACAAGCATCTTCTTTCAAGCCTCACAAATGATTGTTTATTGCGATGTCTTATTTAAAGGCGCACTCGTTCTTGTTCCTAGTTTGTGGGATCCCGACCTCGATTGTAAGTTGCTTTATTGTTAATGTAGCGAGAATTACATATTGATGAGGTCGATTTTTATCATTTCATTCTTTCATGTAACACCAAAATATAAAAATAAAAATAAAAAGGCTCAACAGGAATCGTGCTCGGGTATTGCAGGGATGATGAGATTGCCATAAATGCCACAACGACTACTCCCACAGCAACAAGACTACCGTTGCCTAAATTTCGAAACTAAAACTTTTAAAAGAAATGTAAGATTAGGAAAGCGGGTTGTAGAGAATGTTCCATCATGTGGAAATGAAAAACTAACAAAACGAAACGAAAATTTAATTCAAGGTCGGTTTTACTTGTAAAGAGCAAAAATTTATGAAGAGAAATTGAAAAAATCGAATTCATATCATTTTTCTGTAGAGTAAAAATTTTATTCCTGATTCACTTCAAAAAGTGATTATCTAAAACAAAAATATCTAGTAAAATGAGAGAAAATATTTACCATTAAAGGAGAAATCATAAATTTCCAGATATCAGATAGCAATCAAAATGAAAAATGATAAACGAACTTTATAAAAAGAAAATATTTTTCCTGACAATCTTTTCACATTTATTTTTGGAAATTTTACGAGACGAACTTTAAAAGGTTCATGAATGATATCAGAAGAAGAAAAACTGACACAATATAAAATTGATATCATTCTTAAACTTGAGTGAATAAAGTACACAAAGTAACATGAAAGCTTTATTACGTTTTTAGCTGCAATGCAATGTTTTTACGACGATGGAAATTCTTTTTATTAGCGTGTAAAGGCTCTGAGTTACTTACATACTGCAAGATGAAGAATTCATTCATGTGCTACATTGAATTAAGCAAGATTTTAATTATATTTATTTGACTTTCTCCTCGTTCTTCAAATATCTGTGAATGAGGGAAATTCTAAATATTTTTCCATTACATAAATATTTATTTATCAATAAATTTTATGTATGTGAATGAGTAAGACGAAGCAGCTTTTATTGATTCAAGTATGTGTAACAATTTGAGAACTTTGCATTAAAGTAAGTGAAGACTGATTTAAATTTACGTAGAAAATTTGTTGCGCAATACTGCAGTATTAAATCGACTTCAGTTGCATCATTTATGAAAAATTCAATGAAAACTCCAAATGGAAATTGTGAAGGTTTCAAGACTTTCTTCAGTTTTCCACAAGAAAATGAAGAAAATTCTTAAAGGAAGTGATTGTATGACCAAACCACAAACTTTATAGAAAATTAATAAGAAGATGAAATATTTACATACATGTAACGTAATGAATTAAATTAATTAATAATAATGAAGAAAAATATATGCAAATGTCGTAGCTTTAATCTGAATGTTTAGTTGAACATCTTTAGAAGAAAATGAATGAATAAAATTAAAAGAAATCTTTAATTCAACATCAATATTTTATTATATTTATTATCTTCGTGAAGTATTTTAATTGAAACAATTTCAATGATTGGGAAGTGTTGATAAATTGTGGCTTGACAGTGATGAGTGCAATTTTATTTACTTTTTCAGATTATTTCATTGTTTAACTTCCACCGTTCATAGAGTATTTAAAAATTGATAGTTTGTGCAATTAATCAACATAAGATATATTCAATATTGCTACGCAAGACAAAGCAACACTTCCCGTTTCACAATTCAAGTTGAAAAGGCCTCCAAACAATCAAGGCACTTGTTTAATTCAATAATCACAAATGACGATCCTACAACAAATTTAGGATATCTACATACAGATAATGAGTCAATTTAATGATAAAAATTTCCATTACAATATGGAATACTTCAGACAATATTCTTCAACACTTTTAAGCCACTCGCATTTGTGGAAAACTGTTGAAAAATATTTATTTCTTTTTTTCCTAAAAAATAATAAACTTACGCGTCTCTTTAAGTATAAGTAACATAAAAAAATCATCTTCAATTAATCTAAAATGAAAATAAATAAATAAGATCAAAAAAGAACTCAAGCGCTCTTGCATTCAAGATTAAGATTATTTTATCTCAAACGTTGTTTGTTTGTTTAATTGATTTTGTAAACACCATAAAGTGTTCTTATTGTTCTCGATGATGCGGCGGCATCAATTTGGCTTGATGTTGTTGTGGTTGGTGTTGATGTTGTCGATGTTGGTGGTAATTCCATTATAATTTTTGGTTCTTCATCCATGGTTTTAATTGTGTCATAAAGTTGTTCCATTGTTGGCATTTTCTTATTTCCCATTGTCATGTCATCACGATCGTCATCGACTGGATAAACATTCAACGATTGATCTCTTACTGGCGTTCCGTCAGGCATCATATAAGCTACCATCGAACCCATCAAGTAATTTGTATTTTGTTCCAAATGTTCTTGATTGTCCAAATCATGTGGTTTGTTGACGTATGCGTAGTTGTTATTTGTGGCAGCGCCATCATGTAAATGATTGCTGTATTCATCATCATGATCATAACGATTCGTGCTTCCATATTGAGTTGCTTCCTCGTTGCCAGTCGTCATCTCATCAATAAATGATGGATTTTGTTGTTTATATTGTTCCTGTTGCAAATACTGTTGACGATCGTCTTTCTCATAGTCTGGGCCATTCATCATTGAATTCCAAACTGGAAAATTTACATGAGAAAGAAAAAAATAATCTTCTTAGATAATTTATAATGTAAACATATGAAAATTTAAAACGATGCGAAAAATCATCTCGTCATTGTTTTGATTTATTCGCTTTTTTATTTGGTTGAAGGGGAAAAAAAAGAAGTGAAAACGAGTCAACAGCAAAAGCTGTAAACAATTTTCAACGAGGCCGTTTCCTCCATTTAATTTTTTTAAGATTCTCTTCCGTATTTAGCGTAGAATTATCTTCACATTCATATAAATACTTAATAAGTATTCAAAAATTCTTCTTCAAATCTTTCTTCACCGCACGATATCTAGCAATGGAAAATTTGGAAGCTTTAAGTACAAAATTACTTTGCGTAAGTGTAATAGAATTAACATACATAAATCATAAATCTTGCAGCCACATTTGATGTTGATGAAGAGATGATGATGAAGCTTAAGAAATGAGAAACATTACAAGATATTTAAGCAACATGATTTTGAGATAAAAATGAGTTTACGTATCATGAAAGCACCTTCGATTCGATCTACCAACAATGTCTACTACATTCAGTTATTTTAAATCTAAAAAGGTCAATCATGAAGCTCATTTGCCTTGTTGTATGTGCGCGATTTGAGTTGTTCAATCAGAATCAACTTAACGTCAAACATCAAGTGGCTAGTTGACTCGCTTTGTTCGTGACATGAAGCTATTTATGACAGAGATTAATAACAAAGGTGACACTTACGAATGTTATTGGCATTTCGTTGATATGGGTCCATTTGGTCAAGATGAGAGTCTTCCATGTCATTCAGTTTTATAATTCCGTACATCATCATGTTATGCTTACATTGGGAAGAGTTTTCATGAAGTTTTTCTTTACAGTATGCTTGAACTTGCTTCGCAAACATTGAATATAAATGACTCATCTGTAAAAAAAGTAAAAAGAAAGACAAATTGAATATTTAATAGTCACAAGTCGTGTCAACTTTAACATGGATCTCGTCGAAACAGGAATGACGAAGTTTGAACTCTTTTCTTAATTTCTTCTTCCTCCTTCGTGTCACATCAAAATTCAATTCAAAATTTTGCTTTTTTCTTCATGTCACATGATTTTTTTTTAACTTCACGTTTTCATGAATCACGTAGCGCACGTAGAAAGAAATACCAGACAACCTACCGCTGTTGACTTTTCTCATTTGTTTTTCATCTTTCTTAAATTATTTTCCAATAATCTTTGACATTAATCGATTCTACGTTTTAATTTCGATTTTGAAAGTTGAACAAACTTTTCTTGAGTGTCATGGCATTTTAAAATCTTTTTTTGAATGTTTTTTTATTTGCTTCAAGTGAACTCAAGTGATAAATTCTTTCAAACATTCCAAATAATGTCTATCGTCATTAACATCTTTTTTCTTAATTGCTTGGAAAATTTTCTTTCTGGAATTCACTGAAGAGAGAAAAAAATTATTTTTAGATATTTCTTAAAATTGCAAACTCATTTTTGGTTTCAATCCACTCGAGAATCTCAATAATTGTGAAAAACGAGGTCTCAATTTACAATTTCAAACAATATTCGATAAATATTTATTTATGTTTCTTTCACGTAGACCATAACATTGTGGAAACTTTCCCTCTGGTCAATCAGGTTTTTTAGATAATAAACCATGAACAAGTTACTATCAGCTTGCGGTCTTTATTTATATTAGCTCTCGAGTCTTCGAGTGGTTTTTTGCAAACAATAATTGATCATGAGAGTCATCGTCTTTTATTCAGATGAGATTGCGACGAGACCAATGTGTGTGGATTAAGTCCAAGAATTTTAAGAATTTTTAAGAGGTTTTTGAAAACCAGAAGAATCAAAAATAGAATTAAAGAACGACGCAACCAATGCGCGTGATTATGTTATCGATAGAGGAACAAACGTAGGAGAAAAAGAAGCCAGAGAGGAAAACAAGAATCGTGGAGGAATTTTAATCCAAGCCAATGCGGTTTTCGTTGTGGATATTTTTGGAGCCACATAAGTTGAATGCGCGTCCGGGTTCATCCGACTGTCGTCAATGAATCTTGAGACTTTACAAGGTAATCTCTAAAGTTGAAAACGCGAATCAATTCGCAAAAATATTCGTCACGAGTTTCAAGCCATGTATAGAGTTTAATCCACCCACGCGACTCTCGGGACTCGCACAAAATCCATTCAACAATTTAAATTTCATACTTTATCCGTAGGGAAAAGGTGAGAATGAAAAAAAGTAATGTTTTCCCGTCAGTCTCCATATAAAGAGAATATTTTACTTGGGGAAAATCCGAGTTGCTACTTTAAGATCTAAAAAATATTTCGATGCCGCTTACGGTAATTTATTTTTATTTATTTTTTTATTTCATCTCTCTTCAGCATCGGCACGGCCTTGCCAAGGCGTTTCTGTTATGTTCTTTAAACCTAAAATTATTCAGCACAGTTTGAAATGAAACAAAAGTTAAAAGCATTTGTGCTGATTTTATAATTTTTATGGTGACATCAAGCTGACTTTAAATTGCGGAATACGGTAAACATACTTTTATGCAATTAAAATGTTTTACTTCATTGAGAAACTTTAAAATTATTTAATGAATTATAAAAATTAATTTCATTGCAATCTTCCATGTTTTCTCACATGAAATGCATCACAACACGCATAATTTGTTGAGCTAAATTTTTCTTTTCAATAGTCAACAACTTTTTGTTTGCTTCGTAAATTTTTTTAATTCAACATGAAATTGCTTTCAAGTTAAGATGCAGGTATGTTGATGATCCTTACTTTTTCATCTCTTGAGAGATATTCCCACATTGGTATAGCTGATGATGAAGATTCGTTGACACAAAGTGCTAACAATGTTAGCAAAGCGATAACTTTAACTTTCATTTTATTTTTCTTCTTCTTTTTATCGATTTCCTTCAATTATTTTTTTTATTCTTTCTTAAACTTTACGATTATCTTTTTCTTTCTTCTCTCAATAATAAATTTATTGTTTTTCTAGTAACACCGCAAAAAAATTACTACGTTCGTCTTGTTCGAAACTCGAGAGTAAAATGACTAAGAAAATGTTTTGCTGTGCAAGTTTTATATATTGAAATCGGCATATAAACTCTTCTCTTTATAGACTCACAAACACACACACACACACATGAACATTTACACAGTCATTCGTCTCCGTTTATAACATTATAATATAAATATAAGCGAAACAACTAAAGCTGTGACGTCATTTTCATCTATAATGATTTCGTTCTTCTAATATTTTGTTTTGAAGTCTGCAGACGTCGCCGAATGTAATTAATGCCAAAAATGGGTAGAAAAATAAGTCGGCTTTGAAGAGTGCTTGATGAAGTTCTATGTCGTCTTCATCTCCTTGATATTTGATATTTGATGTGAGAGGTAACAATGAATGTATGCAGGAAATTTAATTGCAAATCAATAATCACAGATCAATCATCAGGATTTTTTGTTTTGTTTCTTTTTTTGATAAACATCAACTTATGTACGATAAAATTTGTGATTCCTTCCAGACGTTTCATTCGATAGATTGATGACATAATGTTTACGATTCAAGTGAACCTCCTACTTACGATTTTATATAATTGAACGCTTAATATTATTTAAAATAATTCAAGTCGTGCGACAGTTTTATTTGCGTTTTGTAAAAATCGTCAAGCAAATGTTGACGAAACTTTTTTCTTCTTATTCATTTTCTGACCTGATGCGCTTTTAGTTTTTTGTGGTTGAATGTTTTTAAATTAAATCAAGTTTAGTAAATGATATTTTTTTTGCTTTCTGAACTAATAAAACAAACTTTGTAATTTATGAGAAAATAAAATTTTCACAATTTTAAGCTTTGTTGGTTTACAAAATATTTTATGCTTTTTATGATTCACATTGGAACATCACAAAAAAAATGCAATCAACGTTGGTTAAAGTTGCAATCTTTATCATAAAAATGATGAGATTAAATTTACTGAGTAAATTAAAACGCGTTTGATTTTGAAATGAAGATTTACAGATTATCATGAGCTCAATGATATTTACACAGTTATTGCATTTCATACTTTATTAATAAATTATTCCGAGAAAACGTCGTGTTGAGTTTTCCTACGTGTTGAACGAAAGAATAAAATAAATTCTTAAAACCGCAACCGCAAATTCAAGGAGAATTTTGCAACCTCAGAAGTCAGTAATAAATAAATCATATCTGTAAACAAATCAATTACTGAATAGCAGAAAGATTTAAGTGAATAATCTGACAATAACTAGATAAATATTCAGATGATGTCATTGCGTGTTTGAAGGGAGATTCCCGGGACAGCATCATCATTATGTAAGTTATCTACATCATCAAGAACAAATCTCAATAGATCATCGACGTCGTCGCGTAATATTTTTTCATCTCTCACAATCAATTAAATCTTTGATTCATTGTTGAATTGTTGTTAACAAGAAACAACAATAGCAATAAAGTTTATTGGAATGCAAGAAGCTTAAATACTTCTTTTGCAAGAAACAAACAACAATTCAATTGGAATTCTTCTAGTTTAAGAATTGATAAATCCGGCTCAAAGCTTCCAAATTGAAATTCTTCTCTCTGGAGGATTTCCGGATCAAAAAGCATGAACTTTCCTGTCAACTCGCAGAATTTAAATTGAAATTTTCATGTTTTAGAAGTCTCTGTGGGAAATTCGCTTCGGGTTGAGATTGTAAAAGAAAAAAATTTGTTTACGTTAACAACACATGTTCAATGTTGATGATAAATTACATGAAGTTTCTTCTTCCGGGTCAGTACAAGATTTAGAACAAAACAAACTTCCTGTTTATGTCCCCAAAAATAAAACGAGAGGGAGAGAAATGAATTACTTAACTTATCAGTCATGTTTTGGCCTTGCGACACATTTTTAAAGCGACTTTGAATTAATTTCCATTTCATTTTAAGTCCAAAACAATCCAACACGCTGCTTGCACTACTTAAAGCAAACACAAAAAAAAAGTTGTTTAAGTCGAAAGGAATCTTGAAATAACAATAATAATCGCTCATCATCATTATTTGAGGTGATCTCATCCATATTAAATCCATTTATACTTATTATCAATTTTCAAGCCGGCTGTGTCAAAGAACTCCACAGTGTAGTTAAATAATGATGTCACTGACTTAATTACAAAAAAAAATTGCGTTAACGAAAAACACAAAGAAGAGTTGAGAGCGCCAAGTGCTTCTTTTGCTTTGTATTGTAAGGCAAATTAATAAGAAATATTCCATGAGATTTCATTTTTTTTAAGCTAAAACATTTTTTCCCAAGAAAACTATTAAAAGCTTCTTCAACTAATTGTCTAAAAATAAGTTAAAATATTTACATGAAAGAAGATATTCGCAGAAATATGTGACGAACGAATTACACTGACGCCAGCGCGTTCACCTTCATTAAGCAATTGAACTTGAATCGAAGTGTTAAACTCGAATCGTTATCCATGACCTATGCAACATCTTCTTCGAAATATTTTCTTATATACGGATTACAATTGTGATAAGTTACATGAACATGGCTGGCTAGGTGGCTGTTATGTTGTATCGTAAACTTCGTGTAGATAATTGCGGTGGAGATAAAAAAGAAATTAAATAAAGGAAGTGCTTTGAACCTCCTCAACATTACGAGGTAGAGACATAAATGATTTAAGACGCTGCCGTCACCTCCCCACATCAACAAAAAATAAGAACAGCAACAACAACAACAACCGCCATGATAGGAAATTTAATTTAATGAAGGCTTTTCCATTAGACTTTTAACCTAACGTCGGATATTTCACGAATTTAAATGATGATTCTCGGAGTTGTTCGACGTTCGTTGAAGGAGCGGTAAACAACAGAATTGAGTCATAAAACTAAGTCAACTTGGATAACATAACAAAAAAAAAGTTTTCCAATAGATTTTGTTTACAAACCTTCCATGGTGGCATTGCCGTTCATCCAAAAATACTTTACGCCATTCGCTGAATTGGACCGATAATATTTGAATAAATAAATTTAGTATCAACAACATGAAGAAGAAATCAAAAATTCTTTTCTTCAGAACCGAATTGTAGACATTGAAATGTGAATATTTAGATCAAAGATTTTCTCCCAACGATAGCTCTGCACAATAACCGGATACAAAGGAATATAAAACTACGTGTCGACTCTCCCCCAAAAATTCAAAGAGATGATTAAAACGTGTTGTTTGATTTCTGCGGAACGCGCCAAAGCTTTAAAAAGAAGAAGAGTTCCGAGCTTTGTTAACATATTTATTGTAGAAAAAAAACTTTTTTTGACTTAAATCTTGTCTTTGGACATGATTGTCGCGTTTCTTCTTCATGCTCGTCGCATTTAGAAGCGTCGTCGTGTTCATTGTCGCTTCTTTTTTTTTCGCTAATTCCCTTTCTGATATTGGCGCCAAGCTATGAATTTGTTCGTCGAATTTTGTTGATCACGTTCAAAAAAAGGTTTTTCTTCAAAACCCACTTCGAATGGATCAAAAGAATTTTTATTTCTTTCTTTTTCTTGTAAATCTTCTAAAGATGTTTGTCGTTTACCAATAATTTGGACTTCTTTCAAAAATAGCAAACAAAGAGTTATTTTTAGAACTCATCGAATATTTTTATTCTTGTCGTTGTGATTCTACTGGAGATCAACAACGCTCCCAGCTTTTACCATTATAAATTATCGTCTGATGGCCTACACGAAATTCAGTTTTGTTTTCTTCTTTATGAAAATTCATGGCGAACGACAAACACGGATGTGTCAAAGAAAGTTTTCTTGTTCGCGAAAGGAATGAAGAACAAGAACCGATGGTGGTGCGAATAAGTGAAAGAGTATTAAGAAATTATTTTTAACTGCAAATTTTTATTTTTATACGTTAAGCAATTCCTTTAAATATTTGTTTTTGTTTTTTTTATGACTCCCTTTTTTGAAGATTGACATAAAAAAGAAAGAAATGATTTAGTTTGACATTATTCATGGCGTGGGTAATGTTATTTTGGAAATCATGTCACAGCATTTTTCTCCTTCTCTACAGTTGCCTTTCCAAAACGGTAAACCAGGAAAGTTGGAGTTGCATTCACTTTCAGGTCGACAAATCCCGTTAAATCCCTTAACTCCGACAAAAAAATTGCATTTGTTTGCACAGCAAGCTTTTCCTGATTCGCAACCAGTATCAGTAATCATAAAAGATGCATCGCATTCGTCTACGCAAGTTCCTGAGCCATTATCGCATGATTGATCGTCAACGTTTGTTTCAGTTGAACCTGAAAGTTTTCTTAGAAAATTAACAAAATTTCAATAGAGATGTCACACCTTCTGATTCAGGTTCAGGTTCTTGTGTTGAAACATTTTTCAACAAAATCAAACAAACAATTGCAGCCAAATAAATTCTGAAACGATTCTTCATTGTTCACTCAAACTTTGTTTTCAACTGAATTCTAAAGAATTTGATTTTTCTTTTATATGTACATGTGCAAGTCGGGAAAACGGGAGCATAATTAATTAATTTTTATAATTGATTACATTGTCAATACATTGTATTGAGCAATAAAAATATTATACGAGAAAATTATTCAAATTTTAATATTGAAATGATAAAAGTGCAATGAGAAAGCTTTTTAGGTGGAAAGCGTAGGTAAAATGTTTGCATTGCATGGACGAGCTTTCAGACAATCGTTTGACAATGAAATATCAACGAATATAACAATTGTGACAATTTCTGTCTTTGACACCAAAAAGTAAAACCAAATCCACACCAGCATCTGAGAGCATTTACAACAGAAATGATTTCGACAATATATGACAGAAAATATAAAACAAAATTTCGCGCAAAAGAAGTTTTCAAGCAAAGCATGTCGTCAGTGTCGCAAAAATCATAACACTGTCTGATACTTGTTATTACTAATCACTGGTTTATTAGGCGGCCGCTTCGAAGTCTCCAGAAGTTAATACAGTTCGACTCTTAGATGGTTATGTCTTTGGAAAAGTTTGGCTGAGATTAAGAATATCTAAAGTTGTCTTGAATGTGTTTTCAATTAACGGAGTTGAAGATGTAACAATAATATATATCACTAAGGAAACAACTAGCTCATTTACTACTAAGACCAGTGTCCTAAGTATCTAGACATTAATCTACTTTATTTTCAAATTGGAATTTGAATCTACAATCTATCATCAATCATATTTAATGAGTAAAGAAAACAAAGTAATAATCGAACGAATACGAAAGTTTTCAATTGCAAAATTTAGTCAACTTTATTTCAAACTTCATGAATGTTTTTAGAAATCGACATAAAGAAATATTCTTTTCAATATAAAGGCCCCCTACAACATTTTCCTCTACCATTGCAATCTTCATCTCCTACGACAGGAAAAGGGCAGTGGGCTTCAGATCTACATTGCCCAAATTTTCCACAGTGTGTCAAACAGCAAGTTTTCCCATTTTTGCATTCGTCTTTGAAAACAGCGAGCGTAAGCATGCTATGACATAAACGATCTTCTATGCAAGTTCCTGCACCTTCATAGCATGTTTCTACATCATCGTCCATTTTATATGAAACTGCAATTTTAAAGGAATTTAGTTTATAAGTTCTGATATTAATTGATAAATGATGAACTTTGACTGCTATGAAAATTCATGGCAAACAACAAACAGGAATGAGTCAAATAACGTTTTTGTTTCTTTTTCTTCTTGAAAGGAATAGAGATATTGTTTATTTATTTTAATTACAATATATTTTTGATAATCCGCTCTCTTGATAAGACAATTTTTCGATAGTGCGATAATTTTTTGTAATCTTAATTATCATTGCATCAAAAATTTTCTTGATCTAACGATGCGTTTTTCGTGATCTCCAATTTCGTACTATCAAAAGTATGCTGCACTAGTTTTCCTACTTTCTAAATTTTTTTTAAGATTGACATAAAAAGGAAAGAAAATAATCATGTAGGTATGACATTACTTATGGTGTGGGAGGTTCTCTGGGGGGAAGTTGGAAACAACATTTTTCTTCTTTTCTACAATCGTCCTTCCAAAAGAGTTTATCAGGAAACAAGGCGTTGCATTCACTTTGAGGTCGACAAATTCCGTTAATTCCCTGAATTCCGGACAAAAGGCATTTTCTTGCACAACAAACTTTTCCTGATTCGCAATCAGGATCAGTACCAATCGTAAGAGATTCATCGCATTTGTCTACGCAAGTTCCTGAGCCACTATCACACGAATGTTCGTCAACGTTACCTTCAGTTGAATCTGAAAGTTTTCTTGGAAAATTAAATGAACTTCAATAGAAATGTCACACCTTCTGATTCAGGTTCAGATTTTTTTGTTGAAACATTTGTCAACAAAATCAAACAAACAATTGCAGCCAAATAAATTCTGAAATGATTCTTCATTCTTCACTCAAACTTTGTTTTCAACTGAATTCTAAAGAATTTAATTTTTCTTTTATACATGTTGAAGTCGAGAAAACGGGAGCATAATTAATTAATTTTTATAAATGATTACATTGTCAATACATTGTATTGAGCAATAAAAATATTATACTAGAAAATTATTCAAATTTTTATATTGAAATGATAAAAGTGCAAACGGAAAGCTTTTTGAGTGCCCTAAGGGGAAAATGTTTGTTATGACGAGCTTTCAGACTAATCGTTTGACAATGAAATATCAAAGAATATAAAAATTGTGACAATTTCTGCCTTTGACAGTGCACGGTGTGCAGTACGTAGTGAACTACGTTGACATAAACAAGAGCAATATTATTCTTAATGTATCAATTTTGATTTCGATTGTGAATAACAGCAGAAGTAAGAGAAGTCATTTAAGCTTTTTGTTTGATTTTGTTTAATGCTTCTGACCTCTAGTGAAAAGTGATCGAAACTTTCTTACTCAGCTTTACATGGATAATTTCTACTCACAGTATCTAAGAGACAAAATGAATGTTCTGAATGAAAAGAAAAAAAATCAACTTTATTGTCAAAAAAAAATCAGAAATTAACATTTATTAGTAAGGATTCAAAACTCTCTGCACTTGTTCAAATATCTGAAATTTACAATATAAAAATAAGAGGTTTACAGTTTCATAAATCAACGAGTTGTTTTAGCATCTGGATAAATCGTAGTGTTTGCTGTTGGGAAAAGATTTGTTAATTTAATATAATAATACAAATTCATTTAAATTTTACTTAATTTAAGCGCCTGCAATGATGTCAAAGGCTTGAGAATTGAGTCATCAATACGATCCAATATGTTGAGTTCAAAATTCAAACTTGCTAATTTACTCAGTCCATGGAAAGCATTTTCATCAATTTCACTAATTTTGTTGGATGCTTTTGGAAAAATTAGTTAAAAATTTTAATTAAAGAGCAATAAATAAACTTACAGATGTCAAGACTTTCTAACGATTTCAAATTCATGAACACATTGCTTCCTAATCTTTCCAATTGGTTCTCATCTAAAAACAAACTTGTAAGATTTTCTAATCCATGGAAATTCTCAGCTTCAATTTCTTTGATTGAATTATTTGCTGCGATAATATTAATAAAGATTATTAAAAATTAATTTGATTCTCAACATTAAATATTACATAAACGAAGTTCATTTAGCAATGGTAATGTTCCGAATATTCCTCCATCTATTTTATCCAATTTGTTGTTATCTAAATTCAAATTCGTCAGCATGTCCAACCCATTAAAGTCATTTTTATCAATATTCTTGATTTCATTATCATCTGATAATAAATATTGCGATGAATTAAAATGTTAAGCTAAGTAATTTCTGTTTTACCCAAATCAAGATGAATTAAAGATGACATTGATGCAAATACGCCTTCGTCTAACTTATCCAATTTATTGCTTTCCAAAGACAAACTCTTTAATTTGTCTAGTCCATTGAAGGAATTTTTCTCAAGCTTATTAATTGAGTTGCTTCCTTTTTTAAATATTTGATTGTAAGAATATTAAAACGATCAATAATGATGATGATATTAAGCATTTAAATCTTTACCTATCCGAATATAAAGCACTGAAGTCAAAGGAGTAAATATTTCGTTTTCTAAAGAACCCAAATTGTTGTGACCCAAGTCCAAAGTTTCTAACATAATCAATCCATTAAAAGCATTTCTGCTGATTCGTTTGATTTGATTACGAGCTGTTTAAATTTATTAATTGTCAGAAAAAAATTTATATCTAGGTAAATATTTATCATTACCAAAACTCAAATCATTCAATGATGATAAATGTGAAAAGATGTCATCATTTAATTCTTCCAATTCATTGTTATGCAGTTCCAAAGTTTCTAACTTGTTGAGGTCATTAAAAGCATTTTGCTCGATTTCTTTGATTTTATTACGTGCTGTTAAGAAGTTAATAATTAAGCTAAATATTAGATTAATTGGTGCATCTCAATGTTACCTAAACTCAAATGAATCAATGCTGACAAAGGCGTGTATAATCTGTGATAAATTCTTTCCAAATGATTTCGTTCCAAATGCAAAAATGTCAATTTTCGCAATCTTTTGAAGGCGTTTTTATGAATTTGTTTGATTTTGTTGTTTTCTTTAATGCAAATGTTTAATTAATTTCTGCATTATTAATTGGAAACTTGATTTTTACCTAATAAAAGACTAGTCAACGATCGCAAAGGATCAAATACGCCTTCATCTATCCTCTCCAATTTATTGTGGTCCAAATCCAATTCATCTAAATTGCTTAAGCCAATAAAAGCATTTCTGCTGATACTCTGAATTGCGTTGCTCTCTGTTTGAAAAATATTCCAATTAAATAATCAATCTTGGTAATTTCTGATATTACTCAATCCAATATGAAGCAGAGACGTTAAAGGTGCAAATAGACGATCATCTAATCTATTCAAATTGTTCTCATGTAAATCCAAACTACCTAAGTTCGTCAATCCATCGAAAGCATTCAACTCAATTTGATTTATTTTATTATTTGCTGTTGCGAAATATTTTAATTTGATTATTAAAAAAACAAAATCGCTATTTGTTCAGCTAAATCTTACTCAAACTCAGCTGTTCCAACGATGTTAAAGGACCCAACATTCCATGAGTTAACTTCTCTAACTTGTTATCATCTAAACTTACAAATGTTACTTTACTCAATCCATCAAAAGCATTATCTTCAATAGAGTTTATTTCGTTGTATGCTAATAGATGATAAGAATAATTTATTATTAATTAATTTCATGTTCTAACAATCTAATCGGCAGTGGAATCGTGTTGTAAGAAACCCAACATATGAAAGCTCTCATCACGATTTCACTGACGATTATTATTATTACCCAAATTTATATATTGCAGTTTTGATAACCCAACGAAGTTAGATTTGTAAACTTTTCGGATTGAGCAACTAGATCCATCGTAATCCTTTATTTTTGGAAACACTGTTGACACGTTATCAGGCAAGTGTGTTGTGTTTTTATTTTCATTCAATTTGAATTGATTCAAATACTCATCAGCTTCTTCTGAGATAGTTTGTCCATTTTCAAGGATCGGTGTGTCAACAGTACACACATTTGTGATAGATCTGATATGAGCTGCTTCTTGACATTTTAACACTTCATGTCCAATGACGAATGTTATGTCCAAAACAAGTAACAGCAGAAATATTTTTTTCCTATGATAAAAACTCCGAGCATTGTTATTCAAATTTAATTAAACTAAAAATATTAAATTAGGTACCACATTTCAAATGATTCTCAATCCACTGGCGGTCAACTGATGACTGAATAATTTTAAACTTTAAGAGAGAACTTCAAGAGATTAAGAATATTGTTGAAATTTATATTTGAAAAATACGTCTCAGACCATAAATTAATCCTCAAATATTATTTTGACATTAACTGATTAAATAAAACAAGTTTTTCATTTACATACTTTTAAATATTCCTCAATCATCAAATATTTTTTATATCTTTTCTCATGTGCATTAGTTACTTGATTTTAATCAACTTTCAACTTAATTTCAATATTTCCTAAGTTTTTTAAAGTTTTAATTTAACGATGAGCAGGAAAATATTTACAAGTAGATAAATGTGGTTTCAAACATTAAATTTTGGTTTTGATTATTTGCTAAATTTTGGCAGAGTTGGTTGATATGCCAAGAAACAGAAAACTTCTCCGGCATCTTCAAAGCTTGTTTCTACATCATTGTCCGTTTTATATGAATGAAGCTGCAATTTTAAATGAATTTAGTTTACAATTTCTGATTCTCATTGATAAATCTGATAAATGGCCCAAGGAGGGCAATAAAATGTTAGATCTTCGTCTGATGGCCTACACGAAATTCAGTTTTGTTTTCTTCTTTATGAAAATTCATGGCGAATGACAAACACGGATGTGTCAAAGAAAGTTTTCTTGTTCTCGAAAGGAATGAAGAACAAGAACCGATGGTGGTGCGAATAAGTGAAAGAGTATTTCGGAATTATGTTTAATTGCAAATTTTTATTTTTATACGTTAAACCATTCCTGTAAATATTTGTTTTCGTCATTATTCATGGCGTGGGCGCTTATTTGGAATGAAGCTTGAGGTGAGTAAGGCACAACATAGTTCTCCTTCTCTGCAATCGCTCTTTGTAAACGTCACACCAGAAAACAAGGAGTTGCATTCATTTTGAGGTCGACAAATTCCGTCAGTTAAAGTAGATAGTTCTACTCCGAATAAAAGGCATTTTCTTCAACAACAAACTTTTCCTGATTCGCAACCAGTATCAGTATCAACTGTAAAATTCTCATCGCATTCGTCTACGCAAGTTCCTGAGCCACTATCACATGATTGTTCGTCGTCGTTAGCTTCAGTTGATTCCTGTGTTGAAACCTTTGTCAACAAAATCAAACAAACAATTGCAGCCAAATAAATTCTGAAATAATTCTTCATTCTTCACTCAAACTTTGTTTTCAACTGAATTCTTAAGAATTAAATTCTTCTTTTATACGTGCAAGTCGAAAAAACGGGAACATTAAAAATATTTTACGAGAAAATTATTCAAATTTCCATATTGAAATGATAAAAGTGCAATGGGAAAGCTTTTTAGGTGCCATTAAGGGAAAATGTTTGCATTGACGAGCTTTCAGACTAATCGTTTGACAATGAAATATCAACGAATATAAAAATTATGACAATTTCTGCTTTGACACCAAAAAGTCAAACTGAATCCACACCAGCATCTGAGAGCATTTACAGCAGAAATATTGCAGAAATATGATAGTTGATGGTGAAGGAAGAGGAAATTTGAAGAAAATTTTCAGCTGCAAAATTTTTTTAAATCAGTTGAAATAAAGTTTGAAGTACTTAATTTACAGCAACCGACATAAAGAAATAAATGTTTCAATATAAAGGCCCCCTACAACATTTTCCTCTACCATTGCAATCTTCATCACCCATGACAGGAGAAGGGCAATGGGCTTCAGATCTACATTGCCCAAATTTTCCACAGTGTGTCAAACAGCAAGTTTTCCCATTTTTGCATTCGTCTTTGAAAACAGCAAGCGTAAGCAAGCTATGACATAAACGATCTTCTATGCAAGTTCCTGCCCCTTCATAGCATGTTTCTATATCATCGTCCGCTTTATATGAAGCTGCAATTTTAAAGGAATTTAGTTTATAAGTTCTGATATTTTTCTTCAGAAACTGAAAGTTTTATTGAAAATTGTCTAAAACTGAATTTCTATTTAAACGTAAAACCTTTTGATTGTCCATCTTGAGTTAAAGCATTTGTTAGAAAAATTAAACTTATAAATATTCTTAAGTAAAACTTCATTCTTTATGTTGAATTTTTCACTTCCAACTGAATGATGAATGACAAGTTTCTCGTTTTGTATATTCTAAGATCAAACAAGATTAATTAATTAAAAACTGATGCATTTGATTGCATTGTTTAATTCATAATACCTTGTGAATATCAAGATGTAAACACCAATGAAGATAATTAAAGGAAAAATGTCGTGACAATTCCTGCTTTAAATATTTCATAAGAAGAAAAAATCATTCCACACCAGCATCTGACAACATCAACAACAGAAATAAATGCGACAATTTATGTCACAAAATTCAAAAGAACATTTCACTTAAAAGAAGTTTTCAAGCAAAGCACGTCGTCAGTGTCTCAAAAGATGCAATTTGTTTGTTTATTCATGACAAAAGTCGATAGAAATATTTTCGTTGATGTTCATTTTCATTCCAAACGCGAAATTTTTCCATAATTTAACTTAGCACAACAGCTAGCTTAACATTAACTTTAATTAACAGAACTGTGTAGCTTTTATAGCCGTGCGGTTGTAAAAATTGATTGTCTGTTAATTATTACGCGAAAAATATAAATAAAATTCTCAATTTTAGGGTGGCGCTGGTCAAATTGGCGTCTCCATCATGACACCAAATCAAGTAAACAGTAAAACGATAAACTGTCGCCATTAACTTTTAATCTTAATCTCAAGCGGTGAGAATTGGGCATCAAAAACATCTTAAGTGGATAATTAAAGCGGCGTTACTTTTGCTTGTTGACATTATGTACATTCACAATCGTCTTTTGTTTGAAAAACAACAGCCGAGCCAAGGAGTGAAAATTCAACGATGCGAAACCTGCGACAGCTTCAAGAATTTTAATTTTTAAAAAAATACAAAAGTTTAATGTTTTTTTTTCTTTTATTATTTCTTTTATTACATTTCTGGCTTTCAAGTTTCATTTATAATTTTCTTTTTAATGTTACTCTGCTACAAAGCATCGTTTCATTATTATGATGATTAGCTTATCACTTGCTGTCATTAATCATGTCCTACATTTTTGTTTTTAAATATCAAATTTAATGTTGTGAGCAATTCATTAATTTTTTAATTACAGACCAGGAGGATTGAAGTTTTGATTGTAAGTTATATTATTTTAAGATATTAGAAAAACTACACACTAAGCGTGTGCAATTAAAAAGAACTTTAAATAGGAGAGAATTCAACAATTCTACGGTCAAATAATTAAGCAAATGATATGTTCTGTTTATTCTCATATTAATTACTTTTTTCTTGAATTTCTCAAAATGAAAAATTCTCGACAACTTGTCATCACATTTAAACTTTTAGATTGTAAGACTAACCCGATTAACCAACTTTTAATTAATTTATTATTTTCACTTTTATGGCATAAAATTAATTTGATTAAAAAGTCTGTTAATTGATTTCTAAGTTCATGAAAATTTTCTAAAAAGATTTTCTACATTTGAAGCCATTCGAAGAATTTTTTTTATATTTCTAGTTTCATCTAAAATTACGTAAAAAAGATCAAAAAATCGCTAAGCGAAAAAGAAACAAAAAACGTTAAAAGCATCGAAAGCTTTAGTGTTGTTGTGATTGCTGTTAAGGCACTAAATTACATAATTTTATCGTGGTTATAAAACAACTTTAAAGGTTCGATTCTAGGCGTCTAATGGTCCTCGAAAGGGGAAGAAGAATTTTTTTTATTATATCTTTCTAATATTGACATGCTGTGCCTTCTAACTATCGAAAGAAGAGAGAAAACAATTCAATTTAAAATTCTAAATTCACGACAAAGCAGAGAAAGCTTCACTAAAATTTATGGCATTTAATTTACATTTTATCATCAACAAAGGCAGAGAAAAATGAAAAATCATTTGATATCGAGTGAGAAAATGATAAAATCGTAATGTTAATGGAAGCGAAAATAAATAAATATCAATTATGTTACGCATAAAAAGCGAGAATAGCACCGAAAAAAGTCCACTTCAGTTTCAGTGAAAATTTGTCCAGCATAAAGACATAAAATCTTATACAATTTTAGTTATATAATATTTAATTGCTTTAGCTTAATCATTTAAGTATAATTTGCAAAATTTATAATTTCTAGTCCTTTGTGTTAACTCATTATTCTCAGAAAAAAAATTCTTTCATATAAAATTACTTCATTATGTGTTACAAGTTCAATTGTTTTCATTTTGTTGATGTCGCAATCTTCTTATCTCATGATAAGACGATAATACTTTTCGATTTCAATGTAAAAAATTCTTGAGCCAGTTTTCCAAAGAATAAAAAATTAGTTTAAAACCAACGATCTTCAAACTGTTTGTTCTTTGAAAAAAGAAAGGTTCTTAAACTACATTTGTCTTGAATGTTTGAGAAGATTTGATTTACCTTCAAAATTTGAAAATCGCTGATTTAAATCGTTTACTTGTCTCTTTTTCCTGAAGACATGAGAATGTTGTCTGAATTCTGTTTATCTTCCTCGAAGAAAACTTTCATCATGACAATATCTCCTGTTGACAGTGTTTGACATGCAATTTCTTTCTTTCCCTCTAATGTTTGTGATGACAAAACGTTGTTGTTGATGTTGTTGAAGTTGTTGTTGGAAGCTGATTTGATATTGTTGATTTTATTGTTAGCTTTTGTCATATCATTTGTGCTTGATCTGTTTGAACTATATGGAATGAAATGAAATTAATTATTAAAGGGAATAAAGTGGAGATATGAAGAATGATTTACCTTGATCGAATATCTTTCATTATTAATCCATCATCGATGACATTCTCAGTTCCGATTTGATCGCTTGGTAATGAAACAGCAACTGACAGAAGAGCTTCCAACTTATCCAATTTCACAGCCTTTTCCATCGATTTATTGTTGATAAGCTCATCAATCATGTGCATTGATTCGAGAAGACTTGGAGGTTCGGAACTTTTCGGTGAAAAGGCGTTGAGTGATGGAAGACCGCTCAAAGAATTATCAGATGGAACAGAATCAATGCTTGCATAATCCTGTTCAATATTCTCAACTTCGTCATCTGAATCTGAGAAGTTACGGTCTTGTCCAAGATTCTCAAGCTTCTCAAGTTTCTTTGCAACTTTCACCGATCCCTTCAACTTGTCTTTCTCTTCTTCCGTCAAATCCAAATATCTCAAAAGACGAATTTCACGATTACTTAACACAACATTCTTATTCGAACTTTGAAGCTTTTGTTTCAAATCAAAGACTTCTGTGTTGATTTTACGTTGTTTCTTCTTCATCTTAACATCGCTTGGACGAATCAACATGTAAATTTGTTCTGTGCATAATTCAGAGAACAAATTCATGTTTTCAGGTTTTATAGCACTGAAAGTATTTTTAATTTAATTAATTTATAACTTTTCAAGATCTTTCTTACGTACTTTGCCATCGTCCGAAAAAGTTGTTCATTTATCATCACGAGAACATCACTGGCAGCATAAAGTAACATGTCACGTGTTAAAGGTCGTTTTGCCCAATATCTTTGATCGCGTTTATTTGCACTTTTCAATTGATCTTTCATTGGATTGATTGGAGCATTGTACAACTCACAGAGTGTATTGAGTGAAACATTTTTGATCTTGTAGACCTGTTTGCGTGTTTCTTGAAACTGAAGTACAGAATGAGCTGACTGAAAGTGTAATGAAAAAAATTGATAAGGAAAAATGGAGTTAATTAAATAAAAAATTATCTCACCTGAGTATCAAAAACATTTCTCAATAAAATATCATATTGCGTGTATAAATTGTAAGAACCATTACGACAATCATGAATCACTTTAACAACATTTGGATCTTCAAGAAGCATTTTAAGCCCACCATCAATCACCATCTCTGGACATTGTTGAATATCAAATATGAAAGCTTCACCACGAAGTGTTCCAATTTCAATTAATGTCAATTGACCTTTCAACCCCAAATTGACGCCTTTACAGTCAAATGAAATGACAACAACTTCATCAACAGTTGCCGACTTCATTATAGCATTGCAAACAAATTGTGATTGCTTAACATTTGATATAACTTGAGTGTTTTGTAGAATTTTAATCTTCCATGTGTCGCCTTGAAAATGACTTCGATGAATTGGACTTGTCGCTGTTGATGATGAATTTGACGATGAAATGCTGCCACCATTAAAATTATGTTGTTGTTGATGTTGCTGTTGTTGATTCGGAAGTTTTTTGTCTTTCTCTTCATTCTCAGCAAGTGTTTTCGTCACGAGATTACTAATTCTTTGTTTGAGTGTCAAATTTAAACGACGATCACGATCACGTTCATTCTTTGATGTTGCTGATGATGATGACGTTGACGTGATTGGTGTTGGAGATGGAACTGGCGTTTGATTCTCACCACCATAGCTTGGAGTATGATCGGGATAAGTTATCTTGGTTGGACAATTCTTTGCACATAAATTCTCAAGTTTCATTTCATTGAAGCTATGAACAAATCCCATTGATGGCATGTCAGTGTTTGAGTTTCTTCCATTACTTAAACTATCATCATTGTAAGGTAATTCCGATTTAAAGTTCTTTCCATGATTATTGTTGTTCATTATCATGTTATTCGAGACGGGTTCATTAAGTTTAAAGTCACCAACAACCGGAGTTGAGTTTTGATTTTGATTCAATTGATTTCGATAAATGACTTTCTCAGCATTCTGAATGTGAATCTCACTTATCTTTGGCTTCTGCAGCAAAGTGACTAGATTCGATTGTATGTGAAAACAATCCGAATAGAGCTTCAGAAACGTTGTTAGATCGCTTGGCGTTTTGAAGATTCGATACCAAAGATCTTGTGGGAAGTTTGACGTGACCAAATGAAAAAGTTGATCAACAAGTGTCGGTCCTTTAATTCCAATACAATTTGCGAAAAAATCTAAAATTTCCTTTGTAAACTTTACGTCGATTGATGGTTGAGGTAGATGAAGTTGTTCTGATTGTGGAATTACTGTCGCCGAATCGTAATTGACCAACACAACATGATCGTCTTCAACATGAAACGTGTCTGGATGTTTAGAGAGAAAGTCCGTGAATTCTTTAATATGTTGCCCGCTGATATGACGAACTTGCGGTGACGCTTGCGAACGATGTCCCAGCAATGATTTTATCGGCACTTCAGTTCCAGCTCCATATTGAAGTAATTTATGTGAGAAATAATCCTTCGCTTCTTGAATGTAATCCTTCTTCCCATCACCATTTCCTTGTTCTTCATTTGTCCGTGGTTGAAAGCAATTCACATGCACGTAGTTCCCGTCAACAAGAAATAGCGCCGGATATTGAAGAAGAAATTTCCTTAGGCCTTGAATGATAAACAAAATTATATAATTTGCAGGGAGAATTCCTTAATGATGTCATATGTGACACCACAAATAATGAAATGAAGTTCGCAAACAATATCAAAGAAATGCAAACAATTCAAAAGGGTAACTTCGGAAGTGATTGAAATGTTAATTTTAATGCTTTTTCTTGTCTAACTCATAACTCAGTGACATGTTAATTGAAATGCGCGCAAAAGTTTTTTTTTAAATAAAAAGCAAACAAAAAACTTCCATTGTGAATTGTACTCATAATAAGCTTCAAGTTGCACAACGTCACAAAAGTTTTCACTATCACTAACAGCAATGACAGCTTTGTAGCTGTTTATTAGCATTTTAATTATGTTTTTAGTTTTATCAACTTACCGGACTCACTGCCACCTGCGATTTGACGCATTTCTTTTGTAAAACCTGGCGCCCCAAATTGACAACTCAAGTCGTGGAGTGTTCGTGGCTCATTCTTATCCATAAGTCGTTCAAAGAAAAACAATAACGTTAAGTTGCGGATTTGTTCGTATTCCATAGAATCCATGATTGGTAATTAGCCTTCTCTTTCTTTTATTTCTTTCGTTTTTTTGAAAATTTCTTCTCTTTTACGTTCGTTTGGGCATCAGATGATGGTAGAAAAAGAAGAAAAGAATGATGATGATGATGAAACAGTGGCAGCTACTTAGTTGAAAATATTTCACGCCGTGAAGCAATCAAGTAAAAAAAGTCATCACCACGAATCGCAAGACTGAAATATTTGACGAAAAATTGCATTTGCTTAGAATATTTGTACATATGGTAGACGGGAAAAGTAAATGAGATGATGCAAAGATCTGGCTCATCGCCATTTGTCAACCTTTACTCTTCGATGAATATAAATTTGCATAAAAAACTATTTTCACACACAAAATGTTGTCTTTGGAGAATTAGGAATTGATTTTTATATCTTTCTCTCTCTTTTTCTATTTTCAATAAATCAGGAATATTCAATCGTAGTTTAAATCGAACACAAACTCGATTAGCTTTCCTTTCTTTTGTTGAAAAAAGTTTTCTTATCTCTTCAAAGATCATCACATGAGATTTCGAATAAAGTTCACAAACGACAAAACAGATGACTACTTACAGATTATTATCGTATTTATTATGTGCAGAGGAATTTTTCTTCAATTTCTAAGGTATTTCCTTTCCGTCTCTTTCTATCAAATCTTGTCAATGCACTTGTCGAGGGCGAAAAATGTTGAAAAGTCTTACTTAAGCTATTTTAGGCACGATATTCGCAATGTTTCATGGGCACGTGAACTCAAACAATGAAAGTATCAATGACTTATAACCTGGGTGTTATCAAAATGTAATGCAAAGTAAGAAATTAAAAAATTGTAAAATATTTCTCAGCACTACGTTTTACAGGATATTCTCTCGTCTGTCGACCAATTTTATTTGCTATAAATTTTTGAATCAACAACAAAGAAATTTCCGTTAAATTTAATTTTAAAACAAGCAAAACAACTTTTTTTTTGTCTTCTGTTTCTTAGAATTTGTGCTGTTACATAACTTTATTATAATTTATTCAGTGATCAAAGGCTTTTGTTTTTATTTTTGTTAATTAATAAGCAATATTAAGCTCTAACTTTCTGATTATAAGGAATTTAGATAAATATTTGACGAAAAGTTAAAATCAACAAATATGTCTATAAAAATAAATCTTTGAACATTTTTTTATGAATTTTCTATGCTTGTCATTTTAAAGGGAAAAAAAATCTAATAATTAATAATAAATGAATTAAATAGTCTCACTCTATGTATCAATAAATTACTTAAAACACTAATAAAGCTCACAAAAATTTCGAATCGTTGGATCGGCTATAACCGCGTTTAAAAGTTAAAATATCGCATGAAATATACAGACATACACACACATTATATGTGGGTTTATTAAGCAGGAATGTGATGTTATGTGTACATTCAATTGCGTGTGCTTTCATAGCAGTTTTACGACTGTGGGCTTGTTTCGTTCTCTTCCTTAATTACTTCGGTCATTTTTTCATTTGCTTCACGTCGCAGCAACAATTGACGTAGATGATCGTCATTCTGGATTCTTATGATTCGATGCTGAATTGTTGGCGCGAGAAGACATGAAGACTGCTCCAGGTCATCTAGCGAAGCCCGGCGAAGCATCTGCGAATAGAAAAAAAATATTTTTTTTTAAAAATTTAATCTCATTAATTATTTTTTTTTACTTTTGAAGTAGCGGTCAAAGGTTGCGATGGTGGATGACTCGGTGGATGATGAAGTCTCAACGGACATGGTCCATCGAGATCCAAGTTGTCAAGCATTTGAACCATGCTATGACGACGTGATAACGTAACAAGGCTTTGTCGGTGCTTGGTTTGATGTTGTCCACATTTTCCCATCTTTAAGTCGATGGCTTTGAAATGATTTTGAATTGCAAGCCCTGTAAATATAATTAATTAATTTAATGACCTTAAAAGTTATATTTTGGAGTTCTCACCAAGTTCCGGACATGCATCTTCGTCCATTACAATTGGACAGTTCTTGAACATCGTGTAACCATCGCAACCACCATGCATGTAAGCTTTAACTGAAAGTGTGTAAGTTTCACTAAAGTCAAGCCATTCATCACCAATTCTAACTAAGCGTGGTTCAACTCGCGATCCCGGAGGTTTTTCAGGATTAAACGTGAATGTAATCCCAGCAACTTGAGGAAATCTCCCTTCCAACTTCGGATAAGCTGACACGCCATTCTCAATAGCCTCATAAAGTGTCTTTCCACTCACTTCAATAATGATTATTGGATCTTGCATTGGTATGATGCTGACCAAATCTTTCATCGTAAATGGACCAGCCTCGTGGATTTGATCAGAACGAAATGTTCCCGAATTTATCATGACAGCATCTGAGCCAGTCGCAGCTAAAACAATATCGCAGATCCAATTACCAATGTTCGTTTCCGACGTTCTTATCTGTGAAAATCTTCCATCGAGCTCACATGAGAAGTTTCCTAGCACCAATCCCATTTTTGATTCAATCATTTCCGTGTACTTTTTTAATTCTTCTTTCAATGTTTGATCTTCAGGATAAGTCGACGTCACATCAATCTTGTCAATATCAACTTCCAAGTCAGATTTGTCAGCTTCATTCGTTGATTTCTTCAACGTAATTCTCGAGAATTGTCTGAAATCAGTTCCCGACTTGATCATATTTAAATGATTGATTTTAACAATCTCATAGACATGATCATGTCCGCCAAGTATTAAGTCAAGCTTTGGACAATGAGTTGCTAGATTTAAGTCATTCGGTGTTCGCATGTGTGTCAAAGCAATAATCACATCGCAGCCTTCTTTAATTAAATCATTCGCAAGACGATTTCCCGCTTCAATATAATCAATAAACGTCACTTCATTTGGATCAATTGTTGGGATCGTTTCCAGCCATTCCTTCTCAACAAGTCCCATCAATCCAACGCGGAATTCACCATGATTTATGATGTGAGTTATTTTTCCATTTCCCAATGGACGTCCAGTTTCATTGTCAATAACATTCGACATAAGCCATGGAAAGTTGCACATTTTTACCAAATTTTGAAGAACATCAAGTCCAAAGTCAAACTCGTGGTTGCCAAAAACAGCGACATGAGTTCCGACTGAGTTTAGAACGGGAATCATTTGTTCGCCTTGTGTGAATGTGGATAGCATTGAAGGATTAAATGCATCACCACTGAATAAAACCAAAGGATTTAAATGTTTAAATGAGTTGACAGCCGTACAGAATCGAGCAGCACCACCAACAGGTTCAGATTTCACTTGTTGATCGATATTGTACACATCGTTGTAGTGAATGATTGTTAACGTCTTTTTAGTTGCATTTGTTGATGATCCGTCACCAATATTTACATCACCATTGCTTTTGTTAATTTCACTGGATGGACCCATCTCTGATCCATTCGTTTTGGGACTTGTCGCGTTTAAGAGTGTCTTAAGGAACTTTGGTGCAGGAACTTTTGATGTTGTCGCAACCAATGCTGGATTTTTAGTTTGAATTTGAACGACAGCTCGTTTTCCAGCTTCTTTAACTTCTGCTGATGCCTAAAATGATTCAATACAATTTTAAAGACTTTTTTAATGCTTCTTTGATTTCATCGTTCGATTTTGTTTCCCATTTCGCATGCAACAACATATTTACATTCATAGATTGATCATTTAAAAGGTAATTCAGTTCAAGAACGAATCAACTGAATACATGAATGACTTGGTGACGGAAATTTTGTTTTTTTTCTTATTTGGAGTTGAATGTGAATGAAAGTTCACAAGTGCAGGTTGTTGACATCGTACACGTTTATAAATATTTAAATAATCAAAGAAAAGCTTTGCTTTGTAAGAGAATATTGAAATTCAATAATCAACTTTAACTTCGTGTCTTTAAGGTGGAAGATTTCAATCGTCTAAATCCCATCAAATGATTTCTTTTTTTTGTTTCGAATGTCAACAACAACCTGCACGAATGTCAAAATCATAAATTATACAAATCTAAAATTGTCATGTGGAGGGACAAATATAATGTAGAAATTTTGTTTTTAATATCTTTTCTATTTTTATAATTAGAAAAGAAAGTCAAACGTTGTGCCACATTCTCTTTAAAGGAAGTTATTAAAAAAGAAAGAAAGAAAAGAAATAATTGGAAAAGAAACTTTAAAAGCGTGTGTCAATAAAAGGTGCAATAATTCTTCCAATGGTTAAAGCTAAATTGGTGCGTGAACGGGAACTTGTTCATAGTAAACAACCTGCTTGAACCACGAGGAAACAGCCTGAAGCTTTTCTGAAAGATCATTTTCCGTTTCGTCGATCAAATCCTCGTAATGACTTCTCAGTGCTGCTTGAGAAGCAAACGATGCCATTTCTTAGCTAAGAAGAATGATTTGCTATTGACGAGTTCAACAAAATGATAAATAATCAAAAAATCGCTTCAAACATACAAATTGAAATTAATGTGACAGTATAGAATAGAAAAAAGAAGAAGGCTAAGAGAAGAAGATCAAAGGAATGTTGACGATAATTCGTAATTAAACATCAGACTTTGAGTTGTCGTCTCGAATTCTACAACAATTCAAAGTCGTTTCCTTTTCATTTAACTAAGCCAAAACCCAAACAGTGAAAGAAAATCAACAAACGCCATGTGGTGACTTTATCTTGCCTCGGTTCTATTTTCGATTCGTGGTGCGCTTTTTAAATTTAAACGAAAACTTTCGGCTAATAACTCAACTAACTAAGAGGCGTCTAAAAATATTTGCCACTCGTGAAAATCTTCTTCAATCAATTTCGTTGATGATTTCAATGTCATGAGTTTGAGAAGGAAAAGTTTTTATTTAGTGTCGTGAGTTACTCACAAGAAGGAAAAGCCTCGATAGGATCTTAAGCATCCAACACAACACAAACAGTTGACTTGAAATTAATTCACAAACTTTTTTTTAATTTCTTTCTTCCGTTTTCTTTTTCAACAGTTTTAAACGCGCGCGAGAAATTTTTTGTGCAATGTCGAGTGGATTTGCGAATGCAACTGTGATCATACTAGAGAACACTAAATAAAACGACCACGAAATGTGGAAATAAAAAAAATCTTATGACGACGATGTCAGATCTAAAAATTAATTTTTTACTTTTTTCCTCGCATTCTTTTCATTACGAACGATTTCAATTTTTTCTTATTGTGTTATTTGACGTATTAGCAAACAAATAAATGCTATTTAATGACTCGTATCTCTCTCTCTCTCCATTCTAACCGTTCAATTACGTCATGTTATTATCTCGTCACGATAAAATTCGATTGAACTTAATCTCTTTGTAATTGATTAATTTTTTTGTCAACTCTTCTATCAATGAAGGAAACGAAACAAGATCAAGATTTTCATTAAAACTTTGCAGTTCTATTTTCAAGATTTTTTTCTTTTTGATTTTCTCACATTGTTAATATCTCATTAAATTATTCAATGACATAGCTAAGCACATGGACGACTCGGAAGCTTTCAAATCGACATTGAAAGTTTTTTTTTCCCTGTAATTATAGAATGTCTACAGTAGGCTTTTATCGAAGGATGTTTCGGGTATTCTATACAATTAACTCAACCCATTACTTTGTAACTTCTTAAAGTTTCCTTTAATTGATATTCCAACAAAAAAAGGTTTTTTGTCTTCTTCTTTCGCAAAATTTCACAATTTGGTGAAATAGATTGAACAATAAAACATTTTTATCCAATTCTTATCTGATTGAATGTATTGGGAGTATTCTAGATCTTGTACTTTCATTAAATCCTTTTCTTTTCATTTGAAATTCTCAGAAGGTTACTTTTTTGGATAAAATTTATCGATTTTTTCTAGGAATTTTTAAAAGTCCTCATTGAATAATGATACCTTTGATTTGCAATGTTCTGGCGGTTTTCTAATGCTTTAAGTAAATTTTGATGCTAATTATTTGTTAAATCACAGTCTTACACTCAGTTTAAACACACAATCTTTTCAGATAACTACAAGACTGCTTCTTTGCTGCTTAATAAGACGAAAAAGCTTTTGCGAATAATTTTCTATGTTTCCTATGATTCGTTATAGCAAAAGTGTCGATGAATTTTACCATAAAATTTGCCAGACATTTGCTAGTTTTATAGCAACTTTGTTAAGAAAATCGGAAAGTCAAAAGAAAGACAATTTAAGTTAATTTTAAAGAAATATTGAATTAATAATGTCGTTTTTAACTAATAAAAAGGTTTTGTTAATGTCGGGTGTTGGAACTATAGCTGGAATCGGAATAATCATTAAGTAAGTAACCACGAGATAACCAAATAACAATTTGCGGTCTTTGAAGTTGACATTGAGAGAATTATGCAAGAAATCTTCAATTGTACTTTAGTAACCAAAGATTTATTTGTTCTCTCTCATCAGAGATTTCATGCAAGGAGAAAAGTATAGAAATCCAATCAAAGTTGGAGGCAAAGTTATGATTGTTACTGGAGCCAACACAGGCATAGGCAAAGAAACAGCAACGGAACTAGCGAAACGTAAAGCAACTGTTTACCTTGCATGTCGAAGCCTTCATAGATGCGAAGAAACAAGAAGGAAAATTATTCTAGAAACGAAAAATAAAAATGTATTCTGTAGAGAACTCGACTTGGGATCTTTTCAGTCAATCAAAAGTTTCGTTAAACGTTTCAAAGCTGAACAAGTAAGTTTCGAAGTTTCTTTTGTTTGAAAATCTTAAATGTTTAAATTCCTTCAGAAACGATTAGATGTTTTAATAAATAACGCAGGAGTAATGAGATGTCCTAGAATGTTAACAAATGAAGGCTTTGAAATGCAAATTGGAGTGAATCATATGGGACATTTCCTTCTAACTCATCTCTTGCTCGATTATCTTAACAAGTCAGCACCAAGTCGTATTGTAAATGTGTCAAGTATTGCTCATAATCGTGGTGAAATCAACACAGCAGATTTGAACAGTGAAAAGTCTTACGATCCAACAAAAGCTTATGAACAATCAAAACTTGCAAATATTCTCTTCACTCGAAAGTTAGCAAAGCATCTTGAAGGAACTGGAGTGACTGTGAATGCTTTGCATCCTGGAATTGTTGATACAGAATTGGCTCGACACATGGGCGCTTATAATTCATTTTTCGCGAAAATATTTTTCTATCCTCTAGTCTGGCCGTTCCTTAAAGCGCCTATTAGTGGTGCTCAAACTTCAATCTATTGTGCAATCGATCCTGAACTTGAAAAAGTAACTGGAAAGTATTTTTCTGATTGCAAGGAAGCACCAGTCGCTCCACAGGCAGAAGATGATGCAATGGCAGACTTCTTATGGAAAGTCAGTCAAAAGTGGTGTCGAATTGAGTATTGATCGATATTTGTTGTATATGTCTAGTTTTTTTGAGATTTTAAAATAAAAGTTTATCGCTTACATTAACATTTGACTATCGTTTCTAACGGTTCAATGGATTTTAAAATTAAGGGGAATGAAAATTAATTCAATAAACAATTTGCTATAAAATGCTATAATATTAATTAAAAGTTAAAATTTATAGCACGAAAGATCTTTTATTATTTTTTAACATTTTACTCAATAAAGTGAAATCAAAATTGCGTCAAAAGTGCGCTGTTGAGAGCATCTGCGCTGTTTTATCTCGAAGGTTGTTACAATCGATTGAATAATGCTGAAAAACAATCAGAATTCGAGAAAAAAAATGCAGGTTTGTAAATTTTAATAATTGTCTAAAATGTTTGATTAAAATAAATATTCTTGCAGGTGTCTTTCGTGATCCGTGATGCTGAAGAAAAACGACATAAGCGGGGTGTTAATGCACTTCAGTTGGACCAGAATAATGGAAGACTTTTCTCTTGTGGAAGAGATGCAATTGTAAAATGCTATAAAAATTTATTTTTTCTTCTTATCTTAATTCTTATGTCCACTTTCAGATAAGAATATGGAATACAAATGTATCAAATATGGATAGTTCATATATACAATCGCTAGAGCATCATAATGATTGGGTTAATGATATAGTTCTCTGTTGTGGAGGACGAAATTTAATCAGTGCAAGTTGCGATACGACAGTCAAAGTTTGGAATGCTCATAAAGGATTTTGTATGTCAACATTGCGAACACATCGAGATTACGTACAAGCTTTAGCATATGCAAAAGATCGTGAACAAGTCGCTAGTGCAGGCTTGGATAAACAAATCTTCCTTTGGGATGTAAATACACTGACGGCGTTGACAGCGAGCAATAACACAGTGACGAGTAAAGAAATTCATTTTTTGATTAAGAAGGGAAAAGAAATTAAATTTTATAATTTTCTTCTAGCATCATCTCTTACTGGCTCTAAACATTCAATTTATGGCTTAGCAATTAACCCAAGTGGAACAATAATCGCCAGTGGCTCTACCGAAAATGTCATTCGATGTTGGGATCCACGAACTTGTAATCGTCTCATCAAACTTAAAGGTCACACGGAGAATATCAAATCCTTAGTCATTTCAACTGATGGTAGTCATATTTTAAGTGGAAGTAGTGATGGTACGATAAAACTTTGGAGTGTTGGACAACAAAGGTGCATTCAAACGATTTCAATACACAACGAAGGTGTCTGGTCGCTATTGGTTAATGAAAATTTTACGCATGTCATTTCGGGCAGTCGTGACAAGAAAATCTTCCTCACAGAAATAAGAAATCCGTACAATTCAGTGTTGGTGTGTGAAGAAAAGGCACCGATTCTCAACATGTGTTATAATCTTGATCACACGGGCATTTGGACGACGACATGGAATTCTGATATCAAAATGTGGAAACTTCCAAAGACAAATGCTGATAAATCTTTGAGTTCACAACAAAATTCGTCAAACTTGTCACTTAACGAACAACAACCGATTATTCCATTCAACACAAGTGAAGAGAAATGTATTAAAGGTGGAGCTGCAATTGAGAAATATGTTGTGTTGAATGACAAACGATTTATGGTGACGAGGGACACTGAACAAAATGTTGCTATTTATGATGTTCTTAAAGTGATTAAAGTTGAGACATTGGGAAAAGTTGATTTCGATGAGACTGTTAAGGCTAGAAACAAAATGGTTTACGTGCCGAATTGGTTTACTGTTGATCTTAAAACAGGAGTAAGTTGAAGCTAAATTTTGCTATTCAAATCTCCTACTCGAACGATATGGAAAATGAAACGAATAATTTGGAATTGAAACAATTTTAATTCGTTTCATTTCCACACATTCTCAAATCTTCAACTAATTTTATTTAATACAATTTCAGATGCCAACAATAGTTCTCGGACAAGATGAAGTTGATTGTTTTGCTGCTTGGGTGTCAGCGACAGAAGCTGGATTAGGAACAGGTCATGCTGAGAATGGATCAGATCCAAAGGTCAACTATGGAAGTCTTTTACTGCAAGCACTTTTAGAATATTGGTCGCAACCGATTGCAGATATGGACAACGATATTCGTGGTAACGAATACTTTAAGGTGCCGAAATATACGCCAATTTTATTTAGGTGAGTTGAATGTTAAATCGTTTTGTTTATCGCATTATTAACTTTTCTTTTTTCTTCCTATAGTGAGGTTGGTGGCCGAACAGGATGTCGGTTATTAGTAAGAGATGCAGCCGGTGATACAGAAAGTGCACTCTTACATGAAGCTGTTCCATCGTGGGTGGCTGACGTTGTAATTGATCGAAACATTCCACGATTTATTAAAATTCCATTCTTTCTATTACCACATCCTATGATGGTGAAGCAAGATCGGATGAAAAAGGTAAAATTCAATGATGAATTCAATTCAAGATTTAATAAATGTTCATTTCTATTTCAGGATCGTTTAATTGCGAATGAGTTTATTCAATGTAGAAAGGTTTGCGAACATGTTCTAGATAAGATTCTAATGGAAATTCCACCAACGAACGGCACTGGCGTAAATTCAAATTCATCTCAAAATAACAGCGATGCCAGTGAAGGATCACAGATTCCAGCTGAAGATAAAATTGAACTGCTGTGCAATGATGTCGTATGTGATCCATCAATGGATCTTAGAACTGTCAAGCATTTCATTTGGAAGCAATCAAGTGACTTGACGTTTCATTACAAAACGAAGCCAAACTTCTGTTAGATTTTTATTATTCGTTTCACCCTACTACAAAAGAAATTAAAATCTCTATCCAAAAGTTAATTTTCCGACTTAGAAATGAAGAAAATTAATTGCATTTAGTAAACTGAACAATTTTTCTGTACGAAGAGTTGCAAAAGTAATTTTTTGTCCCCAGCAACGCAAACTTTTCTCCGTCTCCCTTATTTATGTGTTTTTTTTGTGATATAGAAATAATGATTCAAAAAATTATATTGCTAAAAATGAAAGAGAAATAGACGAACACAAAATTATATAAAATTAATTTTATTAATTTTTATTTACATTTTTCAAGAAAATGTTCTTCCAAAAGTGTCGTGAAATTCAGGATTAAATCTGTTTGTGAGATCAAAAGCTTTAAAAAGATCTGCTTTTAAAGTGTGTGGTATTAGAAATTCAATAATGTCGTCCTTGGATCGTACAACTAACGCAATTTTCCTTAGACAAATATCTTTTAATGCTTTCAGTGGATAATGAATATTTGCTTTTTGTCGTGATGCTGTTATTTGACCATTCTCCGCCTTGCTAATATGTTTGTGCCATGGTTCAGGTAAGAAAACGTAACTATGCTTGATTTGAAGTCTTTCACCAGTATTAGGACATAAAAATATCCAAGGATGAGTGCAAAATGTGTTCACCTGAAATTTCACGTTACTTTAATCACGTTCGCATTTAAATTACAGTGAACATTCTTACATGCGAATGCGCTCCAGGCTCCAATACTGTGAAATGAATATTTTCTCCATAGAAATTAACCCAACGAATCTCAACTTGACGATCGGTTGAGTTGTTAAAAGTCACGAAAGCTCTTACTTCACTTTTCTCTGATCGCAACATTTTATTCCGATTAACGAGTTTTCACTGTCACGATAATTCTCAGTCAGAAAAATAATAATAAAAGAAGATTCCAACTATAATTTTTAAGTTTATAAATAATTTAGTGAGAGTTTAAGATTAATAAAGCAATGTCTTGCTCAGTTGCGATTATATCAAAAGATGTTAGTTGAATTTACTTCAGATTTGTCGTTATTATTGAAATCTACACAATTATTTTTCATTTGAAAATTTATCAGTGCAAAATTTTGTTTTCTTCTTTTAATTTCCCAGTTTTATTTTGAGCATCAAGTAAAAAAATTGACACTTCACCAGATAATTCAATATCTGACTATTAAAAAAAATTCAAGTTCTCCTTGTCTTAATTAGTTACACTCTGTTTTAATTATTTAAACAGATGCAAGAAAATCTTCTATTTACATTTTATCAAGTCTGATAGTAAACCCTCGCTAAACTGACTTTTTAAATTTGAAAATTGAATCAAAAAATCAGTTAAAAGTACTTAAAAATTAATGGACGAACATTCAAGAATTGTGTTAACAATCATAATTATCTAATTCCAGCATAATAATCATTAGATTATATTTAATTAACAAGAAAATTTCATCTCTTAACAGAACTCACCATTATACGTTTTGACGTCAAATATTGATAAAGAAATTGAATTGTTGTATCGAATTCACTCAGCACTTGATATTGTCGATGAAAAGTGTAATGGGACTAGCAACAAGAATCCTGATCTGCGCGACCTATTTTTAGGACTTCTTTATGCTACTGAAAACTACAAAATGTAGGTAATTTGATATTCAAGCAGAATTTTACTCTTTCATCATTTCTTATTATGATTAAATATCATTCCACAGCTACGGTTACATGACAAACACAAAAATTAAATTTATCTTGGTGGTTGACTCACTGAATTCAGCATTTCGTGAGAATGAGATAAGAACAATCTTTCGCAACATTCATCAAGAATATGTCAACTTTATCTCAAATCCTTTCGTCATACCAAACGAACCAATCTTTTCAAAGTATGCGACATGAAATTATAATAAGGCAAATTTATTATTTTTCTTTTATTTTCAGAACATTCGACAAAAATATCCGAAGCAAAATTGATTGTTATGGAACTAAATAAGCGCACCAGCATTTTAATTAAAATGTCATCATCCACAAAATTCCTAATAAAATTCATTTCTTTGTCGTAAGACCATGCAAGAATTTCTTTTTCTATTAAACTTCTTCTTTCGCAGACAAATGATGAAGAATTTCTTTTTTGGTGAGGATTCTTTTATTCATTCTAATAAGTGAAGCTTAAAGGCTTAGGACTGGTGTCACAGGATAAAAATAAAAGACGGAAAGTGATAAATTTGACTTAAAAAAGTTGTTTGATTAGATTCAAGTGTGAATGTCGAGTAACAATTATTTAACCATTTTTATCAATTAAACTCGTAAGAGCGTATATCGTTAATAAATGTTTGTAATTATCCTTATCATACACATTTGAACAAGTTCATTTACAATAAAATTAGGCCACGCGTAATCCCACCATCAATTAATTAAATATAAAATTAAAAAAGAGACTTAATGATGTCGAATTAGAAATTCGCTATAGGGAAAAGTTGGGAAAAAGCACATGAGACGAGATGATAAAGCGCAGAAGCAATGAGAATGAGAAATTGGAAAATCCACATGGTTTTTGTGTATCCTTTTCAACATCAGAAGGCAAAACAAACATTCGACTCTCTTTCTCTCGTGCTCGTAGATAGGACAAAAGGAATATGTGTAAAATTTCCCTTCATTTAACATTCGGTATCCGTTTGTATCGCAGTTAGTGAGCGTTCTGTATTCGAGTGGATCGGTTGTTTCTAAAAAAGTTTGTATTTTTTCATCAAGAAAGAAGTTCTAAAGAAAATTCTCCCCCAAGTTTTAAATATATAAAAGAAATTTTCTTTTCATTCGACGATAAAAAAGTATAAAAAAGAAATTTATGTTATTAATTTAATTAAACACAAAATTTATGCGTATATACAAACCTTCGCTTTGATGTCAAATGAACTGTGAAAAGCTTTTAGTTGAGTGCTTTCGATGCATGGCAATTGATGTAAAGGAAAAAAAAATATATCATCGAGAGGAGATAAATAAAATCGACAAAATCGATGAATGAAATGATTCTAATAGTGAACTGAAATGAGAAGGAAAAAAAAAGCTTTTAGACAGCAACATCAAGAATATAAATATTCAGTGAATCAAAGCTTTCTTTGTTTTTTGGGAGAGCTTTAGAATGTGGAAAATAAATAAATAAAAATAAGCGAATGGGGAGAAATTAAAGCACTTTGTGGAAGTGAAAGAACTGCGACCCAGTTTTAGTCATCATTGATTTCTACAAAATATAAAAGCGAGACGAGCTCGCAAAAAAAAATCGTTTTTCTTATTTCTTTTCTTCTCCTTTTTTTTCGTAAAACTTTCGTGTCGTTTTATTTTCTTTTATTAATTTTTCTCCTTTTTTCTTTTTGTTCTTAGTCACACGAGATTTTGAGAAGTTGAGGGAGGTTGAAGGTGGAGAAAATTATTAAACGTTTTGTACCATACAAAAACGATAATGTATGCGGTAGGATATTAAAAAAGTATTATGAAAGGATGATAAAGAATTATTTAAAAGCAGACAATGCAATGCGGAAAAATATCTCGAAGTCACGAAAAGCTTAAAAGCTGAAAAAATTTCACAAGAAGCTTTAAACTTTAAATTGAATTTTTTTGCTCTCCTGAAGTGATCCCTAAAGTGCAGTCTGACGAATTGTTAATAACAAAAATTGAATTGTTAAGCTGCTTTCCATAGAGTTAGAAGACCCCAAAAAAAAATGGAAATTCTTTCATGAACTTTCGAAAACTCATCTCATCGATTTATTTGCAATAAAGAAATTAAATCGTTTTCAAGTCAATCGCATTTCCCTTTCGTACTTGAATAGAAGAAAAAGAATTTTAATTTCTTAATAGATCAACGAAAGAAATTTAAACTTCTTGAGAAAACTTTTATCATTGTCAAGCTCAAAAGTTTATGACTAAAATACATCATGACAATTAAAAAAATTAATTTGATAAAACACAGAAATTAATTCTCATAAATAATCATCGTTAATTAATTTATCATTTTAATTTCAAGACAATAATCTCTCTTAACAAAACCCAAAGCATTAAGTGATGGGGTTTTGAGAACTTTCTTTGCCACAGCAGAAGATTCCAATGATAAAAGACTTTAATTTAGAAATGAACTTTGTTATAAGCTCGTTATGATGTTGCCATTGTTTAATGTCTTTTGCTTCTTTACAGTACAAAAGATGTCAAGAAGAAAGAAAAAACATAATTAACTAAGTAAGCTTTCAAACGCTTTTGCATCGATTTAATTAAGAGATGGGAAGCTCATAATTTACTTCGGAAATTGTTTAACAAACATTTTAAAGAAAAAAAGTTTTTGGTTGAAAGGTCGTAACATCAAAAGCTTGAACAGGAAAAATTCAACCTCGTCGATGGCTTTTGTGGAGTATTTCGCTTGAGTTATACATTCAAGAACTCTCTTCAAGTTCACATTATCTTCAATGACGTTAAGCTTTCCCAACGTACATCCTTTCCCATACATACCGTAAACACTGATTCTAATCTCTCACGCAAAGCTTTTGTAATTGGAATTTTTCATTCTTGTAGACAAGGAAACGAATTTTCCATTTAATATCAAATGAAATGAATTTACGAGAAGTGAACACTTTAGTTTTATGATTATGAGAAGTTTCGTAGTTTGGAATTAAAATCTAAATGGATTGAAATTAGAGATGAGTTATGGGATGGATGGTGAAGTTAAATAACAAACATTTCTCAATTAATATCTTAGGAAAGGATTTTATTTGAGCGGAGATGTTTAAGAAAGTTTTAAGGTTCAATGAAAGCACGACATTAGAAATTAACTTTGATTGTTTGAGAATTGTTAACAGCACGACGTGCTTCTCATCATTGAAATGTTCATGAAGGGGGGAATTTCAATCAGTTGCTGTGGAAGGAAGAAGGAATCGTAAATTTACTTGTTCTACAACAGATCATAGGATTTGATGATACTCTTCTTAAGTAAATGTACATTTTATATCAGAAACATAACGAAACGAGACAAACCCATGCAAATGAGGGATTCAACATGGTAAGCTTTTGTTTGTCAGAAGCAGAGAAAGATAGAAAATCTCGCCAGAAGCAATCAAATATATTTACCGAAAAGTATACAAATAGAAAAAGTTTCGATTTGCCATCAAATTGTTCTCTTCAAACCGAACAAGATGAATGAATAAAAGAATGAAAATGAAAAGTTCGGTAGATGAAAGTTTACACAATAAACATTGATCTTTTAAGTTATATTGTTGATGGTGCTCGTTAAACAGCATTCTTCGACATGGATTGGAATCAATCTCACTTTCTTTCTTTATTTATTTAAATAGAGGTATTCGTGGTATCGTTTAAAGTGAAATATTTTGATGGATGAAAGCAATTTTGGAATGTTTTGCATTAGAAACCTTGAAATTTATTGAACTGAAGAAAAATTCAAATAAAAATTTAATATCGCCGTTTTCTTTTTTTTCTTTTCGATTAAATTAAATTATTCGAGTTTACTCAGCATCATCATAAATTGATTACATTCTGCTTCCAAGAATTCTCCTAAAAACACGCCGCTTTTGCAGAAAATTATCTTAATAAAATTAAATATTTAAGACAATTTTTTATTTCTTGTTTCTTCTGGCCTTGATCGAAGAAATTTCCCAGCACAAAGAAATGCTTCAAAGCTCGTTTCGTTTGTAAATCGTGAGAATTTCCACTTTCGATATTTACAAAGCTTTTAAATTTCTAATGAATTTCTAGGGTCAAGATGGAAAAATTTAACCATCGGAAGCTTCAAAGCTCCTTTATTGAATTATAAGTCGAACCGTAAACATAAAATTGTACAAATTCTATACTTAAGTTAATTATGAGCTTTTCTGTATCTATTTAAATATTTATGCATCATATTTATGGTGTTAAAAACACTTCCCGAATAAAAAAAGGGTTTGCTACGCTTTCTAAATGTAGAGTTGACGAATTTATGTTGCGTTAAAAAAAGGGTTTTTATTAGTGTTTAATGTCACGTCATAATTTCATGTTTACTGACTTTTCATTTGGATTACTCGTCGAATTTATTCATTTTGGGTAGAAGTCGCTCAAGGTTTCTTTTTTTCATTCATTTCAGCTTCCGTAATTTTTTTTGCAAAACGGATTTTCCCCACAGCCACTTGGAAGGAATTGCTCGTTATCATGTACATTTTAAATTAGAAAATGAATTTCTTACTACCTTGAAGGCTGAATCGTGTTGAACAAGCAAAAAATACGCGAGGAAGAATAACGAATGTAACAAATGCTTAATGAGTGTTTATTTGTGCTTTATCCATCGCAGTTTCTCGTCTTCCTTCTGATGATTCTTTAATGAACGAAACAATTGGATTAATTGAAGTATTATGTAATTAAATATCACTAGAAGGTACTTAAAAATGTTTCAGAAACCTTCTTTAAACACATTTTTTATTCTCATAAAAGTTGATTGAACTAATTTTAATTCTCCTCTGAAGTGACTGACTATGAGTGAAACTTTAATTAAAAAGCAATCAAATTGTGAGGAAAATAATGAAAGCTTTTACCTTGCAGTTGTGTCAGTTTATTGCATGAGTCAATCACCCTCCGATAGATAAAAATTCAGTCCAAGAACAATGATCTCATTGTTTAAAGTTTTACTCAATTTCATTGAAAAGGAAAATCCATTGGGGAGTTATGGAAATTACTTTTCCGAGCGTTTCCTTTGTCAGTGTCATTTCTTTAGATTCATCCATGTTGAAATATTATTAACCGACATTCATATTACTCGATTATATCTGTCATAAATATAATTATGTATCTCATGTTTATCGTTCGTTAAACACAGAACATTTATTAAAAATTATTCATCTAGTTTACCTTTTTGTTCAGCAAACCTCATTTAAAATATTTCCACTGATCTAGATACAAAGTTCGAAGTTTTATTGAATTATATTTCACATCATTGTCGTTTTTGTGGTTTTCGAAGAAACGATTTATTATTTAATAAATTTAATGTTATGAGTGATCCACACCCCACAATAACCATTAACGATTCTGTTTTCAATAAATCATTTTCCAAGGCACTAAAATGTTTGCCCGTAAAACTTTCTCTTGTTTTCACTTACACATCGGACTTTAATATTTATTTTTTATTTGTTATGTTGAGTAATTAAATTAATTTCTTTGTTACTTAATACTTTAAACAATCATGACATGATTCAGTTGATCATAAAAATTTATTGTCGAAGTCTTTCACTTTCCAATTAAAGTGCTTGCAACTTAAAATGAAATTAAAGTATGAAATGAAAATCGTTTAACGATGTTTAATATTTCAGTAGAATGATATTCAAGTGAATGGAAAAGCTAGCGGGGAAATGATTATTGATATTTGTTGGTAAAAGAGTGAAGTGGAAAATTATATCATAGAATGAATTGAACGAGAGACATCAAAATAAAGAAAAGTATTGAAAAACATCGTCAGTCAATCAACTTATCTCATCAACTTCGTAGAATTTTCATCTTTGCTCGACTGAATATTTAAAGAAAGTTTCAATATTTCCGACATTCTGTTTTGTGGTTCAGTTGTTTGTTTTTTGTTCGATCGTGGAGTAGATCAGCGGAACGGGACAACGGAGGGTATCAAGTCAGCATTAGCCCGTTTTCGTGGACGAAATTCGGGCGGCTCCTCTCCTACTCCCCTCCAACAGCAAACCACCGTAAGTATCATTTAATGACTTTATAATGAAATTTTCATTTCACATGACTTAAAGCTTTCTTCAGCGACATTTCACTGTATTTAAAAAATATAAAACATAAAAATATTCATCAAAGATTAAAAAGGAATTTTCTTGTCGTTGCGCTCTTTCTCGTTTTCTTTCATCCTTCACTTCCTTCTAAGCTTTTACTTATTTATTTACGAAACGGTTAAAAAGTTCATAGAGTGAAAAACAAATTAAATTTCTCTTTAATTTCCTTCACACGCTGTGTCAATCACGATTCCACATGATACGATGGTAGACTGGTGGAATGATGTAAATGTTTTGTAGGAATTGTGGGTGGTTAAAGGAAAACAAGTTTGTCATCGACTGACAAAGAAAGTGGATGATATGAGTAGATAAGATAAAAGGTTAAAGGCGTTTTGAGAGCGAGATAATGTTTTAATGGGAAATGAAAAACTTTTTCATGACGTAAAAAATGAACATCTAAATAAGGCTGATCAACCTTTCAGAACCTTTTACATACCTAATTCTATCTCAATCTTATCGATTGATCGGATCATGACGAGGACGACAACACAAGTTTTCTCATCTTCTATTTTTATCATCAAATAAAATAAGAGGAAAAGGGGAGGAGAAGTTGGATGAAGCTTAGGGAAGCTCGTGGATTAAATCGAGAAAAATAAAAGTGAATTTTAATAGCCGCACGTTTATATCTCACTCAAAGGGCAGGGAAAGCAAAACCCAATCGAAATTCCATAAAGACATTAAATGAACGAGTTTTGTGAATCAGTGGAAAAAAGGAAATTATTTTTTATGTGGCAAAAGGTTCGCTCTCCTAATTACCTCCAGACGAATGACTACCATAAATAAACAAATCACAATATTTTTTGGTTGTTTATTTTTCATAGGGTAGCAAAAGGATACTCACTTAAATTATTTTTAAAGGTTTCATTCGGGGCATTAAATTTTCTTTTGCGGAAAATAAGAAATGGCCAAGAAATGATATCAAATTTAAAAAAGGAATTTCTTCCCTTGTAAGGCCGCATTCTCTTGTAAGCTAATTAATTCTCGTTTAAAATTAATGAGATTTCTGAAGACATTAAAAATCACTTTTCTTGAAAAGTTTTGATGACTTTCACTTAGACAATTATCTTTGACTTTGATTAAATATGCGTAAAAAGATCATCCCATGTCGTTCTAAAGCGACAGCAACTTTCACGCAATTAATGCCAGCAGCGATTCTTACAAATCTTTGTTTAGTTTTAACATGTAATCAAAGTGTCTGAATCAGCGTGTCTTGAGTGGCATTTAATGGTGGATAATAACTTGAGAAACAAGACCAAAGAGTTTACTCTCATCTCGCTAATCTTTAACATTCAACTTCGATAGGAAGGAAAACTTCAACTAAAGATTATTCCGAACTTCTTCTCTTCATCTCATAACATGTAACGTCACGAACATAATTTATAGAATCCAAGAGGATGTACCTGTAAACATTGAATAATCTCACGCTTAATATTCAACCTCACCATCGATTTCAAGGAGGGAATTCATATTTGGAAAGAAGAATCGTCTGAAGATATTAACAATACTCACTCAAGTCATGTTGATCAACCCCTCAAATAACATCGCATTTAAATGCAAAAACAAATTTTCTTTTATTCTATTACAAATACATGCGGAGGGAAATTGAATTTAAATAGGTATTTTTAATTTTAACAACAAAAGAAGGAATTAAATCATTTTTCCGTCTTCTTATCATATTCATGCTTGTTTGAGGGAAAGAAAAGGATAATTTTCATAAATTAGCAGGCTTTGCGATTAAACTTGAATTAAATTTTCTTCTTCTTATGAGATTTCATTGGGAAACATTTAAATTTCTTCTTGCACTTCATGCTTCATTTCTATCGTTACTACAACAAACTTTCTTCTCATCTTCATTAAATATTTAATTCATTCTGAATTGCGAGTGATTTAGTAGACGCGTAAATTATTATTTTCATCAAATCCTGATGAGTGACCAGCGTTGCGTACGACAAATGCCGAACCATCAAAATGCATGCGACGTTCATCGCGTCGAACAAACAAATGCGAACTTTGGCCCAACGAAGCAGTGCAGTGAATTTGAGGCGTGCTCAGCGTTGCTGATCCATTCGAAGGGCTTGTATGAAGCTTTAATCGGTTATTGCCACGAGAAACCCTGACGAAAATTTATTATTCATAAAGATTTCTACTACAAAAAAGAAAGTTGAACTCACCGAACCATTCCGTCATGAGTTTGTGAAACACGAAAGCCGAGAATGTCAAACACTTGAGTTCCATCGTCTTGCGTGAAGAAATGATATGTTTTGGCTGCTACATCAGCCTCATCATAATAAGCTTCACCCAAGCGACAATTATCAATGAACACTTGCCAGCTATAGTCATTACGAGTGTCTTTATTCACCGGATCAGAAGTTGTACGTGTACCAGCTGTATCCACCAAGTAGATCAAAGCACATCCATCAGCTGTCAAAGAGACGCCTTTCTCCCACATCTTTGCGTAACGTCTGAAGTGTAAGTTGTTGGAGAAGGGAAAAAGAGAGAGCGAGAGAGAGAAAGATGAAAACGTTGTCATAATTCACTTAGAATACAACATGATGTTCTTTCTTTTCCATTCGAATATTTGATGAAATGAAGATTGACATTTTAATGTCTTATGTAGAAGGAACAATTCATAACTTACGTCTATAAATTTAGATACTTACATGCGACTCTTTGGACGTTTACTTCCATCGAAAGCCATAATGTCAACACGATCGAATTGTTGAAAGACTTTTCCGTTTGGATGTTCCAATGAAGCGTTTGTCATGTTACCATTGACGGCAATTTTAACTTTGCTTTTGGGATTATGAATCAAAATTGAACGGTCAAGAGATATCATAACGCTTCATAAAATAAGAAATAAGGAGAAAAGTGATTGAAAGATTTGGTCAAAAGAATTCATTAATTCGTTTACCTGATATTTTCTCTTAAACGCAATTCAACAAAACCATCGGGATGTGCAACTGGACCGAAATTACGAGTGAATACCAAATTACGGGTCAAATCATCTTCAAATGCCGGTGGATGGTTCTAAAGTAATAAAAGACGTTTACAAATAATAATCGAAATGTTTTTCACAAAAGACGCTCACATATCCAGCATAAAAAGCATTTTGGGTGAAGTAAGGCGGCTGTAAGATAGGACGCCAGTTTAATGGAGAAAGCGTTTGAGGCAAGGATGGAATTGAGCGATTTGCAGCGACAGCATCCCAAATCTTTCCATTAACAGCAACCTTTGAAGGGCCAACACGAACGATTGGAAAATCATTTTGCTTAGATGGCGGCTTGAATGGAGCCGCTTCAATGTTGAATGGTGCCTTTTATAAGAGTAATAATAAGATATATGAGAGGGCTTGGCCATAATGAGGTTATTTTTTATTTCATTTTACTCGAAACTAACCTTCTCAGATGTGGTGAATGGCGACTTTTGATTAATTTCCTTTTCTAATTTATTCGGCGAAGAGCTTTCAGAATTTTCCATCTGTTCCGAACTCATTTTCACAGATTATATGTTGTAATGTGTAATTTCGAGGATAAGTCACGTTTTTTATTGATTAATTTTATAAAAATTAGAATTTGAAACGACACGTCTGCTTGCTATGGAAAAAGTGGCTTAGGCGGGAAATTTCACGGGAAAGCTCTTTGGGGATTTTTGGGGATTTCGAAAGATTTTAAAACTTCCAGGGAAGCTTCCAGGATTTGAACCCTTCAATTTTAAATTTAATTCGCTATTTCAAAAATGAATTTTAAATTTTATTAAAAAGTTAACATCAATTAAAATTAAAGTTGCTACATTAAAAGTTCCTTCTTTAAGCTTTCTCTAAATATTAAGCGTTAAGAAAAACAAACAAAACGATAACAAAAACATTAAAGAAATCGGAGTCTGATTAATTGAAGTAGAATTAAAAGGTAATCCAGGTACGAGCAAATTCTCTCCACTATATCCATCAGGAGATATATTTTCTTGAGATGAAGATTTTACTCCATCCCCAACATTACATAAATCCGTTGAACAAGATCTATAAAATGTCCGGAACGTTGGGTCATCAATCACATCGTCGAGAAGCGTCGGTACTTCTTCGCATCCTCTTACAAATGTGTTTATTCTCCCTGGCGGATCCTAAGCGCAAAATAAATATATCTAATTGAAAATGAAGGAAAATTCCACCTGCTATTGTCAAAATGAAACTTAATATTTGCAAGTAAAGGGACAAAAATTATAACAAATTGTGCGTTCGGGTATAAGAATCTGTTGGGTAATGATGTATTTAAATGAGACTTTATGTATAAGAAAAGGCCAATTTTATTCACAAATTATGTGAAGAAACATAATATTATCCCTGAATGAATTTCTTAGACTTATTTTGGTTACACGCAGTATCTGGTGCGTAATAAAATAAATAAATAAAATTACCTTCAACTCCTGTCTGAGAATCGTACAATATTTCTTATTACAGTTCACAACACTTTGACCCTCAACACTGATTGGATCATTCAAACATTTTGTATCGGAATCTTGCGATGTAATTGAGCACGAATAGCAACGCAGCGCTTTTTCAAAGAAAAGAAAAGAATGAGAGAAATATCAGAATAAGTTTTCTACTTTATAAATAAATCGTTTTCAACTCAATGCGGAAAAGCAGCTTGACAATTAATTTAATCTTAAGTTCACGATATTTACCAGATACTTTCTGAATCACCTCGATTATTGTGAGAAAAGAAACAGCTAAGAGAAGTCTTGCTAGTTTATCCATTAAACAGAAAAAAGGAGTTCCAAGGAAATAAAAAATTAAATTTTTCACAGAAGAGAAAAAAAGATTTAAATTCGAATTTTCGCTAGCACAGGGTTCCAGGTATTATGTCAAGTAGCTTTATTTCTACCAGATTACTGTCACTTTTATATCTGCTATAAATTTGAATTACACGATGAATAAAAAAAGTTTTTCTTTCTTGCTTTAACGCTCGCTGGTTGTACGAAGAATGTTGGGAAATTATCTGTTGACTACCCGAATCTAATTTTTTTGTCATTGTCAACGAGTGACAGCTTTTTATTAAATTGTAATCAAAACATTGGCGTTTCAAAGAAACATATTCTGATGATAAGATATGAATGACGTTCCGTATTTGAGTGACTCTTTTCAATTTAAAACTTCTTCGCTACAATTTAAAAGTTAATGAGAATTTTATATCGAGAATGAGAAGACGAAACTCGCAACCTGATTTAATAAAGGCAACAAAATAGAAGAAGTGAGAAGAGTGTCACTTTTCTTATGAAATCTCGTCAGACCGTGGAAATTTGGGTCTCATCACGTAACAGAATCGGCTTCTATGAAAGCAGTAAGCACAATCGTTTAAAATGAAAATGAAAAATCATCTTTCGGCCTCTCGTGTTTTAAGACAAGAAGACAAAAGCAAGAAAATTATTTTTCACTGTCAGACTTATATGAGTCAATTTCTCTTCGTCTCGTTTCCTGAAATGAAACACACAACACCGATAATATTTAACGATGTTTATTGTTTGACGCTTGAGAGAAACCAAACAAGCAAACAAACACATAACAAGTACATCAGTGGGAGTAGAAACATCGACAATTGATAAGAGAAATGCGGTTGCTATCGAATGTCCCAAAGCTACTAAATATTGTAAACTAAAATAAATATTAGGTAGTTAGTGATGTAACGAATCTTACGCTTCACGATACTTTTAACACAAAAGATTAGCTTGACATTTGAATTAACGAACAAATGAAAGCAAATTATCGTTTCAAGAACTCAGCAAAATGAGATTTGATAAAGAAACAATCTCATTGTCGTGGGTTAATCATAACTAATGACAGAAAGATATGAAATGAAAGTGACATATTCTTGGGAAAATGTGACATCGTAATAAACTTAGACAGAAAGTATGAAAGAAAATAGATAAATTATTGTTTTATGTTTAATGTGAAAACTTTTCTTTTTGGACTTTTCTATGACAAATTCAACTTCCAGTTGCGTTTTTTCCCATTTCTCATTCACATCAAAATGTAACATAGAAAAAATAATAACAAGAATTTTCCTTTTTGTTCAAAAAGCAATGACAAACGAGTTATGTTAGATTTTCTTTCATTCTTCTACTTTCTTCGTTATGAATATTTCCCTTTCCACATAATTTCCTTTATTATTCTATTGAAATTATATCGTGACCATAAAAAAGTCGATTAATTACATGTCCTGGAATATGTTACACATGCCACTAAAACAATCGAGTTAGCTTGTGAACTAATCAATTCTAGAAAGCTTTTAATTGATGTTGATTATGATATTGTCCACTCTTCGCTTCTAGAAATCGAATTAGAATCTAAAATATTTGTAGAATTTAAAGTAATGCAATGTTTACACAAATGTCTATATGGAAGTAAAATTGGAAGATTTCTTTTTCGTTTCAGACTGGATCTCCCTCCCGTCACCAATCATCGAACAACAAAACAATATCCAATAACGAGACAAGGATAAATGCTGTCGTATCACCAGCAAAAACAATAATAAAATCACCTGATCCAAATCCAAATGCGACGACTGTCGACTTCCACAACAATAGTAACAATCTCACATCGCCACGAAAAGGTAACATTCGAATTTAATGAGTCTGATGTTGAATAGACATGCTGACGACTGAGAAGTTTAAGTTCATGAACAGATGTGTCGATTATTCTTTTAAACTTTAAACGATATCGTGTCTATAATCGAGTTTATGTGCGGATGTAACAATGTCCTTGCTATTCCCTTAAGTACAAGGAACCTTAAGGTCTTGAATAAATAAAGGAACAACAAACAAAGTTCGATTTAACCTTCGTGTCATTGCCGCAACTTTTTTTGCAAGTCACTTTAGTGTTGATATATCCTTCCACTTTAACAAGACTAAGAACGGCCTACATAAACTTTATAACTTATCGAAAATGTTGTTGTAATAGAAATCGATATTTGCCTTCAATTTTCCTTCCATGGGTCTGCTTATGTGCGTGATTTTCCTACATATTTTCCTTTTTTTTCGTATTCTTTCTTAAGTACTTCGGACGAGAAGAAAAGGAGAGAAAAAAAATACACGATTCACTTTGATTTTCACTTCAATCACCATGAACCAGCAACAAAAGCTTAATAAATGCAATAAGAGTGTTAACGGTGAACGAATTAATTTTATGTGGGAAAACAATCAATTTTAATTAAGGTTGAGGTTCATTTATCCACTCATATTGACAAGAGAATTAAAAGCTATAATCTTAATTCGTTAGCCACGTCAATACTTGCAACGTAAACATTTTGTTCCACCCATATTTGACGTCCTTTCACTATCATTTATCGAATCAATATTTCTTTCTTTTCTTGAACATTATCACGCTTCCGACTAATCAAAAAATAAATGTCGATGATTATCCGTGTGATGTTTTTTCATTTTTGTCTGGCTGGTTAGATTTTTTTAAGTATCTTGAACTTTTCTTCTTCTAAGAAAGAAAAAATCATTTGGCAACGTGATGATGAAGAAAATTGTAAACAAAGTAGCTTCAACCACCTTAAGCTTAATAAAAGCAACTCATGCGAGTTACTCATTTCTAAGATGCTCGTTTGAAACAATTTTAAATTATTTGTGTCCATTGTCATGATTCATGAACGTTTCCAAGACATTCATTCGTGCGTAGCTCGATAAAAAAAGAGAAATCATTTTCTTTATTCAATTTAAGACTTTATGAGGTCGTGCAATATATTTTTATGATCAAGATAATGTCAGGGATAATGTGAATTTTAAAAGGCTGTTTTTTTTTCTCTCGTTTTTCTTCCCATTTAAATCGCACAAATTTAGCTGTAACAGCTTCAACAACTCAATCACAACCACCCAGAATCGTTAGTTCTATAGCGAAAACTATGGCAACAATCCACATGGCACGCCCTACAAGTCCTTATACCTCAAGCAGTTCCGATACCGATTCGATTATTGCGAGTGTACCCTCCGGAACGGCACTCCGGAGGCTCTACTTTAAAACTGCAAAAACAAGCAAAATGAGTAACACTGCACAACATAAAAACTCGTCCACCGTTCCCAAAGTAATTGTAATGAATTCATCATGCAATTCTACCATCAATACATCAACTGAATCGGCTTCAACTCATTTGACCAATATCACCACAACCACAGATACGGAAACATGTGATTCGTTGGATTTAGGTTTGTGGCTTTATTAGCTTTTAAGGATAATAGCTCTGTCACGCAATAGACCGAAATGATTAAGCTTTGTACATTTTTCAGGCGACGGTGACATAATTGAACAGCGTGAGCCTTTGTTAAGTGAAAGTCAAGACGATTCGTTGACCCTTTCAGGCCATCAAGATTCATCATCAACAATGGAAGACGATAAGAATACAATCATCATTAATGCAAACGATGATTTGGAAGAATCCATCACGCCACTTTTGGGTGATGATGGTGAGAATAGTCGTAAAGAGGTAATGTATTTTTTATTGCATAATTAGGTATGAAAAAAAATTATTTCATAATTCCAGTAAATCTCTATAAATTGTAAGGTTTTGACATTTTCGAACTTAATTTCGAAAAATTGTTAACATGGCTGACGACCGTAAAGTTTTTAAAGAATTTAAATATTCCTTTATAAGCAGAAAAAAATTCGCTTTCATAAATAAAAAGTTCAAGAATGCAATAAAAATACCAGTAAACTCATGAGAAAAACTCAATATGATCGCATGAAATATTTAACAAAATTTCCCAGACGTGATTGAAACATAATTTTAACATCATAAATGATTAGTCTGATATCTGAAACTGTATGGAAAGATTGTTTTTCTTTCGCATGATTTATTGAAATCAATTAGTGAAAGGAAATGACGATGAAGATTAATTAGTTCATTTTTTCTCATTTCATCATTTCTTTCAATATTCAGCAAATTCTCAACGCTCGAAAATATTCGATCCTTTATCCACACACAGCACCGCCTCTTGGACAAACAACTACAGAGTCTTCATTCTCTTTTGATCCGCCACCATCGCCTAGAAGTGCACGTAGTGCTGAAAAATCTACGACATTATTTTCATTCGATCCTGTTGCTATGGTTCCATCAAATGAACTGAGTGCTGGTAATAAATCTTCCACAAGAACAAATGTGGAGAATAAAGAGAATGTACGAGAAAGTGACATGAACAAAGTGTCGAAAAATACGAATAAAACGGAAATCAAACGAGAACGTCGCTTCAGCACTAAATGTGAGCTTTTCACAAATATATTCAGCATTAAAGATTCATCATCAACGGCCAACAAAGAGAAGAACAGCGACATGTCTACAAAGACGTCAAAAAAGACTAACTCTGCCCCGGTTCACCGCAAAAACTCGAGCATAAGTCAGAGTAAATTTGATACAGATGAATCATCTTCAACCGGAGGCACAACAAGCGACTTGACAATGTTTCCGTTCGATCGCGAAGCAATTGATTATGAACGAATTCAACGAGAATGTTTTGCGGTTGAAGAAGAGTTCAATAATGACGCGTTTATAGCGAAAAGTTCTTTTCCTTACGATTACGACACCGAAGATAGTCCGTCTTACGAAGCACTCGATCAACAAGAAGGCATTTTCCAACAATACGCAATTCTCTCGCAACAGGAAAAAGAACGACAAAACAAAAAACGTGAACAGTCACCAGCGGAGATGAAAACTCTGAGTAAGATCGATCATATCAATCGTAAATTAAACGAGACGTCGGCACTTATACACGAACAACCAAGTTCGGGTGCTACATCACCAATTCCCGATCTGAAAATTGACTTTTTCTCTGAACCGTCAGTATTAGTTAAAACATTGTCGACTTTCCCGAGAGAAAATGAAAATAAGAATTCTGATGCATTGGATAGATGCCAAAAAGATTCAACGTCATCATTTAGCAGTAAGAGTAGTAATACGAACACCACCAAATCGACTAACAACGGGAGTATAAATTTAACATCAAATCCCATGAGTACCGCAGTTTGTACAACACCTCGCGCGACTATTGTCGTTCAACAAGTATGTTAAATATTTTACTCACTTAATTCATATGTTTTGTGTTTATCATCAAGACAAGAAGAAAAAAAAAATATTTATCCAAAATTTTCTTTTGAACTTTCAAAAGATTTTTAATCAAATCTCAGAACAGTGCGATTGAGTCGCGAATATATTAAAAGCGAGAAATTGCAGTTGAAAGTTAGTTGATTGTTTATTCGATTACACTTCAATAAACGTGTTAAGTTTCTTTCATTCAACTTTGAATCATTGCAAAAGCAGTGACGAAGGGAAAATTGAAGTCAAAGAAGTGATTTATTTAATAATAAATTTTAATGACTCGAAAGGGTGAATAAACATAAATTTTCATAATTGGGAGATTATAAATGTTTCATTTTTATGATAGCTCCATAAAATTGAGAAAAAGAAAAAATAAATAAATAAATTTGTGACGGAAATACATTAAGTGTCGTCTTAGAATAAATCTTAACGAAAAAAAGTGAATCTTGAAAAAAGAAAAGAAAAAATGAATAAATTATATCGGAAAGTTGTGAGAACTGTCTCAACTAGAGATATAATTCGCTCGTCGATGAGTTGCAAGGTAATAAAACGTCTGGTTGGCGTTGATAATGTTGACAATTTCCGATTTCGCTATTGAAACTTTTCCTTTCTATTGCTTCCTTTTTCGTGTGGTGAAAGCTTCCAATGTCGGTGTTAAAACTCATGACTTGCAGCTATTTACAGTTTACGACTTTTTGTCGTTCTTTCCAATGTTTTAATTCAAACATTCTTCCAACCCACTAACAAATTTAATCATGGAGAATATCGTTTCTTTATTGTTAAGCTCTTTTAACTGCTTGCTATTAATTATGGTTGTGAAATTATTTAACTTTAAGAAAGTTTCATTAGTTTCAATAGTAGATGGGAGGTCGTTTACTCTCAAGAGATATTAACAGAAATAAAAGGAAATAAATCAAACTGAGGAATCTCATAGCAGAATAAAAAGCTTGAAGCTTCGTTGATTGATGAGCTTCATTTTGATCAGTGAAGCTTCGTAAATAGTTTTTTAAAATTCCTCCCCGTTGAAATGAACTTTCTCTTAAACATTTCCAATTGAACTCACAATTTCTAAAGATTTCCATGAGCAAAACAAGAAGAAAACTTAATTAATCAATATGAAAATAAATATTTACATTGAATCATTATGACAATCCTTTGATGGAATTACTTATTTAATTAAAACAATCATTTTTCATCATTTATTTGCAATTCTCTTGAAACATCATTCAACAAACATATTGAATGTTGAAATCTTCACTGCTCATTAATTTCTCTTTTTTTGCTTCAATTTATTAAGAAGCTTGTGAAAATATTTTCAATCAGAGTGATATAAAGAAAAGTTCTGTTTATTTTCCTATCGACATCTCCACTGAAAGAGTTTTTTTTTCTTTTGGGAATCGCATCCTCACTTCACATAAATATCATGAATTATATGTATGCGATAAGATCAAAAATTCTATTTTAACTTGTTATAATAATTCATCGTATTTAAGTCTTAATGGAATTTTATTATATTTCTCTTCTTCTCTTTTTTGTGTTTAATTTTTCTACATTCGACGTTGGTATGAAACTCTTTAAACGACTTCAGGCATCATTAAGCTTAGACTATTCAGTTGAGACAGTATTATTGAAAAACGAATGTGACTTTATCAGTGTCGAGCAGGGAAAAGAGTCATCGAGAAAGAAGAAGCAACGTGACGAAAACATTAGACAATTGCTTGATGTGACAAATAAAACCACATTGACAACAGAGGAAATGCGTGATTTTGAGATGAGGTGAGTTTTAAACGTTCAACTCTTTCCCACATTTACTTCCACCCACACTCCCACAATATTTTCCAATCAATTGATTTTCTCTTCATCGCGTCATGACTTAAAATCAGACAAAATTCACCTGTTTCAACCTGTTTAATTACGTTTCGATTATTTCAATGGAATATGAAATCAAAAATCTCATAAAGATCGATTCACGAGCTGCATGATGAAGAAAAACAAACAAATAAATAAACGAGCTAGATTGACGCAGTAACTTCTCCAGTTCTATAAGAAGAAGAAAATCTCGCAATCTCAGCTTGAGAAATGGAAAAATTGATCTGTTTTAACTCATTATTTTGATTAATGTTAAGAGTGATCACTTCAAAGTAATTTTATTTATTGAAAATTCTACCATTTTGAATGATTTCACGCTTTAAAATAAAGATTGAAGTAGGAAAGGAAAAGAAAGAACGTTTCTTATGACACGAAAAGGTTCAACGACGACAATTAACCGAAAAAAGGTTGCGTGTAGTAAAACTTTTCGGCCATAACAAGCAAGGCAAGCGACCCTCTCCACTCATAAGAATTAAGAAATTATGTTTTCGCATGCTAAAGTCAACTTGAAGAGTTTCCTTTCTGGTTACGACTCAGAGCTTCTAATGCAGTCATAAAATGTCGTCTTATGGTGAACAGGAAATTCTGTCATTACAGCTTATGCTTCTTTTGTTTGTTTCCTTTTTTATCTCGACCTTTAAGTGTATGTGGACTCAAAGCCTTTCGATAAGAATCTTGAAAGGGAAAGAAAGTCGATGAAAGCACGCAGCATGTCTGATGTCAAAGTTTATGTTTTGTTGATGTCCCGTGACCTTCACGTTACTGCTTTAAAAGTTTCCAGCACGAAATTTTTGTTTATCTTTACTGTTTTTGGAAATGACTTGCATTACGCAAATGGAAATTTGGAGCGATCAAAAGTTGATGTGAAGAAGAAAAGTCATTTCCACCACATTTAAGATTGAAGATTGTCGTAGTTTTCCTTATCTTATAACGATTGAAATTTTCATTCTTCCTGTTTTACCTTCATGAGAAGAAACTCGTACATGTATCGTAATTACTGAGAAAATGTTCAGTTTTATGAGAAAAGTTTAAATATGAGATTACATTCACAACAGGGCTTAGAACTGTTTAATGTTCTCAAGAAGCTTACCTCAAAGCCACTTTCAAATTCAGGCAGCAAACAACCCAAATAGTTTAGCAAATCGTTTCATGGAAAACATAAACAAGTTTAAAATATTTTCTCAACATACCTGCTTTGAAAAAGAAATTTAATTTTATGTTTCATCCACTTTATGATGAAAGTTTATATTACTCGGCATAGTATTCTAATTGTAATTAAAACAAATATGAAATTTTAAACCTTTAATTGAAGTCGTCGTCGTGAAATGAAAAATTTCATTAATTAGATTTACTGTTCATTTGAAATTGCAAGAAAAATTTCCTTTTTTATTATTTTAGAGTAGACATTAGTTAACATCATAATGTCATCAATTTAAATGTTAGAAGGTTGTAACTTTGAAGCTCTCCGAAACATTTTTTGTGCGGTTGTCGGGAGTCCATTAAAGTATCTTGATGAAGGTGAATGAAAGAGAAGAACTAAAGTAACTTTTGAACCCATGTTTGGAATTTGTTTATTTAATAGGATTTCATTTATTTTTTCAACTTGAATGTTCTTCAATTTCAAGAGGAGATAAAAAATACTTTTCGATTCTGTTCATCATTAAAACTTCCATGAACAAAATTCTGAATCTTTTTTTGTGGATAAATTTAAACTTTTTAATTGACATTCAAGTCATTTTTTGAACTTTTCATTCATCAACTTCCTAAACATGTAAACAGCGAGACTTGACATTTCTGATTACGGACATTCGCCCTTGATTTGCTAATCTGAAGTACATTCGCATCATCAGCACATCATTTTCACAGTAGTTCTGCCTGCTGATAAAAAAGCATAAATGAAATGACTTATTATTTAATCAAATTAATTTAAATTACCTGCAGTTAAATTCTCGCGGTGATTTTCACTTTCCCCCCACAAAATCATAAAAGAAAATTTCATGCCATTCAACGTCGACACGCAACCAACGCACGACTCGTGTTTTTCAAATGAAAAGAGTTGCGAATAAAGAAATCAAGCAAGTTAGGCTTAGTTATAAGGAGTGAAACAACAAAAGACGATGATAATGTTTTGTTATTCCATCAACGTTTTAACTGCTCGCAAATTTTGTTTTTTGAGTTATTTACGATGAAATGAAACATCTGTCGAGTTTCAATATGCAAAACATCTTTTCGTTTCAACCAATTTTTATGTATGAGAATTGATGACAAGTTGTCTCAGCTTGGTTTGTGTTGGTAAATAATTGAATATGGGATTTGAGATGTCGATGAAGAGAAATTCTTATAAATCAAAGTCAACAATCGGTATGAAGTGAAATTAAAGACTGCTTTTTATTGTGAGTGTCTTCAATGTTTGTAAGCAAGCGAGAGATGAAATTTATGACGTTTCTGATATCATATTAATGTTCTTGAGAATACAAATGAACATTTTAAGATGCTTTGGGATCTTATCGTCATTCGGATAAACAACATCCGCTTCTATGTACAGAAGCACAGAAAAAAAAGAAATTCAAATGCAAATAAAGAGTGACAATAACATGTTGGTTTTAAGATGAAACGGATTTCCTTCTTAGGCTCTGATTTTGACTGCTTAGGTAGTTCAATTTCATGTTCATGCTGCCTGCTAACATTTATGAAATGAAAATCCGTACAATTTTGTCGTTCGTGCCGGGGATTAAACTATAAATTTTGTCTCTGATTTGCTTATGAGAATCTACTCGACGTTGCGACAAGCAAGTTTACGTTATTTATGAAGGTTATTATTGGATTAGAAGCAGAAATAAAAGTCAGTGATCGAAAAAAACAATAATAAGAGAAAGAAAATCTCGTTTTGTTTGTTCGACTACGTTTGCATAATAAAATGATTTCACCCAGTGGAAAACAATCCTCAGAAGTTTTTTTGGGGATCACATTAAGAACCTTAAGAGACGTATAAGAGCTTGATGCTGAATTGAGTTAGTTATGTGCTTAACATTGATATGTTGAGAAAAATAAAAAGAAATTGAAGTGGATTATTTATCGAAGGTTTTACGCAACAAAAAACCGACATACATATCAACATTCAAGGAAATTCAATTTCAAAGTGTTCACTTAAGAGCTAAGCATGAACAAAAGAAGAAAAGTAAATAAAGGTTGACAAGATAAAATCAATAAGAATTTGATGGAAAAGATCCGATTCCTCTCAAGTTCCAACTGAATAAATGTGGAACAAAAATGACATTTTCCAAGACGATGACATTTAACGTTTCGTGTTTTTTATTCTTCACATCTAATCGACACATTTAAAATTTTAAAGACTTTTCGTTTTTCAAAAGAATTGACGACAGACACAGATGCGAAATTTCATTTCTTCTTCTCTTTTTTATGTACAACAAAGGAAGGAAATATCATCGTAAATGATTTTTTATTTGATATTTGATGCTTCAAATTGTTTGTTGAGTGTTATGAAAAGAAGACAAAAGTAAGGTCAGAGTTGAGAAAATGATATCAGGAAGTAAACAGTTACATAAGGCTTGAACATTGATAGTCGAAAAGTTGACAGTTGGGATCAAAAAGCAGAACATTAAATGTCAAAATCGTTCTTATGAGCTTAATAAATACGACACATAAGATGAAAGATGAGCGGCTTCTTGAAAGACTTTAAAGAAACTAGAACTCTCGTTTTGTTTTTTTGCTTTCTTTTCAATTCGAGAGACAACATCTTGATGTCGACTAATTATTAACGGGCTTGTTATACTTTGTTTGATCACTTCATCTGTTTCACTTCCCACTGTGAAAACCGACGACAGATATGTGTCACACACGTGATCACTGCTAACTATCTGTCTAAGTAAGAAAGAGAAATGCAAACTAATGAAAGAGTTGAAGAAACTTTCGTTGCGGTTTCTCGGCTTCATAAATAACTCAACTTTATATTTTATTCAAATTCGTCTTACTTTCCTTCTTTATTTATCTACTTTTACATATATTTGACTACATTTTAAAACAACGAAACTTTAATTGCCTTCATAATAAATGCATTTGACATTTTGAATGGATGCCAGTAAGGAAAAAAAAGAAAAACATGAAGGAAAAATGTTATAAAGTCACAATTTGGTTTTCCATTATTCATGCGAACATGTTATGAAATGTATTACGGCTTTACATAACAACAAAAGTGTCAAAAACATGTAAATTAAAATTTAAAAATAAAATTCTAGGAAAATCCATGATAAAGTGCAAACTTTCATTGAACTTGTCGCGAGAGTTTTTCAAATGAAAACTTAAATGATAAAATATCCCAAGAATAACTTTTTTTCATCTGAACTAATCATCTGTTGAATTTTCTCGCTTTTCTCCGATCTTCATCACTTCGCATCGAGTCGAAAAAGAAAAGAAAAAAATATCGAGGAAAATGAGGCTAAAAGAAAATGATTTTCTTCAAAACAATTAATTATAAATAAAAGTAAATGTTCTTCTTGAAGCGGTCGCACGCCCGGCCAAGCTTCAATGAATCATAACAAACTTCTTAGGTGGAAAATAAAATACGACGAAAAATATATTTAACAAGATCATATTCCCTGTTTTCATCTTTCCAAGTATCTGTTTAATAATATTGAATCACGTAAGAAAGAAAATATCATTTAAAAGACATGATGCTACTACGGAACTCTGTCAGACATAAAGAGAGACTAAGACAGTTGAAGATGAATTTAGCTTTGATGATTCTCAAGGGAAGGAGCGAAGCAAACTCGTTCACATAATATTATTCATATTTACATTTGACGTAATCTTTCCTTACATTTTCGTTTTGGAAATTGAGGAAAAGAAATATAAAAGTTTGAAATAAAAGAAATCGTAAAGCGATCATCTTTCTGCTAAAAGTTGAGAAGTGTTGCGATAAATAATCTCTCGTTTGTGATGTCATGCTTTACTGACTTTTCTCACTTTCTCGCTTGGGAGATGACGATAAAAGTTTTGTAAAAATCTTTCATTTTGTTGCGATTTTCATAGAATTCTCTTTTCCGGCTTGATAATGACGATGATATTTACATATCGTTTTATTTCCCACCCAAAAACAAAAACAAATAAAAAGTGTTAAGGAACTAGGTCAAGAAACATTAAATGATTGATGGTTTTAAACTTTTAAACAAAAGCTGATGAGAATGTTTGTAATGATTAATTAAAATCCATTAAAATCCTATTTTTAAAGCACTCGTAATGTTAAATATACTACATATTTACAATCTGTTAACACAGTTGGCTGCATGTCGGCAGAAGTTCATCAAACAAATCATGATTATAAACACCGATGGCCGTTGATACATTAAGAAAAACGAAAAATAGTAAAAAGAAGTTTTTCTCTGTTGATCCAATTCGCTTCGGAGTTTTATTTGGACGGCGACCATGAAATGGTTGTACGATGTGAAATAAATTCAATTCCGTGTAAAAATTGTATCGCGTAACCTCTTTTTTATCGCTACTACACTCGCGCTAAGAAACCCATAAAAACAATTTTCCTCTTGGGGTTTTTCTTTTCCATTTTCCATTGCCCGCTCTCATATCTTTGAGCTTCTAGGCGGAAAATTTATATCAAAGAAGTGTTTCATTTATAAATTTCCCTTCATGTTTTTCTTTACAAGGATTCTTTGTGTTTACAATTTGATTCCTGTTGTTTCTCATGGTTCACGAGATTTATTTCTTGTTTTTGTTTCTTGTTACTCACTTGAACTATCTAAGTAAGCAAAGCGTTAAATCTTTCCCTGGCTGATGACCAGGCCATGAAATTCCAGACTAAACAAAGAATCTTGTGCTTGCTTTCATCCTTCAATGAGTCGAGAAATAGTTTAGTTTCTACTTACAAAGTATCTAAGCCATTATCCTTGGAGAAAAACTTTTAATTTCAGCTACTTAAACGCTGACGGTATTTTCTTAGATATTCCTAAACTCATCGCTTGTGTAATTTACATTTCATAAGAGATCGTAACGCGAATCTTTCATGAGTTGACTGAAACGTCTTCCTTCTTTCAAACAACAAGAAACAAGTAATAAACGGAACAAATCCAATTTACATGGCAGAAATGGGTTAAGATTTTGTTCCCTTTTTCTTCTTCGTATCAGATTCTCGTTCTCATGAATGGAATTTGTGTAATTATGCTTGTCAGTAAGTAAGAAGGGAAAGAAGAAAGAAACATGTGAGAGACGCAATCGCAGCTAATTCATCGTGTGAAATGAAAATTCTTTCACTCATCCTAATGGATTGTTTCTTTTTTGTTTGTGTTTTCAGATATGGATCGCCACACCACACAAGATCACAGTCAGTCAAAATGCCAGGCTCGAGAGCGTCGGGACGACCAAATCAACTCTGCTTGCCTCAACAACGATCTAGGTAAATACTCACATTTTATTTAGAAAGCTTTCATGATACTTTAACCTTTCCAACGACACACCATTAATCATAATTTCCATTTCAACATTAGAGTGGCATCGATGCCAAACACAGGCGTTGAGGAAGAATATTATCGGCTGAGACATTTTTCAATAACTGGCAAAGGTATCGTAAATCGCGGTGATTCTTTAAAAAGTCGACGTAGCAAATCAAATAATAGCGTTGCCAGTTCAAACTCCAGGTGGGTGTTCATCATCATCCATTCATTTTAGATATATTTTTAAATTTATTTCTATTTCGTATTTCTATAAAAGTAATTCATTTGACATTTTCATGTTGAAATCTTTTTGAATGCTTTCAAGCTTTTAATTCAAAGAAAATTATTTCTTCTCTTCCTCAAATGAGTCTTAAGGTCTGAACATTTAAACATGAAAAAAAAGTTAAATTGATAAGTCTTCTTATAATTGACAACGGTTTGGGAGAATCTTTTTCTTGTAATGAAAGATGTCAGACGAAAGGAAAAGCTTTGTTGAAAATGTTGTGATGGTGTCGAATAAAATTGTCGTCTCAATTGATTGCTTGAAATTGAGAGACGAATGTGGTGGGAGAACAAAATATGACAAAATTGAAAATTTAATTTAAAATTCAAAGCTAAGAATTTGACTTTTAAATAAGCTAGAAGGGGGAAAAATTATTTTAAGTTTGTGGTTGATTGTTGACTTTTAGTGACAAATTTGCTTTCAAACTTTCTTCTTTAAAGTAATGAATGAGAATTCTAATTGACATTAAAATTGTCGTCTGCTAAATGATTTAATAAGAAAATTTATTTGATTTGAGGATTTGTGAAAAGAAGAATGAAAATATTTAATTAAATATCGTTTTTATTCATCTCGCATTAGAATCGCCATCATGATTACGTCAGAATGTGAAGAAAAATCTCAATTGGGAAATGTTCACAATCAAAATCAGTCATTTATATGAGAATAGAAGAGAAAAATGATTCGCGAGGTATTTTTTAAAAGCAAAATGCTTGGTAATCAATTCTTTGATTTGATAAAATATTTTAAGATTACATCGCGGAAAAATTTCCGATCTCAATAAAAATTCCAAATTGATTTCAAGCTTCTCAAGCAGTAAATTAAATTAGACTTTCCACTGTTTGGTAATTCCTTCTGCCATTTCAGCATTTCTGAAATTCTCTTTTCGCGTGTTTCGCAATTTATTTTGTTAACAACTTTTTTTATGTCTTCATTTTTTTTTCACTTCTATTGAAAGTTTTGAGACCGTAGGCAAGCCTTCCTCTCACGTCGTGTGGCGAAATATTCTATTGTTGATAAAAGAAAAGGAAGAAAAAGTTTCCTTCCATTAAAATAAAGCAATCGAGAAAGCCATTCAAATTGTTTTCAACAAATACCTCAGGAAAAAAAGGAAAATGAGGGAAGAATAGAAATGAAAAAATTCTCCACTTCGATCATTGCATCGCATTGGAAATAAATAACCAAAAAGCTCATAAAATAAATTTTAGATTTATTTACAATAATAATTTGTGTATAAATCATTGAACACATATTGAATCTGACATGAATGTGCACTCATTTGAGGAAACAAGTGGAAATATATTTTCCTGTGGATAAATAAAATAAAGTATGCTCGAATCTATGACGTGCTTAAAGCTATAGAAACGTTTATGGGATAAAGTTTGTTAATTCGTTTTAATGCTTCTCACGTTACTTGAAATCAATAGCACTTATCAATGCTTTATCACAACTTTGTTTATTTATTATTTAAATGTTTATGAACAAACAAAACAAAACATTTTATTTTTTGAAGTACGGAACATTTAACGACAGCAGCAAATGTAGGCGATTCAGCTAGAACAAGTTTAGCTTCAAGTAGAGAAAGTAGTACATCGGCGCAAGGGTCACAAATTCCATATAGGTGAGCTTTCTATTCATGCTGTAAATAGATGAAATAAAAATGCTTTTCCATATAAATTTATTTTTAATAAAAATGCTTAGCAAAAAGTTATTTGCAGTAGCTGCAATCTATATCGCTCTGAAAATTAATTGGATTTTGTTTCTATTTTTTCTCGCTTATTTTTCGCAGAGTTTTGATGTTGGGTAGTGAAAAGGTTGGCAAAAGTTCCCTCGTGTCTCAATTTATGACCAGCGAGTATCTCCACGCATACGACACATCCATAGGTAAGCATTCAGCTTCATAAAAGGAGGAGTTTTAGTACTTGTAACATAAAATGTATTTTCGCCCATTTTTTTGTGTTCACCTCAATAAACAACCGCACTGAATTATTCACGGAGAAGTTTGTGATTTTTTATTTCGGGGCCATTTGTACTTTTGTCAATACAAAGCGTTTTTACATGGAAGAGATGGCTATGAAACAAAAGCATACTTAGTGGAAATGACACCCACATAACTTTTTATATTCCATGGAACTTCTTTGCACTTGAACGTTACGGAAAAGTTTTCATTCTTTATTGCCGAAATATCTCTAGATATCCATTACGGAAAACTTTGAATTTAATTATTTTCACATGACATTTTCTTGTGTTTAACATTACGTAAATATTGATGGGGCAACAATTCTTCTGTTAGAAACAACAGAAAGGAAGGAAAAGTTTCATGATTGAAACGACAAATAATATTCATCGTTTTCCTACTTATCTAAATATTTTTCCAAACTTTTGTCTGTTGTATTTGTTTGGGTGAGAGGTTCAGTAAAATGCAAATGACAAACGACTCATCATTGAACGATGTACGGTTTTTGTCATGCCAAATGTTGTTCGATTGTACTTTGGTTTTAGTTGAACATATCTGCCAATATTTATTCAGCAAGTGACCTGATATCTGAACAAAACAAAGCACTATGACACATTTCCATTCGTTGACATTAAGAGATTCGTTTGTTTGCACTCATTCGTTCATTTCAAACAGAAATTAAAGGTTTTTAAATTCGCTCTTTTACCTTTTTTGTTGCCTTTTTCTTTATCATCACAATCAAGGAATAATTATTTTCGCTCCTCTGAACTTTTCCACGCTCAAGTTTTTCAATTAGTAAACGTGTAGCAGCAAAGGTTGAACATTCTAATTATTGCTTTTTTGCCTAAGTTTTTCTTTTCTGCTTGACAGAGAATAACTTGAAATATTTAACAAGCAAAAAAGTTCTTATAATGACGGGGAAATGGTGCGTGATGGAAATATACTGAGGGATATTGAGAAGGGAAAAGATAATTTAGTTTTGATGACTTCATGGTCACAATGTTTTCTTTCGTCTCTAGCCAACCGACCTTATTGCGTAAATCTAGTGCCTCAAGTGCTGAACTGTTGGCGTCAGACAAGGAAAAAAGGTTAAAAACGTGTCACCTTCCCTTTTTCTACTTGGATAGAAATTGAAACAAAGAAAGGTGTCATAAAGTGAAAAAAGAAGCATCTTAATCGACTTAAAAATAAATATTGAGCGTAAAGATGAATGCATCCAAGCACAAATGAAATGTTCAGAACGATCAGATGAGAGCTGAATAAGCAATGGCACTTTACGAGATTAATTTTGTTCAACTTCTACTCTTCAATTATTCTTTACTTGTTATTATCGACATTATGGGAATGATAAAAATATAGCCGAGAGTTTTAATTAGATTTTTATTATAGCAACTGCACATTTTAGTTCTTCATATGAAAGATTTTATGACATAAATAAAAAGCATTGATGAATGATTATTTATAGAGCGTGACGATGATGATGACAACAAGACCAATATACAAATTAAAGTCGAGTGTGTGGGTATGTGAAGATACTTGTACCTCATTTACATTCCACATTGTTCTCGAAACCATAATTTACGATAAGAAAATTTATCCTTGAAAGCTTTCCATGTTTGAAGCATGAAGCGACAACCGTAAACGTCTCGTCCCGCATTCCGATTTTCTCCCTTCAAATGATTCTCTCACATCCAACTTTCAGACTCTGTCGATTAATTTATGTCTTCACACCATCCAGATGATAAATCTCATTTATGTTAATTAAAAGTTAACTCATCTTTCCGGAACGATAAGCGTTGATAATATTTTAAATGGCAAAACTTGTTATGTTCACGAACGTAAGCATTGATGAAAACAACATTAAATTTTCTTCTCTAAGCTTTCCAACCGACATATTGTTGGTTGTTGATATCTACAAAATGAATTCCCATAAAATTGTTCTGTGATAATGCAACTGAAACCATTATTAAATGTTTGTTGAACTCAAAACACATTTGTCGATCCCAATGTCCATTTATTAATATTTATTTGAGGTTTCTCAAGTTCCATATAAACATTTTATTGTCAGATAAATGTAAAATCCATTAGAAACGGGTTCCAACAGCAAGAGCTTGAGCTTGAGGTTGTTGTTGTTGTTGCATCATCAAAGCACAGCAACTGCTAATTTATAATATTACGTGTTGTGACTTTTCAAATCCCTAGGAAACCAATTATCGGTCTCTTGATAAATTCTTCTCTCGTTCTTGATTAATTGCAGATGATGATTCTGGTGAAAAATCTGTATCAGTCTTATTGAGCGGAGAGGAATCGGAAATGACTTTCATCGATCATGCATATAATGAAATGACGGTAAGTTGAATGATTTCAATGCTGATTTAAAATCTGACGACATTTTATATTAATATTGACTTTTTATACTTAACAGCCAGAGAATTGCTTGTCATCTTACGACCCGCATGGCTTTCTTGTTATTTATTCATCTGCAGACAAAACTTCATTCTCGGTAGCTGAACGGATACTGCAAGCTTTATGGACGGGCGAGAATATTGCTCAGAAAGCTGTGATACTTGTGGGAAACAAAGCTGACTTAGCTCGTAGTCGATGTGTGTCATCCGAAGGTGAGTGAAATTGAAACGATGACACTGTGAAAAGAATGCAAGAAGTTTAGAACTTAAAGCTGTTGACAAATATTTCATAAATCTGCACTGAAATGTTTGAAAAATGAATAAATCAAATATTGAAAATGCTTTTGACATAACGAGAGAAATAAAAGCTTTAAAGCGATTACTTCACAGAAAGCTTTCAATATCAACGAGCTTTTAAACTTTGACAAATTTTATTAATCAAAATCCGTCGTATTCACTTTTATGCTGACTTTTACATTCAAAAACATTTTAACAAACAAAATTTCCCCATTAAAAAAATTCTGATAGCTTTAAAGAATTTCGTTCTGTTGAAAGAATCAAAAATTATAATCTGAGCTTTTATGGGAATTTGTTTAACAATTTTGATAATCAATTTGCCTTTTTCCCATGTTAATTACCTAAATTTTAATTTCACCCAAAACTGAAACATTTTTTTCTGCTTCTCTTGATAATCAAGACGAGTTTCAACAAGTCAACCACAAAACAGAATTTATCTAATTAAATGAAAATCTAAACTCAAGCCTGCAAGCAAACAGAAAATATTAAAATTAAACTTTACTCAGATTCTTCTTGTATCAATTTTAATCTAAAATTGTTCTTAACTTAATTAGTAAATTAAATTTATCTGTTGTGAATATAAATTCGTTGCCATAAAAAGTTAAATAATTTTTCAAGCAATAACTTTTCCTTTATCAAGCGAATCTACGCGAGCAATTGTGGATTATTAATTAAACTGAAAACTTTGTCACAAATTCACAAAGTTTGTTAATTTGAATACAGAATCTAAATATTGGATTAGTGGAAGTCTCTGCAATGCATAAATATGATACTGATGTGGTTTGATGATATTAAAAGCAGTTGCAAATCTTAATCACATGACAATAGTTCAGCAGCAATGCGCCAAACTTTCACACTAAACAAGCAAAAGCATTTCACTCACTCAAAGCTTTCACAATTGTCATGCATGTGCTAAAAGTTCTCATTTTTTCAATGTCAACCGACTGAGTTAGTAAATCAGACATGTTCTGCATACATAAGTATTTATTTATTTAGTTGCTTAGAGCAAAAAGATATTTTTCGAATTTATTTTCCTTTTCCTTCTTCTCCTTTTGGCTGTGGGTGAATTTTCAAGTTTACGGTGAAAGCACTTCACTGCTGTATGAAAAATACGTCAAAATTTATTGGATTTCTTGTCTCAAAATTCGAAGCTCTTGTGTCGACGTTGAGAAAGTCTTTTCCCTTCACTTGCATGCATAACTCTTTAAGATATGTTTACGGAAGACGTATCGGTATTTTATTCTCGTCTTATGTAGATATGTAGATGATATCTACATTACTGCTTGAACTTCTTACAATTTCTTAACTTAACTCTTAGGGTGAAAGTAAAAAATATTTTTCTTCGTTTAATTTTCTCATATTTTTCCCATAACTCACTCTCGACATATTCACGTGTAAGAAAGTCTTCAACTCGCTTGAATGGTTGAATGAATAAATAAAAGACGCTGATAATGAAGTGAGCTTTGTCTTTAATAAAAGTACTTTAGAAAACTTTTATGAAAGCTCATTAATTTCAATTCTTTCGAAGTCAACAACATAAAAAAGAGAAGCTAGAAATTATTTAAGAGAAAACAATTTAATTTGAAGCCATACTAAACTTCTCTTTATTATCAGAATAATTGTTTCTGGAATTAAAATTTCCATTCAGTCAATTAAGTTGCGATGTTTGTTAAAATTTTACCATTCATAATTATGATTATTAAATTGATTTCATATTGTTTGGTTTTCAGAGGGAAAGGCAATGGCAACAGCTTATGATTGTAAATTCATTGAAACATCTGTAGGAATAAATCATAATGTGGATGAATTGTTGGTAGGACTATTGACACAGATCCGATTGAAGTTGGAAAATCCCGAAAAGTCAAGGTAAACAAAACAAACTTTCATCTTACACTTCACGTAATGTTCAGCGATTAATTCCCCGTGTTGCTTTTCTTCTTCTTTTCATGTGAAATACTTTAGAGATTTATTCCGAAAACGTTCGTACAGAAAATCAAAGAGACGAGCATGTTCACCGTTAGGCACGACGTGTTTATCAGGTAATACGGGCACGAATCCAAGTACACCAGTGGGACCATGCATTATTGATACCAGCACACCGCCAAACAGTATCCAAAACAGGTGAGATTGTTCATTCCTACTCAAAGTCCTTCATCACCGAAGGTTTTCTTTTATTTTATTTCATCCTATTTTTTATTAACTTTTTCATGCTGTTCTGTTTATCTCAATTTCACAGTCCAAGAAAATATCGCGGTTCAAGAACATCGGCAAGTCTGAAGGTGAAGGGTCTCCTGGGCCGAGTGTGGGCACGGGATTCAAAATCGAAAAGTTGTGAGAATCTCCACGTGTTATAAGTCAGTCGATAATTTATTTCGCAACTGAGACTTTAAATAACATTCGAAACAATCTTTCCGATGAATTTATCGGTTGATTTACGAAGAAAAAAAGATTTTTTTAGACTTTTTCTTTATTTTGATGAGTTGTTTTTATACCTTCGTGTAAGAGTTTTTTTTAAATACAATATTGAAGTGAAAGAAAATTTTTATGTTTAGAAAATAATAAAAGAAGAGAAAAAATGTTTTTATGTAATTGGCGGAAATTGAAGATCTGATCTTGGTGTTCCTTTGTTCATGAAGGAAGTGAATGGTGAGAAAAATGATTTTCATATTTTCCTTCAGCAAAAAGAAGAAAGAAATTTGTGAAAACAGGAAGTAAAGAAGAAAAATGGCGTTGCTCAAGTTCAGATGACGATCCAATGTTGAAATTTATTACAAAGTTGAGAAATTAATTTTATTGTAGTCGAATTAAGTAAAGTTAATAGAAATCGACTAATGTACGTTCCTTTTACATAATAACAGAAGCAATAATGTTGTCAGAATCCATAATTTAATTTTCCCTCCTTCTTTTTCAATTTTCCGCTTTCATGAACTTTAAAGGAACATAACATTACTTAAATTAAAGCATCAAATCATGCATGAACGAAGTTTTTCGTCATCCCATACATATTCCTGAGCTTTTCTCCATCGAACAAGATGTTTTCCTACTCTTGCATGTTCAGTGATATATTCCAACAAAGTTGAACGTTTATAAACAAAAATCGGAAGCAGGAAAATAAATTTTGAGAAATGAATCATAAACTAGAAAAGAGAAAAATTATTCAAGCTTTTGATTACGATAAACAAGAAATCTAGGCCACTTAATATGTTTTTAAGAATACAACAACGATGATGATGATGCAAAAATATTAATTTATTTTCTTCCTAGCCGATGAAATGTAAATCTTGAAAAGGATCGAACATTGAGTAACATCAAAGCCTTAGACAAAAAGAAATTCTCTCTTAAATTTGTTAATTCATTTTTTTTCCATCAGTTCAACAGTCAAACGCCTTTCCCAAAATAGTTTCGAAATGCGATAATAAATGTAGAAGAAATAGAATATCATATCAGCAGCTGAGTCATCTCTATATTAATGCCATAAATCTTAGAAACGCGAGTAGCAGCAGAAAAAAAAGAAACGATGAAGGAAAGAAATATTTTTTAGAAAAATCGTTAAACGTTGCGGCGAGATCAGTTCAGTAGTTTTATCGATGAATATAATCACATAAACGACCAAGTTTATCGTTAATTTAATAGCGAATAAAGTTATCGCCAGGTGCCTTCCCTTTAATTTTCGAATAAAAATCCGCCATAACAAAGCACATTAAATTTAATTAATTAATCTCAAAATCACTTTTACTTTCTTCCTACAAAAACTTAAAGAGTTTCTTTGAAACATGTGTTAGTCTCGCTTCATTTCTGTATTTCAGACGAATGCATTTACAAACGTCAAACGTAATTATTGTCGAGAAGTCACGCGATCAGGCTGCAAAAACAACATTTTTACTTTAAAATGTACTTTTAAAATTCATTTGCATAAAAAAATTGCTAAAATCGTTTTAGCGCCACTGAAAACATCGTCACGTTCATTTATAATGTGCAAATTTTTTAACAAATCATTCATGACGAGAAAACATAATACTTAATTGGCAAACGTTTTAGCGCCTACCCTTTCAATTTACGTGCCAAAATTGAACATGAAACGGCTTTTTTGCATCTTGTTTCATCTAAATGAACAAATTTGTTTTCATTCGCCATCGTGGAGTAAAAATTTTCTGTTATTCTTTTCTTGTTTTCCATCATTTTATGATGCTTAAAAGAAAACAAAACAAAGTAACAAGCTTTAAGACGTCCGACATAGCATTTCAAATATGTGCACACAACACGTGTTCGGAACGATTCGGGTAAAAAGTCGACATTAAACCATGTAGCACAAGACAGAAGTTATCAAAACACTTAATGTGTGTATCATATCGATTGTCGAAAGAAAATTACCCATTATGTTTGTTTTTGCATTTATTTATCTTGTTTCAACAATGCTCTTATTTGGTTCTAGATGAAACTCGCTAAGAAACTTTGTAGATGTGCTGCTTGATGTAGGGAAATGAACTGATTTAAGTTCAAGAACATTTCAAGTTTCCTCTCAAGACAAAGCACGAGATGAAAGAGTTTAACTTAAATACTTATCATGAACATAAATAAATATAAGTTAGAATCATGGGAGCAAAAGAAAAATTAATTGTAAAAGTAAAAAAAAATATTTGAAGCTCTTTATCTATGTTTCATTCTACATATCTGTCAATTTTTCTCACTAAGAAGAGAATTTAAACCAAAGGAGGAAGGAGAATGGAAAGTTGTGTTTAAATGTTTCAAAATATCTTCTTGTTTAGCTTTAAGCTTTTTTCGAATATCATTTAAATGTGAATTGAAATGGAAGAAAAGAAGAATGAAGGTAAATCTCTTAATGTCTGTAATCTGAATTCTTATTGATATGATGTACATAATGCAATCATAAATGCAATCAAAATTTTATGAATTTTATGAAATCAAACAATTTAAAACTGTGTAAAAAAACAAGAAAGAAAATTATTCTGAATAAATAAATAAATAAACATTGTGAAAGCAAAGAAATGCGGAAAAGTTTAAAATGGAATAAATAAAATTTCATATTTTAAATCAATAATCGGACTTTTATTCTTAAACCATAACAAATATTGTTTGTTCATTTATGAAATTTCAGGTGAATAATTAATGAGAAGTTGATTGCAGATAGCACATCATTTTCCAATTTTCCTGAAGCGCAAATCATCTGCAGATGTAATCGATACTCTAATGACTCATTTTCATTTCAGTTGTTTTGGCATTCAATGCACTTGGGATTTGATAAAAGCAATGCAAACTCAACTCAGTAATGGTTCAGGTTCCTTAACATCGGATCTCAATTGAGTGGAATTACAGAAAGTTAAAAAAAAACGAATTTTATCGATTTTTCTGTTGAATCATTTGACGATTTAAATTTTCTTTTATCCTCTTAGATTCTTTATTATTTAAGAAGAGTGAAGATAAATATCGATTTGAACACGACTAAGTGGATTTTCTTTCCTTTTCAATTCAAAAGGAAATTAAAGGAATAAATATGCTAAAATTTTGCAGCCTTTTCAGACATCAAGGTTTGTTATGTAAAGTATCCGAACAACTTTACAAAACTTCTATCCTGATAAGAACATTCATGAACGAAAATTGTTGCGGGTGAAGGAAATTCTGAATATTGCTTCAACCCGTTTCAACATACAAACTAAATAGAAAACTATTTCCTCAGTCTGAACCTCGCCCATAATCTTTGTTGTACAATTTGGATAGCTGCAATATTTGAGAATTTGATGTACATCTACATAAAGATAAAAGAAATCCATCTGGGCAACCAAAATAATTCACTAACTATTTAACACTGAGTACGAATATTGAACAATTTTATAACTTGCTACTTTGATTCAATTACCTTCGATTAAATTACCTTTGATTAATTTACCATCACACATAAATTTGTCATAAAAGTGTTCAGTGATCTATAATTAGTGATTTTAGTCATAACATGTATCAATACAATTAAAAAATATAAATACCTATTTCAGGTGAAATTTCTCTTGTTTTAATTTTCCAGGAAATTGATTCTGACCTCAGTAACTATTAAATTAATAGAATATTTTCAGAAGCTGTGAATATAAATTTCTATGTCAAAAAACTTTCCATAAAATCGAACATCGAACCTGTTTTAAAATCTATATATTTTTAAAGAGATAACAAACAAATCTGAACTTATGATTAATTGATATTATTACACAACATTAACCTTAATCAATTGTTTACGATGGATAAACAGGAAGAAAAACAATCGACAGTGGAACGGAATAAGTTTGTAACGTTCATTTAAAATTCAAATATTGAATGCAAAAGTGTGAGTGCGATCAACCTTTCACACATTAATTTAAAGTCCGGAAAAGAAATAATGGTAAGTAAAATAATCTTCATTATTGCAAGTTAAATACCTCAAAAGTATCCAAACAGCAGTAATGTACATGTGGACTACATCCGCCACCACGGGTTCATCCCAAAAAACAAATAATTCGAATGTAAATATATAAGTTTGCTCGCTTTTTTCTTAAATTATTTTTTTGTCATTTTGTTGTTGTTGTTTTCTGAGTGATAATTTTTTAATATGAAGGAATTCTTGATAATTAAGTAATAAGGATTATGAAAACACATGTCATTTTAGGCTCAATCACCAACTCAATTAGATGAGCAGGATAAACTCCTCTCGGATGCTCTTGGAATTGTTCGCAATCAAGCAATTCTCATGAAGCGGAATCTTGATAAGAGTCGTTTGATGGATGGCTTAAAATGTGCTAGTACAATGTTGGGTGAACTTAGAACAAGTTTATTATCACCAAAAAGCTATTACGAACTCTACATGGCAGTGACAGATGAGTTGAGATTCCTCGAAATTCATCTTCTCGATGAGTTCCAGAAAGGCCACAAAGTCACCGATCTTTACGAATTGGTGCAATATGCTGGCAATATCGTTCCCCGTCTTTATCTCCTCATCACTGTCGGTCTCGTTTACATCAAATCAAATCCAGCAACAAAGAAAAGTATTCTCAAAGATTTAGTTGAAATGTGTCGCGGTGTTCAAAATCCACTACGTGGACTTTTCTTGAGGAATTATTTGCTGACCTTGCGTAACATTCTCCCCGATGTCCCAGTTGGAAGAGACACCGATGATTGTGGAAATGTCCACGACTCCATTGACTTCATCTTGACAAATTTCGCTGAGATGAACAAACTTTGGGTTCGAATGCAACATCAAGGACATTCAAGTGAGAAAGGACGACGGGAGAAAGAAAGAGAAGAACTGAAGATTCTTGTCGGTACAAATTTAGTGCGATTATCACAACTCGAATCTGTTTCCTTGGAAATCTATCAGAAGATCATCTTGCCGAGTATTCTCGAGCAAGTCGTGAGTTGTCGTGACGCAATTGCACAAGAATATTTAATGGAATGCATCATTCAAGTCTTTCCCGACGAGTTTCATCTTCAAACATTGGATCCATTCTTGAAATCTTGTGCTCAACTTCAACCTGGCGTCGATGTCAAGACAATCATCATCGGTTTAATTGATCGTCTTGCTCTTTTTCATCAACGCAATGAGAAATCAATTCAAGATGAAAGTGCCGAAATTCTCTCTGAGATTGAATTGTTTAATGTGTTTAGTGTGCAAGTCGCGAATATTGTTCAAATTCGAACTGACATGCCACTTGAAGACACAATTTCATTACAAGCAGCGTTAGTTAATCTTGCACAGAAAGTTTATCCTGATAAGATTGATTACGTCGACAAAGTGCTGGAAACGACAACACAAATCCTCGAGAATCTTAACATGAATAACATCGCTCATAATTTGCCAGTTAATGTTGAGTTATCAAAGTTGTTACGTGTTTGCATTGATTTTTACAACAACGTTTTGACAATTCTCGAATTGAAATGCTTTCCGAAGCTTTTCCAACGGTTTGATTACAAATCACGAAAGAGTTTGTCATTGTATCTCGTCATGAACATTTTAGATAATGAAACTTTTATTCCAACTGATGAGCAATGCGACAGTGTCTTGGAAATGCTTTCGCCGTTGATTAAAAATCAAGAAGATCAACCGGAAGAGGCTTTAGATCCCGATGACTTTGCAGAAGAGCAAGGCGTTGTTGGACGTTTCATTCATCTGCTGAAATCTGATCATCTTGACATGCAATATAAGATTTTGCAATCAGCAAGAAAACATTTTGCTGCTGGTGGTTCGCAACGAATCAAACATGTTCTGCCTTCGCTTGTCTTTCAAGCTTTTCAACTTGCTTACATGTATAAAGCAGCGTCAAACGATGACGAGAATTGGGATAAGAAATGTCAAAAGATTATTCAATTTTGCCATTCGACTATCACTTCAATCGCTAAAGCTGAGTTGCCTGACTTGGCGTTGAGACTTTTCCTGCAAGGTGCACTTTGTATCGGCCAGATTGGCTACAGCAATCATGAAGCAGTTGCTTATGATTTTATGACGCAAGCGTTTTCCATCTATGAAGATGAAATTTCTGATTCAAAATCGCAACTTGCAGCCATCACTTTGATCATCTCGACTGTTGAACAAATGACTTGTTTTAGCGAAGAAAATGCTGAACCATTGCGAACGAATTGTGCGCTTGCTGCATCGAAATTGTTGAAGAAAGCTGATCAATGTCGTGGTGTTGTGACATGTGCGAGTCTGTTCTGGAGTGGAAAGAAGGATAATGAAGAGATGAGAGATGAGAAACGAACACTTGAATGTTTGAAGAAGGGAGCAAGAATTGTCCAACAATGTTTGGATGTTAATGTACAAGTTCAACTTTATGTTGAGTTGTTGAACAGTTATTTGTATTATTTCGAGCGAGGAAATTCACAAATTACGATTTCAATGTTGAATCAGGTGAGATTTTCATTCGTCTTGAAATATCTATTTTAATTAAACTTTTCTTACGTTTAGCTTATTGGAAAAATCAACGAGGAACTGCCAAACCTTGAGAAATCAGAAGAGACGAAACAAATCGAGAAACATTTCAACAATACATTGGCACACATCAAGAGTCGAATCGAAACCAACGACTTGGAAGTTTCATTTGCTGGCATCACCATCTAAGTCAGGAGTTCTCAACCTGAGTATCATTAAAATAATTTCGTATCAACTGAAAAGTTTTATGTTAGAGAATATTTCTATGTTGATTATTATGCAATTTCTTCTTTTTTTTATCCATTTATTGAATTGATTATCAAAAAATAATAATAATAATAATGAAAAGTTATTGTAATTAATACTTAAGATTATCATTGATAATAATACAAACAGAATTTCATTCCTCAAAAAAACAAACAAAATTATTTTTCTTTAAAGCTTCGATCATAACTTTTCATATTTTTTTTCTTTTAATTTCTTTTTGAACACATAAAGGACGCGTGATTAAAAGTGTGGGTGGTAATTTAACCCTTGAACTAATTTCAATATTAGAATGCTGGTTAGAATTGAAAAACAAAATCGAAGGCAGTTAATGTTTCGTCGAGAGATTATTCAGTTTAATCATTTATGTGTGAACATCGAAAGCATTTTAATTAACTTATTTCTTTATGTTGTTTAATTTCATGGTCGCTTTCATTAATGATTTCGTTCTTGATGTTATCAAGAAGATGTTTTAATGACAAAATATTTACTCATAACTTGGTTTGTTTACACACCAAAACTATGAATAAATATTTGACTTTATGCATCAAATCATTAATCAATGATGACCTAACATAGATATTTCAATAATTATAAAACAATTTTCAACTTAAAGCTATCGTGCTAGATAATAAAATAATTTTCGGATCCATTTGTAAATGTCCAGGGAGTTGTTAAAGCTTGCTATGGATCGGTAAACGAAATTTATCATTTAAAGTTCGAGTCAGTGATAAATTAATGAATTCAAAAATTGATAAATCAGAAGAAGAAAAAAAGGTGAATTTAAAAACTGATTAGAATCTGAGTTTGACAAGATAAATCGAGATTATCCCAACCCCCTGTTAATAATTATTCAGAACAATTTTCCTCTTCGTTGATTTCAAGGTGAAATCATCATAAACGAGAGAAAATAATTCTCGGTAAAAAAATTTTGCGTCATCTTTAAAACGAAAATATTTAAAACTAAAAGCAGAAAGAAGATGAAAACAAAGAAATATGTTGACTGAACATTGTTTCAATTTGCATTGAACCGTGGCATATCACGTTGGGTACTTAATTAATTTGTGAGTTTCTGCTGGCGCGTCTACCGGCACGTTTAACTTGTCGCGAGTTTGGTTTTCCTTCATGAACGTCAGCAAGTGATGAGAGAACGTAATTTTCGATGTTGCACTCGTTTTCACCACGCAATATTTTGAAGAATCCGCTTTCGCCCCACCAACGTCCCCAAGAGTTTGCAGCAACCTTAAAATATTTTTAAATAATTTTCCAATTAAGAGAAAATTTAATAAAGAAGAGGAAAATCTTACCCAATACTTTGTTGTCTGCCATCCGAAACGTTCTTCTCCCCATCCAACTAAACGAACTGAATGGAATCCTTTGGCATTCTCTCCATGATTCGAACGACGATAAATTCCACTTCTATAGTTGAAGAAGTCAGGATATACCCACATAGTTGCTAAAATATTCATTAACATCAATTTAATATCAGTTTTTATATCTTTTCTCTCTCCCTTTACCTTGAACCGGTCCGTAATGGAAAATTTCCCACATAATATCAGTTTCATTATTCAAAGAGTAAGCTGGGCCCATTTTATAGAATCCGTCATGAGCACGCTCTTCTGGAATTGAACACATTAAAGTTTGGAGATTATCACCTTTCTTCACGCGACATCTTCCAACTTCAGCTTCATATCCATAGCAATCTTCATCAGCAACACTGAAATCGAAGATTTTCTAATTATAAACTTTCCTTGGAGATTTTCTTTTCTTACCCATAACGATTGAGATATCTCCAAGCATTATCTAAATGACCACCATGACAACCTTGTTGATGACGAACACATGACAATAAATGTTGTGCTGACAAATCTGCTGCGGTCTTCGCCTTGATTCCAAAACGATCTGAAGCAACGGAAGCTGTTGAAACGGCCCAAGATGATCTGTTGACAGTTGAAATCTCAAGTGAACATGAAACATAAAAAATGTTGAGATTGTCGACTCACCCACACCATCCTTGATCACGAATTTCAGAGATTGAACCAGCCCAGTTAGATAATGAATTAAATTCTCTTGGAAGATCTTCTAAACGATTCGTTAAGCGACTCATTGACTTAACACGAATGCGAGGTTCGAACGTTCCCAAACGATATTCGAAACCTTCCTTGAGTTTACGTCCATAAAATTCAGAATAGTTGAAAGCTTTCCAACCCAAAGAACTTGAATCTCTATTGACTCTGTTTATAACATCATCGTCAGATAAACAAGCATCTTTCTCACAATCAGCAACTCCATTTGCCCGACATTTACTGCAAATAAATATTTACAAAACAGTTAATTATCATTGTTAATTAATTTACCATAAATTGCAGTTTGATTTTGCTTCTTCAAAGCTGCTGATTAAAATTCCATTGCCAATATCACATCTGGCTTCGATTGGTTCTGGTGCGCCTAAACAAACACGCTCGTAATCGGGACAACAATCAGGGTTAATATGTTGATCGCAAAACTCATCACAATAACATAATGTGCCTGAAAGTTTAAGTATTAAAGATTGATTTATGAGTGAAGATGGAAAGAAGACTTACCGGCAATTGGCACTGAACATTCATCGATACGATCAGAACAGCAACTTCCTTGAGGTCCACGTTGACGCGATGCGCAAAAACTCTGCCCACGAAAATCATCAAAATATCGGTCGCGATTCTTCGACTGAGCATCAACTGTGAGTGATGATGCAATCAACACCATCAAGAGAATTAACGGCGACCGTGACATGGTCATGACACTATTCCGACTGAAATTGAGAACATCAAAAAAAAATATTTGATTTAGTTTTATAGCTCAGGTGACATCAAAACCGCTGACTCAACATTTCAATTTATGAGTGTTTGATTACAAATTTGCTACGTTCTTGTTAATTGTGCATTTCAATATTAAAAATAAAATTTATTGGAAAAATATTCAAAAAGCATTCGCGAATTTTTCGTTTGTCTCACTTCTAGTCTCTCCCAAATGCGACTTAAAACTGATTTTGTTTCGATTTCTCTGCTTGACTCTCAGATAAATATTTAGTTAGATCGCCCACTAGACTTTAACTTTCAAACGAAAGCACAATCTCGATCAAATTCAAATGCAGATGAAGAAATTTTTGTTTGTCTGTTTTAGACTTCTTAACATTATTAAAGTCGTTTGTGTTGTGCGAAGAAATTTACAACTGCGAAGTTTTTCATTTTTAATTTTCAAGTAAAAGAATTCTTAAACACTTCACTCAGCAACTGACAGTCATTGAAGTCTATCGAGACGGTCTGCGCAAATATTTTAGTTGCGCCACAAAATTATCGCTGGAGAATCAACATTTGTTTAGTTTGAATGGTCGCCACTGTTTTGCAAACAACTTTTTTTAGAATGTCGCGAAAATGAGAAGTTTTCTATAGATTCGATTTTAAATAAATCAACACAACAAGCGCCTCAAGTTATAATCGTGAGTAACACTCCTCGTAATGAGATCCTTAATAACGGTCAATTTATTTTATTTATTTCCCGAGATTACAATTTATTAATAAAAATATCATTGCTTGATTGCTGGAGGGTTAACAACAGTAATTACAATTTAAAGTTCTAAATAACTTTTATGATTAATAACTCACGAGTGCCATGCATTGATTCATTTTCCTTCTAAACTATTTTAATGTTAAGAACAAGTTTTAAAGTAGCTTCAAGTATCATGTCAACAGCCTTAAAGAATATTTGCCAATCACGCCTTCTTCAAAGCCTTTTTTTTTGTCTAGAAACAATGAATTATGCAAATGTCTGGTGTCTTAAGGTAACTCACAAAACTTGTAAGCTTCTTAAACACAACATGTGTTGATATGTAAAAAATAAGCAGCAAACAAATTAATTTGCATTCATTTAATTTGAAGTTAATTTGTAATAAAATAAACTATCAACAAGTTTGCATTTTAATTTTCACTTGACATGAAACTGCACCTCAAGATCTTTTATATTTTATATTTACACACGATGACGATCATCTGACTAATCTTAGCTACAATACAAATGAATCTTTTTATGAATGCACTCAAAGTTTTAGTTTTATTATGCAGAATATCATTCGCGTTCTTTAATGAATCACAATAGTTTGCTTATCGGCAAGGATGAAAGTCTTGTTATGGAAGATATAAAACACATTTTAGTTCAACCTTCAAGCGATCTAAAAACGAATGCAGTACACGCGAAATAAGCGAGATATAATAAATATTCAAATGTGGCAACATCTGCGAAACTATTTAATGGAAAGAATAGGGAATGAAGATATTGTTAGCGAAACTAATTCAGTCATTGTGTCAGTAGTCAAAATAAAAACCACGAGCCTCTCAAATAATAATAAAGACAAAAACCACAAGAACAACGGAATGTATTAAAGGTTGACGTAATTTGTCGCAAATGTTATTAACAACGCGTTTCAGTTTTGAAAAGCAAATGAGCGGCTGTCTCGCGAGCCTCGAGACTGATGCGATAATTATAAGTTGGAGTCTTCTTCGTCTGAATTCAATGAACTTGAAAACGTAAATTAAGTTTCATCCAATAGAAGCGAGGCGGCTGATTAAAAATTATGCTAATTCTTATGGTTTAATAGGCAATAATTAATATAATTTATGCGATGTTTTCATTTGATTTGATTTGCTTATTCAAGATCACACTTTTAATCGAAAAATTCTTGGAAGTTCTAAGGTAGGCAAATTAGGTGACCATCATATGATCATCGCTAAAAATTAATCCGCTTTAGAAGGGGCGATGAAAAACATATTTAAGCTTTATTTCTGTTATTTTTCAAGATCATTGTCGATACAATGGTGTTAAAATGAAACGATTGGGAACTTTATTGGATTATTTCAGTATCTAATCGATAAATAATTCAGTAAACAATACGTCGACTAAAAGAACTTCTTAAGCAATTTATTATTTAACAGACAATAACTTACAATCGAACATTGTTTACACTTCAAAATTAGAGGTAAAAACTAAAATTATTTGGCATCGCGCATCACTTTGCACTTGAAAATGATTTTCACGGTAAGTTTCTTTCTTTAAAATCTCATCTCACTTAAAGGTGAAGATTGATTGATGATGCAAGCACAAGAATGCAAAATGAGAACATCATCATGAGTTGTTAAAGAACTTGTTGGTGCTTTATGACATAATCAAGAATGAACAGAAGAAAAAAAATAAAAAAAGAAGTTCTTGCATTTGACGTTAAGTATCTCTACTAGACATTAATATTTGAATAATTAATTGAAATAAATCAATTCTTCTTCAGCTTCACAGATATTAAGAAGAAAATTAACTCAACAAGTGGAAGTTTCTTCTTATTCTCTTTTTTTCATTCAAATTATTTTCGGAACAATTTTATGGGATTTCAATATTTGCATTACACGAGTTGAAAAGCACGCGAAATTATCTTCACAAATGATTTTAAAAATAGTTCACAAACATATGTTTAACGAGGAATTCAAGATATTTAAATGCTTTGTGTGCTCAATTGGAGGGAGAGTGAGAGAGAGAGAAACATACAAACGCCAAACGGGAGCTAAATTAATTATGATAATCGTAAAAAAAATGTTAGCGTCATTAGATGTAGACCATATTCTAATACTGTTGTTACCTCAACTCCCGCCAACCACACGCATCACGTTTTGCCTTGAAATCTTATCTTAAATTAAACATTCAGAAACAGTTGTAAGATAAACAGTGAATTATGAAGTTAAAACTTTAAATTCCCGACGATTTAGAAAGATTTATCATCCGTGAACTTGGCGAGTTCTCACTTAAAAGATAAAATTGTTTTTATATCGAGGTCAGAAGAAACTTTTGAGAGAAACTGCAAAATTCGTCTTAAATTAACGACTGGATAACATTTCCACTTTGTCAAGAGAAATCTTATGGCGCCAGCAAACAATTTAAAACTCTCTTAATAATTTCTGAACAGATATAATGTTAGAAACATTCAATAAGATTTGATGACAGCTGGTTTTCCATTGCATTCACGAGTTAAGCTATCTAAGTAAACCAGATATTTACACTAATCTGTCGATAAACATTGTCAGTTGTATGATTAATATCAGCAACAAAAACCGTACGTCTTTTGAATTATTGTGATTGCTATTAAGTATTTATTATGCTAACTTAAAAACTGTAATTAAATAAAAGCTACGATAGAAGAATTTATATGAAGCTAAACATTATTCATTCGACTTTAACGACGATTTTTCTTCTTTCTTAAATTGTCTGCAAAGAAGAAGACAATTTAAGTATAGAAACTCTAAGTAGCTAATTCAAACATCTAAAAACGATAATGCTTCATAGAATATCAATTGAAATTCTATTTGAGAACAACGTTGGCTACTTTTGAAAAGAAACATGAATCCGGCTTATCTTCAACTTCAACAATTCTATTTACGAGCAATCATCCATTTTATTGTCGAATTATCACGTAGAGACGATGGTTAAAATATTTGCCATCACAAAACTTAGTAAATTTACTTTATTTCAAGTGAAGTCTACAAGAATATTAAACGCATATATCTTGGATTTCATATCAACAACCATTTCAAATCTAGTAAATATCTTCGCAAACGATGTTCTTCGTGGGTAAGCGAAATGTTTTAATGCCAACGGCAGCTCCAGATGCTTAACTCTCTTGTGGTTCTCAATGTTTTCGTTATCACCCGTAACAAATCTTGTTTTGTTTCTTCACTAGAGAAATTTCAAGTTTATCTATCTAAATACATATTTATTGCGTTAAGTTCAAGAAAAATAAACATCGAAGCGAGAATTGGCAATAATTAGCGAATCGCGATATAGAAGCAAGTTTCGTAAAGATGCTTGCTGAGTAAAGTTGTTAAACGCCTTTAAATTACCATCTCGTCATTGTTTACATGGGCTTGAGAAGAAGACGCGCGAAAGTAAAAATAGAATTTATTTACATAAAATTATTCATTGATCGAAATGGAGAAAGAGAAGTTAAACAAAGCAAATTTTTCAACGAATTTTTCTTTTGGGCGTGATGCGATAACAGTGAGATCGTTGCCATGTGTTAGCTGAACGTCAGGAAATTTTCAAGTTCATGTGAATTACGTATATGAAGGCTGGTTAAAAAGAATCGATCGATGTCGGTGTTTTACCAAAAAATGAAGATATTTTATTAGTGCGGCGCCTGAAGTACCTTCCTGAAGTATTTGGCAACTTTATCGCTTCGCTGTTCAACTTTTTCAATACAGAATCTTCTTGCTTAATCAATGAAAAAGACATAAAAATCAATTGAAACTCGTCTTTTCAATAAATTCAATTCACAAGTCGAAGAAAAAACAAAGAAAAGAATAAAAATTCAAGTTCAAAGTACAACATGCTTCAAATGTACGACGACGTCAATTAAAAGTGGATTTCAATTGTTTTTTCCTCTTTTTTTTTCAGTTTTTCAATTGAAGATTTAAATATTTAAATAATTTGCTTGAATATTTGTGTTTTAATTTGTTCGATGATCATGTCACATAGCACATCTTGATTAAGAAAATATTTGAACAAATCAACACTGAATACGACCATGACCTTAAATGTAATTTGTGTTAATTACCAATTTTTAAGAATTCATTTTGTGTTTAAAACTTCTGAGTAAAGTGAGAGGAAGAAGAAGTAAAAATAAATACGCGATCTATTTCAGATATCTTCATACTTAGTTTGTGTCTTTAACCAAATCATCTTAAATAAATAAAAGTGATTTATGATTTCAGGAAAGATTTAATGATTAATATGCGCAATGTCAAGAATTAAAACAGCAAAGAAATTTAAATTAATGAAGCAATTTACTCTTGGCGACGTTCATCCTCTTATGATGATGATAAGTGATCGGCTCTCATGGTGAAATTAACGGGAAAACATAAATTTATTCGGGGATCTCTCAATGTTTTTTGGATATTCCACGCAAAATATTTAGAATTGAAACAGGAATTTCAAACAGATGAACCATCTGTGTCTGTTCACTCCCAATTTTGAAATAATTTGATCGCGTTTCTTTTTTTCTCGCGGTTCTGCAGGTCATGTGATGATCGTCATGTTGTGATCTTGTTCGTATCGAGATTAAACTCATAATTAATTTCACTGAAATAACAAATCCTGATATATTTATGAAACGAGTTCACGATACGATAAATCATAAAAATATTCGCAAATTTCTAAGTAATTTTTCATCAACCAACCTTCAAATCGCTCTCATGATATCAAATAAAAAAGAAAGCTTCAATCTAAATCCTTCATCGCTATCAGTTTTTATTAATTTTCATCGTTTTTTTTTTACGTGGAAGCTTGTCAAAATAATTCAAACTTTCATACAAATTTTGAACGTATTTCTATTAATTATAAACATGACCGAAGTCATGCGAAATGATTCATTCGGTGATAAAAACGTTTCACTCAAAATTACTTTGGTTGCAAATTTTCGATTTGTTTTCTGTCAAATAAACAAAAAATGCTTTTAACATCTTACAAACTGTAAAAGTGACTAATGACTGACTGCATCTGACATATGACAACTTTTTCTTTTGATAACCAACAAGCCTAACAACGAATGATGTCATGAAGCGTGTCTTTAAAAATTTATTCGTTCATTAAGTCGAACGAGAGAATCTTCTTTGATTTATTTCAAGATTCTTTTACGAAAATAACTGACCCAACCTAAGGTCACGAATAAATTTAATTTCTTTCTACATATTTTTGTTTAATTTGACATGATACAACATTCCTAGATCAGAAATCAATTAAGACTTTGTAGAAGTGTCAATTTAAGTCACGACTAAATGTAATTTGCTGATTATTATTAAATTATTTAAGTGCAATGAGTAACAACAAAGAAAATATCAAATATTTTAAGAATGAGATCAGCATCTGGGATTAAAATTCTTCTAGGTTGTTGAAGTGATTTCTCATGAATCTATAAATACTTCAACAATCCTTAAAGTGTTTTATTGACAGCTCAGATATGAAATATAACTTTATGTTAACAATTTTACATCGATTCGCTTTTAATTCAATTTTCCTGTCGTCTTTGATGTAACATGACATTAAAACTTGAGTATGAAAGTGCAATTACTTGTACTAATTTTGCTGAAATTCAATCATCTCGTAAGAATTTGTATCATAAATCAGATGTTTGAGTAAATCATCATCAGTGATCTGTTGGGCGGATGAAACAAAAAAGAAGAGTTATAACTAACATTCAAGTTATTTCAAATATCAAGAATCTTAAATATTTTGTATTCGTTTGAATTTCGCATTTTTTGGCAAAAGTTTTCATTGCAAAACATCATGAGATTAAATAGCAAATGATTAGTGGGCAAGGAAGATGATCATTCAACGAGAAAAAAAGTAGCAAATTGTTTATTTCATTCTACTTTTTTTAGGGGGCATTAAAGAAAGGTCAATTGAAAAAGTCAATGGAGTTAATGTGTTTGAATTCGCCTAAGAATTCGGAAGACACAAGAATGAATGGAACAAAAACAAAACGAATCGTTTTCATCGTGCGCCAAAAATTTGCTGTCTTTGTTTCTCAAAGAATTGATTAAAAAATGACATCATTTGGTTAGCTCCAGAACATATGGGAAAATGACCTTAAGAAGTGGCGCATGATTTAATATTCATGTGAATTAATGCGATGTCGTAAAAATGATTTGCGAAAAACAAAATGTTGAACTGAATTCTGATGAGATGAGAAGGAGTTTAATTGTTTCATGGCGGAATTTTGATCATCACAAGTGTTGAGTGTGACTGAATATTTATCTTGTTTATTGTGAACATTTTTTTATTGTTTGATATGTGTCAATATAATGTTTTATAAGACAAACGCATCCGTGACTAAATTGTCTCCCTTTTCAATTGAATCTGTCACATAAATTTCAAAGCAATTAACGCTGAAATCAACACTCAAAGTCAATTAAGATTCGTCACATGGAAATCTAATCAGCGATGCAAACAACGTTTCCCCACACACTAAGAAGTCAATTAACTGAGGTCAATTTCTTGGCGTTTCGGCATGAATGCAATTTAGATTACTAACAACCAAACTAATGTTTGCCTAGCTGTATTCAAGACACATTTTCGATAAAGATATTCATTTTTGGAAATGTTTTTTCAAGGTCGAAGATCATTCCTATCGATATGGCGTAGTAAAATTTTACGATCTTGTTAAGAAAATTAATTTTCGCGCAAATCGACACTGTCATAAATATTCGTTTTCGGGCGCACCATTTGTGTAAATGAATATGTTAGAATTTATGTTCACGTTATTGACAGTTTTGAACATTTAATCTTTTGAATTTACAAGCTATGAAATCAAATTAAATGACATTCAGAAGCTTCTGAAGAATTAAATGAATCGAGAGAATTCAATTTTCATTCTTTCATCTCCAATTATTGAATTCATTCGTCATGATTATTTCGATACCATGTCAAAGCAGGTGCGCTTAAGATTTCCAGTTTTCAAACATTTTGCATAATCGGAGCAACAACACCCAAGCAAAGCGCAATAGTTTGCTAAGGCGACTCAGATGTTCTCTTAAAAAATTCTTGTCATTTGATATCTCAAACGTATTGGTGTCGGAATTCTAATTCTTAATGCCGTTTAACTATCGAAGATTAACAAAATGTTCTTTTGATATCCTATTGCCGACGCCTGTTTTGCCATAATTCAGACAAGACACTTTCTTTGATGAAGAATGACTTGAAACAGTCTTGGAATCTAAAAGAATAATAAAATAAAATTTTTTGTCGCGTTCTGAAATTATTTGATAGTTTCGACAAACAAATTCAAAGATGTTTGCAAATATTTTTCATAGACTTTTCGAATTGTGCAAGAATTTTATTAGAGCAGACAATTTATAAATGAATTTGGGTTACGTGGGAGATCAAATTTGGAATTGGGTCATAAATAACTTTGTAGAACTTTTGGATTGCTTCGGAAGTATCAAAATGAATGTCTAAATGGATTCGAATTACAAATTAATAAAAATTAAATAAAGAGTAATAAAAATCTTTAACAATCGTCATTGATTGATGACTTTATTTAACTTTTAAGCGACTTTTTAATGTTCGCTAAATTAAACAATGGAAAAGCTATCAAATTTTTTAATTTTCAACAACTCCTATCCTCATTGGATTGTAATGAAGCTCTCGAAATTATAAATTAAAATTTTTGCACACTTGACCGATGCCAAGTTCGCTTTTTGTTTCAATAAAGATTTTTTTATTGTTTGTTGCACAATAAAAAAAATGTGCTGGGATCGTTAAAAACTGTTTGGAATGTGAAACACAATCTGAATAATTTCTAAAGGTTTTGCCAAACTATTTCATACTTTATCGATGACAGTTTCTCCCTCGCTTTTCTTTACTTTGTAAACTGTTTAAGTATAAATACATAAACTTGTTGAGTCAGTTGATAAACTAATCGAGCGATCATTATGAGGCTTCAAGTTAAAACGATATGAATACAATTTTCAAGTGATGATCGTTACGCAATCAGAATTCCATTTGAATGACGAACTAAGGTTTAATAAACACCAAAAAGCTTATTTGTCTGTAACTAATCTATTATGTTGTCTCAAGAATTTTCAGAAACTCGAAACTTTTAATCTCATCGAAGATTCGTTAACTCTTGTAGGCACTCGAAGTTGAATGTCAATATTGTTCGTTGAACTTTCAAAAAGTAATCAACGATTTGTTTGTGATTTATTTATAACAAATTAGTAAGTGTTTCTTAAGAAAAGAATTTATGAATTATGAAGCACGAGGCGATAAGAGTCAAGAAAACAATTTCAAGTTCACTGTCACAGCAAATTTCTCTTGAGATACTGTTCGGAGGTCTTTGATGAATATTTTTATTTCCTATCATGGAAATGACGTTTGCATTCATGCAAATAAGAATTTTTATAAATTGACTTTCAATTCATTTATTTAAATGAAAGTTTGATTAACATGACATCGATTAAGAGCAACAAGATTGATGTACTGTCAAAAATATCTGCTTACATACGTGCATGACTTGTTCACTTATTTTTGGCGAAGATAACATCAATGGATTTCAATTTATTTAAACTGGCAGTGTTTTCACTTCGAATATAAATCCTGTATGATGTCAACACAATTGTTGTTAGTCATTGAGCTATCTTATGATTCATTCATTGTAAAAAAGAAATACCGAAGACAAATTGCACAATTCTGTGAATCCTAAACTGCAACTTTCACCTTGCTACTTAGTTCATAGCTATTAACCTTAATTGCTTATGAAGAATCATTTTTATTCTATGGCGATCTTGACTTGTATTTATTTCTTTTTTATAAGGTGCAAGGAGAGTTTCAACTATTTCCTTAATTAATCTTTATAAAATATTAAATTGATGTTTACGTCCTAAGAACCTTGAAAAAAGCTAATGGACATTTTAATTCTTCATTTATTGCTAAGCGAATAAAGCACGAAGTTACTTTAATATTTAAATTTTTAAGTGAGTGACACCATGAGAGCTTAGAATTCTTTTTCCAAGCATTCGCAACATATAAGGGTTTAGAAGCAAACTCGTTTTAACCTTTTTCATGGTTTTGACAAGTAATATTTATTGGTTTATTTTGGGGTCTGCGCACGCGGTGATGTATTTGATAATCCGTAGGATAAAAACTTTATTGGACTAATGAGGCTATTTTAAACATATTATCAAATAAAATCTCACATTGATATCTCATATTGCTCATTCAACAACGAGACTGTAGCAAGCAAACTATCTAACTGCCAGTGCAAAATGTCAAAATTTAAATAAGGAATTTTTTGCCTTCGATGTTGTTGTGATTGCGAGCGATTCTCATCATTAAAATCTTTTTTTTTGTCTATATTTCTTGAAAATGACACAAACTTTTGATTGCGTCATAATATTATTTTTGCTTGTATTTTTTTCTTTGTTAACACGTTGACACATTCTTTCGATGATAAACTTGAGATTGTGATTCTTTCTTTTGTTATCACTAATCGTACAGTTGAGATATAAATCTTTATTTATTAATCCCTGATTTCTTAATCTTTTACATGCCGATGGTAACGAAAGTGTGTAAGAAATTCCAGTCACAGTCAAACTTTTCTTATCTATCTCGAATGGCATTGATTTCGACTCGAATGTAATAATTGTGTAATCGAATTTGATCAATTGAAACACTTAATAGGTTACGACTTTGACAAAATGAATTCGTGTTTATATATCATTATTACTACCTGAAACAATAGAAATTATCATTTTCACGCTTAACTGATAAGATATTGCGTCTTTAAGGTGCGAAAGAAGCAGTCATTTAGTGATTGATCATAAACATATCTCAGACGCCTGAATTCATTAAAAAGCCATAATTAGAAATAAAAAATAAATTTAGTCGTTAACAATAAAATTAGCAGTTTCGGTTGTTTTTTTACAAAGCTAAGAACTCCCCGGAGTGAAGTTTTACGGTAAGAACTAAATAGTTCACCGCACGCACGTTTTTAAAACGACGTAAAACTTTAAGAGATTTTCCACATTTTTCTACCAGTGAAATATGTTTCTTATGCAAGGAATCACATTTCTCGGTTTTATTTGTTATTCTTCTTTTCTATTGTTAAAGCTGAATAAATTTTCTTCATTTCAATAAAACTAAAATTTAAAGAAACACGTGTTAAGCTGCTACACTTTTAATTTTAGTCAAGCATTCACCTAAATTAATTCACTTGAAATTACAGCAGAAAAATCTGGAATAATTTTTATTGATTGCACGAATTTTATTATCGCAAAATTTGTTTCAAATTAATTGCAAATGGTATATAAATTTCTTACTTTATCACTTCGCACAAAATGCAGATAGCACTCAAAATAATTTCTTTAACTTAAAGTTCTTTTTTCCTATTTATTCGAGAGCAGTTTTCTTGCACGATCGATCGCTAGCGAATTTGAAACAAAACTGAAGAACACTGAAAATAAACTAAATTCACAAACTCTTATTTCGTCGACGTATTTTTTTTCTCATAATCAACAGTGTTGACTATACGTAGATATATTAATAATAGTATAATATTTAACGGTTTTGAAAATTTTAAATACATTTTAATAGTGACATCTGTTAGCGAGGGGAAGAATTAGAGAACTATACTCGTTCTGATTTTAGAATAATTTTCTTGAAAGAATTTCTTTGATCATAAATACTTCATAAAAATTGAAAAAGTGTAAAATAATCACATTTATTATTAAAATTTATCAAATTTTAATGATAAATATTTTTTGCGAAATATTTACATCGCTAGCTTGATCGCTAGCAAGCATAGATCCAACATGAGAGCGAAGAATTGTTTGAGAGAGAAACTTTGAAGTTATTTTTATGAGGAGAGAATATCAATTTCTTGATCAGTTTCTTTTAAACCGTGAAGCAGTTAAGATGTGAAACATCAATTTTCTCGGAATAAAATCACAATTTACATCAATTTGGATAAATAATTTTTTTAATTCATAATCAAAACTATTTAATTGGCTTATCTGGATAAATAAAGTATCGTGTAAAATAAAACAGAAAATTTTATCGAGATAGAAATAAAAATCATTGAAATATCGATGAAATCATCAATTACAACTTCAGAATAAGAAGAAAATACGGAAAAAAACTTACAAAGTAGTAAAATAAGATGAATAATATATTTAGAGTTGCTGTCGCGACGTGCAGTAGTATTTTGATGTAAACGCCTTTTAAAGACGTCACATGAGTACGAAACATTTAATAATTCAAACAATTCTTTTACAAAAGGAGCATTAAACTTTAATGTGAATTAACTTTATAGTGCAAGAATTTGAAGAAGAAGAAAGAGAAGAGAAATTAAATATTTAATCAGTGGTTAAAGGTTTTCTAACACGCTAAAGTGAACAAGAGCCTAAAGCTTCATCGTGTTTGTATGATAAGACGAAAACATAAATAACAACAAAGAAGACACGAGGAAAGATCAAAAATTCTTTTATTTCGAAAATGGATAATGGATCAGATGATGAAAAATGGGAAGATTTCTTCGGTGAGTTATACTTTTGATTCAGTAATCCATCAAACCTTTTTGATTTAACGTTCGTCCAATCGTCTGGGCCGTATTTCTTGCGGAAATTTTTACCGCATGATGAATAATTCTCATGAACATCTCACATATGCAGCTTTGCAAATTTTCAAAGCCGCTTTGGATATTGGCGATTCGTGATGAGTCAGAACAAGAGAAAAAATGTTTTCTTCTTGACTTCTCAATTCTTCTCGTTATGTCGAATTCACTTTGAGAGCATCTTCTGATACCAAAATGATCATGTTTCTTTGCTGTTTTAAAGCAACATTAATGTTTTAAAAAATAAATGAAAATTGGAAATACATAAAAGGCGAAAACATTAAAAAGAGCGACGAAAAAAGTTAAAAAGAAGAGAATTGAATAAAAGCTTAATAGGCGAACGAGTTGTGCAGCAAGAGAACACCAATGGCAAGTTGAAGCTGGATGGAAGAAAAAATAATTCTGTAGCTTGCACAATTCAGTTTTAATCTCTATTTTAGTTCATCTTACTTCTGCTGCTTCTTAATTTTTTATAAATATTCCAATTCCACTTCTTTGTCTTTCACATTCACCTTCCTTCTTATCCTTCTCTTCACCTTTTTCAAGACTTTTTTTGCAGTCATTTCAATTGATACACTTTTTTAAACAAACGTCTCTCACGATCGCAGACATTTGAATTAATATGATGAATTGTTATAAAAATATTGACTGTGGAATGCTTGAAAGCATGAGACGAAGAGCGACACAGATAAATCATCTTTCAAAAGCAAACAAATGATCGTTAAAGAATGCGAGAGAAAGAAGCAATGCCGGATGATTATCTCGAGAAGCGTCGAATGCATTTGCATCAAAGATTGCTGATGATGTTGATGATGATGTAATTCAACTTTTCCGATTTCGTGCTCTATTTATTTTATGTTGATATTTTATAAACAATTGGAAATGAAAAGAGTTTTTAAATTCCACAATTTCTAACATTCATTCCTTTAATTTATTCAATTTTTAATTCGAAAATATTTCCATCGACTTCCTCGACTCCAATATTTCTTAATTAAAATAAAATAAGACGTGATTATAAAGACTACCTGCAGATTTTCGACAGTTTATTGTCATTTTACTGGGCATCATTGGACACTTTACATATGTATGGTTGGCTTTGGGACAGATCCATACAAAAGAGTGAACTCGTCAATTGAACCATCGAATTGTATAAAGAGAAGTAAAAAGAAGTTTTCCTCATCTCGTACAATAAAAAGAAAGAAATATTTCAATGGAGTTTATTGTTTATTGTCTTGAGACTTTTCTTCTTTTCCTTTTAACTTCTTTTTTACAATTTTATTTCACGCAAGTGCACCACAATCATCGCGGTAATAGTAAAGCAATTGATGATCGTGACGACTTTCTTCTCGGACTAGAATATTACCGTTGCACTCATAAACTGGCAACAATGTTTTTCTTGTTGCCCAATTAATTGCTTTTTTCCTACAAGTTAAGCTTATGAAAAATAAATTTTCTATCGTCTTTCAAGTGGATTAAATATTGAACAGAATAGAAAAGAAATCGTAAACAGCAAAAAGTTTGGGAATATCTTCCATTAATGATTCGTTTTTCTCTGTAAAAAGAAGGTAATAAATATTTCCTTGAGTATTACATTTACTCGGCTTCTAACTGAATATCACTAAATACTTTGCGGTAAAACAATATTTTATGGACATGAACGAAACGCAAAACAGAACTTGAATTGACTATGTTACGAAATGAGAGAAAAACTGTAATAAGAACTTTTTTTCTTCTTTCACATACGTGAATATGTGTAGATAATTATTAAGTTAAATCAACATTAATAGAAAGAAGAAAAAAAATTGCTTACAAAAGCATAGAAGATCGTTTTACATCAACAGCCCACACATGATAGAGATGGAAAGAGAAAAATGAGTAAGAGAGACAACAAAGTCTTGTTAACTGTTTCGCAATTGAAACATTTTTATTTTTCTGTTTTATTATTTCTCAATGAATTTTTATTTCATGCTGCGACATAAAACGTTGTCTATTAGAACGATTATGCCAAGAGATTAAAGTCTTTTTATACAAACATGAGAATAAGAGATCGAGACAGAAAGGAAAATGCAGTCTAAAATCCCAAGAGTTGTGCTGTTTATAATTCAAACACACATAATAATGCTCAGTTGTTACAGCAACAAGCAATTTGACACATTTCTTTCTATTTTTCTGCAACACCAGCACATTTATTACAAAACTACTTGAAATCTCAAGTACATTTCACAGACAAATATAATGCGAAGCAGTGGATAAGTCAGAGCATTTGGTGGTCGGTCATTTAGACACTGCATAAAATATCAAGCCAACAACATATTAAGTAATTATCAGTTTTGACGGACAAATTGTTGTGCGAGGTACGTACATACAAAAGATTTGAATTTGAATATGATTCAGTCGGCATTCGTTGATTCAGCTTGCAACATAAAAGAAATATATTTTCCTGAATGGGCATTTATCTGTTTTGAAAGCATCAAAGTTTGATTGACACCAACTAACCAACCAGTGTGATGTGAAAAATTTTATCTATTCGTTTCGATTATCTCAACATACACATCTAATCGTGTCAATAATGGCTTGTAGAAACTTCAAATGATCATGTTTATGACTGCGAATCAATTTTCACGCACATTTCATAAGATTTGTCATTGATTGAGTCTCTCGATAGCTGTAAAGTGAGAGAGAATTAAATTTAATAACTTTACAACAAGTCGTTTTCATGCTTTTCATAAATATCTAAAAAAACTGATCATAAACTTCAAGCATTTCAAATCGTGGAAATAAAATAGGAGTAAAGAGAGTGCTTCGAAGTCAATAAACATTTTCCGTCGTTTTGATTTGATCATTTTACAGCATAATTTAATTTCCTAAGCATAAAATTGCTATTTGATATTCAACGACGTTGAATGGTAGAAAAAAGAAAAAAAATCGGCGCTAACATGCAAAAGCAAAAGCGTGCAAAGAAATAAAAACGAGAGTGTGATGAGAAAACCCGGAAATCAATTGAACCGAAAACTGAATTTATTAATGTGAAGAAATTAATATTCCAACATCGTAAAATAAAAGTCTTGATCATCGAAACATGAAAAACCTCATTGCAAGAGATATGCGAAAATATTTCGCTACGGTAGCGACAATGATGTAAAAACTGAAATGCAAGACAAAAATTAATTGAGAAATTAATGTAAGTTGTACATGAAAAGTTAACCGCGAACTCTTTCTTCATATTTTATGAGACAAACTCAAGCTACTGCCATTGCGCTTACACACATTTCATAATTTCCCTCGTCGCCATCCGTCTTTTCAGATGACTACCCCGTACAAAATATAATAAAACAAGCGTAATTTACATCCAACATTAATATCTCCATCGCATTGCAATCAAATAATATTTATCAATATGAAAAAACCAGAAGTCATACAAATAAATTAAAATAATAATCTCATTAGATTGAACTAAGATTCAAAAGATTGTTATTTATGGACAACAAATATATCAAAACGAAGAGATTTGTTTGAGAAAAAAGTTGTAATAAAAATTCTGTTGTTGAACGAACATGTTTGCATCAACTTCTCAAAGATATTTATCTTTAATGACAGGTTGAAGTTGTCGCAAACTTCTAATTTTTCATTAACTTATGACAAGCTTGAGAGACAAAACAAGAAGAAAGATGTGAAAAAAAAACTTGCTAAACTACAATTCTTTCTGTGCCAAATTGAATTCAGCGATAACCTTTCATGGTTAACATACGACCTGAAATGGTCAACGATGAAACAGAAACTCACGAGATGTTGTAGCATAAGTAGAATGATAAGCGATCTTCTGTTTACAACAAAAGAAGATGCGAAGTGACTTCTAAAGCAAACAAGATAACAGTTCAAAGTCCCAGCTGTCAACTGAATTATCACGTCAATACTCCCACAAAGTCAAGATCTTTTGAAGCCAAAGAATGTGAATTTGTTGAATAAATAAACAAGAAGCCAATAAAATAAATAATTTAAAGAAAATATTTAAACTCTTCATAGGATCGTTTAAAATTTGCCTTGAGGAGAGCGTCGATGACGACGAAGACTTCTCGCCGTAATAAGTTGCAGACGAGATAAAATAATTCTAGGGTGTTGCACATTAATCGTCGTTTCATTTCATTCCATTCATTCATGAAATATTTCACATCTCTCTTTCTCTATCTCTCATTTCCTCCCACACATCATTGCTTTGTATTCTAATTGAGTTATATGTTCCGCCGCTTAATTTCGGTATCAATTTAACGGAACTTACTCGGTTGGTCGTCTGAGATATTTATGCTGTTGTAAGATAAATTTCATCTAAATATTATCGATTTGTCACGCGATATTAAATGTTTTTCTTCTTCCATTTTATTCGTCGCTTCGTCATTCGTTACAGCTCATTTTCTAACAACATCATGTTATCAAATTGAAATTGAATGAAGCGATTTAAATGTCTTAAAGTCTCGTGAATAAAAAAATAACTAATCAGCCGGGAGGATGTGAATGTTTTTATTTATGATTTCTTACATTTTTGCATACTCGAAATCATAGAGCGATTTAATCGAATGAGTTATGACTACAATTATTTGATAATTGCAAGTCAAGCTGGTTAACTAATAATTCATTCACTTGAGATAAACTTTAAGCTTCTCAACTCGTGTAGTTCTTTACTGTCGATTTATCAGCATGACCCATTTGTGGAGATTTTATATAATTTGATTAAGGTCAATTACATTCCGTTTGGCCACTTGGAGTGGCTAGAAGCAGATCAAATTCATTTTGAAAGTGTTTCTATCTGATCGCAAATCTTTCAACGCTCTTTTTTGGCCTTTTTTTTTGTTTTATATGTTTTCGTAACATTTTTAAGTATCGTTGGTTACGAAGCATGATGCCGAAAAAGGAAGAAATTGCGGAATGTCGATATGTATGCCTCCTTTCACTTATCATTCTCAATCATGAGTTGTAATCTTTTTCTTCTGATTCTACTTTAAGCAACAATAGCATGTTCTCTCGATGATTCTTCGTTTTTCATTCTTCTTCTTCATCACATCGTGCCTTGTTGCCGTGTCCAATGCTAAACGTGGATAATTTTCATTCCATCTTTTGTTGTGCTGACCTTTTCTGATGATTGATGTCGATCAATTATGGTTTGTTCTTTCACTGCCCAAATTAGATTAATTTTCTTCTGTAATTGTTGTTTCAAGTGTTCACTTGAAATGGTTTTGTTTGTTGATCAAGCACTGCCGCATGTCATCAACATTTTCAATGTTGGATAGACACAAAAAATAAGTAAAAAGTGAACTACAAAAATCAGTTAAATTTACATATTAGTTAGCTAAATATTTAAATGCGCTTGCTGAATTATCTTTCTTCCTCTTTCTCGATTTTCACACATAACATGACAACCAAAAAGTAGTTGCAGCTTGTTGAAGTGCTAAGTGATTTAATAGTGAAATTACGCTTTATCATTCGACAGGCAAACGGGCACAGTTATTGAAAGGCGCGAGTTCACGAACGTGAAATGAAAAGAAGTTTAGAGAAATGCGGTAGTGCGGCTTGAATGGCTTATCTCTCACTTATTCCTATAATAAAAAATATTGAAAATAGACAAACTATTCACGCGTGTTATCTTTCGAATATTTACTTTTTCCTTTCCTGCTTTTTGTTGTCTACTGCAAGACATAAATCGCTGAATTTTCTCTTTATGCTTCATGATTTTTTCAAATAAATAACAACTTAAGTATAAGTGTCCAACTCATTGATAACATTAATCATACAAGTCACGTATCTTTATGAAAAAAAGATAATTCAAAGTTTATTTCATTCTAAGACATTTTTAAGAACTTCCATCGATTATTATGATTAGTTGGAAGGTAAGAAATTGGCTTAAAGACAGTTTAATTATTGAAGATTACCTGATGAGAATATCTAATGAAACGACGCTTCCACGTGCGATAATTTGTACGTTTTAATAAAAGATAACACCAGTTTAAATCACAATCATAATGTGCATTTTAACGACGCAATAAGTGCCTAAACAACCAGCGGCGTCAAGCTTCATCATTGCTTTTGATAACTTGCGGGTATTTCTTACCTTCGCTCAAGAAGTGATCTCTATTAAAAGATATTTTATTTATTAATCTACTCAATGCTGATGTTGTAAAGCATTTTGTTTCCTATCCAATCACTTATAAATACTTATTGAGCCGGCCGCGGGATGCTGCTCAATTATTTTGATGGATAACAACAACAAGCGTTTAAGTCTTTCTTAACTTAAGTATTGTGTGTCCGTGCCAATGCACAGTAACTAAATAAAGTCGAGGATTTCTTTTTCTTTTCTAGATTTTAATCACTTGCTTACGATACCTGCTTTCGGTTCGTTTTTAAACATGGTAAAACTATTTAATTACCGACTGACGTTGAACGATCCGCGCCATAAGCGCAAAAATTGATTTGCATTGCATGAGGGGAGTCTGGCAGTGTACAAACAGAGGATTGTTGTCGCCATCTCGTCATTTAGTGAAACGTATCGACTTCATAGCTTGCATTTGTAATCATTTAAGACAGTTTTGCTTTGTTGTTCAAGGATCTTGTGTGCACTTATCCATGACTAAACTATTTTTTACATTATTGTTTTATGAACGACGTAGAAAGAATAAGCGAAAAGAAAAATTTCACCATGAAAATCATCTAAAAACAGTAATTTGTTCGAACAAAGTAAGTGCATTCGGAAATGAAGTTTTTCTTATTCGCGTTTCTCTATTTTACTCCCTGCTATGTCAATGAATTGGAATATTTACCGCTTGTCGTGGAGTGAGACTATTAGAGACTCTTACATGAAAGAAATTCCAAATTATGGCGTTTTAAAATAGTCGCATGAACACCAAATCTTATTTATAACCATCGAAACCTACATGATCAACATATAATTAATATCATGCATACGGGACAACTATCAATGATGCAGTTTGATGTCTTTTTCCTTCTCTTCTTGATACGCACTTCATCTTCTGCTTTTTGTTGTTGTTTATGTGTCACCTACGCAAACATTTCTACTTAGTCTACAAAAAGCGACTTTCCCGTGATGTTCGTAAAACTTTACGACCATCATTCGTTAATGAAATTGAATTATAATGCAACACATTTCGAGTGTTTTTATTATGAGATTATGCAATCTTTCTTTTTGTTGTGGTTATGAAGGCGCGAGGGTTATGATGATCGCCGACACAGCCATCTCATTGATATTTCTTCTTGTCCTCTGTCTCATTTTCGTAAGCCCACGTTTGTATATTTGTCACAAACCAGCCGGTGGAGCTTGTTTAAAGTTGGGCACGGTTCCAAAAACGGTAAACGGCCACCATCATTCGCGATCCGATGAGAAATGATTAGGAGAAAGACTCTTACGCTTTGCATAATATCAATTTTTCACCTTTCATGTGTGAAAATAACGAGTTGAACAAAATAAAAGAAAATAAATTCCATTTCAAAGTTGAAATATTTATCATCAATTTTAGTTTTTTTTCTTTCTTTTTTTGGGTATTGAATTGAAACATTGAACAGCAAAAATTCATTGGATTATGGGAATGATCAGAAATTAAGTCACGGATGGAAGCGGAAATAGTTAAGCTTAAGTCATAATATTGCTTCATTACCGTCATCTGCTTTCCGATAATTTAATTACTTCATCAAGTAACCGTTGTTAGACGTACCACACGCATGCATGAACGCACAGCAACATAAAGTTTTGAAGACCACTTGAAGTAATTTTCCATCCAATTATATCATTAACCAATCCCTCCAGTGATGATGAAACAAATATCTCGCTCAATGAACAAATAAATCTAAAAAGTTACAAAAAGAAAAGAAAAGTTTTCCTTTGTTTAATTAATGAAACAGGAGAGTAAGCTGCGGATATTAAGTTTCGGGTAAGATCTCTCAAAAGATGTCTAAATTGAAACAAATTAAAATACTTTTCCACTCAAGCATAAGTCACATATGTGCACATTTAATGTCTATGAACAAAAGACTTAAACCAACAACATAGCGTGAAAAACGACGCAGAAAAAATGAAAACAAACTCGAATGAAAGTGGAAGTGATCAAAAACGAAACAATTTTATTCACAAAAGCATGAAAAAATTTCGTTAATTGCTATAAGAAAAAAGAAACTTTTTTCAACGTCAAAAATCTGATAAACTTTGAGGTAATGAAAGCCTTCAAGATGTGCATAAGCCTTCAAGATTAACTATCAGAATTTAAAATAACATATTTTTATCCAAAACGACAGCTGACAGAATTAAATTAAATTTCAATTTTCCTCTCCATGATAACTCAATGAAAATAAAAGAAAATTTATTACTCGAAAAAAAAGAATGAAACGCCCAGATGAGATGTTTAATCATCTGGCATGACCATTTAGCGAAACAATTTTTCTGTCCTCTTCTTACGCTTTGTTGTTGATTTTTTTAACAAAATCACGACATTGACTTCATATCGGTGGCATTGTGTTGAGTGGATTTCTACTTTAGTATTGTTTAGAACACAAGTTCAAATTGATGAGCTTTGACAGCTTACAAGCTTAACAATAACTACACGAACATACATAAATGAATGAGAAATATTTCAACATTTGTTAATGTGAAGGTGGCGATCATCGGTAAATATCACACATTCAAACAATCAACTGTTTAACTTGAAACGAATGTAAATGTGTAGCTTCCATTCAGTTAATAAGCATGATAAGATATCTCAAGGTAGTTGACACACACAGAGCTTTGAAATAAAGTTGGTGAACTTGTATAATACTCGCATACACAGTGTGGCGTTGTTCTATAATGTCAGTAAATGTTTGGAGACTGAAACGTATGGTTTGCGCGAAAAAGAGTCATTTCAATCGTGTTATATTGTTCAAGCAACTCATTGAGAAGGAATAAAAGTTTAAAGTTTTGTAAACCAAAGTGAGGCAGACAAGCTTGAAGTTCAACAAACAATAATTTATTTAGTTGGACGTTGTGTTCCCTACGGTGTTTGTTCGGTGGTGCTGTTGCCATTTTTGCGGAAAGGCACATAAATAAATTTAAACTGAACATTCGTTTTTCGGGAACTACTCGAAAGTGCATGATCATTATGTTGAATTGAATTATAGGGCTCCACCAAAAACGAGGAAAACAAACTAACAACAAAGTTATTGATGTTTCGGTTTGTTAACAATCGACATCAATGTGATGTGCAATTGGTTTCTGCAGTCGCACATAAATTATAATTACATAATATTCATTCAGTTACTATCGAAAAGTTGAAAAGAAAAAGAAAGAAAAAAAGAGTTTAATCATCGAAGTTTCTTGCTGTTTGTGTTTATACTAAAAAGAGTAATTTTAATTAAGCAATCTCTGTGAAGGAGCTTGGATAAATCGATGCTGATGAGGTAATGAAAGTGTTTGTTTTATTTCTTTTTTTCTTTCTTCTCGTGTAACTCAAACCGATATTTACTCGATGAAATGCAATTTGTGACGCAATTTTCTATAAATTTAAACTCGAGAACAAGTTCTAGAATCATATTGTAATTGAATTAAATAATAACATTGACTTTAAAGTCTCAATTAAGTTGTTTATCGTTTCCTGAAGTAAATTGTGAGCCACAATTTGTGCCAACTTTTATTCAGCGACAACAATTTTATCGTGTGACTCATGTTTTATTGCTAAATTCCTTCCATCATTTTGTTATCAAGTCACTTTTCTGTGCTCGAACTTCACAACAAAAACTGAAATTTTTCCTTTGTATTGGAAAGTTTATTTCAAATTGAAATAAGTTATCCAAATCTGTCTTTTGAAACTCACTCGACAATGCTTAATTAAATCAAAATGAGCACATAAATGACTGAAATGAAAGAGAACTTAACATCGAATCATCGTTGCAACGAAACATGAATCATCGTTATGAGAAAATAAAAAAAAGAAAGAAAGAAAAAGAGAGAGAGAGAGAGAGAGGGAATTACATTTGAATATAATGCCAGGCTTTTGTAAACATCAAATATGAATATATGATGAAGCGATATTGAATTCAATTACCACCAATAACAATTCTAAATACTTTAGTTGTGTGTTTGTGTCAGACTGAAGTGGTTTTGTAGTTTCACTTCAACTCCATGAGAAATGACAGATACAAAAGTCATAAACGAAACAAATTTGTAAGATGTCAGTTGAAACTTCTTCTTTATCTCTCTCTCACTTACTTACTTGCTTATTTCTATCGTAATGATTGGGGAAGTCTATTTAAAGCTACGGTATGACAATCACTTCTCGTTTTTATCTCGTGAGACACAATTCAGGTTGAAATCTGCGGTCAGCATGGTGTGTTGTGTTCAGTGTTAATCGTTACACAAAAATTAATTTATGAACTTGGATTCCACAACTTTTCCTGTTCCATGCTTCGTTGATGATTCCAACACGTATGTAGATTTTTTTTAAAACACGAGCGATTCATTTTTCACTCATTTATATTTATGGCGAGAAAAATGAAACTTCCAATGTTACTTTTCGGCTAATTAATTTCGATTCATTTCGACAGTTTTGAAATAAGAAAATTTGTTTTCTTTTTGTTATGTATTTATCTTGAAATGTCGTTTGTTTGGTTGCTTTTGCTCGATGTGAATGTATTCATGCAATAAATGATAAGTCGGACGACGACATGAAAGATAAGATAAGGAAATTGTTATTGTCAATTTACTGGAAAAAAAGTAAAATTCTGTAAGGTTTAAATTGCATCAAAATATGTTTGAGTTATTTGTGAATATTTAGTGCAAGGTGAAGTTGATTAGAAATCAATTTCTATTAATAAATAATTCAACTGCAAGTTTAAAATCGCAAACGTGATGACTGAATACGTTTCTTTAATAAATGTTTATTTATGCGACGACACGAAGCTGTCAATTGGTAGTACAAAAGAATAGTGCAGCATGTTGTAAGGTCACTTGCAGTTAGGTAGAAATAATACGAAGAGATAACATCAATTTTAGGCAGCACCATGAAATTTATTGAAACGTTTTATGTCACGAAATGAGCTAAAAATATTTCTCAAATATTTTTCTTCGCTTGTTTTGTTGTTATTTATGTTTCCATAAATGGATATTATCGATAAATCTAATAAGTAATTTACAATCTTCACAATCCCAATAAACTATCGATTATTGGAAAACAAAATTTACAATGCAGATTTATTTATTCAGCAATCCAAATGATATTGTAAAATGAGAGTTGGTAATTAATGACCCGATCTCCTCAACAGATTTCTGCCAGCTTTTTTAATGTTTTGTTATTAACAAATCTGCTTAAACGCAGCACTTAATTTAAAAGCGATTGCAATGTGTTAAAGGCGAGTTTGTGAAATTGCGACCTTGCGTGTTGAATCAGTCATAAATAAATTAGCAAACGCGCAATTAAAGTAAAAGTTACCTCAATTAACCTTTCTATTGAAACTTTGAAACACCCTGTCGGTGATGAATGTGCAGACATTGTCATCAGTTATATTGTTGAATGATGAATGGAAATTATTGGTTTCGAATTGGATTCAACTCGAGCCAATGATTAGTCAATCGATTCAATTTCACTCCACACTCGTCCTATAAAAAATATTTCTTCTTGATTTTTTATGCATTCATTCATCGATCGTTGAAATGCAAGAAAAAGTTTTAATAAGGAACTGAAATGAACAATCAACACAGAGAAAAAGAAAGCATACCAACTATAATAATTCCTCGTTACGTTTTTAATTGTTTTGACATTTTCAAGACAATTATTTTAATTGTAATGTTCAGTAAATATAGAATACTTAATGATGGCGCACATTTAAGAATTGCGCGGTTGAATTGTTGAAAACAAACGTAATAAAAGTAAATTATGAGCAAAGTTTGGCTTAGTTTGTGAGACTTGCTCGTTCTAAAGTGAATAAACGACGATCGAGAAAAAGAAAGTCGAAGTGGATAATAATTTGTGGAACCTTTTAACGAGTTTAGAGATTATTTTGAGGTGTTCATAAATTTCGATTAAAGTACCATGTGCGGACACTTTACTAACCTACTCTGACTTTATGAATATCTTTTAGTAACAAGCGATTAACATTTGGCATTTTTATTGAAAAATCATGATTTGTCACTCGTTATCTTTATGATTTTTCCAATTGAAAAAGTGATAAATTTGAAGTTTCCAGCAAAGCGACCATGAAAGTGAAGTAACTAGTTAGGAGAGATTTACTTTATGGGATCTACGCCACCTTTCGAGCATAAACTTATGCAGCTAGACATTACCTTTTGCGACTTTCCCCTCCCTTCTCTTGCTATAAAACATAACCGGCGACAATCCACCGTTTAGACGCCAGTCGTCAAACTATATGTGTAACAAAGCGCCTCACGTTCTCCTTTTCTTGTTTCTTGTCTTGCTAATAACAATTGTATTTATACCGTGCCAACAGTGAAACGACACTTTTTTTCACTCATTATAAATATGATCAATAAATGTTGCCAACAAAAGGAAACAATCAGCTTTTGTGCTTTTTATTTTAAGCATTTCATGAATGAAGAAATTATTTATTTATTTTCTTCTGATCATCAGCCTAGCCCAGCCTCCCTGGAGCAAATAACATACACATTTGAATACTGTTGATGAATAGATTTGTGTCGGTAGGGATATAAAATAAAACGTCAATAAATTAAGAAATTATCATTTTGAAGTTGATTGGAGGAAAGTTAAAGAGTTGTGTGCTGGTTTATTAATTAACATTTCTCTGCATTTTGCTTATTACCTTAACAAACAGTAAACTTCATTCGATGTGGATCAACAATTGTTAAAACATCACGTCCATGATTGTCTTACATGCAGATTGTTTTCTCGTGCCAATATTTTATCTCTTGTTTAGCTAACTTAATCGAAAGTTGAAATATAAATAAAGTATCTGCAATAAAAAAAAGTGGTAAATATCTAAATAAAGTTGCACTTTGTTTATTTATTTATTTTTTTGCATAATTTCATTTGCAAGATTTCCAAAGTTTGTTTCTTTATTTTAATTTTCATACTTTCAATTCCATCGTTCTGGTTGTGTGCGCAAATAAATAAATGTGCCTGATTTTACGGACATCACAAACACGTCAGGTGACTGGAAAGCATTTTCCGAACATGCATTCAACCATCAAATCAAACAATTCTTAATGAGCTTTTATCATGGCTCTATCTGCGAATGAACATATTGCAACTGAGTGACATATTTTATACTTTTACAACTTGCCAGAGAAATCCGTTTATAGCTAGTTGAGTCGCTGTTATGTTTTCGGAACGAGAATCTCTCTAACATGAAAATGCTATTTTAATAGAGAAATTGTTTTAATAGAAAAATGTTGTAGGAAGAGAAGTCAGTACAGTGGTGGTAAACTTTTATGACTTAAATCGTCACTTTGTTTCAAAAGAAATCTTTGAAAATTTCTAAGAAATCCTGAAAATGTATCCTAAAAATTTAAACAAAATCTCAACTTAGGTTGAGAACCCCTGAAAGAAAATTCATATTTTAACATTTGTTATTAATTTTCCAATTAAGAATCGAACATGAATTTTCTTGATCTCCACTCAAATTTCCCTTTCCGTCTCCAATTTCATCCGGTACACAATAAATAAAACTCGGCTACATACATAATGAAGTAAGTTTTGCGCAACATAGATATAAATATTTCATCAGCATCCATTTTTGGTGCTTTCGTTTTTCGTTATGGGAATTTGTGCTCCATTTTATTCTTTTACAAAGAAAATTTTTGCATTATTTTTGTTTTCTTGTTTTTATATCAAATTCAATGAGAAGAAACGCAAAAGTTGTCGTTTTTATGTTTCATGTATCAATAAATAGCATGAATCGAGCTAACTTTTAATTGAAGCATATAAATATAAAAAAAATTGTGTACAAGGCTAGATTTTGCGATCAATAAGAGATTAAATGAATAGAAATTCATACAAATTGAATCTTATAAAGTCGCTGATAAAAAAGCAAGCTTTGCAAAGACGATGCATTGTTCCACGTACTTTAAAAGAAAAAAAAGGCGAGCAAAACTAAGTATGTGAGACTTTTCAGAAGAAGAAAAGGAGAACCAAAAGCCATTGCCACTTGAGCCACGCTCAAACATAACGACTTCTCACCAAAAATGGCGAATTCGAGGATAAAATTAAATGACAATGCGCACATTAAAGTCTGGTACAAAGTTGTTCTATAAACAACCCAAATTAAGGCATATCAACGGCCAGGGAAGAAGGTTATGCATGGTTCATTGGAGGTTCTTTAAAATTGCATCTAAAGTTACATAAAACTTCAAGCCTATCACATATTTGTGATCGAAAACCAGTTTTTAAAGAAAAAAGGAGAAGACAAAAAGATCACAATAAAGTGTGCAGCACATGACATGTTTGAATACCTCAAGAATAGATCGAGTTCCATACGATAGGAACATAGAAATAACACTCTTGCTGTGCTCATTAGTCTGTGAATTATTTAAATGATCGGCATGCAGTTTGAGGAAGTGAACGTGACTTCATTCGAAAACATTGGATTTTCATTCTTCGTACCATCGGCTGTCGTAGAATTCCTTTTTTCTTATTTTTTTTCACAGTTCAAATTGAGCTGATGATGTTGTTTAAACAAGCAATTGAAATTCTGAATAAATAGCTTTCTGTAACTAATTGCGAAATACTTGGTAAGAAGAAAATATTCACAAGAATTGTCCATAACTTTGTATGTAGCTGGAAAATAAAACGTGATTTGTTATTTCTCTTGTCTTCACTACTTTACAAGTGCTGGTGGAGCGTCTATAAGTCACCATCGAAAAGAATTAAATTTAAAAGTTCATTGCTCACAATTTGAATAGATGAAAATGTCAAAATTAACATACGACGATTGCAACGGTAACAGAAGTAAGAAATCGGTGACAAAAAATCGCAAATTCCATTCATTGACTTGACCCTTTCTGATCTTTTCGGGTCAAACAATTGTAAAAAAAACTAAACAAATATAAACATTTTATAATTCATTAATTCCGAAAGTTTTTTTCATGCTTCTCATTCCATCAGATTTTTCTTTTATTTGCTTATTTGCAAATACCAAAATAGACAAAGAATTTCAATCGCATGAGAAACGACAAATTGAAAAACTTTTCCGTTTTTGGATGAGCTTTCATCTCATGCTTATCTATTCACCTTTTATACACGACATTGATCTTTGTAAAGAAATAATTGATTTATCATAAATTTATGCAGCTTTTTCTTCTTTTCGTAATTATGTATTTTTACTTTTTTTTTATATACGCGCCTTTTATGTAAAATTTTATCGGATTTCTCACTCTGCCTTCAATTGACTTGGCGCCGGTTATCATTATTTTGCATCACATATTTCATAAATATTTAATACTTCATTTCTGTCATGAATTTATCCAATAACTACCTCGAAGTGTAAAGACAACAGTTAGTAAGCTCAACAAACTGTGGTGTGAGGAAACATGTTGTTTCATGGAAGTACAAGTGAAATATCGTCAGTTTAGAATCTCTCACCAGCATTCTGCGCAACAACTTAAAAGAGATGTTTTGATTTCATGTCTGGGTAACATTCCATAGTAATTGTGCAGCAGCGACTGTGTTGTGATTAAAATAACATGCAAAATGCATTTGTCGAATGAATAAAAGCGCATCTAATAAAAAATATGAGTAAATCAATTTGAAATCTTTTTGAGGGGAATCTTTCACTTGTTTCGTCACAATTATTTTATCATACATTTGAATGCCTCGAGTGGGAAATAAATTTCACAAAACTTATGGAAATTTCGCTACCACAAACGCCATGAAATGAACTTTTCCACTTTTTGACGTACAAGCAACATAAATTGCATCATCATCTGACAAAATGCAGACGATAATTTATGACACTCGCAAACCGACTAAAAGAAGTGCAAAAATTGCAAATTATTAAATTTCAACACGTTTTCGTGAAAAGCTTTTCGTACGACGATTTATGATCAGACCAAATTTCAAAGCGACACTGAACTGTTCGGTTTTCTTTTGTAAACGAGAATGCAACAATAAACCGCTTAAGTCTGCAACTTGTAAGTCAAGAAGTGAGTGCTAAAAATAATAATTAGTTTGAAATTGCTTTAAACATGAAAGGATGACATTGCGAAAGTTACATAAATTTCTGTCATAAGTGACAATTGAAAGAAATAAAAATAAAAACAGAGCAAACTTGATTGTGTAACAAGAGATGCGCTTCTGCTTGCAGAAAAAAATTTTAATTCCCAAAACAACAATTTTTTATTTTCATTTTAAAAAAATATAAATTTTCGATGCAACTTAATTGTTTTTATTGGATTTTTTCTTTTCTTTCTTGTAATCGTCTTCGATACGGTTTTAAGAAGAAACTTCAACACGCAAAAAAGAAATGCAAGAATCGGGAAACTGCAGAAACATGAAGGGAAAAGAGAGTTGAGAATTACAAATGATCGTTTTTTCACTGTTGATGATAATCGACACAATTGAGTGGAACAACAACAATAATTATGAGACAAACTGATTTATGTTGTTATGCTGAATTTTCTCTCTCTCACTCCCTCTTTCTCCTTCGTTCAAATTATTTTCGGTTATTGAGGTTTATTGGCTATCGCCATATCGATTTTTAATGGTCAAGAATTTGCTTGCTGTAAGGATTAATGAAAGTAGATCATGTGTATGTATAATAAATGTTTATTAATGTTCGTCGAATGAAACATGACAGACAAGAACACCATGCAAACCATGTAAATGCGTTGAAAGGTTTTCCATCTTTTTTTTTTTGGTTACAACTTTTCCGTCTTTTCGCTTTCATCGTCGTCGACAACGTCAACATTTTGTGTCCCAGAAACGCATCTTAAAGTGCCTCCCGGACAAATAAGAACATTTTGCGGTGGCGACTGGAAATCTCTTTTTTTCTGTTGTTTGCATTCGAGTCTGTCTCGACGGTGATTAAAGCCATAAGAAGATGAAAGTTGTTTTCACTTCGATCGTCTGATTCTTGAATTTATGTTATTTGGCTTCAATATGGTGATGTTACGCGGAACCATACGCTACTCGACATATTTTCACTGATGTGTCACGTTATTTGTTGTTATATAAATGGAATGTCTTTGCTTTTTATTTCTCCTTGTCTGACTCTGTCTGTCTTTGCTTGCTAGCTTTACATCTTAGATTAAGTTCATAAGAAGTCAGTAAATAATAATGACTTTGGCATAAATTCACATACATACGAGATGATTTCACCGATTGCCATTGATGGCGAGTTCGGATAAATGATTTTATTGAAGTCAAAGTGACACGACATAAATCCAACAACCATTTCGGTGTGGCTCCACATCAATTTTAAACACATATCTGTTAGTGCAAAACATCAACAGAAATCTATCGAAAAGCCCAAACCGACCTAATTCGATTCACTAAGCTGCTAGACTAAACATGTTGTTGGTTTGAACTACAAAATGTTTTGTCATAAACTATGAGATTAAAAAATGAAAACGAAATAAAAAGAAGGTAAATCCACATTCACAACAACCGCGTGCGATAAACGAGAACTTAAGTTTTCTCTTTTCTTCGTTTTCATCATCAATCTTCCTAACATTTTATTGTTATTTGATGATTGGGAAAAAGAAACGACTTTGTATCTGCAATAAATTGTTGATTCGAATAAAAATTCCCTACAACTTGCAACACATCATAAATAAGCAAATTGAAGCAAGTGACGATGAAGGTTTGTTGAACTTTCGATTGTTAAGAATCAACTTTCAATTGACTAACGATCTCATAAACCACTAAACTTGATACATTTGCCCATTAACATCAGAAATCTTTTTTGTATGCCACACGAGTTGATGTTTTCGGGGCGCAAGCGATTAAGTTACATTTCTTTCAGCTCATAAATGTTGCAACAGGCAGCGGACTGCCTCATGCTTTAACTATTTTTATGGACATTAAATTCAAATCTAAAGAGGGAAATCTCTCTCTTGGAACTATGCAGACTCAATTAAGCGCTTGAAATAAATTTGCTAATTAAATAAAATTTATTACAAACGATCACATGAATGATTCGATCGACTGACGGTACTAAAAAAACAAGAAAGAAATCCAATTTTCCCAGAAACAAGAAAAAGAGAAGAAATAAAATAAAATCTTAAGATGATTTTTATGTTCTTATAGCATTTTCCTTCCGATATCGTCTGCTTGACTTGCTTAAGAATTGATATTTTTAGAAAAGTCGGCTAGAAAGAAAACATCACGAGAGTATTTTTATTTTGCTTTTCTTTCATCCGTTTTTCCCCAAGATTTATTGTAAACACTTCTAGAGTATTATATTTGGCTTATGGCGGAAATAACAACAGAAGAAAGGAAAACACGATCGGTTTATTTTGTAGGGAAAACTTTCAAGCGGAACATTATCTTTAATGCGATTTCGTTTGACGGCATTAATGTTGCTTGAAAATAGCAACAAATTGTATCTAACAATAATCATCTATAAATAGCGCCACACAATTCAATAGAAAATTAATAAAAAATCGAATATGGCAAATTTATTTATTCACCGATCTGTTGTAATTTTTTTATATGAAACGAATCTCAATGCCATTCAAGGTTTCAAGAAGTAATAAAAGTAGGTTCAGTTGTAATTTAAACATATGATATGCTAAGATGATGAATGTTTCAAATATTTTTGCTGTTTATTCTTCAAGCTATTCTAAATATCTTGTTTCGAATTTCTCATACTCATGCTTGTACATTTTATGAGAAATTGAGCTTCAAATGTCAGAGCATAAGCACGCATTTCTGGCAAGAATGTAAGCATGCATATGTTCAACTATTATTCAAATCACATAATATGCAATTGCATAAAAGTGGTGCGATAAAAAGATGGAAACACAAATGTATTCATTCGCACTTCATAAATTTATGCTTTCATGTTGGTATCAAATATCAACGCCTTTTCTTCTCTTTGATCATATTTCTGCTTCGCTTTTTTTCACATTTTGCTTTAGAATTTTCATCGCAAACGTGTATCGGAAATGACTCAAAATAACTTCTCGCGTCGTTGCTAAATAAAACTTTTATACTTTTTAGAGTTTTATATTCTGAATGTTCATATTTTATGCTTGTGTGTGATTCAGTAACGAGTTTTGCCAAAGCGAAATCACCGCAAGATTATCCCATATGGTCTAGTGGCTAGGATACTTGGCTTTCACCCAAGAGGCTCGGGTTCGATTCCCGGTATGGGAAATATTTTTTGTTAATTTTATTTTATTTATATTTTACCAATTTTTTTTAAAAAAATATAACTAGAAATAAATATTATATGATCGTTTGAATGCCGGAAATACATTAAAATATTTAAATTTGTGTAGAAAAATGTTGTAATGTTTTTATCAAGTTTATCTTACTCCCACGCATTCGTGGGTTTCTTTACTTCTTTAATGAATCGATGCGTATGCGTGTTTTATCTCATGTTTTCGTAGTTATTATTCGATTGACACTTCATACAAAGTGCAATAAAAGTCGATGAATATTTTATTGCTGTTCGGGTGTGTTCGATCAAAGCCATTAATTATTTTTATTGACATTTTGTTGCATTCACTTGAATATAGAACGAGTTTATTAATTTTGATTCTTTCTTTTTCATTTATTCATAGGAAGCTCAACTGATTTATCACCATCAGTTATCGGTTACTACGACAGACTCTCGGGCAGCTTTAAAAACGAAAAACTTTTTGGAGAATTACGAGTGAGAAAGTCACCGGAAAAACAAACAGAGGACAAAAGAAAGTCACGTGAGCAATCGCCTAAGCCGAAGTTGATTGTTTCTAAAATCCCAACGAAGCCCACGCGACTTG